TAAATATCTTACGCCAATGACTGTCATACGATCAATTCTTACAGCTATACCATCTGAAAGACTGCCATTTAAAAGGGTGGGTCTTTACAGATCCACCGCTACATGAAGCTAGAGACACACCTATTCGGATAAATCGAAGCCTAATGTTGCTCCAAATAATGCAAACTACAAAGAGTATGCTATACTTCAGCCCAATCATCAAATTTATGATCTGGATGTTAATATAGCTAGATTGAATGCACGAGTGATAAGAAAAAGAGCAGTCACAGACATCACGCGATACTCATCCCTCGTTTGAGATCAAAGCTTAATTGGACGCATAGAGACCTACATAGTATGGGAAAACTAAGAATAAAAATTTAATCGTTGATATTAACCACAAAGGATGGGTTGTTATTAAGGAAGGAGCTTGTCTAGATTTGACTGTTTGTGCAATATAATGCGGCTCTTGATGTAGTCAAAAATGAGATTGCTTACCTCATAATGTCAGTTTGGCCGAGTGGTTAAGGCGATTGACTCGAAATCAATTCCGTTCGCGGGCGTAGGTTCGAATCCTACAGCTGACGATCTTCTTTTTGCTTCCCGAAGGGTCTTCTCTGGCTTAGCGTAACATCTATCGGGAAAGACGATCCCGCCAATCCTTTCTGTGTTGTAAATTGTTATTTTTTACTTTTTAATTTCATTCCCGCTTCTCCTGTGAAACAGCTCGGACATGGTTCGGTTACAGCAGTTCTCTTGGCCAAAAACCTTGATATCTTAACAGCCATGACTCGCGAGATCTCCCCACTACAACATTCCACCAGACCACCACGTGGGCATAGCATGCCAGATGCCATGTTACTGTAGTTCGCGCATGTGGCAAAGGAAATTGAAATTGGACAATTACCCGCCCATCGGAACCAACGGTGACATGATGCCAAGCGGGGGCAGTGCTTTGTCCGAGATGCCCAGACTTCCAAGCATCTCGGCACTGCACTAAACCCAGGTCAAGCTCTATACACGCTCAATCAGAGTTCTTCAGCTCGAAACGTGCCTCTTAAACGCAAATGACTGGCCCACCGGACACCCAGGCACACTGTCTTCGCCGGAAACTGAGCTACGACCGCTCTTGGCGTCCGCTCTCGAGACTTGGCGCCAACCTCCGCTGTAGTCCTTTACGGCGGCGAGAGCAACCCATGCAATTTGGCACTCAGCCAATGAGTGTTCAGGATGTGGTGCACGTTTTCGAGGAGATCTATGGGATGGGTTGAAGCCCTGTATCGGTGTTCGCCTCAATATGGACCTGGCCAAGGTCAGAAGAGCCTTTCTTCCAAAGCCGCACTTGGCAATGCCCGTGGCCTGACTGTGCAGTTCGTATAAGGGCAGCACGAACTGCACAGAAATCTCTTGTATCACAGTCTCCAGATTCCCCCTTTGTTGTGTGGTCAATCAATTTCCATTATCACCATGGCACCCATAGCAACCGCCAAGTATGACTGGATCCTCGCCATCACATCGATTGCCTTCATCTTCAGCGCTTTCGGTAATGGTGCCAACGATGTCGCCAATTCATACGCAACCTCCGTTGCAGCCCGGACACTCAACATGGCCACGGCCGGTGTCCTGGCTGCCTGCACTGAGTTCATTGGTGCAGTAGCCATGGGCTCCCGAGTCTCTTCTACCATCAAAAACGGTATCATCGACATCAACAGATTTAAAGGAAATCCAGGTGCCCTCATGCTGGCAATGGGGTGTGCAGAGATCGGCAGTGCCACATGGTTAATGCTTGCCACTGGAATGGGATGGCCTGTTTCGACAACGCAGACCATTGTTGGTGCTCTCATTGGTGTTGGCTTTGCCTCGCAGGCCGACATTACCTGGGAATGGAAGAAGGGCAGTGTCTCTCAGGTTGCTGCATCCTGGGGAATTGCACCTCTCATCGCCGCTGGATTTTCGGCTATCATCTTCGGTATCCTCAAGTACAGTGTGCTTGAGCGAAGGGACTCCTTCAAGTGGGCGATGCGCTTGATCCCCTTCTACCTCGCTTTCACCGGTGCCATTCTTGCTCTCTTCATCACCATCGAAGCCCCCTCAGCACCCTCCCTGGAAGAGTTCGGTGTTGGCAAGATTGTCGGCATCATCCTGGGAGTCTTCTTCGGCTGTCTCCTCTTCGCTTATGTCTTCTTTGTGCCATATTTCAAGCGCCGCCTCATCCAGAACGACAGCCGCATCAAGTTCTATCACATCCCCCTTGGCCCTCTGCTGCTCCGCGAGAACCCCCCTCTTTACTTCCCCGGCAAAGGTGAAGGTGTCGTGATCAGCTACTATGAAGACGCATATGGCGAAGTGCACGCCGGCCAAGTTGACGCCGCCAAGCACCATACCACAACCGACGCAAGCTCCGTCCTCGCCTCCCCCGAAATCACAGCAAAGAGCAAGCCCGATATTCCCGCCGAAGACGAAGAAAAGAACATGGACTCGGTCAACTCAACACCCCAAATCAAGCCCCGAAAGAAGCATATCGGACCCACCGAACGTTTCATCGATCCGGTTCGCGAACTCTCCTGGGCAAACCCTCTCAAGGCATGGGGATACACCAAGTGGATTCTGCTGCAGGGAGTGACTCGCGATGTGGTCACCCACGACTCGGCACACCTGCGTGCCATCCACGCCCGCGCACACCGATACGACGACCGCGTCGAGCACCTGTGGACATACTGCCAAGTTGTATCAGCGATGATGATGTCCATCGCCCACGGATCGAACGATGTTGCGAACGCCGTCGGACCCTGGGCTGCCACCTATAGCACATTCCATGCCGGTGTTGTCGAGACCAAGGCCCCCACACCAGTCTGGTTCCTCGTCGTTGCGGGTCTGCTGCTCGGTCTTGGTTTCTGGGTCTATGGATTCAACATCGTGCGTGCTTTGGGTAACAAGATCACTCAGATGTCTCCGACTCGTGGATTCAGTGTTGAACTTGGAGCTGCTATCACTGTGCTTTTGGCTTCGCGACTTGGACTGCCCGTCTCGACTACTCAGTGCTTGACTGGTGCTTCGATGGGTGTGGCTCTCATGAACTATGATCTTGGTGCTGTTAACTGGAGACAGCTTGGCTTCATCTTCGGTGGTTGGGTCTTGACTCTTCCTTGTGCTGGATTGGTTTCTGGATTGTTGTGTCTCATGGCACTCAATGCTCCCCATCTGTAAATATAGATCGTCGGTCTCTGCTGAGTCGATTAATTGCTGTTCTCCTTTTGTATATAGCACTGATTGTAATTGTCGATACCATGCTCAAGTATCTCGAAATCGATTTTTTTTTCAATTCTGTTTAAATAAATACGAGAAACCTTCTAAAAAAAAAGAAATTATCACTGTGCATGTAACACTTGATGCACATACTATACTGCCCACAATTAATTAATCGGACAAAGGGTATTTTGCTAAAACCGAAACCGAACGGAGTGTGACACTCTACTTGGTGCGCTTGTAGATCTTGGCAAGGAAAGACTCGAAGACCTCCTTCTTCAGACCCTTGGACTCATCCACGGCTGCGATCTTCTCACGGATTTCACCAACAACCTTCTCCTCGTACTCTTTGTAGAGAGCCTCGAGGCCAAGCTCGTTGAAGACAGCCTTGACCTTGATCTCCTCGGCCTGGTCCTTGCGACCATAGCTGTCGTCAAGAATCTTGCGCTGCTCGGGGGTGCAGCGCTGGATAGCCTGGTTGACAAGCCACGAGCACTTGTTATCCTGGATATCAGTACCGACCTTTCCAATGACGAATGGGTCACCGAAGTTGTCAAGATAGTCGTCCTGGATTTGGAAGTATTGACCCAGAGGGATGAGGATGTCTTCTGCCTGCTTGAGGGTCTCAGGGGTGGCAAGTTCAAGATAAATAAGGGCCAGGGCAACAGGCAGGTAGAAGCTGTAGTAGGCGGTCTTGTAGGTGACGATGAACATGTACTTCTCCATGGAGAAGTTGTCGAGGTTAACGTTGTCCTCGGGGGCGGTGATCAGATCGCACAGCTGACCGAGCTCAGTCTGCCAGGTGGTCTCGTGGAAGAGCTCGACGAGGTCGATGTAGGCAGGGTGAGAGCGGAAGCGCTGCTTCAGGATCATGTAGATACCGGACTCCAACATGAAGGCGTCGTTGATGGCAATCAGACCAACCTTCTCCTGGCGGTACCAGCAGGGCTGGCCACGGCGGGTAATGGAGCCGTCCATAATATCGTCGCTGACAAGGAAGAATGCCTGGAGTAGCTCAGTCATCCAGCCAAGAATGCTGAGGTGCTCGAACTGCTCATCGGTCAGGGGCTTCTGCAGGAGAGCCAGACCAGTGTCGGGAACCGAGAGGCCGCGGTTCAGCTTGCCACCGGGGACGTTGACATTGAGAGACTATAGAATAGAGGCACGTTGTCAGTCACTGGACAAGAGAGTAAGATAAGGGAGGACCCTTACGTTCTCAAACCACTCAAGGGCATTGGCGGGGAGGTTGTAGCGCTTCGCATGGGCAAGGATATCCTTGGCCAAGGCAGGGAAGATGGCCTCAAAGTCGGCACGCTTGGTAGTTGTAGCCATTGTGAAAGGATGTTTACCTTGAGAAGTCAATGGGGGTACGAAGGAAATACAGAAAAACAGTCCGATTCCCCCGCGGAGAGCGGGAGAGGTGTTTGCAGTGTTTGTTTAAATCGCGTTGTTTCTCCAGGCGCAACTTGGATCCCTCAAGCTCACATCTTGGTGATTGCAGCTCCTTCATATCACCGGTCTGGCATTGTCTCATTGTTGCGGTATCATTGCTGAGCGGTTGCTTTATTCACGGTTACGCGCCTGAACCCAACACCTTTATTTACACGATTCAATCACGATCCAATTGCAGTGATAATCGGCTTCATATGATGAAAGGATGATATCGAATCACTCTGAAACCGCTTGAGTTATTTTGAATTCCGTTCGCGCCATACATTTACGAATCGAAATACACCTCAAAACGCCCCCACCTTGTTGCACCGGCGATACAAAGCATGGAGGAACCAACAGATGATGCCATTCGAGAGCTCAGGTGGCAGCTGGAAAGCGCAGCAATAAAATGTTCAGAGCGTTGTCTCTACCAATCGGCAAAATGGTATGAGTGGTAAACTCTATGTGAAGGGCCCAGAGAAACTAATGAAATTCATCTAGGGCCGCCGAAATGCTTGATTCTCTCCGAGATCTACATCATGAAGACACCGATATTGAGTCTCCGATGGACATCAATGATCTTGCGCCGCCCCCTACCAATCCTTACCTACCTGTGCGGGACCTAGCAGAAGATACTCTCGAAGCGCAGGAGTCCTACAAATACCTCCTGGCCAAATCCTACTTCGACACTCGCGAATATGACCGCTGTGCGGCCGTGTTCCTTCCTCCAACAACACCTCCCGTTCCTTTATCTGTCACGTCACCCAACTCCAAATCCAGACAACCACGGACCTCACAGAAAGGCAAGGATAAGGCATCTCCATTCCAAGGCTCGAAGGCCCAAACACACCAGAATCCCTATCCCAAACTCAGTCAAAAGTCACTCTTTCTTGCCCTCTATGCCAAGTATTTAGCCGGAGAAAAGCGAAGAGAGGAGGAAACGGAGATGGTCCTGGGCCCTGCAGACGGTGGGATGGCGGCCAATCGGGAATTGCCAGGTCTAGCGCGAGGACTGGATGGATGGTTGAAGGATCGAAGCGCACAAGGGCTGGAAGATCAAGGCCAAGGATGGTTGGAGTATCTTTACGCTGTTGTTCTGTTGAAAGGACGCAATGAGGAGCTAGCAAAGAAATGGCTTCTCCGTTGTGTGCATCAGAACCCATACCACTGGGGCGCTTGGCAGGAATTGAATGATCTCCTGGCCAGCACCGAGGATGTAAGTTTCTTTCATTGAAATATCCATCACCTTCTTACTAACATCAATTTCAGTTGAAACAAATACTTGGCTTGCTCCCGCAGAATGTCATGAGCATCATATTCTACGTCTACTGCAGCCAGGAGCTGTACCAGGATACAGATGAGACTTACAGAGCACTGACCGAATTGGAGTCCACGTTCCCGGAGAGCGCATTCCTAAAAACACAGCGCGCACTACTGTGTTATCATTCAAGAGGTAAGCCACTGACTTTCCGGACTGTAAATAATGTGCCTACTTTCTAACATGATACAACTAGACTTTGAGGAAGCATCCAAGATATTTGAAGGGATTCTGGCAACATCACCCCACCGCCTAGACAGTCTCGATCACTATTCAAATATTCTTTACGTGATGGACCATCGACCTCAACTTGCCTTTGTTGCTCAGGTCGCAACTGCTACAGACAAATTCCGCCCAGAAACGTGCTGTGTTGTCGGAAATTACTACTCATTGAAATCCGAGCACGAGAAGGCGGTCATGTACTTCAGACGTGCACTTACCCTTGATCGCAACTTCCTGTCCGCCTGGACCCTGATGGGCCATGAATACATCGAGATGAAAAATACGCACACCGCCATCGAATCATACCGTCGCGCTGTGGACGTCAATCGCAAGGACTACCGTGCCTGGTACGGTCTTGGACAAGCTTACGAGGTTTTGGATATGTCATTTTACGCCCTGTTCTACTATCAACGCGCTGCAGCACTACGTCCCTACGACCCAAAGATGTGGCAGGCAGTGGGCTCTTGCTATGCAAAAATGGGCCGGATGGAACAAAGTATTCAAGCTCTCAAGCGGGCACTGGTGGCCGGATCATCTAACGTAGATGATGGCGGCAACGCTGCAAGCTCTGGGTCTGGGTCTCGAAAGATCCTTGACCCAGAAACCCTTCACCAAATTGCAACATTGTACGAGCGACTTGGCGATGAGGATGAAGCCGCTGCTTACATGGAACTCACCCTACAACAAGAGTCAGGTGCTCCTCCTGGCGAGGAGAATAGCGACGAAGATTCCTCATCTTCAGAACAGGCTACCCAAAGCGATGCTGAAATCGAGCATTCAGAAGACGAAGACGTTGATACCCCTCGAAGACGCCACAAAAATCGCAAGGCCCGTGCTAAGACGGAGTCATTCGGTATTAACAATGATGACTCGATTAACAGTGAGTCGTGGCATGGAACTGGTGTCACTGCAACCACCTCGAAAGCACGACTATGGCTGGCACAGTTCGCATCAAGGAATGGCGACCTGGACCGTGCGGACCAATTGGCGAGCGAGTTATGTCAGGATGGCATCGAGGTGGAGGAGGCCAAGGCATTGATGAGAGATGTGCGGGCGAGAAGAGAAGACGCAAGCTAGTTCTCGATATGCTCCTCGCATGGGGACTAGTATTCATAAATAATATCTACGATTCTAATGCACCATATCTGATTTAGGGTCAAGTCGGCCTGCGTATCTTTAGATTTCATTACTTCAGCTAGGCGCGTAATCATGCATCGGTTATTGAGTGGGTGTTCCTGTATACAGCGACCACTGTACATTGAAGTTGAGTGTCCGTACACATTGCACATTCATGGCCGCATTATCAGCTTGGGACCGAAGAAGCGGAACGATCACTGAATAATTGCTTTAGTTCGGCATAACACAAGTTGCAAATATAGAGATACTGGCAAAAATCAGCAACGAGCGTGTCCAGAGATAAATTGAAACTGGGCCTAACTATTAGATGAGCTAACCAAGCGCCAATGTCTTACCAGATCATACAATAGGGGTCGGACTCATTGCGTATGCGAGGTTACAACAGGCCTGGCGGGTATACTGTACTGTATCGTACTTCACTTGGATGACGTGGGGGCCATGGTGCGCCATAACAATTCCAACCGGCTCCTATATGAAGGGCAGCGCACATTATAGTAAGTATAACATTGGCTTTTCAACGCTACATTCTAATATTTATAGTCTTTGTGCGCAGAAGTACATATGGTCTCGTGTACCGAGACAATTCAATGCTGATAGTGACATGAAGATCGCGATGGGCAAATCAGAATACATTCAGTACATCCGCAAAATTTTCTAGACCTTCGTGGTAACTTAAATATTCGTTTCTTTCCAGTCCCAAGATCAGATCCCTTCTTTTCTTCAAATCACGAAATGGGTCAAGACCCTGGGGGTATCGCATGGATCAGTGGATCGATGTCGAAAGATAAGGTCAATGTGTTTCTACGCAAACTTCTGGGTGGCATAAATCCAGATGGCTGCATTCCTAGTTCGGATTTCGAGATTTTCGAACAGTTTTTGAAGCACCTAAAGAATGAGTGGAACACTGCTTGCTCTATTGCCAGCAAGGAAATTGATCGACCGGTGAGATGCCCAATTATCCCAGAAGTATGCTAAAGCTACGGCTGATGGTCTTGAACATTTCTAGCGAACAAAGCAAATGAAGCAAAAGGGACGGCGCTCTGAGATCGTTGATGAGCTTTCTAACAATGCATCGATACGAATGAAGATCCGGAAATGTCTTCGTTCACACATTGACAAACTTAAATACGAGGTCAAGCTTGATCATCATCTCAAAGAAGAAGAAGAAGATCAAAGCAAGCCCATTGGAATAATTTATGACATTGTAACATCTGCCGTGAGAAGCCAAGATGACATGGAACAGGCTGTCCGGGATCTATTGCAGATGGTATGTTCGATGGCACATAACCCTTTTCCCTATAACAAAATCTAAGTCAATGGGAACTTGCTTGGATCCCAAAAAAGGAGGCCGCTAGTATCAAACGTCTTAGTTGGATTACAGTAAGCTCGAGGCCAAGATTGGAAGTGAAAAGGTGAAAGCAGTCATTCTTTATTCTGACTGGGTTTTTTTCCCGCTAGTTTGTTTTTCTTCCTCTAGTGTTTGCATCGGTGTGTTCTATGAGTCAGGTTTCATGAAGCCTAAGCTCAATCGATATGTTCTATGACCTGGGCCAATGGGTGCATACAGAGTCTATTTGGCATGAACGTGGATTTGCTCAAAGAAAATCCAGATTGGAGATGGTATATGCATATGCTTTCTGTGGCTCTTACTATTCTATGGATTTTGTCTAACTTTGTACTAGTATAGGCAATATCTCTATTTCGATGCTGACTACAATATTTATCGATGGACTTTGAGTGCATGGAGCAAACTTCGGGGAAGTTTATCACAGAAGAGAGATCAATCGCATTCGAACTATCCTGCTTGATAAAAAGGGGATGGATGCTCAACTTCCCTCAGCATGATTGACTATGTTGGATCGTTGATATACAAAACATCAAGTTTTCCACGGTGACCCTAGTTTCGAGATGTTTGGCGATAAAAAAATTGAATAAAACAAAAGAATAAAAAAGAATTCATCATGTAATTGGAAATTTGAACGAGCAAAAAGATAATCGTCAGCTAGAGGATTCGAACCTCTGCCCGCGAACGGAATTGATTTCTAGTCAATCGCCTTAACCACTCGGCCAAACTGACAGTGTATATTAGTACTCTGACAAAGTTGCCTACATAAACGAGAACACAATTCATAGTAGATATTGCATCCATCTTGGGAACTACTGATCGATCTAGGTTTTGTGTGCCCAAAGTACTGTTATTGATACTTGTTGAATTTGAAGTGCCTTTTTTCTGCAACCCTTTATTATCAGTAAGTCACATATATAATAGCTCACCAGGTTTTGTGCGCATGCCTGTCAATGAAGGAAGAATGTATTTTGGCAACAAATGCGCGGTCAATATATTTTACCAAAATTCATACAATTTATCCATCAGAGTCATATGGTATTTACTATATAATTACAAGATCATCTCTTCATCTTTGGCCGTTTTATCTTATCTTATTTTACAAAAAGGACAAAAGCTAGCGCATCTAAAGCGAAACCAGGTGACCAGGTGACTGACAAAAAAATTACATTGAACCTATCCGAAACAGGGATATATTGAGAACTTTGACAAAGAAACAAAAAAAGAATCGTCAGCTAGAGGATTCGAACCTCTGCCCGCGAACGGAATTGATTTCTAGTCAATCGCCTTAACCACTCGGCCAAACTGACTTCTGATTGGTTGATGAACTACTACCGGCCATGATGTCTCAGAGACAGCACACAGCGTAAATTCAGACTCAAACCAATCAATGGCTTGCCTAGGGGCGTCAAACATAGACTGACCGTACGTAGAGTCAATTTTTATAAAAGTCACTTTATGACATTTCCCTGCCGACTGATCAATGATGATCTTGATCTTGATTAAATCAAGAGACTTTCTTTGCCCCTGCCACAGAATGTCGGTCCGTAAGGATAGCATAATGGGCAAATGCGCAAGTGGGAGACCCAGGTAGGATACAACAGTGCCATTCATTCAGGCAACTAACAATTGATATCTCTCGTCTATACCTCCAAAGCCAAGACAAAGGCCGAGTAGCCCAGACGGCTCGGGTAGTAGCTTTTCAATGTAAAAATCTGTATCGTTCACCTCCGTACCGCCTGACACCTCCCGACCAAGTCAGCAAATTTGCTGTTTAACGTGCAACATCCTAATGATCGGACTAGAGCCTTATTGCCGGCTTGTCCGGGTTATCATTGATCGCCAATGGCTATCTTCATCCATACTAGCGCCAATGTATATCTCCACTCGATTGCCAAAGCCAGCTTACGCGGACGACACGCGACGCCTATTAGGGATATTATATTTTATTTTCGGACAGTACCCCCTCAAACAAGTTACAAGATATAGAATGTTGTACGAATGTAGGAATAACAACAAAAATACCCTTTATTTCCCTGAACACGGTCACTTTAACATGTTATAGCCGACACAAGTTGTCGCGGCCCGGCTCCACAGATGGAGAACACCTACAACGCCAAGACGATATAGCAATTATAAGCATCAAAATCAGATGAAATAAGTCCGGGGACGCGCAGCCTTGCCTCTAGTCCCACTGAAGAAAAATATAGAATCTCACCATCATCTCGCAAAGTGATGTTTTCCTCTCATCCCACACTTAGCAACCTAATATGCTACCCCGGCACACGGTACTTCTACACTTTTTGTCATTCTTACTCTTCTTAGCATTCACAAATGCGGATATAAAGCCCTACTACCGTTCCAGCAGCTATGACCGCGAACACTACGGCGCATGGCCCCTACAGAACTACCACTCATCATCACTCTCCGGCCCAATTTTGAACTACTGGCATCGCAGTCGAGCCTGTGAAGATGGGGGATATACACTTATCGCCCCGCGTGGTGATTCAGTTAGACACAAAGGGCCGATGATGCTAGATCAAAATGGAGATCTAGTTTGGTTCAAGGAATACGGAACGACGTACAATCTGAATATCCACACTTTTCGCGGGGAAGATTATCTAACGTTCTGGACTGGAAATGATGGGATTCGTGGACATGGTAATGGAGTTTACTACATGGTGAGTGGATTACATGGTCCATCAAGCACATCTGCTGACGATACTAGCTCAATTCGCGCTACGAGGAAACATACAAAGTCCGCGGTGTCAATGGCCTCCCTGCAGACCTGCATGAATTTAACATCACACCCGACGAAACGGCTGTTTTCGCTGTATATGAAACCCGGCCCGCAGACTTGCGTGTTGTCGGTGGTCCCGAGAACGGGTGGATTTTCGACGGCGTCTTCCAAGAAGTCGATATTGAGACGAACGAGCTCTTGTTCCAATGGCGCGCATCCGAGCATTTCAACCTGGATGATGGTTACCGCGGAACTGAAGGCAATGGAAACTCAGAGGATGCCCCATGGGACTTTTTCCATATCAACAGCATTGACAAGGATGCACGAGGCAACTTCTTAATTTCCTCACGGTATATGGGCTGTCTCACTTATATAGACGGAAAGACCGGCGATGTAATCTGGAGATTTGGTGGAAAGCACAATTCTTTCGCTGATCTATCAGATGGCGCGGCGACGAATATCAGCTGGCAGCATCATGCTCGGTTCCGGGACGACGATCCAGACGCAGACTCGGAGTCAGACGATTACCCGAAGCGAGCAATTACTATTTTCGACAACTCATCTCGAGGAAAAGGTGCCCCGGAGAACAGAAGTCGTGGATTATTTGTCGATATCGATGAAAGAAATCTCACAGCTAGTGTCAGACATGAGTACTGGAATCCACTGCCCATCAGTAGCCAGTCACAGGGTTCAGTGCAGATCCTCGACAATGGAAACGTGCTACTTGGATATGGCTTCGACGCAGCGTGGACAGAGTTCTCCATGGACGGAGAAGTGCTATGTGACGTCCATTTCGGACCTTCTGGCGGTTTTGGTGATGGAAACATCATTTCGTACCGCGTCTTCAAACATCACTGGGTTGGAAGACCGACTTCATCCCCTGATGCAGCATTCGCAGAGACATATGTCGCAGTCAGCTGGAATGGAGCTACGGAGGTGAAGAGCTGGGTACTGGAGGGATCTGTTGATACAAGGAATGGAACTGATGGGGATGAGTTCAATGATTGGAAGATACAGCACCCTGAGCATCTTGAAGATTTTGTGTTCATCTCTGCTGTTCCCAAGTCTGGATTTGAGACTGTTGTCCCCGTTCCTTCGGATATGCCATACCGAACCCTGCGTGTTGTTGCGCTTGGGGATGAAGGTAAATTCTTGGGTATGACTGCTACCGTGGAATGGAAACCTGAGGAATTTAGCAAGGAGATCTTGGTTGTTCATGGTGATGAGGATGATCTTATGACCGAGTCTGGTATTGGGGACTTTTTTATGTTTGTACTTGGGTTTATATCTGCTGCGTTTGTTGTGTTATGCGCATGGCTCATCAGGACTCGTGTCCAGAGTGTTTCATTTGGACGAATCTTCAGAAAAAGGACCGAAAAAGAGGCCCAACATGAGGAGTGGATGTCTCTCAGTACTCAGGAGCTGAACGAGCTGGACGAGTTGAGTGATTTGGAGGCTGGAGACCAGCCCGAGTCTCACCTCTTGCAAGAAGGAGACAAACATGGTATACTGTGATCTCCGAAAACAAGTTAATCTATACAAATTGGCCACTATATATGTTTCGAGGCTAAGGGTTTGGATTTGATTCATCAATCCGACATTCAGAACTACCAAAACCTCCTGTTATGCAATGCAATGCAACCAAAACCCAGCCAGGCTGGATATCGCTAGGAAAAAAGCAATCAAAGGCACTTTTAAAGCTGGAATGCTAAGTCGTAGTAGCTGTTCCCTCAATCCCACTTATAATAGTCTGCGAAAAGCCCTCAAATCGGGGATAGGACCAACAGTCCCGGTATCGTTCAACGAGGGGCCGGTCATCAGGTTCAGCAGTTTCTTGTGGTTGAGCATTTTGTGCTTCGCTTTCCTCATCATCACTATCCCCAGCTTCCATCTTTCCTTCGACCAACTCCCCAAATTTCACGTCAATGGGCACACTGCCCATGAACGGAATTTTGAGTTCCTCAGCCATGATCTGTCCACCACCGCTGGAGAACAAGTTGCTCACCTCTCCACAGCACGGACAAGCATAACCGGACATATTCTCAATAACCCCAAGAACAGGAATATTTGTCTTAACACAGAAATTAGCCTCTTTGCGCACATCGGATGTCGCAACAGCCTGCGGTGTCGTAACAAGCACCGCGCCAGCCAAACGGGGCAGTCCAGTCTGTGCAGCTGCCGAGGCGTCCGTTGTAGAGAGGGAAAGCAATTGCTCAGCGAGCGCAATATGTTCGTCACTTGTTCCGGGTGGTGTATCAATGAGCAGGTAATCAGTCGGCCCCCAGAATACATCCGACAAGAACTGGCGAATCATAGCGGTTTTCTTAGGTCCACGCCAGATGACAGCATCGCCGCGGTCGCGAAGTAGGAAACCGAGGGACATGCAGCGGAGGGATCCGCGCGGGGTTTTTGTTGGTTCTGAGGCGTCACCGGCAATTTGGGCGGGGTGCACTGGGACTGGGAGCCAGCCACCTGGTGCTTGTGTGATTTTGGCATCTTCCAGGCCGACTAGTCGTGGCATTGAGGGTCCTGTTAGGTCGATATCGAGGATTCCGACCGATTTGCCTTGAAGGGATAGCGCGAGGGCTAGTTGAAGAGTTACGGATGATTTGCCGACGCCTCCTTTGCCGGAGAGGACCTGACGTGAGACATAATTGTCAGTTGAGTTTCGTAGAAGCGCGTTCGTGATCTTCGTTGCGGTGATTGTTATCGATAAGCTGCGAGGGGTGGTATTTTTTGCCCCTCGATTGATCGCACAGTAAAATGGAAGTTGCACTTACCAGCACAACATTTTTGACACCAGTCAGAGGCATGATGTAGTTAATGAACAATTGGGAGAAGATGCGAAAGTGCAATGGAAATCTGAGGTGGGGAGCCGACCTCGGGATGCGCTTATCAATCGCATTCTGACTAAAGCAGCAGAGATTCTATGGAAATCTTGGAATGCCGACAACTACAGAAAGATTTGTTTTGCCACTTATTTGTATTGAGACTTGATCATAGCCAAGCCATCTAGATATTATGCCTCCCTGTGTATCAGATATGTCATAAAACGTTTACCCATGTGTCCCATTTTCCTGGTATTCGCTTTTGAAACCATTCCGACGAAGCAAAGTCAGGATGTTGATTGCGCTCACTGCCACTTCTGAACGACGACACCTCCGCGCTTGAACTCGGGCATATCACCGAGAACTACCTCCCGGTCCTTCAACTCTGTGCTGGGGAAAGTAGTCATCAAAACCCATGCGCGATTTGCGGTGCTGGGCGAAGAGGCAGAAACGAATGAGTAGACGTCGCCGATAGTGGCGGTAGTGTTGAACCGAGATGTCAACCTCGTACCATCTCCCAGGCGGATTTGTAGGGTGACAGTGGGCTGTGACTCATCCACAGTGGGTTTGGCAGGCTCCTGGGCAGATGCTTCAGGCGTAGAAGAAGAAGGGGTGGGGGCTTGGCTCCGAATGCCAGGCGTCGGACTTCCAAGGCGCTGTCCAGCACCAGAAAACGGCTTGTACTTTGGTTTGGGCTTGATGTACTTCTCCTCGTGCTGTTTGAGTTCCACATCAACCTCCTGGCCAGGCTCAACATTCATGATGGAGAGAGGAGCACGACCCTGCCGGATGCCATCGAGGATCTCTGCATTCCGGGGATCGTCTGAGCGGAAAAGTTCACCGTCATCGACCGAGAACCCATCGGCCCAGAAGTGAAGGGTGCGCTGAACACGCTGGGCGCGCTGTGGAGCAGGTACAGATGGGTTTTCAATCACTCGACTCGGCGCATCGTCACCACCAAGCGTGCGGGCAGTGCCAGTGAAATGTGATTCACTCGGCTCGGGGTCATCAGAAGGAGCTGGTTGCGCCCTATTAATAAAAATTTTAACATTAGTATGATTCAAATCCCAATAATCCTAGATGACTTACCTGCGGGCCTTTTCGAGGATCTTCTTCTTCAAGTCATCAGGGTTCTGAACGGCCAATCCCGACTTCTCGCCTCCGGCAAAGAAATCTTGATCATTGTCATCATCGTCATCTGAGGAATCGGCAGCTGCTCCCTGGGAAAAGTCTCCTAGAGTTGCGAATTTCTTTTTCGGCGCAGCGCTTCGAGTGGACGACGAAGGCTCCGCGGCGGCAGATGAAGCTGGCACAGCACCTCCACCAAGGGTTCTCCCTCCAGGAGCTCCAGATGAACTCTCTGCACCCACTTGTTGACCACCACCAGTGTTTGTGTTTTGCATGGCCTCATCCTGTTCGGCGAAGAACTCCGTCACGGCGGCTTCCATGTCCCATCCGTTGGCAGCGAGATATTCCTGAGCCTGAAGAACCACACGCCTGACGTTAGCAACTGTTGTAGCCGGTAAAGAGAGGACACACATCTTACCTCTGCGGGTTGGGTTCCTGTCATGGCACAGAATTGAGACACGACCTCATCGTGCTCTGCGGGGTTGCCCTCCATTTTGAGCTTTATAGATGTGTGTTGCGGGTGCGTTTGGCACGGAGAAGTGAAGAAAAGATCAAAAGAAGAAGAAAGGAGCTTCTTGAAAGCGAGTAATGGAAAAAGGCAAATGTTGAGAGTGTCGACGTCGAGTTAGAAGACAGACCTAAACACCGGCTGACCAATTGAGAGTGACGTACCTGCCCGGCGCTAGGAATGTTCCGTCCCGTGATTATCGCCTGAGGCTCAAATCCAATTCTGTCTCAGACAGAAATACATATACAACTCGCGCTTGGGATTTATTTTAAATGTCTTATGCTATGTGCTTGGTAATAATAGAAAATATTAATGAATCTCAAGAAATGATTCTTAGCGTACTGACGAAAACATACCCCGGAACTTACATCAAAAGTACTAAGTCTGACAATGCATAGAACGAGCCCCCCCCCCAAGGGAGATCAAAAATGCAACATTCAGCCCATAGATAGCGAGAAGAACCCAAAAATAAGAGGTCACAAAGGCGGGAAATTTGGGCAAATGTTGAGGTCTTCTGCTCAATCGAATATCATTGACGGGCTTCGATATAAAGCTTTGAAACAGAGTGAAGCTCTTGTGATGAAAAGAATCGATGTTATTCCAAAAGTTTTTAAAAGAAGAAAGCAACTGAGAGAAAACCGAGAAAAAATGCTAGCCCAATTAGAAAGAGGTGATATGCTTTTATAAAAGAAAAATCGCAGCTAGGCCTGAACAAAGACTCGCTATACAAGATCAGGGGCTTCGGATATCTGAGAGCCACAAAAATCCAATTCCCATGAGGAATCTGGCTATTGGTATAAATCTTTGGCATGTCCCGAGTTGATTACTGCATGAGCCAACATGAAAGGGAAAGGTATTAGGTCAACTGCATGGACGAGGCATTTCTGACTACCGGAATTGGTGTCGAAGAAGAAAGAACTCGGAGTATTTTCTTTTTTTGTATATAGATTTTGTTTTATCTGTTACTTTAAACCAGAAACTGTGATATAAAGCCCAACAATATAATAGATCAACAACAACTAGAATCTAGTAATCTGAATAATATACTACCTATTACGGATCAACAACGAGAATGAATAGCAAGTATAGAGCGGGATAGTTATGCTATGATAGATGAAATAGGATGGAAATAAAAACAATTGGCTAAAGCTGTATATCCATTACTTGAAGATAAATATTCTGGAATATGAATACGTATACGTGGAGTATTAGATACTATATTTTCAGAGGAAACGATAGCACATGATGATACTTTTGAGTGTACATTAACTACAAATTTAGAAACAAATGAGCAAGAATGAAAAAAGTTTTACGTTCACCAGAAACTATAAATAATCCTACACGTATATCTCTAAAAGATATAGAATTTAATATAATACAAAGTGTTTTATGATAGTGATAGTTTTTTAGATGAGGAAGACTTAGGATCAGATAGTGTAAGAGATGAGGAAGACTTAGAATCAAATAGTGTTGAAGATTCTAGAGTGAATGAAAGTTCATGATCCACTAAATACGAAATTGAAAGGGCGTTGCCCGCCAGACCCCTCCTGAACCCGATGACCCAACCGCCATATCCAATTAATGTGCAACCCAATCCTCAACCATCCTTGAGACGACCGCCTGCCGGGGTAAATATATCCCCAGCAGTACAGAATAACATGCCACCACCGGCCCGGGGCGTTCCGTGATTTGTTTTCTTTTTCTTTTCAGTTTTTTATCGGGGTTTCTGTTGATTTATAAACAGTTGGTTGTTGCAATACTGAGAGTAATTTTATTTGAAATAATTTTATCCTTAATATTCATCCACCTGCGGGAGAACAGGCAGGTGTGAAAAGGAATGGCCATGGGAGTATGACTCTCAGAAAGTCGTACGTGTGCAGTAAGATATCCCGCTTGAATACAAAATACGATTCTACGATTAATGACATGTGCTCTACACGAGCCTGAAAGGTCTTTCTGCTTTGCTGTCGTTATGTTTCTTTTCCTTGTCTTGATTGATAGGCTCAATAATATTCCTCAAAGCGTGACTCCACATATCACGAACCTCCCTTCATAGGGTGTATTGGAAGCCAGGAAGTCCCTCGATAGCAATTCTCCCCTGTTGCGCCTTTCCATTCGCCTTATGGAAATACAAAGTTAACATGACGGCTAAAGCTATAATCAAAAAGTTTAATCTATCGACGCATTAGAAGAACTGAAGGACCCAATCAATGTGGCACTCACGCAATCGATGTGATCACACCGGGGAAAAATGTCGGTGCATCCTGAGACCGATACACGACAGCCCCAATGATGCCGCCAGTACCACCGCAGGTAATCATACTAGCACTGCAAAAGGCACGTTTCCATTGCCCGCGAATATTGTTTGCTTGCCAAGCGAGGACCGCTGGTATATTAGCGTTCGAGCCTGATGCGACGAGAAAGATGCCGAAGTATTGGACTCCCGGCGACGCAACCCATTCCAGAAGACACAAACCAAGAATTGTCTGTAATGAATTATAAATAATTATGGGGCTTCGGAGATGCCACTTATCACCGAGCCATCCTTCCACGTACATAACAACACCGGCGAAGAAGTATGGAGGTGTGCTGAGGGCCTGGGAAGCACCAACGCCAAAGCCTAGCTTACTGGACAAGATAATGGGCAAGAAAAATGCGATGGCATAAGAGACCACCGTGCTGCATCTTGATTTTGCAAAAAAGGTCAGTGAGATGCTCGTAAAATAAAAGTGGTTAAAAAAGAAAGGAACTTGACCAACAAGAAGATGATAGCAAATCCCCAAACCTTCCACTCAAGGGCAGGCTTCATAAAAGCAGAGAGAGTAAATGGTTCCTCTTCAACATCCTGTCGATCTTGTTCAATGCGCCAAAGGACAAACTCAATCTCCCGAGATGAAAGGAAGTTGCGAGACTTTTGCACATCTTGTGGAAAGCTGACCAGGAGGAGAAACCCAACCACCGCTAAAACGCAGGTAAGTATACCCTCCATGATGAAGATCCATTTCCAGGCAGCGAGCCCCGCAAGGCCGGCCATTTGCATAAAGCCATAGGCAAGTACGCCCGACAGGGATCCACCGATGACACTGATCAGATAGAATGAGGAGTAGCGCTTGTGCACCTCATCTTTTTTTGCATCAGCTTGAATTTTCCATCGGCCAAGCGGCGTACTTACAGCGTGTATACCACAGGGAAAGGAGATATATAGCTCCGGGAAATAGGCCTGCTTCAAATGCTCCCAAGATAACGCGTAGCCCTAGCATTACTTTCCAGTCGTGGACAAATCCAAAACCCTTCTGCCGTCAATTTCTTAAATACCTTGAATTGCTGCACTTGAAAGTGGACCTACTATCATCACCACACCCCAGGCAAAAGTTATACCTGCCAGAAATTTTCGTGCACCGACTTTGCGGACCACAATGGAACTAGGAAATTGAACAATCACATATGGGATGAAGAAAATCAAGAGCACAATGGACTAGAAGATCAGCTTTGATATAAGCGGTAAACCCAAATTACTCACATATCGAGCGCCAACATTCAATTTCAGCTCTTGTTGCATCCTGCCAAGAGTTAGTGGGCTTCTTCACTGGTAATGCCGAGTTCTTACCCTGCGATCGAAGCATTTCCGAGATTAGTTCGATCCATCAAGCTCACTCCAAACAATATTCCCAGACCGGTGATAAGTCGCCGGTCGATTTTGTGAATAATGCTGCGCTGCTCACTTGGGGTGAAGCCGAAATCATCTCCCGTTGTCTCTGCCTGTTTTGTGGTATCTTTAGGCTCCATCTTGGGCGATCAAAGTTCAATCATTGAAACAATCTACCAGCTAACAATACCAGGGGTTATATCTCATCCTCGGCACTTTTACTTCGGCGAATCTTCATACAAAATCCGGGGTAAACGCGGGGAGCCGAGACAGATTTGGCACGTTCGGTAATTTCGGCGACTATACCGAGATGGCGCCAGAAGCTCGGTGATTCCACCATTTGGCATTTTGTACATAAATATTTGCTCCATTTGATTGATGAGCTGAAGTTTAAGCAAACAGACTCGAATCCCTCTTGCTTTCATCATGACTGATTTTGACAACGCCTCCCGTGGTTACATCGGCACTTTAGAGCCCGGTGTCATCAAAACCCAAGCTGGCCAGCTTGCCTGGGACAACAGTGAATATGACTTCGTGCAAAGAGGCAACTGCCCAGAGAGTGTTCATCCGAAACTATGGCGACAGGCTCAGCTCTGCACCAAACACGGCCTCTTTGAGGTGGCACCGGGTGTCTACCAAGTGCGCGGATTCGACCTGTCAAACATGACACTAGCTGAAGGCCAAAAAGGAGTGATAATTATCGATCCTCTGATCTCGAATGAATGTGCTGCTGCTGCCTTCTCACTTTACAAGAAGCATCGCGGTGAACGACCACTCACCGGGTTGATCTACTCACACTCTCATGTGGATCACTTCGGCGGTGCCCGAGGTGTCTTAGCAGAGGGAATGGAAAATGAAATCCCAATCGTCGCACCAGAAGGCTTTATGGAAGAAGCAACAAGCGAGAATATCTATGTCGGCACAGCCATGCGACGCAGAGCGAGATTTATGTATGGATCAAGCTTGCCGCGGAATCCGGAAGGGCAAGTTGGATGTGGACTCGGCATGGCAACATCGCAAGGAACGACTTCATTGATCCCACCAAATATGCTCATCGCAACCACTGGCGAGGAGCGGGTGATTGATGGCGTCCGCATCGAGTTTCAGATCGTCTCGGGCACCGAAGCTCCTTCGGAGTTCAACTTTTATTTCCCTGACAGCAAATCGCTTTATATCTCCGAATGCGCAACTCACTGTATGCACAATATCATTACCCTTCGTGGTGCTCTTGTTCGAGACTCCAAGGCCTGGTCGCAAGGTCTCGACGAAAGTCTGGTTCTGTTCGGTGACCGAGCGGCAGTGTTGTTCGCCGGACATCACTGGCCGACGTGGGGCCAACGGGATATTGCTCGCTTGCTTGTTGAACAGCGTGATATGTATGCTTTCATGCACGATCAAACTGTTCGTCTCATGAATGAAGGACTCACTGGCGTTGAAATTGCCGAGAAGCTGAGCCTTCCCCCGACTCTTGATAAGGCCTGGCATATTCAAGGGTACTACGGTTCTCTCAGTCATAACATCAAAGCCATATACCAGCGTTATATGACTTGGTTCGATGGAAACCCGGTGAATTTGTGGAGGCACACCCCGACTGAAGAAGGAAAGCGATATGTTGCTTGTATGGGTGGTGGAGATAAGACGGTGGCATTGGGAAACGAATATGCCGCAAAGGGAGATCTTCGATTTGCAGCAACCCTTCTTGGTCACGTTATCGCCGCAGAGCCAAAACATCCTCAAGGGCGCAAGTCCCTCAGCGCCGTCTTCACGAAGCTTGGCCACGGAGCAGTCAATGCGACCTGGCGGAACTTTTACCTGACCGGGGCAATGGATCTTGAACAAGACGCAACTCCAGCTCTGCCCCCAGGAGGCAAAGTACCAGGCCTCAATCCACTGATGAGCGTGGATCAATGGCTGAGTGGGATCTCTGTTCAAATTGACGGACCCCGTGCAGCTAGCGAGAATGTTGTCATTGACATCAAGCTCACTGACCAGGGCCAGACTTGGCGCTTGACTTTGAGCAATGGTGCTTTGACATACCGAGTGGCGTCTGATGATACGCCTATCACTGGAGGGGCGGGCCTACATTTGACGGCTACCAAGGAAGAGATGGGACAGTTGCTACTGGCCCGGATGAAACCCGAGTCTAAGGCCTTTAAGGGTGATATCAAGCTGTTTAATAGATTGTTGCAATATTTGCCGTGGGCAAATAGCTTGGAGAGCCGACTTTAGACATACACTAAGGTCATGAATCTTCTTACATAGATGAATGAAGCATGAGGTCATTTTTATACGAAACACTCAAAGAGAGTAGACCATTTACTGCATCAATTGTGTACTAGCTTAGTATCTTGTTTTCTCCTTTTCCGTCGCCCGTTTTGCATTGGCTTGGATGAATCAGGTGTTGGCGTAAAAAGAGAATTATAGCTCCTGGTCTACTACGAAAAGAACTATATTTTCAGATTTCTAAAACAGAAGTAATATCATTTGAAGCCTTCAATATACATAATACAAAGAAAGAAAGAAAGAAAGCGTTCCCATCATGGGATTTTGCAGAAGCGTGATCGAATTGCACTACTTTCATCAAAACCTTCATCAAACAAGAGAAGCTTCCACGTATCCGAGCTGGTATTGATCAAATATCCAATTTAGCTCATCACCCCCTAGATCGGGGATATTTTCAAATGCAAACCTGTCCCCCGAGTCCTCGAAAACCTCATCAATCAACCCCATGCGCGGGCTTAAAGACGGCGGAAATGGAAACAGTGCCCTCATAACACCCGAGCTCTGGTGGCACGGCCACGACTCATTGATCCTGTCATCTTCCTGTTGAGAATAGATACCCTGATTTTGTAACTTAGGCTTCATCGACTCAACGGTAGACAAGCGCTCAATGATGTCCAGTAAAGTCTTGGCAGGAGGCCATTTCAGGCCCATGTATCGCAACGCAGTCATCAAGATATGTAACTCTTCAGTACAGAGTGCATCTTGTCCTGAATTACTTGTCTTTTCTTGAATCTGTGGGGCACATCCAACCATCAAAAACCAATTGTTAATTGGCATCAAATAATTGATTTCATCCCGCAGAAAGATCTCTTCGTATATTCGCGCAATACAGGATGATGCAACCAATGAGGCATTTGAAGAAACTGATCGTGTGATGCAATGTCCGAATAAGCGACAAAAGACCACGATACAGACGAAGTAGTTGATATGTAATTCGTGAACATCGCGCCGGAATGGATGGCGCTCGGTATCATCGTAGAGGCGTAACTCTTCTGGTAAATTGTTGATCCATTGCTGCAAGGATTGAAGGATATTTGTTGTCTAGGGAAAATAAATGTTAGAAATTTCCTGCAATTTTATTGGCCTGTTGATGGGACTTCCATTCACCTTATCCAGTGCGTGTTCACCTTTCTGGGTGTGACAGTCCACTATCCTGCCAAGGATGATATTCAGGTTCATATACTCAATGAAAAATTTGGCCTGAGTGTTTTGGTCCTCAAAGTCTGAGAGCTGCACAGGCTGCACATCAAATTCTGGATCTACAATGGCCGAGGGACGTCCAAAGCAAGCACTCTGAAGCTTGTCTTGTATCTAACAAATCAATAAGTTACCACCAAAGAAAAAGCCTGGTGATATCACTTACAGATAATGTCCATATGATCCGGCGGGCATTTCCGGGGGTTTCCAGCGTTGAATAGGTTGACTCGCGATGGAGACCCATCTGATAAGCCAGTCGTGTTGCCATTCCCAACCATTGATACGCACTTTCCAAGCTAAGAACTCTCGGAGGCGTTATGTTTCTGAAAGACAGAAGGCATAAAGCCTTCAAAACTTGATGATGATCGGCTTCGTGATTTGCGAAGAGAAGCGCCTTGGCTTTGCAGTAGTACTCATCGCTCTCTTCAAGGGGTGACTGTATCCCAGGATGTCGCAGAATAGATCCCATCAAACAAAGCGTTTGACAGATCAAATCGGAAGGTTGCTCTCGGAAGAGATCACTGCGATCAATCACTGGAGCACGTTGATACAGGTGCTGGAAGTAGGTGTCGGCAAGCGCTTGTACCTTGACTCTTGGTGGTAACGTTGTCGCATCCATCCCTTTGAGTAGCTCCCTTGAGAACCGTGCCCTAGTAGTCCCTTCTATTTGCGGGACTGGATACTCATTATGGGTAACTAATGGGTCCATGAAAGACTGGTCGCCCACATAGGCTTGTGTTTCAGGAGTTGTGACAGCTGTCGAATGGTCGCTCTGGGTCCCCTGATATGGGGATGCAGGGGTGGGATGCAGATTAATATTGGTCAACATAGCCCTGTCTTCCACATTTTGAGAACTAGATAGTGAGACTTCTTCTGTGAAGTGACTCCTCCTGGGTGAGTAATTCTTCCGACGACGGGCTCTACCATAATGATTAGGTCTAGCGAGAGTTCAGGATTCCTTAGTTCACTGACCTACAGACCTGTCGACGTCTTCTGCAGTTACTGCATGAGTCCCCCGTTCGCTCCTCTAGATCGCATCTCACCTAAGGTCTAATTAGCGCTTGTCCGGTCCCCGGGTTTTGGAGGATCATGTCCTACCTTTCTGGAATGGCAATGCGAGCAAACAATTCTTGCGCGATCCAATTGTTTCTGAATTGCTTGCATTGGTGTAATATCTGTCAAGTTTCTCCAGTCAACAGGGTAAATTTTCCTGCACGTCGAGATATCCCGTCTTTTCCCCGCAGCACGCAAGCCGAGGCCAGACTGGAATGGGCTAACGGTGGGCCCCGACGCTTACTTTATCCACATTGATCTGTGCTTTATCTCGGCACTTGGGTAGTCAAACCGCAGGTAGAGCCAGATATATCTTTAAGCGTAATTGTTATATCTGTTGCCAAGAAGAAAAAAACCTACACTAATATGCTTGCTAGTCATATCAACGACATGAACTTCATACTAGTACTACTTCGCTTACTGGGTCTTTTCTGCGGTATAATCTAGGCATTGGGCCCGAATATTCTGTCTATGGTAGCTTCTAGGCTGATCTCAACACTAAATAAGCGCATTAACTTGCTGAAGTCAACTATTTAAGAATCGCAGAATTTTTCAATATCCGGCTATTCACGAAGTCAATTAATGCTAGGCCTCGGGACTACCTCCAGCCTGACATCATATTCCCTGCAGAACCGTCAACCTTATCTCTCCGCATTTCGGGTATTCTTCATGGATCCCGGCTTTCTTTGCGAGTTAGAAGGTAAAAGACGTCAGAGACAAAGCCTATAGATTAGTGGATTGGCATCGATACAAGCTATTTAGAGTGAGCCGTCGAAGGATCGCCAGCGGGGGTGGCTCTAGGTTCCTGTTGAATCTACTTTGCCATATATCTGTCCTGTCCTCAGTTTGGTTCTGTGATAAAATACACTCAAACCTGTCTTTTCTTTGATATCATGTTGAATAAAATCGTTGTCAATGCGTACAATCTATGGGTCGTGGTATTCGTCGCCATTGGCACGATTGCCAGTGCCTACGGTCTAGCCATCATCGGATCCACCGTCGGACAACCAAATTTCTACATCTACTTCAATCTACCAGCAGAAGGCCAATCAGGATATGCTCACACAACGAACATGATTGGTGCCTTGAACGGCATCAATTCAGCAGGAGCAATTGTCGGATGTCTTCTTCAGGCGTGGACAGCAGACTACTACGGTCGCAAGCATACCATACAAATTGGCTGCGTAGTCTTGATTATTGGAGGTGCATTATGTGCAGGCGCAGTCAACATGGCCATGTTTCTTGCTGGCCGATTCATCGCTGGTGTTGGTGCTGCCATCCTCGCCTGCATCGTTCCTATATATCAAGCTGAGGTTTCGACCGCCGAGACTCGAGGCGCAATGGTCGCTGTGACGGGAATTATGTATGCTGTTGGATATACTCTAGCTGGGTGGCTTGGGTTTGCATGCTACTATATGAAAGCAACTAGTCCTGCGGCGTCATTTTCTTGGAGATTTCCATTAGCATTCCAAGTGATATTTCCTCTGATTGTTCTTGCTGGAAGTTCCCTGATACCTTTTTCGCCCCGGTGGCTACTGCAACAAGGAAAAGCAGAAGACGCCTCTGAAATCGTGAAGCGACTCCATAGTACGCCAGATGATGTCCACCACGCCAAGGCCAAGCAGGAATTCGATCTCATTGCAAGACAATTTGAACACGACAGATCAATGACTATCCGTCGATTTGAACTCTTCCGCACTCCTGCCAATCGACGGCGCGCTTTGATTGCTTTCATACTAATGTGGGGAGACCAATTTCTTGGTGTGTTTGTCATGACAAACTATGGTGTTCTTATATACGCCAGCCTTGGTCTCGGTGGCTCAATACCTCTTCTTCTGAACGCTTGCTGGACGAGTTTTACTCTAATTGGAAACACATGGACGGCCTTCTATGTTGATCGAGTTGGTCGACGAAACTGTTTGCTTATCGGTTCCATCGGTTGTACCGTGTCTGTCATGTGTCTTTGCGCCCTGACAGCCCAGTATCTGGGAACAGATAATATTGTAGGTCTTCGGGGAGCAGTGTTTTTTGTGTTTTTCTTCATCTTCTGGTGGTGCTTTTTCATCGATGCGACGCAATACATCTATGTCGCAGAGATATTTCCAAATCATTTACGTTCGCAAGGCGTCGCGCTCGGGCTCAGCAGTTTCTATCTCGCTTCTGAGGTCACACTGGTGGCCGCCCCCGTGGCTCTCAACAGTATTGCTTGGAAGTTCTACCTTGTGCTCATCGTTCCGTCTCTTTGCTATATCTTGGCAATCTACTTTCTGTTCCCAGAAACGAAGGGCCGGACTTTGGAGGAAATTGGTGCCCTCTTTGGTGATGAGGCTAATGTTGTGTCTCAGTGGTACAATGTTACCCAGTTAGATCGGGAAAGAATTGCACAGGAAACTTTTCATGAGAAGAAAGGTGGCTCTCCTAGTGATAGCGCACAGGAGAGTGACGCCAAGCCAGCCGTTGTTCATGAAGAAGGATTGTGATTCAGATAGATCGAGAATGACATCTAGCTTGACATCATATTTCTGACAGCCGCCCCGATCTTATATGCCTGCACGATCTAAGTATTCATAGACTTTCCGACTTTCTTCGCGAGTTACAAGATGAAAAGTGGGAGAAAGGAGGCCTATATATTTGACCAACAACCGGTGGAACACAGAACGTAGATATAGGGTACGTAACAGCGCACAATCCATATCATGATGCGCTCCCCACATATTCGGGAGCCTATCTATCATCTTATAATCAAAATTGTTCAATGTACTACTTATATATAACTGAGTGGATAAAGCCGATTTCATCGTATAGCCGCGATGCGGCTCAGTTAAGTCCGGTGGAAATTCCGATTTCAAAGTTTGCACCAACCAATCAGATATCGTATGATGATCTACTACCAGCACGCGCCTTACCGTATCAGGCTAGCGTATTGTCATCATGGTTCTATCCTTTTCTTACGGACTTAAGGGATGACAGCACCTCTGAGTATATAAATGTAGTAGACTCTCCTTTTCTGTCCTGTTTGTGTCACATCCAGATCATTCGACTCTTCACAACCCTCGAAACACTACTCAAAATGCATCTCATCCTTACTGGTGCCACCGGCCTGGTCGGCTCGTCTGTCCTTGATGCGATGCTCAAAAACACCACCATCTCCAAGATCTCAATTCTCAGTCGCCGGCCGGTGCCAATGGCCGATGACTCAAAGGATCCTCGTGTTCGCGTCATCATGCATAAAGACTTCGAATCATACAAGCCAGAACTTCTGGATCAACTAAAAGATGCCGATGGATGTGTGTGGGCCCTTGGGACTAGCCAAGTTAACGTCACACCAGAGTAAGATCTAGAACAACTCTCTAGTCCTTGATATATGAGAGTGTCATACTAACACTCAATAGACAATATGTCAAGATAACCAAGGACTACGCTCTTGCTGCTGCCGAAGCATTCTCTACCCTCAAGCCCACAAAGTCTGATTCTCCTTTCCGCTTTGTCCATGTATCCGGCGAGGGTGCTACTCAAACCCCGGGAAGATTCTCCGCGATATTTGCTAGGGTCAAGGGTGAAACTGAACAACTTCTCGGCGAATTGTCAGAGAACCACGAGGGACTCATCCAGGTCGACAGCGTAAGACCGGCTTTCGTTGATTCGGCAGCACACGATGCTATCCAGTCGTATATTCCCTCTGCTACTGGATTTAGCGCGACTGCTGCCAAGGCCGGGGTTGCTTTAATTGCTCCAGGTATTCGCTGCTTGTGGAAGTCGATGCATTCGCCAACCGATAAGTTGGGACCATTTTTGACTGATGTGGCTATGGGAAAAATGGATACGAAAATTCAAGGCCCCGGTGCATTTAGACTTGGGGGTGGTTGGGTGATTGAGAATGTTGGTATGCGGAGAATGCTGGGACTGTGATCATCGGGGTGGTAATTTTTGATGAAGGGCCAGCACCATGTACAACATAAAGAATAACTTAATCTATAATAGTTGCCACTCAATTCTTACCAATTTTATCTTATAATAGGACGTGTAAGTGTCTAAGCACGTTTCACACCAGACACTTCTTTCTGGTTGCATTTCGTTACTTTCACTATTTTGTCAGGGCTAATTTAATTACCCCCAGCTTGAATATTTGGGTATCTTTCAGACAATGATGATTGATTTTCCACAAACTGTGACGCCAGGGCAAGGTAATCAGGTCACTCCAGCCATTTACTCATTTTAGATTTAAAATGACTACTCAGTAATCTCTTGAGCAAGTCAATCATCCGATTTTGTGCAAGTTCATATCTCATCCGCGGTGACTGCATAAACTTCGCGTCAACACATATGTCATCTCGACGTTCCATTTTCCCGTGCTATATACTGCTATTTGCTCACAGTTACAGCTCTTTGCATACTTCAATATACCTCGGTGTACTACGCTGACGTAGGGCACGATTCCGCATTTGGACGCCCCACGTCACGTGCGATCGGCAGATATGATGTCTGAGCGCTGGATCCCAGCTTCTTCAAACAAATTGCGCGCAATTTCAACTCGAGCTTCAATTGCCTGGCATGCTGCCATAGTTTCTCTAATGAATTAATGGACCTATATTGAACACCAAGGGTTTGAGTCAACCGTCCAACACGAGTTGTTTCCGATCCCCGCTTCATGTCATTGATCGAAACCCTGGTGCCGACACACGAATTCCAAGACGAACTAACGATATATCGTACACAAAAGCAATTCACTGAGAAAAAATGACGTCGCCTTATCTAACATCCTCGACCACGTTCTCAACCCCCATTGACTCCGACATGTCCGCGGTCCCAAACAGATCGGTCTCCGATTTACCGCAAGCCCAAGTTGATGCGATAATCCGCACGAAGCGCAAAGCGCGCGAACCGAAAGCCTGCTACCCTTGTCATGCGCGGAAGGTCAAATGCGATCGCAACCTGCCGTGCGACGGCTGCGTCAAGCGCGACCATGCAGATCTTTGCTCCTATGAACGCCCGTCGAAGAAACGCTCGCAGGCTTTTCACGAGAGCCCTTCTATTGGCAATGCATCGACAGCGCCTGTGGTAGATTATTCAGCCGGTTATCCATACGATGATGCCCCGTCAAATGTTAAACACGAGACGGCGCCAGCTCGGTCGAATGGTGCAGCGACTGGTGGTCGCGTGTCGATTGCCCGCGAGGAATGGGACAATGTGCGCAACAGATTGAAAGAAATGGAATCCACCATTTCTAGTCTTCGTGTGGGGTTGGAAAGGGCTGAAGATGCCCCGACATCCCTGGAAACCGGAAGCGTGCAGAGTGGCGAAGCGAGTTCCCGCTCTAAGGGTGCTTCGCCTGAACGCGAGGGAATTCATGCTGCGAACACTTTGGGCAAAGGCACTGTTCATCTCGGATCACGGTCCGTTCTGGCTTATATTCTGAATAACCAATCTGGCTCCGATCAACTGCAAGCCCTTTTAGAGGGAGGAATACTACCCAAGCTGGGTCTGGATAATGAGTCTGCGACTTACCCATTTGTCGACCTATGGTCATCAGACATGTCAACCTTTGATATAAGTGCCGTTTGCAGCGCCCTTCCTTCTGACGAGCAATGCAGAGTGTGAGTAGTCATTGATTCGCATTTTGGGCAGTTGGGCTGACTTTATTATAGATTTTTCTACTGCTATAAGGAGATCTCAGGAGCGATATATCCTGTCCTGGAAGATGTTTCTGCGTTTGAAAATACCCTTGAACTCTTAATACAAACCAGAACATCAGTCGGAGGCGAGTACAGAACAGATACTCACGAGGCTGAAAATCCCTTCGGGGTAAGCATTGCCTACCTGGGTCTATTGTTTGCTATTCTTGCCTCCGGATGCCAGTCATCCGATCTCGGTAGCAAAGAGAGAGAATTGACTTCACAAGTCTATGGTATATTCTCAACACCAAGTTGTTCCTGGGGTGGATCGCTAATCCTTCCCTAGTTTGTTGCTCTTACCAGTGTCTCCGAATGACCAATTTCCTATCCCAGCCCACCATAGAAGCTATCCAGACTCTCTTGGTGATTGGCAATGTTTTGTCCTACAACATGAATCCTGGAATATCCTATGTTCTGCTTGGCATGACGCTCCGCATGGGGTTGGCTCTTGGACTGCATGTTGAGTCAAGTCGATTCTCATCAGCCGAAAGATACCGTCGACGACACACATGGTAAGCTGTCATTTTTTATAATTTACACAAAATATAGTACTGATACAACTAGGTGGTCCATGGCATGGCAAGATAGCCACTTCTCTCTTTCCTATGATCGCCCCTCCACCACTGCAGTGAGCCAACCGGAGGTTGCCTACAAAGAAGGATCGAAACGCGGTGACTACTCTTACTTTGAAACCCTGTGTCGAGTTATTTCCCTTGCGCTTGAGGTTGTTCGCATTCGCATGCTGAGTCCACATGCTCAGTTCAGCCTTGAGAGTATTCAAACCTACAAGGAACGGATTTCCAAAATCATGATTGAAGCAAAGCCATACCTGCGCGACGCACAATCTTGTCAGACGCCCACGGAGCATCTGGAGCGAGTTGTGCTCAAATTACACTCTTCCTACTTTTCTTCTGAACTCTGCCGACCAGCCCTGAAACCTATGAATGATGTCAGCGACTCTGGCACTGCTGCTGTGCGCAGAGACTGCGTGTTGAACTTGATGATGACCGTCGAAGCGTATATTGAGATGCACAACATTAGCTCTCATTCGGCTCGATCCTGGATTGCATTGCAACGAGCAATCAGCTCGGCTTTCCTTCTTGCTGTTATCGAGGAGGCCAAATCTGACCCGGCTGTCTGGAATTTGCTGCATCAACTCGAGGGGATTATTGCCCAAAGAGCCAGCAATGAAAGAGCATACGAATCTGCCGATGGTGCCACTGTGGCCAGTATGACTTCGCCGCCCCAGGCCTTGGGGTCTTACGACCCGATCACAGGCGCCACGAACCCACCAGGCTCTGTTGCCCCTGCATTGATCCCAACATCTCCTGCTGCAATGCCCGCCGATACACAAACCCAATGGGCCAAATCACTAGCGAAAACACATCGTGCTCTACAAAAGCTGCTCACTGCTTTCGGAAATCCCCAAACACGGCCTGCTGCTGGACACGGCGGCACGCCTGCATATATGTCTAACGCCAACCTCAACCCGAATTCCGCTGCCATGGGGGCATTTGCGGCTCCACCGGCTAGCATGACCCCTAGTGTCGGATCCCTACCACCTCCTACGCCAGAAAGCTCTGGTAGTGGCGAATGGACAATGCCCAATATCTTGGATCGGGCAGCAGAGTACATTCACCCTCCGTTGTGGGGCTAAATTTGAGACGGAATATTCGTGTTTAAAGCTTTTCATTCTTATTTGTTTATCTTCAGCGTGGCGCTGGAGTCTTCTTAGGTCTCTCATGATTGTTGCCATGTGCGAAAGTTTGTCCCCTCTGTCGGGACTGGAATTATCGGAGGTTTTCTGAATTGGTTATACATATCTCTTAAAGTATGATATAATAAATTTCTGTGCTATATAATGAATACTTATCCCGCTTTATCTTTGACATCAAATCGCGGGCCTCAACTCCCCAACACAGTCGCCAAACCCAACACCGGAACCAGGCGCTCCAGCCATAGCAGTCATACGAATAACATCTCCGTCCTGCAAGTAAACTCTCTTTGAACCGTCTCTCAAAAGAACAGGCTCTTTTCCACCCTTAGTAACTTCAAGCAAACAGCCGAAGCTACCATCAGTTGGTCCACTAACCGTGCCTGTCCCCAGCATGTCACCAGTCTGAAGATCCGCTCCAGTACTGGCAAGATGGGCGCACATCTGGCGTCCACTCCAGTGGAGATCACGGACATTGGATTCACTGAGAGTTGTAACCTGTCCGTCATTCAGGAGTTCAACCTTCATGCCTATGTCATAGCTAGACTCGGACCCTGACACGTCTTCCAAATGGCTCGCAAGCACAGCCTCAGGCTTTGGACCAGACACCTTGAATGACTCGAGGGCATCCAACGTCACCACCCATGGGGAAATACTTGTGCCAAAAGCCTTGCCGTTTAGAGGGCCCAGTGGTACCATTTCGCAGCCTTGAATGTCACGGGCTGATATCTTGGTCAGTCATTGTCACGTTCTTTTCGTGGGAAATCACGATGCACTCACCACTCCAATCATTCAGAATCACCATTCCAAAAATATGCTCATCGGCATCTTTGGCGTTCAATTCCTGTTGTTTCTGTACACTTTTTCCAACAATCACACCAACCTCAAGCTCATAGTCCATCGCTCTGCACGGGCCATATACAATTGGTTTCTTCTCGCTGGTGGCAGTGCGATCAAAGAAATGACCCTTAGGACGGATAATAGGAGTTCCAGATACCACCACCGTGCTCGATCGACCATTATACCCGATCGGGAAGTTAAAGAAGCCCGGAGGTGGCGATTCGTCGTTGAGGATTGCCCGACCGGCGTTCCGGACGTGGTGAAGGCTGCATGAGAAATCCGTGAACCCACGAACTGACACAGGAAGATGTAGAGTGACTGCATTGATATCCTCGGTGCTATTTGACGGGAGTTCCTTGGTCAAGGTATTCTGCAGCAAACTCCGCACCTCGCGTTGGATAGCCTTAGGAAGTGCAGCGAACTCATTGAGCGTGGACTTGTTGAATACCCCTTCGGGAAGACCAGAGATATTGACAAAGACACCGGATTGCTGAAGCACATCGAGGAATATGACGGTATTCTCCAGCCGAGTCACACATTGCGGAGATAGATGTTTCGGAGACGATGCTATGCCGAACGGGATGTTGGCCAGCGAGAAGTGGTTACTAAAGTCCGGGGATGACATGGTCAGACTTCATACAGAACTGGTCACGCTCGAAATAGAATATGGCTACACGCTCCTTTTAATCCCATAATTTATCATCTTGCATTCATCTTTCCCCACTGCCCGACTACGCGGGGAGATGTCCACCGGTCAAATTCGTCCACATCCCGAATGACTAATACTAACCCTAACTGACAACTTTCTTGGTATTTGAAGCTATTACGAGCAATATGGCTTTCATTTTGATATCTGAATCTGAAATAGAGTACTAGTGATGAATGGTGCGGTCAAAAGCTTGCTTATTGACATGGGTCGCCTGAATAACCCCTCGCATGCAAGGTTGAGACATACAGCCCCGGGAACCCTACACCGGTAGGCTGAGACGGTCTCATTCTCAATCACGCTAAGCACGGCAATATCATTGGATACACTGCAGGTATCTTTTCGTTCATCAAATCGGCGGACACGGAGAGTAAGTTAATATAACCTCGGCCCTTGACCGGAGTCAGCGGAGTAAGAAACTCTCCGCGCAGGTGAATTGGACCTCCGGATTTCTAAGCTTTCAAGAGTAGCCCCAAACCGATTATTAAATCTCACCTACAGTTCGCATTCATCCTTTCTAGCACTTCCCCAACACAGTCTTTATTGCATCCCGTGAGATCAGTTCGCAATTTGTACCAGCACGTGGAACCATGTCGTCTGCATCACCAAATCAATACTACAAGGTCGGGGTTCTGTTGTTTCCAGGCGTAGATATCCTCGACTTTGCTGGACCAATCGAAGTTTTCTCTCATGTCTCGCACAACCGCAATCCCGACAACCCGGACCGCATGTTCGACGTCAAAACTATCGCTCGCAGCCCAGTGAATCGTGCGGCGAGCTCTCTCACAGTTCACTCGGATATGCTCCTGTCCGAGGCTCTCGAGCAAGTCTCAGAGTTTGACATTCTAGTTGTTCCGGGGGGCCCAACTGCGATTTTACAGCCGCTTCTCGGTGACAATGTACCGGAACTGGATCTGATCCGCAAATTTGCAGCTCTTCCTCAGAGCTCGTCAGGCACCAGGATTCTGTTTTCGGTTTGCACCGGTGCCTTTCTACTTGGTGCTGCCGGTGTTATTGCCGGAATGACTGTGACGACCCACCACCATGGGCTTGATAGACTCCGAGAGATCTGCGCTCAGTCAAATGATGCGGAGGCCGCTGTGACAAATGTGGTGCATAAGCGCTATATTGATGGTGGTTTGCTGAGGGGTGGTAATGTCAGACTGATTACGGCCGGTGGAATAAGCTCTGGCTTGGATGCCACATGCTACATTGTTCGTGAATTGACCACAGTTGAAATGGCCAAGTTTGTGGTCCGAGTCATGGAGTATGACTGGCGTGAGCTTAGTGAATGAGCTGAGACTTCAGCAAGAGAAAGTACGAAAGTCAGTCTAGTCAAGTATGAGATACAAATATCATTTCAATTCCAGGAATCCGGTAACAGCTACCTACTGATAGGTGTAACTACCTTGAAGGGACAGGGAAGAATACTCTGTACGTTGATTGCGCGATCTCTGAGTTCAATGCATGTCGCGTGGTAGTGAATCCCTCTTCGACTCTTTGCCCAATAGAAAAACAGAACTACATAGTTTGACAGCTCAACTTCGGAAAATTTGCACCATACTGTCAAACACGCCGCTCTCCCGAGACTTGAGCGGCAAACCTCTACACTTGGAGTTCAACCCGTCGACATCCACACGCCTTCAATCACGCTGGCCATTGTTTTGACTGATAGAATACATGCAGCTCAGCCTACAATATGTTACACCTGAATGAAATAATTGCCATGTGCAACATTCCGAAGACATTGCCCCATGGTTTATGGTACATTGTGCCTTATATCGAGCCCTACAAGAGTGCAGTGACAAAGATGTATAGGCCTAAGCATTCTGCATGACCAACAAGTTTCAGAAAATGACGCATACCTAGTCATCAGATATGAATCAATCACAAGACACCGTTGACCTGTATCTGGGAGTATTGTTCAAGCCACTCATCCATGGGGGCCGCTCTACACGAACTTCGGTGACACTTTCTGCCTGATATCACATGAACATTTTTCAGCCTCAGCCTCTCAACTCAGAGTCATCTCTCTCTCTCTAATTACCCTGTAGCAGGGTAGGCCTGTCCTGCAGCTATTGTCAACACCAAATTCCTCCTAGAGGCAAAATGGAGTGGCAACAGCACACCCTCAAGTTGTACAAATGAATGAGCGTTCATGGCTGGGATGCCCTAGGGGCAGCCTTAGTGTTAAAGGCTGAGTCCGCATCAGAGTTACAGTCATAGACACGAGCTGGGATACTCAGACGTGCTGTTCAACGGCCGCACTTCTAAAATGTGATGTATATATCGCCATATGGCTCGGACGGAAGATCTATCTTTGCCTCTCATCCAACACCAGAACAAATCAATTCGACTTTCAATTCAGCAATATTATTGTTCGCTCCTTGGCTAGAACCGTGCCTGTCTTGATATCGCTACTGGAAACACACGTTGTACTTCAAGTCACCATGGTTTCCTTGGCACCCCTTGCAGACATTGTCTCCCCCACATTCCTTCCCCAACGCGGTGAGAATAGAATTGTCCATTCCACAGACCGAAAGGCCAATCAGGAGATCTCCGTCGATACGGCGGTAGAGGTAGTATCTTCCGAGCCTGACAGCGACGATCCCGTGGCCACAACCGCAAACGGCAACGGAGCTAGTTTACTGGAACAAAATGTGCTCAAAGACCCCATCGTCCCGCCAGATTCAGACACGTTATCGGAAGATCAATCGATGACTATGGAGGTCTTGAAAATCATCGAAAGTTATGGTGTCGATTTCGAAAAATCGGGCGTTTCCTGGAAGGGCTTCGAATCATTCGTTCCTATTGTTCTCGCTCAAATCGAGAAACAGGAGCCTATTCGCATGATTCTGCCTGCCTTCCCTTTCAAATCCCCAAATGCACGCGATAAGGTCCTGGGCAACATGCCCGACTTTGGTGAGGAACTGGCACTTTCTCATTTGAATGGATTGTGCCAGAATATCATGGATGTATATGAGCCCGGCGCCCATGTATACATCAGTTCAGATGGACTTGTATACAATGGTACGTCAATTTACTCTGATTGTTTTGATTCTGATCAACACTGACATCCCAATAGATATCCTTGGCGTTTCTGATGAAACGGTTTGGGATTACGGAGAGACGCTGCGCAAGATGGCCATCGAAAAAGAGCTTCACCATGTCAAGTTTATCCGGCTCTTTGAACTACTTGAGCATCCTTGGTTCCCAACTTCAACTCCAGTAGAAGCAAAGGCTTTCTATCTCGCTCACGCCAGTTGTCTCCGCCGAGAGCTGATGTATGCCTTTGGGGATCCGACCTTTGATGCCGACCTGGCCATCAAAACCGACAACGACACATGTCTGACATATCGTGGCTACATCAAGTTCCTCACCAAAGATCTTGCCTATCAGAATGAGAGCAGCTTTGTGTCCAAGCGAGCTCGACAGACGCAAATCGCCAAGACAGCGCGACAGATGATCATTCGCGGTAAACTGTTCGCAGCGGCTATCAAAGCCAACCGCAAGGATTATGTGCGACTTTCTATCCACGAGTCTGCTGGGGAGAAGAAGCTTTCTGTCTCACTAGTACCACAGATTCGTGGGGCTCTCGGGTACACTCCTTGGCATGCCTCTGTGGCTGTTGGGCTGGATGGTTCGTATCGTACCGTCCATGCCGAGGACGTTCAGGAAACCCACGACGTGGTATATAAGAATGGACAGCCATATTATTTCCGTGAAAAGTCAGAACTCTTTGACTGGACTGCGAATGGTCTATCAGTCAAGTTCGAGCATCTCTATCCCTGCGGACTTGTCATTCGCCCCGCCGATATCGACAACATCCACGGACCGCCATCTCTTCGTTCCATACCTATGCAGAAGGTCCGCCAGCTCTCCAACACTATGTCTCCAATCATCCTTCGAGGATTCTCCGAGACTCTGGAGGAAAAATACTACGTTCAGAAGGCGTCGGAGCTGGGCACCATCATGCCATGGAGCTTTGGTATCATCCAAAAGGTCCGCGACGACGGTCGTTCGGACAAAATGGGCAACAACGTTACCTCCAACGAGGCCATGCCAATGCACTTTGACGGCATGTTCAAGTTTGAGGAGATCGCCGATTCCGAAACAGGCAAGAAGAAAAAAGTCCAGCGCCCGCCTGGTTATCAATTCTTTACCTGTCCAGCGACAGCGCCCAAGGGCAATGGGTATACCCTATTCGCGAGTTCACGCCTCTTCTTCCGGTATCTTCCTCTCCCATGGTCAGTAGAGCGCCTCGAGAATATCACCTGGGCCATGGACAATAACGGATTCTGGGATGCCAAGCTCAAGAATCTGAAGTTGATCGTGAAGCATCCTGTGTCTGGTCTACCATGCGTGCGCTGGCATCAACCATGGGACGCCACGAAGACCAAGTTCTCCACGTGCGAGGTGACAATCGAGAATGACGAAAATAGTCTCGTTCAAGTTCTCGATCGTATCACGTATGACTATCGTGTATGCCTGCGGTTCGGGTGGGAGAAGGGTGATATGCTGGTGAGCGATAATACAGCTATGCTGCATACCCGCACTGGGTATATTAGCAACTGTGATCGGGAGTTGTGGCGTATTCACTGCGATTAAATATTTGAAGTTATTTGCATTGCTTGGAGGTTATACTGTCGTTTGAAGCTCGTTTTTTTCTTTTCTTTCTTTTTTCGTTGCTGTCACTCGTTTGTGTTCACATGTCCAGCTTGTTTGGGTCTAAATTGTGAACGATCTTGAAGAAATTATAAACGTCTCCGATGGGTTATGAAATAGAATCAGTTCTTTTATGTCTTGTAAGTCACTGGGGCCTTTGTGTTTCATTTCGTGTCGGATTTTAGACTCTAGGTAATAGCTACTGGCTCGTATACTAGTTGATATACCCAATTCACAAAGATTCCCTCAATTATTGTTTCGAAGAGGCATCCCTAACCGTTCATCCCAGTGTAGCTCAAGTATATCTGACTGTGCTTTAATTGAAGAAGTTTCATTAATTTCTATCACCATGCGACTCAAGCTTGACTCAACTGGCTATTATACTCCGGATACAAACGAAATGTAAATTCCTGACTGTTTTATATATAATTTACGTCATTAAAAAAAGCGTGCATGCAGTTTATTAAAATACATTTCTTTCCAATAAAATACTAGTTCTATCAACATACCCAGCCCGAAAAGCTCACAGCATTCTAACCAGGAGATCTCCCGACCGAGGATATCTTATGTATAGGGCATCCATGCATATATGATCCAGCATCCATCCAAGACCTAGCATGTATGTTCTGGGGGTAGCAAAGACAAGTCAAGTTTTGCTGATTTTGTTGCGTCGTCGTCGGATCCTCAAGTCTGTTGCATAAGTTTGATGGCGGAAAGGATGGTATGGACATAGATGCTGGCGACTCTGGAGGAACCAAGACAATAACCTTTGATTGGGGGGACATGGTGTTGATGACCTGGAGAATCTGAGGGAGTGCGGCTTCTGATGATTAGTTAGTACCTCATTGAAAATGTCCAAGTCAGGCTTCTACACTTACCAGTTGCAACATAGTATGAAGGCTGGTTGCCTGGGGCAGGAAATGACTCTGACGGCAATGTGTCTCCAGTGGGTATCATATCTCGGAATGTATCTCCGCCCAGACCAGCTGTAGTGGATGATGACATTCCATTTGAATGGGTCAACACTCCCCCACCACCAGAAGGCGGGTGGTAGCAATTCGAAGGAAAGACATTGAAATCATTTGGCCACGAGGTGGAGGAGAAAATAGGATATGACGGCATGAACGGCGTTGAAGGCTCTGTGCCTAGGACAGAAGGATCTCGAGAATCGAAATCCAGACTATTGTCGGATAGAGCTGGGTGTGTGTTTTGTGACCAGGGTGACGGCCTATATTGCTGGTCCCACCCGTTTAGGGCTGCTGCTGCTCTGAGTTCATTGGCAATAACACGCTCTTGGAGCTTTGCAATGCGATCTCTGGTTTTGCGGCCTATAAAGCATTAGCTTCACACTTTCAAAGACATTTCTAGGGATTACATTACGGTGGTTTCTTTGAGAAAGGCGATTCTGCAACCTTCTTCTCTCCAGTGGATCCTGCAGCTGACTGGGAATCTCCTCCTTGGGAGTTGCAGGGTTATGTTCCATCTTCATCTTGTAAACAACAGAAACAGTCGTGGACTTGCTTTGGCAGTTGTGAACGTCCTTGGGGATGTTTCATATCTCATATAAAAGACTTGTAAAGAGCGTTCCGGCATCAAGCTCGGAAACTCAACCCCTAAGTGGCCATTGCCGCCTTTCATTCATAGCGGACGTGCACCCACGAGGCAAATCACACTCGATCTCACCGTCACGCAGCCTGTGCAACAGATCGCCGCCAAAGACTCGGTTCAAAAACGACTGGTCTTCGATCATTCACGCTCTCAGCCGCGTGACGCTCTTCGGTCTAGGCATGTCGCCTGCCATTTTCAGCTTGCTTATTCTTCTAGCGGGGGTCTTTGTAGGGGTCTTGGGCACGGTGTCAGAAGGCTTCAGGGCTTGGTTGTACGAGGCGGCGCTGTCCGAGACTATCCCCGGTCCGAACGTGTTCATGAACAGGGCGTTGCCCTGAATTGTTCCGTTCTCTTGTTCCACCGTTCCAGTGGGCTGAGATCTGGAATGGCTCATGAAATCCTCGCGTTGGATGTATCTAGGAGACGAGAATCTTCTATCCGAAACTTGTACCCCTGCGTAGGGTTCTGTTCTGTACCACCTTTTGGTTGAGGCAACCTACCTACCCATCGGTACTTTGAGTGAACACTTACACTTACTTATACTTTGAACCATCTGTGGCGCAAAAGTGTCATTTGGTAGTCTCGGACATCTCCGATATCAGCTCACTATCCCTGGCTTGGAATTCACAGAGGCAACGCAATACTCATCGACCCTGGATCTTGCATTCATGCAAAGAGTCAGTAGTGGTCTCTTATTAGCATCTTTCCCAACCGTGCAGACTCCTCACAGACCCAATATCCAGGATAAAACAGGAAATCCAAGCTGTGGTTACAAGGGCTCGAATCGGGGCCGGTACAACTTGGCCCAATCAGAAGGCTAAAAATCAGAGACACGTCGCGGTTGACCACTCAATATGACGAGAATGATGAACCAACACTGAATATACTCCGGAGTTGAGCTAAATGGCTTGTGTTTCTCTCATTTCTCGGTTCCAGTCCTGGAAGGTTACATAGTCCGAATAGGTTCAATAGACTGAACGATGGCGTTGGACATATGCTCCACTCCTCAGAGAGTAATACATTCAGTGGCGTTATGAGTGACATGAAATTGGCATTTCAGCTAACCATCCTCCTTGGATTAGCAGGTCCCACGAGTTCCACCACTTGATTAGCCATAGGGCGCTGCCAGATGTCTCAATGGCCCATTCCCCTGACATATATGCATGTGAGATCAATCCGTAGGAAGCCGAAAGATTGCATTTATCTAGTAGCGGTGAAAGTTTTCCGATGGATGTCCTTTTTGTGTAACTAAAATGGCCAAGAGTGATGTTGGTTACCGTAAAAGTAGCATGCTCATTCCCTGTCTTAAGCCTCCTTTCAGGCTTCTATCATCGAGAAAGAGGGTAAGCTCAATCTGGTGTTTGGTATTGCCATATGCAAGATAGGAGTGTCGTGGCATCCTCCCTTCCAAGGCTAGGGCCGTTAAAGTGTCCAGCATGCCAACACTCACCGCAACCAATCAAACCAACTGTTTTGCGCAGTCTGAGCAATTCTTAGCTACAATTTCAACAGCCAGTCATAGCTTTAGCTGCAAGGCTTGCCGTGCTGGTTCAGCAGCCAGTAAGCTGCCAAGACTTCCTCACAGGCTGCAAAGTACCACCTCACTCAAGTCCACCCACTCTCCTGTAAGTCAACTACGACATCCTCCGAGTTCTCAATAACAAAAGCTCTTCACAAAATGGACTCCCTCTTGAGGACAGTGGGGAACCTCCTACCATACCACCTCCTCAGCTATGGTGCTCTACTCGGAACAGAGCTGTACCAGGTGAGAGCTCTCCATATCAGCCACGGTGCCGAGCTAAACCCATGGGCAGAGCTTTGTCAACACCAAGATCTGCTTCCAAGCCCTTCCGATGAAGGAATTCATCATTCTTCAGAAGCGACTCTTCCCGGTCTACTTTGCCACCCAGGTTGGACTGACGGCTCTGACGGCAGCGACCTGCCCGCCATACAGCATCCTGTCACTGCCGAGGAACCCGTGGAGTGCTGGATCCCTCGCAGTTACGGGGTTGATGGGCTGTCTGAACTGGTTCGTGTATGGCCCGAAGACGACGACCACCGCATTGGTGAGAAGGGCGTTGCAGGGTCCGTGCCGCTCAAATGGTCTTGCTGTGAATGTTTGACTAATTGGCTCTGGCCTTCCAGAAAGTGAGAATATTGATGCCGACTCCAATCAGTCCAAGGTGGACCGGGCCAATCGCAATTTCTCGCGCAACCACGCCATGGTCATTCATTTGAATGCTATTGCTATGATCGCCACGGTTGTCTATGGATTCTCGTTGTCGTCAACTCTACTGGCAGGGCTCTAGGCCCGTGATTCATATCCAGTGGGCTCTCAAGACAGGAAGGTCAGGCCAGGGACTGCGAGTGAGGCACTTTGATCTGCTTTCCCGTCGTGCGAAGTCCCACCTCCATCTCGAAGGAGTACCAGGCTAGATATCTGCAAATCAAGTGAATGAGTAACTACCTCTGATTACCATCTGGACAGCCTAGAACCTAGTGAGTTATATGAAGAACGAAAAAAAAAAAAAAAAAAAAAAAAAAAAGTGATGACAACGCCAAAAAACGACACATTGACCTCGGGCGAGACGATTCATTACTCGTCATCACCCGAAGGCAACACGGCCCCAGACAGCGGAAGACAGTCCGGGCAAGTGGTGAGAGCCTGAGGCGTTCCATGTAGGTTACATGGCCACCACCTGTATGAAATAAATCATGATCACGTCGTTATAACCTATGGGCAGAGTTGGCCAACTTGATATGCCCTCTATGTCTGCATGCACACTCTTGGCAAGACATTTTATTTACTCAAAGATGTTCAAGATATCTAGATAATGAAGCTCCGAATAATCAGACTGGGAAAACTAGCTCTACCATGGGAGTTGTGACTTTCTATATAAAGCAGCTTCGTCTCCGTTCCTCAATACGAGCATGCCATCCTACATCTACATCACATTTGAATCCCCCATTTGACATAAATCCCACATGGCACCCTGTGCCCACTAAGCAGCTGAATCTCTCACGTTGGACATGAGTGACCAAACAACCATGTTGATGTCCGCTGACACCAGGTGCATTCCGGCACGTCCAAACACTCCGCTGCAAGTTGTTCAGCAGATCGATACAAGACCCCAGCTGTCCCTTCTCCTCCTCTCAATCACTCATCCACCGTTTCATACACATCCACCGAAATGATACCAATTCTCTATCTCATTCTCTCAATTCTCCTCCCACCCCTCCTCTTCCTAACATGGTACCTCCACCCCCCAAGCAACCTCCCCACTCTCCCCAAAATCCCAATCTACGTCTCAGTCCTTGGCCTCTGGTCCTCAATGGGCCAAGATGAAATCTACGAACGGTGGTTCCGCACACCCCTCGAGAAACACGGCGCAGTGCTGGTCTGGTTCGCAGGACGCTGGAGCATCCTCGTCTCCCGGCCAGATTGGTTGACGGATATGTTCCGGAATGATCAGCTCTATGCAAAAGCAGGCAGTCAGAAGAAGATCCCGCATTCGGTTATCGCTATGCTTGTTGGTGACAATATTATCAATGCACATGAGAATTGGAGGCTTTTTACGTCGATTATGAAACCGGGGTTGCAGAAGAAGGTTTTTGAAACTTCTGCGTTGCTTAAGCAGTCGAGGAGGTTGGTTGATATTCTTATTGGGTTGCAGAGGGATGTTGGGGAGGGCCAGGGAATACTGGTTAATGCAGAGGTGCAGAAGTGGGCAGTTGATGTGATGGGGGAGAATTTCCTGGATCTGGAGTTCAAGGTATATACCATCATGCCATGCCACATACACAGCTAACATGAACTCCATGTAGAGCCTTGGCCAACCAACGGGCAAGGTCCGCATCGAAGCCCTCCAATCAATAATCAAAGCAACGCTCTTCAAACCAATGTACTTCAGCTTCCCAGACCTGGACCACTTCCCATGGCTCCTCCGCTCACGCAAACGCGCCTACGAAATAATGCGTGAATTCGACAACCGGCTCTACGAAACAGTCATGGACATGCTCGAAACCCGCAACACAAGCAAATCCAAATCCGAGGAAATGCTCTCACACATGCTAGGCGAAGCCTACAAATGCGGCCGCATAACAGAGAAACAGTTCCGCAATAATCTCAAGATTACATTCCTAACCGCCCACGAGAATACACAACAACTCGTCAACAGCATGTTCTGGCAATTGGGCGTGCGAGTCGATATCCAGGAACGTCTTCGCGAGGAGATACTATCTACAGCGAAGATACACCCCGGTCCAGCGCAGGAAGTCATCAATCAACTGCCATACCTAACAGCCGTCGTCCTTGAATTACTCCGTCTCTTCCCGCCTGTCTGCCAACTCATTAATCGAGTGGCTTTGTCGAATGCCCTGCTTGGTGGGGACTTACCCATCCCCAAGGGAACGTTTGTGGGATGGAATGCGTGGGCTGTACATAGTGACCCGGCCGTATGGGGGGATGATGCGCGCGCGTTCAACCCAGAGCGGTGGGGGACGACGGTGGAGGAGATGCAGGCGCGGTTTCGGAGGGAGACGGTGCGTGGGACTTATATCCCGTTTAATGCGCATAGGCGGAAGTGTCTTGGGCAGGGGTTTGCGTTGCTGCAGATTAAAATCTTTTTGTTTGTTTTGTTAGGGAAGGTGAAGTGGGTGGTTGATCCTCAGTATCGGTTGAAGATGACGCCGGTGGGTGGTTTCGTTTTCTTTGGCTTTGATAGATTGTTGAGTTGGGTGATGCTGACTTGATAGGGTGGGATTCTGGCTCCGCTGGGTGGTCGAGTGATCCTGACTGAGTTGGAGGCTTTGTCTTGAACGCCCAGACGGGTTGGTGCTGAGAGGTGACGGACAAGAACTGGCCGACTTGGAACTGGGCAGTTGGCCCAGGAGATGGAGATACAAGCTATAGAATACTCTTGGAGCCGCGTGAGCATGGCCCGAAGACAAGGGCAGAACAGAGAATATCAGTAGGCTCAAGGTTCTAAATAGACCAAAAGGATGCAAAGATAAGTATTCGTCTAAGAACTCGTTCTCGTGGTATCACATAAAAAGAAAAAGGACCGTCGCCTCCCAATCGCATGTCCAACTCGGCTGGACGTGGAGTATGCACAATTATGTATTATTCGGATCTTCGGACTTCTTCAGATTAGCCCTGCCAATCCTGAGTGGCAGCAGCATCGAACTTGAACATCTTCGGGCTCTCCAAAAGCACAAAGGACTCGTACCGGAGTCCTCGTTCACGTTGCATCTTTTCGGACCACTGTTCGACGGTGCTGTTCCATACGCCAGAGTACCCGTCGAGTAAGGTCCGCCAGTAACAGGCTTCAGCCGCAGAGGTGAGATAACGCTCGCGGAAGGTGGTGACACTGTTATGAGCGATGAGTCGAGCGCGCTCAGTGTCGGCAACCAGAGGCTCGATCTTGTCAGCCAGATCGGAGAAATCGCGCTCCACCTCGACATAGTTCTGGTTAGGACCATCCGCCACCAGCAGGTAGTGGTGGTGCTGGATGAATTGAAGCTTGTGTGCGACAATGACCGAGTTACAAGCCTGTCGGTACTTCAACGAGGCCGAATAGGAGCGACCTGAGTCAAAAGTCAGCTGCTGCCCAAAAGCACTGAATTCAGAAATTCACCAAACTCACCTTCGACATGCGCAATGAACATATAGTGGCAATGATCCTCCATCTTGAGCACATTCTGCCCAGTCGACCAATCGACCTGCTTGACGTCGCCCCATGGCTTGTCCCTAGCGGCCTCCATCAACGCGCGTCGCAGTTTCGGCGCGAAACTAGGCTTGCCCCGCCAGACCAACTGGGGCTTCTTCTCTGCCCACGGGATATCCAAGCGCTGAATGCGATCCACGACCTGGTCATAAGGACCCATATAGTTGTTGGGGTTATCCCAAGCCCAGAAACTAAAGTCGGGCATCAGCCAGACCCCCTCTTCAGTTGGCGTGCGCGAAAACACCCAAACAGGCCAATCGCCTTTGGTCACATCCTCCACCTTATCCTCAACCGAAAAGACAAACTCAATGTCGCGACGCGACGCTCGTTCCGGGTCGGCGGCCAGCGCCCGATGAATAGAACTCAACGTCCCCAGAATCTTCCTCCGGTGATCCTCGCCCTTGGACCGCGCAGACACAACATACAACTCCCCATTGGAGATAAACGCGCGCCCCATACCCTGCTCAACGGGAATGGAATCAAGTTCCGCCGTGGAGAGGCCACCATGGGAAGACCAAAACTTCCCACCGCGCGCAATATCCTCGAATAACCCGGGGAACGCAGCCTTGCACTGCTTCTGGTCAAGCGCCTCATTGCGACCGTCGCGAGCATATTCAAAGGTCCACCCGGGGTGTGTATCGTCGTGTTCGAGGCCCGTCTCGGGACAGGAGAGGCAGGTCGAGCATTGGAAGGTGGTGGAGGTTTGGCAGGCGCAGTGGCCGGCGGGGATGAGCTGCGTCAGGATCGGGTGGATATAGTCTCGGTCGGAGTTCATGCCGTACCAGAGCATGAAGATCACGCCGAAACACAATGTCGCGATTATGACCAGGAGCGACAGACCGCGTCGCGGGTGGAGGAGGGTGTAGGCCGCCATCACGGTGATGGTTGAGGAAAGGAAGAAGGAAAGGGTGCAAAGGCAGGCAAAAGCTCAAGATCGCCCCCAAGTGCCCACTGCGGATTGGCGAGACTGTGCCCGAAACTGGTGGGTCTGAGGCGTCATCTCATCTCTCATCTCTCATCTCCTGGTGTGTAGCTATTCTTGGAGATGAGACGGGAATAGAGACATACAAATATTTCCTACTCTATCACACTCTCTCTTTCCTTCTACATCGATATCTTGAACCATCCATCTCTATACGTTCAACCGTGAAAACGCGCCAAGCCAACCTAAAAATCAGGGGGAGGCGGCGGCTTAACCGTGGACCCTTTTTTTCCTCTAATTGACTAATTCTTATTCCGACCTCCCAACTGGCTATACTTGAACAACTTATAAATTGTAGACCCTACATGTATCTACAGCATATCACCTTTGCAACCATGGAAGAAAAGATTCAACACCATCTGACTCCTTCTCCCTCGCTTGTGCAAGACACTAGCGCCACATCACAAAATAGCCCCCCGAACACATTGGAGCTAAACCAAGTTAGTGTCTCCGAAAATCATGTTTTGAGGCGAATGTGATTTCATCTATGCGGCAGAGTGGACTCTAGAATGAGACAGTCAAATGCGAGTCCTGGGCAACGCTAACAATGCCTATCCTATCTAGAATATCAAGTGGAAGTGTAGACAAATTCAATCCCTGTCGCGCCCCTGTCGCGCCAGTTTGCTCTCCAAAAACGCCCGCTGCAATGCATGGAAAATGACAGAACGTAAAAATCTTCTCCGAGGATCCAATCACTGTCTGGAGTGGCTTCTTCCGTGTCGTATCCCCCGACTGCGACCCCCGGATGGGGCAGATGTTTCGGTATCCATCTCTAGCGTTGCGGGTGCGGCTGCGCGACGTTGGCGGCTTGGTCGTACGCGACCCAGGGCACGTCGTAGCAGTCCATCCGCAGCATCGTCTAGGTCCATTTCAACATTATCCTCTTCGGTCTGAGGCGTAGCATGTGCCACCTCGTCCGTCCATTCTTCTACAACGGGCCCCTGGCGCGCACGTCGTCGAGACATCTCTTCTGGTGCAGTTCGCTCTTTGCCCTTGAGGTTATGAGACCGGTTGGTCCCACGTCGCTTAGTTGGGTTGATGGGGACAGGTGTGCATGCCGCGCGGTAGTCCTCTTCAAAGGTCTGGCGACCCTGCTGTCGCCCTTCGAGGGCCCAGAGTTCAAGTGCGCGGGATAGCAGAGTGCCTGCTACGCCCGCACCACCCGCCGCGTCACCGCCCCCACTAGCTCCGAGTACACGCACGGCTTCATGCAGAGCCGCAACGGCCTCTGTGGTGCGTCCCAGCTGTAGGAGCACAAGTCCGCGAGATGTATGGAGCGAACCAGTTAACCCACGGTCTTCGTAGCCTCCTACACCAGATGAAGTAGTAACTGAAGCAGATCCACCAGGACCACTACCTAAGAATGGCGAGTAGCCCATGCTGCTACCCCCTGCGCCCACACGAAGACATTCATCGTATTCATTAAGGGCCTCGGGAAGGAGGTCCAGCCGACGGAATGAGTGTCCCAGATTGGCACGTGTAGCCACCCAGGCGCTGGGTTCACAGTGAAGAGAAGCAGCCAGCGCCAGCGCTTGCTGGAAATACTCAACAGCCTTTTCGAGGTGGGACAGGTGATAATGGACGACGCCGAGCTCATTGAGGACAAGTGGGTCCCCGCCGACGGCTAGAGCAGTTGAGATCTTTGGAACCGAGCCAAGTTTCGCTCCGGTTGACATGGTATAAGCAGCAGAGAGATACTCGTGTGCAAGAGCCATGTTATTCAAAGCGAGATGCTGCATACCCAGGAAAAGCTGGGGGAGATGACTACCTTGGAAGAGCCGGGCAGCAGTACTATAAGCCGCTATCGCCTGGTCATGCTCACCCTCCGCAGCGAAAGTATGCGCAAAACCAATCCAAGCCGGGGCCGAGTGTGGATCTAGTAAGGAGGCTTTGGAGAAGAACCGCCGTGCCTCTGCAACCTTGGACACCGACAGATAGTATACTCCAATTGCCAAATACGTGTAGGGTTCTTCCGGTAGATGATCCGCGAGCATGTGAGACAATAGGAAGAGAGCGTTCGTGGCACCTGTTTCGTACAGACAAGCCAGATGGAGTGGATAGATGGCGGGCGCATGGCCAAGGTTGTTCTGGGCGGGTATACTAGTATTCGTTGTTGTCAAGTCGGGCGGCTGAGATGTGGAAAGAATGGAAGATGTCAATTCCAGTGCCTCTGGGAAGCGGCACTGTGTGTAAAGAGCCTCAGCGCGAGAGAGAAGAATGTCCGGGTTCTCTGCAAGATTATAGTGTGTGGAGAGGGTTTCGGTAGCATCGGAGAGGATAGTGGGAGACGAGTATTTGGAGAGACGGGTGGTGTAAAGCATCTTGGTAAAGTGGGCGGCTTCCTGCGCCATCATGGGATCGGGAGATGAGACTGAATCAAAGTCAAGTGATTCTAGGAATTCCAATTCTTCCGTAGGAGACATCAGTGAGTTCTTCATGAGCTGGTCAAATGCCTCAAAGCATTGAACGTCAATCCGTACTGCGTCCTTGTAACAGTCTCGGGCACGGTCAAACGCATTCTGCTTGGAGAAGCAGAGCCCCCGCAAATAACACATCGCGGCTTCAAATCGCACATTATTGGCTTCGTCTCGCTCGCGCTCTTCGGCTCGCTCGCCGCGTGGTGTGGCAGTCTTCCCATTGCGCAATGTAACATGGCTTTGGTTGTTAATGTGTTGGATCTTGCGCCGGGTGTGATTGTTGCGGATTAGGTCGGTGGGGTTGTGTTCACCAAGGATGGACAGAGCCTCATCGAACTGGTTCTGCTTGATATAGCAATGGGCAGCGAGATAGCGACAGGCGGTGCTTCGAGAGACGAGATCCTTGCGGGAGAGGAGGGCTAAGGCGCGTGTGAAGTTGTTGTTAGAAAAATGAACTTGGGCGAGCCAGAACGCGTCAGAGTCACTGTCTTTTGCTGAGAATTAGCATCCCTTCCAGGATTTTGTATCCATGAGCCTCTGTTGGCTTACTAGTGAGCGCCAGGACTTTGTCGCCGATGTAGATTGCGGAATCATGCTGGCCGCGGTTCAAGGCGTCCTGTCGCCATGAGCGCAAGAACCTTTCCATTGCGAAAGGTCAGACGCGCAATAACCGAGAATCCAGAAAGGTATCAGGCATGGAGCTCGGAGAATAGAGCAAATGCCAGCTGCGGGCAACTTTGGTGCATGAGCGGGTCCTTTTATTTTGAACTAAACAATGGCCCGTGCGAGGTGATGTCGGTATGGAAGCGTGCAGATATGGACTGCGCAATAGAAGTTTGAAGAGATTGATGAATTGGATACTCGTTCATGTCAGTCGACTGAAGAAGAACTAACGAATAAAGCTTGGAAGAGTTGGAAGAGCTGCGAATGGTCCTGCCTCATCTATACACACGTGACCAATGATACACGTGATCTGATTGATCTCCGAAGCTTTCTTATCAACGCCACTCTCTACACTTCACATTCACCTTCGTCTTCACCTTCCCACATCTCGACTCGTCGGTTCAACAAAATGGCTGAGCGAAAAGTCCTTACGAAGTACTACCCGCCCGACTTCGATCCATCGGCGATCGGGCGGACGCCAAAGCACCTCCGCAAAAGCGGGCCGAAAGTGATCACCGTCCGGTTGATGGCACCGTTCTCGATGAAATGCACACACTGCGGAGAGTTCATCTACCGAGGTCGCAAGTTCAACGCCCGGAAGGAGACACTAGAAGAGCGGTACCTGTCGATCCCCATGTACAGATTCTACATTCGCTGTACAAGATGTAGCGGCGAGATCACTTTTCGGACAGATCCAAAGAGTAAGTTTTGCCCAATGCCATTGTTTCATAAAGCGCATTATGCTAACACTCTCCCCTAGATATGGACTACGAATGCGAGCGCGGCGCAAAACGTAACTTCGAAGTATGGCGCGACTCAAAAGACGAGAAATACAACGAGACTGAAGAGCAAACACTCGACCGACTGGAGCGCGAACAAGGTGAAGAACAAGAGCAAATGGAGCGCGACAAGATGGCCGAACTCGAAGAGAAAATGCTCGACTCGAAGCGTGAAATGCAGATTGCGGATGCGCTAGACGAGATCCGTACCCGGAATGCGCGCATAGAACGCAATGAGGCCCTTGGCGAGGAAGCTGCTTTGGAGACTGTGAGAGATGATATTGATGAGGCGGCACTCCAAGCAGAGAAAGAGGATGAGGAGGCTGCTCGCAAGGCGTTCATGACTTCTTCTGGCGAGAGGATCAAGCGTATTGTCGATGAGGAGGATACGCCCGCTCCAGAGGTCGAATCGAAGACATCAGCTGCAGCTGCGCCACTTCCAGCTATGCCGCCTCCCTCGGCATCTTTTGCCAGAGTTAAGCGGCCCAAGAAGGGCGGTGTTAACAGTCTGGGCATCAAGAAGAAGCCATCTCTGGTTTAAAATGAATCAAAGCCTTTGCCTCTTCAACATTTGAACAGGAGTAGGGTGGCATTTACGTTATAACGAATTCTGGATTACTTGGGGCGTTCGAGCCTAGTTTCAATATCAATATTACAGATGTCTACGACACTGGAAAACAATTAAGCGAATCAATACATTAAGAGCTGATAATAGTCTGAACTTCTAACAAAGACATCATATAACTATTAAAACAAGAAAGAAATCGGTATCACAATCATTGTAACATGAAGCAAAGTCGCGCACCTGGAAGCGCCGCGCTTAGAAAAGCAAGCTAAACCCAAACAAAACCCCCGCTTGCGAAAACACACGATAGCCATGCATAAAGAAACTCAATGCCAAACGGCAAAAGCAGGAAGAAGCAAATCACTCAGAGATATGGCATCCACAACGCATCGCACGAAGCCAGGTGCTGGGGGTTGACTGCCTTGGAGATCAGGTCGATGGTAGTCTGATTGGCAGGCAGGTTACCCTCGGGCGGACTGGCAAGACTGACAGCACGGTTGACGATGATCTCGCTGTTGTTGTATACCAGGTCGCGCAGTTGTCCCACTGGAAGGGGACTGCGGTGCTGAGCGGTAGCCCAGAACATCATCTCATCTCGCACGAAGACGCTGAGCTGTTGCTCCAGTTCGTGGCGTGGCTCTGTGAGGCAGCGGGCAATTGCCATCATTGCGCAGGCGAAGACACCCTCGGTTGCGATGGGACCCAGGAAGGTTTGGATGTTGGGTGTGAAACGGAAGGGCACTTGCTCGGGGTTGTAGAAGAACGCCTTGGCAGGGTTGATGGTGGGGATCAATTCGGCACCCCAGATGTCACCAGTCGAGCGCGACACCAGGATCTTGTTGGGGTAACGGTTTCCAATGTGCATGACATAGGTCATGAAGGCCACTGCCGCATATTGGTAGGCGAATTGGCGACGGAAGAGCCAGAAGTCCGAGAAGTTCGGGTATGTCTGCTGGAAGTATTCCAACACAACAGTACTTGGGACCCATTTGTCTTGAATGGCGGTAAGAATTTCCGTGCGGAGAATCTGCTGTTGATCGGTCGAGCGCTGCAAATTATTAGTTTGGGTTTCAACTTTGGGTGTCGGATAACTCACGTTCTGCTTTGTCTCTGCTAATGACCTCATCTTATCCATTGTGAAAAGCACAGGCTCATCCTTGTTCATTCCCATTCTTCGACAATAATCCTCGTAGATACCCTGCATAGAGATGTATGAAGAATCATCACGAACCAAGCGAATGTGTGGTGCCAACGGAATCATAAGCGGCAAGTGGAAGCACAAGTTGCGGCGACGACTCTCCTTGCGCTTTGCGAGCAGGCCATTGAAGATCCGGAACAACTGGAGAATGCGCTCCTCGCGTCTGCAGTGGCGGGCGGCGGGATGTTGAACGGCAAATGCTTGAACACTGCCGTCGTGTCCTCGAATCTTCAAGCGGCGGTGGCAGACACCAATACCACGGACCAGATCCACATCGGGAAGGAAACGGTCGATGCGGACAAAGTCCTGGTTCTTGTCCTTGTGAAGTAGGTACTGGCCGGGAACCTCAACCTCATCGAACTTGAGGAAGCGGAACTCACTGAGGTGCGGTGAGTACGCCTCGAGGAACCCATGCTGAGGGCGACGATCGAGCTTCTCCTCGAACTTGTCACGCCAGCGTCGGAGCTTGTGGATGTATTCGTTCATAGTTGGCTTCTTAACAACGAAGTCCGCCTCGAAAGATTTGCGGATGTGAGCCGGAAGAATGGTCTCTGCAAAACGAGTGATGTTGGCCTCAGTGGCAGCAGGCAACTTGAAGTCCTGTGCGTAAGATCCGGGCATACGACCAACATAAGCCAGACCATCGTTAAGAAGAGCAACAATAAGACGGTAAGCATCCTCATCAGGGGGACATTTGAAGTTCTTGTGGATCTGATCAACCATGGTCTCCATGGAGAGAGCAAGTAAGGGGAAGGCAGTCTTGAGACCAGACATGATCTCATCCGAGTACTCCCACGGCTTCTTAAGAGGCTCCTTCTCATCCGTTGCAGGTGCAGCAGCATTTTGAGGAGTTCCATTTTGACCAGGAACTTGCAAGTGAGCTTGACCCGGAGTCTGACCAGCCACTGGACTTTGACCTGGCCCTGGGCGAGGCGATGCCTGAACAGAGTTTTGAGGTTGGGCTGGGGACTGGCTCTGCGGCGGCACATTGTTCTGTGTAGCCGGCGAGTTCGCAGGTGGGACTGATGGAGAAGCATTGGCACCTGCAGCAGCCTGGGCCTTCTGAGCAGGGGAACCGTCCGCACCAGGAGTGGCCTTGACGCTTGGCGATGATCCTTGCTGCTGTTGTCTGGCACGGTTGATCTTTTCTTGCTTTTGATCGTGCTGTTTCTTGATGCTCAGCATGTCCTCGCGGTTGGTACGAAGCAAGAAGAAGAGAGCCTGTGGGTAGAGCTTGGCAATCTTGACCAGAACGGCCTTGCAGAGGCGAGCCTCGCGGTGAGACAGGCTGGTAAGAAGCTGGGGAATGAAGGTAATCCAGTACCACACCGGGGTGTCTCCCTTGAAGTTCTCGAAGGCACTTGCGATCTTGCCTTCGTCATTGTCCAGGCTGAGAAGCCATAGGATTCTGCTGAGCAGCTTCCGGGACTTAGCGCTCTTGTAGAGACCAGCCGCCTCCAAGTAGCAGCTAACTGCGTTGCTGGCCAATTCGTAGTCAGTTGGGTCAGCCTTGAACCGCTGGTCACTGTATTGTCCCCACTCAGACCAGGCCTTGGCAAGGCGGAGATCGTAGTAGAGAGCAACACCGAACGCCTCATTTGCCTCGTTGACATGATCCAATTTGGCAAGGAACATACCCTTGAGGGTGTAAAACTCCGCCTTCTGTTGCGGTCCGAAGTAGTTGAGGTTAGTGTTGTTGATCACATCCAAACCGCTGTTCAATTCCTTGGGATTCTGGTAATGACATTTGGCTTGCTCCCGAAGCTTGAGGAAGGCCTCTTGGATTTCGATGTTCGGAAGAGTGTAGATACGGCTGAGCTGATTGATACAGACCTCCGGCATCTGGTGCTTACGAGCAACATGGGCAAAGCGATTGATGATCCAGGCTGTTTCATGGTATCCACGGTAGGCGTAGGAGTTGCTGGCCACATTATTTGTCTGTGGGGGTAGCAGACTGAGGTAAGTGCCATTAATCAGCTGGAAGATGTGTTGACGCCAAGTGACAAGGTCCTGCCATGTGTTGATGTCGTCCCAAAGATTGGGCAGACGGTCCCGCCAGGTTCCAAGCAACAGCTTGAGCTCAGCGGACTTGGTGTCCAAGTTCCGCTCGTTGGTTTGAGACAAGCTACCACAAATGTGGCTGGCATCATGCAACTCGACCAAAAGTTGGAAGTGCTGCAGAATCGGGATATGGGCGTTGGTGATACGCTTGGGCAACTGCAGCCACTTTCGGATCGAGAGTTGAATGGACTCGTCGCAGACGCTGTTGAAGTCTTGAATGTTCTCCTTCTTCGTGTGATATTGAAGCAGAGCCATGAAGGCCTGGAAGAAGGTGCGTCTCGGCGTAGGGGCGTCGGAGACGGACTTGATCAATGACTCAAGTTGTTCTCGGTTTCCTTCACTCTGCCAGTTCTCAATGTTTCGCCAGGCGGACTCCAACAAGAGATCGTTCAGGTTCTCGTGCTTGGCGAAGTCGCTGAGAATCTCCCACTGCTGGAGCTTCTGGGCACAGATCAACCAGTGGTCTTCCCATACGAAGTATTCACCCTGAGAGAATGGCATGGCGCCGGAACGAGCCTTGATCTGAGCGTTCTCATAAAGCTGCTGGGACTTGTCCCACATTCCTTGCTGCTCATAAGAGAGGGCTGCATTGGTTTCGACAAACTTGCATCGGCGACGCCATGTTCCGTAGAAGAAATCGTCTTCTTGCAGGCCAGCGTAGACCTCAACGAGGGCATCGAGGTTGCTTTCACGCACAGTAGGTGTATCGATGATAGGATCGATGGCGGTCTGCTCCAGGTAGGTAGCAGCGGTGTACCATGCGTCGTAAGTCCGACTCAGATACTTGACAACATGGGGAGGAATCTTGAACCGAGGACGAGCACGAACAGTGCCCTCAAGAAGAGCTTGAACAACGTTGGGACGCTTGTCGAGCTGTCTATGGTGGTACTCGCGAGTGAGCAATGTGACCATATCCTTCTCGAGATCGATGCAATCCTCCTTGGACAGTGTAGACCAGAAGATGGGAAACAGGGTGGTCCACAGCTTGTAAGCAACATTCGAGTCGGTGTGCTGAAGCTGGCACAAAGGTTCAATCAGATCCCGAGTTCTGACATCGCCAATGTCCGACATGAACTTCCGACGCTCAGCAACAAAGGTTTCAAGTTGACTGTCAACCATAATATCAGCCTTTCTGGGGTCCTTGTCGGCACTGCCAAAGAGGAACGACACGGGGAAGAGGGGGAAATCTTCGTGGTGCAAGCGGGCAGTGGTGTTCATATCAACACAGCCAAGCACTAAGTGTGATGCCTGAGCCAACCAGAAAGAGTCGGCAAGAGTATCCCAATTTTGGCAAGTCAGGACATAGCTGAGACGTGAGCTTGCAAGGCGGGTCAAGCTTCGATCAAAAATCTGCATAAATCGATTGCGCATCTCAACGTCCTGTGCTCTTGCACCGATGAGGAACGCATGCTCCAAGCGCACTGTCAATTCGGTGCGGGTGATCTTGGAGTCCTCGTAGATCCGAATAACGAGATCGAGGAACTTCTTCAGCATCGTCTGATCAGGTCGGGATTCGAACAGCAGCATCTTGTGCAGCACAGCAGTCTTTTCCTTCAAGGTCGGCCAAGATTCGGTAGACTGGAAGATCCACGACTCGGCCATACCCAAGATCTTGCTGCACAGCTCGATGTTCTGTGAGCGCTCGACAATCTGTGCCAGGACACTGAGGAACGGACGCCGCTGGTCACCAAGATGAGACATGCGAACAGAAATGAGTTCAATAGTCTTCAGAATGAGATCGACTCCCAGCTCGAACTCTTGCTGGTCAGGAGTGGGAGAAGCACCTTCGGCGGGCTTAGCAGCGCCGTTCTGGAGCTGGGTGCCATTCTGGGTGGATGCAGCAACGTGCTCCTTAGCCAGCTTCGTAGAAAAGGCCTTCATGACAGCAGGAATGTGGGTATCAATTTCAGCTGGTTTGATCTTGGACAGTGTCCACAAAACGTTCAAGCTGGAGACGTAGTTGTTGGCGGACAGGGTCTCAGTCGCGATGGCAGACAAGTAGGTAGCAAACTCCGACGGTGTGCCTTCAGTATCCATGGCATCCTCGTCATCCGGCTGTTCATCGGGAATGGCTTCCAGGACGTAACGAACAGGAGGCGGCAGCTTGTGAACGATCTCCATGTCATCTTCTAGTCCATGTAAACAATCCTGGACCTCTGGATTGTCCGATTTCAGAGGCTTCTCGAGAAGCTTCTGGATGGTAGGGAGGCGATTTGCAATCCACTCTTGTGGCTTGGTCGTGATGAGGACCCTCAATACTTGCAATGTGTTGACCATGTAGGTAATCTTGTCCTCAGGCTTATCGCCCTTCTCTCCAACCAAAATTGGCTCGGTGACCTTTTGATAGAGATCAATGTCGAGATCGCCCCAGTACTCAGGTGACAGAAGGCTGCGAAGCAGATGGATAGCCTTGTTGATCATTTCACCAGTAGGCACAGGGTTCTGCTGCTTGGATGTAGGCATTGACCGAATTTGAGCCGCCGGAACAGAGAAGCGTTCAGGGATGGTAGTGATGAATGTGATGAGGTATTTGATCAATGCCGCCCGTAGATCGGTGGGCACTGTGTAGTCGGAACGTTCTCGGATGCTCGGGGGTCCAAGGGCGGGAGATGGCGATGGCTCCTGAGCTTCATCCAGCTTGCGCTTTCTTGCGACTGGAGACTCGGGGTTTCCATTGGTCAAGCTGTGAGACTCGGCGTTGGGTGTCCGCTTCTCTTCCCAGTGCCAGATCAAGCTTATCAGGTTGAGCGCCAACTTCTTGCTGTCGTTGGATGTGTTGGGTGGGCCGGTGATCTTGATCAAGGACGGAACAATAAGAGGTACGAAGTGCTCCCTTGATTCGTAAAATAGATCAGGCTGCCGAACCAAAAACTGGAAGATGCTCATCACCTGCTGCAGATTGGCAGTCTCCTCAGCCAGGATACGACGAGGCCATTTGGCCCACAATGGGTACCGTGCCTCCGCTCCTGAACTGTTGGCTGTCCGTGTGGGGAGCACGGGAGCCAAGACGTCAAGGGCCTGCGTGACGAGAGCTCGGCCTTCGTTCTGGTGAGCCCTCAGCAAAGCGACATAGACTTGGATAACAATCTTGAACGGTGTTTCGTAGTGCGCAATGAAGTAACTAATCAAAACGTAGGCACCATACTTGTTAATGATGTCCTCAAGTCGGATGTAGTTCCAAGCGAACTTGATGATGTCTTTGCGAGAGTCCTGCACCGTTTGGTGATGATATTTGATCAACAAAGCGGAAAGCTGGAGCAACTCCATGCGCGAGTGGTCCACACCGGCTTGGTTGGACTCCTCGGTCAAGTCAGCGAGCTGAGGCTTCCATAGACGGCTCTGAATTGACTCAGTCATGCTCTTGTCCATCAACTTGGGAGTGTTAGGAGGGCTGTTCCAGGTGACCTTGACGTCCATAGCAAAGATGGGGTTCACTAGATGACGGAAGGCATAGGTCTTGGTCTTCTGTGGGCAGCTCTTCTGGCCATAGAGATCGAGACAACGCATGATGACAGAGCGGCGGTAGTCAATCGACTCATTGGAAATGATGCTGCGGTAGATGAACTTGGGGAGTGCAAGGGTACGCTTCAGTTCATCGGCGGACAAACCATCAATGACCTCGAACAAGAAGTCCAGGTCGTGAGTGGCCTCAGCCAAGTACAAGGTGAAGATATCCATCAACTGGTCCTCGGCTTGTTCCACTCTGAGTCTCTCATCAGCTGGCAGACTGTCACCGCGGAGCTTCCTCTCCAGGTCCCTGCCAGAAGTCAAGAGCTTGACTTTCATCTCTGCGTGCGAGACCAACCAGCGCTTGGTTGAGCTGTAAGAACAGAGCGAGTGTGCGACATAGATACCATTGATGGCAGCAGTGTTCTTGCCATCACCAGAATCTTGGCCAAAGGCGGCAGTAGAAAATCCTTCAGTGTCAGCCACGATTGCATTTCGCAAGCCTTCACTCTCCGGGTCAGCCAGGATCTGTCCGAAGAACCGTCCAAATCGCTCATCCTTGAACCGAGTAAAGAAGAACGCAAGACTCTCCTTGGGGTAGCGATTGAGGTACTTCACAAGCGGCTTCCGGAAGGGACTGTGTGAAGTGCGACGCAACTTCAACTCCAGGTCCATGACCTTGTTGACAAGGTGTTCCATAAAAGAGGTAGCAGCCGGAGGGAGTAGATGGAAGATATTGAAGATAGCAGCAACGATCTTCATGGCTGGGTTCTGTTCAACGAGACTGAATGACACCTTGGCGAGGACGGTATCATCGGCGATCACCTTCATATGATCAAGTAGACGAGCACCGATTTCAACCTTGAAGTAGTTGGTGAGCAGTGTCAAGAGGCGAGCAAGACCATCCAAACCAGCGACGCTGAGACGTTTGGGATCCTGAAGGTTCATGAGAATAGGGCGCAATCCATTCTGCAACAGATCTTTAGGAAGCTTGTTGGTTTGCGTGAGAACGTCCCGAAGGCCGGCATTTGCTGCTTCAATAACCTCCTGTGACCTGGAGTACAGTGATTTGAAGAAGACTGATATAATGCGAGCACGGCTGGTGTTCTGCGGTGTGTTGGCAAACTCAGAGAAGCTCATTGCCATAGACAATAGACGAAGACAAGCGACGCGGAGGTTCACGATCATGTCTGCGTTCTTGAACTCATTCGGCTTAGACGCGAGGGATTCATCGTCGGCGTCGGCAAGGGCAAGAGACTCCAGCATCAATCGGTTGAGAGGCTCATTGAAAGTGACAATGTCGTTGTGAAGACTGAGGCAGTATGTGATGGCATCAATGAAACCAATCTGCGTTGGAAAAGGCAAGGCACGCAGTGGCTTGTTGAAAATGGACTGCAACAGTCGATCCTTGACCGGCAGGATCAGCTCATGTACCTCACAGTCAAGCACTTCCTTCAATGTGGTGAAGCAACGACGAGAGGTCTCTCGGACATGCTGGTTCATGTGTCCGAGCTCATACACGAAGAAGCCACAAAGGGCATACAAGCGACTCTTCTCGTTCTTCAAATCCTCCTTGGGAATGAGCTTGCCACATTTCCGAAGAATCAAGGACATTGTCTCCTGTGACTGGATGCGTGTAGCAGCAGGCAGATCGGCAGGGGTGTCCTTGATGACATACATCAATGCTCGAGAGAACTCGACATGTCTCTCATAAAGCCATACCTCTCCCAAGTCCAGCTTGGTCGCAAGCAAATTGATACCGAGACTGCCACCTGCCTTGGTGAACCACTCCTCACTGTGGCAGCTGTGGCAGAAGACACGGCCAAGGTGCTGGAAGAATGGGAGCTTGGATGCCTTCTCAGGGGAGCCAAAGATGACGCCTGCAGCATCCCTGACAACCAGCATTGCTTGCTCAGCTGCTTCCCGGACATGAATCTCATCAAATGACAGACACTCAACGAGGGCCTCCGCCAGAATCTTTGAGTCGAGGTACACGGGTCCCTCGCCACTTGCAACATCGAAGGCCTTGCGACCATGTCTAGCTTGAGCCAATGCACGACCAACCTCAAGAAGAGCAAAGTGCTTGCAGACATCAGCCACGAAAGCTGTAGCAGCGGGCTCAAGCTCAGGGATTGTTGTGGCAAAGATACAGGCCTTGAGAAGCTTCTTCACGATCGCTTCCTGTGCAATCTTCTTGGGAATAGAAGCTGACCGTTCAGACTTGTCAAGAATGTCAGCCATGGCACCAGGCTTGTTCTCGAAGAGGTCATTTGCATGAAGTCTGATCAAGGTTGCCAGGTCTTCAGGAAGGTTATCGTAGCCGATCTGAAGCTTGAGGTGTGAGCTGAGCATGCGATAGGCTTGCTGCTTGTAATAGATGTCCGAGGCTTTCGCGGAATCAGTCTTTGGGATCTCCATAAGCTTGCCAGCAGCAAGATCAATGCCAATGTCCACAGGGAAAGGTCGCTTCTCATTGGGGCCGATGAGGCGGATGTCAAAGCTTGGGTTGTCATCAGAGTATTGCTGGAACGACAGCTCTGGTGGGTGGTTGAGGAACTTGCGGTTGCGTCCACCCAGCTTTCCTAGGATGCGCATGGTAGTGTGTGCGTGGAAGTGGTTGTAGGGATGGGGGCGGAGATGGTCCCAGAGTGCAGTCATGAGCTCGTCCATAATTGGAGCCATGATTGGGTCGAGATAGTCGGCAGTGAGGTTATCCACGCAAAGTTCCAGAGTACGCAAACCTTGGCCAACAAGGTCTGAATCAGCACGCAAGGCCACCACGATGGGACGCATTAAGTAGCTAAGGTGAGGGAGAAGATGGCTCAGGCGTGCGGGAACAGTGAGGGTAAGTTCAACATATAGGTCTCGTTCTTGCGGTTTGCGGGCTGCGAGTAACAAGTTGTTGAAAGTTTCGAGGAGCATCTCAAGGAGTGGGAGAATCTCCTTGTAGAGAAGCTCGAATCGGCCCCCCCCGATGCTTCGGAAGAGGGAGCGCAGGAGGAGGAAGTAGTTCATAGGCTCCTCGGCTGTGACAGAAAGCTCGATACACTTGGTGACGATCTTTGTCACATGGGGGTGAAGCACCTGCTCGTTCTGCACGGAAAACAGGGTCACAGCCATGAAAGAAAGCTTGAACATCCTCAAGAGAATCTTTGCCTTGGTCATATCTGACGTCCCAACCTCATCGATGCGTTCCATGAGATACTGTAATACCATGCCGGAGAATGCGGGAGAGGTGGCTTCGCTGGCGAGGAAGAACTGTGGTAGGTGAAGCAAAGATCCATGTTCAAACATGAGCTCGTGGAGGTATGGAATTTCCGAGTGGAAGACCTCGTGGAATGTTGCAGTGTCAATGCAGTGGAAGACTGTGCCAAAGCTTTCCAGAAGCTCCTTCTCTTCACGCGACATCGGTGCTGTGTACTGGCTTGCCAAGAAGTCAAAGGGAGACGAGTAGTTCATATCAGGTGGAGATTGATCAACTCCATAGTAACGGAATACACGAGCTCCCTCGTGAAACAGCTTCTTGATAACGCGTACCTCCTCAGCGTTGTAGCCGTATGAAACTTCAGACCAATTGATGGGGACACTATTCGGGTCAATCTGAACATCATCGGGGTTGCAGTTCTTCAATTGGCGGAATATGTTCTTGAGCCCGTTGATCAAGTTCCTGAAGAGGAAGATATTGTCCGAGACAGGGTCACCGCCACGATCGCGTGGGCTGGAAGTCTTGATGGGAGAAGCCGAGAAAATATCAATCTCATCCCAGTCAGGAGGCTGATCCTTCTCCGCAAGATAGTTCTCAGCACATGGCTCCGTTTCCTTTCGGTATACTTTGTACGCCTTGGACACCTTGACAGCGTTGTTGAACTGATGGTTCATAGACGCAAACTTATCACCAATGGCGTCTAAAATCATAATTAGGAAATAGCGGGCTTCGCGCTTGTCTTCGAGCTTGGAAATATTCTCCGCCATGTTCAGAAGAAGCTTTGCACTCATGGTCTGGAAGCTTGTGCCAGGGAAATCGTCATGAAGATTCTTGGTGTAGACCTCAACAGTGCGCCGGATCTGATCACGGCTGAGATGGTCACGGACATGGTGAATCAGATCAGCTAGCATGCTATAAGCCAACGGCCTCATGGTCTCATATACAGTGAGGCCGTCTCCGATGAGAGTTCGCTCATCCAAAAGCTCATCAATCTTCTCAAGAAAGATCTTGCGGTAGTTGAAGTTGATGATGTGACGGATGGCGACCAATAATTCCTTGCGTGCACCTGACTTCTCTCGCGGGCAGTCTTGAAGAAGTCGCACGACGACCGAGGGAAGAGTAGGAAGGAAATCCTGGAGCTGGTGGGCATATAACCTCAATAAATACGCCAAAAAGCTCATTGTCTTCACCTGGGCTGTAATAAACTCTCCAAAGGCAGCGCGGTTCTTGATTTCCTTGCATACGCCGGTAAAAATGGTGCCCTGCGCAGCAGCTTCTGCGTGTGCCTTTTCCTGTGGCTTGGCCTGGAGCAGCAGGATTGTCTTGATAAGAGGTACGAAAAGCTTGACGTTCGCTGAAACGGATGCACGGTGGGTCTGGAAGATCGAAACGACGATAATAGGGCATTCAGCAAGAACCTTGAAGGACTGCATTCCTTTGAGAAGGACATTGCTGGATTGCTGATCGGGTCCAAGATCTGAAACTGATGTAGCAGGTGAGCTTGGTCGTGGTGACTGGAAGTTCTGTGCTGTCGCGTTGGGCGTGGATGGCATGCCAGAAGGTGTGGCCTGGTTTGGAGTGTCAAAAGTGTCCCGGACAACCTGTTCCATGGTCTGGAACATCTCCTGAATCAGTTCCAAGAAAGCTTGCACCCGATGTGCAGTAGCCTTTGCTTGGTTCCGCTCCAGATCCATGATTGTCTTCATGCATAGCACTGCATTGTCCTCGTTTTCGATCCGCGCAAGCTCCATCAGCAGGTCCACCATGTCGACGGCATACGGTTCAACGTCGGGGGAGCCCATGGGTAATCGGTGTAGCGTCTCGAGGATACAGTTTCGTAGTTTCTGTGAATGCAAACGATGGTTAGTACTTCCGTACTATAGATATATATATTGATCGAGAACGAAACCGTTCCCGACTAGAATGAATTTATCTCACTTGTTCATAAGACAAGCTGAAGAAAACCGGGTCTCCCTTCAAGATTGTCTTGAACACAGGCCATAGCTTCGACAAGAAGATGGGGTAGCTTGCGCCCGAGCATAGGGGCTCAATGCTATCTCGTAATTCGGTAGCAACATTGGCTCTGACTTTCACGTCTAGAGAAGGACAAGTGGTTAGCACGAGGACGAGGTGACTGAACAGGCTAGTAAGCTCATGACATACCCAGCTTCTCGTCGCCGAGTTTGCTGGCGTAAATCTCAATATTCCTCTCCATCCTTGCGATCGCACCCTTGGAAAGGGCAGGTCTCTAAAGAGAAAGAAACAGCAATGACGGCCGGGCCGAGAGGCCGGCTGAGAAGTACAGAGTGTGCGCAATCTTCCCAGAGGAAAATTGGAGTCTCATATGTCGTGTTGTGGTGTCAGAAAAGCTGTGTGGACTCGATCGATTTGCGAAAAGATGGGTGACGGGTAGGGTTTAAGGAAGAGAATCATCAAGTCATTGAGTCTTCCAAAATAAGAAAATGCCTAGTCCATTGAGCGAAAGAGAGTTCGGAAGGCAAAGGAGTGTATCGAAATACCCCGCGGGGAAAGTGGTGAGGGAAATTGGGGGGATTTGGAGGTCGCGCGATATTCACGAGAGCAGAACAGAAGACGCGGGCTATCGCAGAGACCCCGAAAGAAACACTAGTCTGTTTTAGGTAACCATTTCGGTCGGGGTTGATCCGCTCCGGGCTTTACAGCCACGAACTCTTTTGTCCAGGTAGTCTAAGGTTGAAGTCACTTGTTTGATGCATTTGCCATTTAATGATGCTATACTGTCTCTCGTCATTCTACCGAGTTCTACTCAACTTCGCTTACTTCTCACTTCGGTTCAAGGCAATGTCAGATCCTAGAATTGGTCTAAAATAATAGAAAAGAACTGAAAGAAAAAACACAACACATAGACAGCCATCGCCATCATGGTCGATGGATGGAAACGCCATTCGCACCCGTTTTCCATACCCGAACACGGTTCTAAGACTGATTCCAACTCACCACCCGCTCACTTCATCACGAAAGGTGAGAGGAGCCAGTCGCGGAAAGGAAAATATCAAAAAGTCCATGTACACAAAATAAAAAAGAAGATGAAAAGGGCAAAAGGCACAGGTTGTTGGGCATCAGTCCAGGCGAGTATCGCCGAAATCAAAAGACAAAAAATATCGTTGCCCATAGTCGCTATGCCATCGCAGGAGAAAATCAACGGAAATCACATGTCCATCAGCAGCCCATCCCCTCCGAGACATTATTTGGTAGAGTTGCTTCGATGCAAGATCTGTACATTGGTGGCACTGGTACCGCTGCCAACCGATCGTCGTCGCGGGCGAATCTCGCTGCCGCTACCGCTCCGTCGTCTCCGGCCACTGCTGCGAATGGAGCCTCGGCGTCGTGTCTGAAGCAAACGGACGTTTCCACGTTAGAATCACGCTGGCTATACATGGGCGGACGCGGTCTCTTAGCAAAAGACAAATACGAGGGCAACAGAGCCAGACACAAAGGGTAGTTTCCGCATAGGAATGCACGGATCTGGGCAGCAGAGCAGCACGTATCAGAATTGCACGGAACTTACCGAATTAGGGGTGCCCTCCCGACTGGGTCGCTCCTTGGAAGTATCGGGTTCCTCCTGCAACTTCAATGTGTTCAACCGCTTTTGGCTCTCGTGGGTCATGGCCTCTACTTCATCGATAGGCTCCGGAACGTCGAGAGCAGGGGGTGGGGGGGAGGAATGCCATTCTTCCGGTCTTTAGCTTGTTGCTCGATCATGTCCCACCGATCTGTGCGTGTCTTCTCTCGTTGATCTGCGCTGTTCTGATGCTCGGTATATTCGTGGGAGCATTCATCAAAGAGCTGTGGGTTAATCTCCATGAACATCTTCATGGCATTGTACACCATGCTGTGAATTGTTCTGGGGGTGGGTAAGCTGATGAACGTTTCGGGACGTGTATTAATCTTACCGGTTCCAATGTCCCTTTGAATTCTCGTAAAGGGGGGCGAACATGATAGGGAGAATGGTCTCCACATTGTCACTCACGAGGTTGCAGAAGTACTCGTTGTTCCAGAAGTACAAAGCACGTTCGGCGACCTGGAAATGAGGACTGGCAACAGACTTGGCCAATTGGTGGAACAGAGGTTCCTGGACCTTGGCAAATTCACCTGGGTCCATCACCTCAAAGATATCTTCAACTTCATTCAGGTACATAACCTCCTTGGTGCTGTTCGTCTTGGGCCAGAAGCGGAGCAAGCCAAGAACAACCTGGTAATATGATTAGCATCGGGGATTAGAAGAAACGGATATCAATGCTTACATCTTCAGTCAATGTGGAGTCTTTCTCCAGGAATTGCACAATACAATAGGCCAGCTGTGGGTGGTACATGCTGAGGCTCTTCACCTTGTGCATTGGGAGGAGGACGCGAGTCAGGAACAGCTTGTGCTCTTCCTTCAGCGGCAAAGCGAACCCGTTGATGATCGAACCCAAAATCTCCAGCAATTCAGCGATACCGTTATGCCTTTCAGTCTCGTACATGAACTGGAAGAAGACGTTGTTGATAGACCGACGGATGTAAGAACGCAAGTTCAAAAATTTGCCATAGATGCGATGCAAGGTCGTTTTCAGGAAATCGCGTTCCCGTGGGTCTTCTGAATCAAAGAGATCAAGCAACTAGGTGAGGTTAGTCATTGGGTCATGCATGCAACAAGTAAAATGAAACATACCGAAAGCACAAACTGATGGTCGATGTATCCCTTTGCAATGTTGGTGTTGAAATCCTGGCTCTCAATGAACCTCAAGAAGAACTCATATACAACCTGAATATGGGGCCAAGCAACTTCCAACACAGGCTCATCCTCCTCTGGGTCAAATGCTTCACCCTGAGGTGTCATAGGCGGAGGGATAGGGCGGAACAAATTCTTGGCAAACATCTCAACCACGCGAGGATACATAGGTTCCGTGATGACCGACCGGTTGTTAGCAACATAATCTAAGAGTTCATGAAGCGCCAGCCTCTTGATCTCCTTGGACTTCATATCAGCCGTAGGGTCGTTGAAGTCGAAGATAATATTGCACTGGTCGATCTTTTGCATGAACAGGTCTTGCCGGCGGTTGGGGGGCACTTCGTGGAAGCCTGGCAGCTTCTCCAATTCCCTTTGACGCTGATCGGAGATATCAAAGCGAGAGGAATGCTGGCGCTTGGGGGTTCGAATTCCTTCTGAAATGTCCTTGGGTGTGGTCTGCAGCCGATCAAAGACGTGGGACTTTCTCGGGGGTGCGAGGTCTCCGGGCATCGTTTCAGCGGCTCCAGGGGGAGGGACATGCTGTGAAATCAAAAATTGTTAGGAGATGGATATTTGGCCATAGAGCGTTGACTTACCGGTGCACTTGGACTTATGATGACGCTAGGAGCTACAGGCTGCCCTTGTCTAGTAGGGGTTCCTGGTCCGTTGCTTGCGGGCTGACCTGCGGCGCCAGCCTGACCCATGTGTTGGACTGGAGTGCCAGGGTGAGGCGCACCTGCAGCAGGGGCTCCGGCTGGGGGGACATTGTCCGGAGACTTGTTTCGCGAGTCGTTCAAAGAAGTTGTGGACGAAGTGGGGGTACCTTGGTTGGGGGATGAGGACTGCTGTGTTTGGGAAATGCCAAGCGACGACTGGTTCTGCGAGGAATCTTTCTTTTTTGATGACTTGTTGGCGTCTTTCGCCCGCGACAACTGCTCATGCTAAAGCCACAGCGTTAGTTTGATGTTAAGCTGAGTAAGGGGCTGCCCGCGTGCTCAAGAGGGATGGGAGGTGGTCGTGCGGTAAGATGCTCGGGGAAGGGTTGGCGGTAACTCACCACTCTCTGTCTGAAACCCTTCATTTTGACGACTATTTAGATAGCCACATGTACTCGGCTAGAAACCTCGGTGCTAGTGCAGCAGACGCCGCACTCTAGCCAGAGTAAATCAAGGGGTGCCAACGGAGAAGGCCGCTCAGAATAGCCACGAGGGGGAACTTGCTTGTACCTAATAGGAGAAACTGATGAGCGGACCGGTCACACAACATGCTAAGTGGCACTCTCAAGGGAATCGACTCTGGACTATATTGAGACGGTGCGGTTCTCGGAGGGAAATCCAGGCCTCAATGGCAACACCACCAGCGCTCCAAACAGGGTGTAGTCGCAGCACGCGCACGGGGCAAGACGTCTCGATTGGAAGAAAGGGCGAACCGGCCATGGGAAACCAGTGTTCGATACGACGTACCTCCGTAGTTTCGAGGTTGACAATTGGGGATTTGAGGGTGAGGACTGTTCGGAGCAGATGTTGGTATCGGACGGAGGTGCTTGGCTGGATCTCCGTGTCGCTTAGTGGCAGGCTGGGAGCGGGGGGTTTGGGAGCACCAGTTAGACGGCACTCAGGTCGCAGCCCAGGACGAGATCACGAAAAAAGATTTCCGAGGAAATCACCGAGTAGCCAATGTACAAGAGATCAAATAAAGATGATGGTTGTGGGGAGGAGGGAGGGAAGTGGATTGTTGTTGAGGTGTAGGGAAAGGCGGGCTGGTTCTCCTGGCTGTGATGGTGAGAGGGGAACCACCAAGTATTCTTTCTTCTACATTTCTATGTGAAATGGACCTCTGGATTGATCCTGAGGTTCTAATTACTACTCGACAGCCATAGCGTCTCTCCCTCTCCCCTATACGACTTTGTATGCTTTTTGCCGCTTGTTTCAAGTTTGCTTATGTCATGGCACGTGACCGCAGGGGCGATTTCGATTCTCAGGTACCGACGACGTCACTGGCAACTATAGACAAGCTGAGGTTTTGACAGTATCTATGAGTATGTATTGATATCTTCATGAGCGTCAAGTCTTGCTGGAATTGCCGGAACTCGAGGTCTGTGCTCCAACCCCACTCTATGGATAGCATCTTGTGCTGTAGTGGCTTATATGGTATCCAAGTAATTTGTGGCTTGCATGCACGATTCTGCTTTGGATCTATCACGCGGGTGGGATTTTATAGCTGGATTGGGCTGGGTTGGCCTTTTTGTTTCAGACTGTCCAAGTAGGGAAATATATTGTGGGTTGCTAGCAGGTGAAATTCTTGGTTTTCTGTGACTTCATATGATATATTCTGGAAAATATGACAGCCTGGATATTTATCCGTGAGAGAATGGTCTTTTCCTTTCTATTCGTTCTATTCGTCCCCAAAAACATCCAATTGGAACTGGACTGGCTTCCTAAGCCTATATATATAACTTAGAGCAGACATTCAACTCCCAACATAAGTACAGCAAAACGATGACACTGAAACTTATTATGTTTTGCTCAGATAATTATCTCACATCAAAAAAAGCGCGGCTAGTCTTAAAAAGCACCGAATATATAATCTATGTCATGGTCATATGAGGATCGCTTGGTGCGCGTGAGGCTGAAACCAAGTCGGACTTTGCGTCGTATGTGATCAAGCTGGTGTGGTTTCACAGTCTCATCATCTAAAGTCAGTTGAAAATATCACACAATAGAAGAAATCAAATGGGAGCATGATATAGAGACATTCATGTCAAGAGCCAATCCAACCAATCAGCTGAAGATTTGGCGCCATTTGATGAGTCATCATATATATGCCATTCGGCCTAACCGCTTGTGGAATATAGACTCGGAACCTTTCTTTGATGTGAGAGTCCTATACATGACTTACGCGTGGAAAACAGTGTAGCATACACAAGCTCTACAGATAGAAGATTGCCGAGGCCAAACCCTAACGAACGTGGCAGTGTTGCGTTTGAACGCGTTTGCACTCTTCCCCCGAGCCGATCAGCCACACGCAACCAACGATAATTGAGCGTGGAGGCACCTCAAAACAGTCCAAGAAATCGTCTGCTTAACATATAAAGAGAGCTGGCTCAACATGGATGGCCAACAAGTTCTGAGAACAGCCCCAATCTACCCAGTCCCATCCCGCCTCCTCGTCAGTGTCGAACACCCTGCCGTAGTGCGCAATGTCGACAAGGCGATCGATACTTTAAATGGCGACACAGGGATCAAAACAGTGAGAAGAAGAAACTCAATGAAATGACCAACCAAGAACATCTATACTGACATGCTACAGTTCCTGAACCCAGCCAAGCCAGATACACCGGCAAATCTGGTTCTTCGACCGGATGATGCCATGGCCCGGCCTGTCCAGTCGACCAGCAGTGCATCAAACAATGTCCTGCTCAAGGTGACCGTTCCCAAGCGGACGGGACGGAAGCGCAAGAAGGGCTCGGATGGGCCTTTTACGGACGCACCAGAGTCTGAAGATACCGAGACGCGGCCACGACGGTCAGCTAAGGATCTGATGCGCAGCTTGCGTAATAACCCGTCTGCATATCATATTGAACCAGTTGGGAAGATACAGCGCACTCATGTCTTTCGAGGTTGGATTTCATGGCATCTTTTGTCGATATCTTACTAACCCCGTACTAGGAATGCCGGACTTTGTCTACTCGACTACAGCAAGCTCATTCACCAACCGGTTCCGGAACCAAATTCTTCCATTTGACTGTGAGTGCCGTCGACAAGTGTCCAGCGGGTCTTATCTAACACAACTCAGTCGAGAAAATGAAACAGTTCGAGCTGGACATGGGCAAAGGGGCCACCACTAACGCAGATATCATTCCACCACCATCCTTCAGCCATGGCGATGTGCCTTTCCATTACATGTAAGTCTCCAATCCACTCCAAACCTACCAACGCAAACTGACAACCCAAAGCTACCGCCAAAACCCAACAGTCAGACAGTCAATCGGCCAATCCGGAGAAATAACGACAGTGAACACACAACAAGTGCACAAAGTTCTAACCTACCTAATCCCCTACGACGCAGAAAAAGTCCCAACAGAACCACGACCAGACCTCCCCCCAATCGAAACCCTAGACAACAGCATGAGAAGCACAATCTCCAAACTGCGCGCCCTCTACGAAACCCAACCAGCCTGGACCCGCCGCGGCCTCCGCAACAACTTAACAACAGACGAAGACCGCACAAACCTCCGCCACGCCGTTCCGTACGTTGGCTACATCTTCCGCTCCGGACCTTGGCGCGACGCAATTATAAAACTAGGCATCGACCCACGCACCTCCCCGGAGTACCGCCACTACCAAACATTCATGTTCAGACTCCTTGCAAGAGAAGCAGAACTAGCGCGTGATGGCGCAAGTGGTCGAAGACATAACCTACCCAGACCATATGACCTGCACAATGCGCAGCTATCAGCCAGTGGACAAAATACCAGTTCAGAAGATGGCTCGTCGAGCACGCACATCTTCACTGGGAAATTACCCTTCTCGGCGGACGGGAAGATCTGGATGATAGCCGAGATTCAGGATGAGCAGTTGCGACGGGCTTTGTATCCGGCTGAAGAGGTGGAAGGGTTCTTACGGGGGGAGTGTGAGATTGTTGCTGATGGATGGTTTGGGAATGGGACGCTGGGGAAGGTGAAGACTGTGATGCGACATAAGATCCAGGCGTTGATGGAAGGGAGGGAGGCTGACGATGAGGAGTTTGAGAAGGTGTTGGCGTTGCCGGATTTTGCGAGGTCGGAGGCTGATTTTGAGAAGTTTACTGTTGATGGGGAGCCTAGTAGTCGGGAGATGCAGCTTGCTACTGAGGTTCGGTCTGCTATTCGGGGGTCGCCACTTTGGACGAGATTGCCTGGGAATAGGGGTGTTGGGAGGGGGAAGGGTAGGGGGAAGGGGAAAGAGAAAGAGAAGGGTGAGGGTGTTGAAAAGGGTAAAGGGAAAGGTAGGGCTGGGAGGGCTGGAAGAGGGAGGAAGGGCAAGGAGGTTGCGTTCGAGGAGCCTGAGCCTGAACCTTATGCTGAAGAGCAGATTGATGAGCCCAGTGAAGGCGAGGAGGAAGAGATTGAGCGGCGGGAGATGCTGGCTGAGCAGGTTGCTGCAGCCGCCGAAGCGAGGGATGCGGACCAGGATGAAGATGACAGTGATAACTCGGATGAAGATGGCAGTGATTGATCTAAATTTACAGACTTACTTTATCCTAAGCGCATAGCCGAGATGGAGACAGAGAATACTCATTGCAATAAACTCATTATCATTTGCTCGGAAGGCATAGCGGACGCAGACCACTGTGTACATCATAAAACATAAACGTTAACATAATCATCAGCATAAGCATCAGCGTAACATCAGACATGACAAGACGGGAACTCATTAATTAGACGGGGATAGTAAATGAAGGTTAGCCCGTGGACACAATAGTGCAGCAAAGGGTACATGATTCGTAATAAGCATGAAGCAAAGAAAGACAACAGACCAAACAATGGACACCATCCAAAACAAAGATAACGGCCACGTATAAACGCCAAACAAACAAATTGGTATTGGGGCCAACCAGGCCAAAGACACGAGACACCGAATCCAGATGCATATGCGAGTGGTTTTGAGGAGAGCTCATCAGGAAGAGGGAGCAGTATTTTCATCTGAGGCTGAGCTATCAGCGCTGTGGGATTCAGCCTCAGACTTGGCAGTCACAGCTTCCAAGACCGAAGCGATGGAAGTAGAGATGAGAGCTTCCTGATTCTGAGCAAGAGGCGAAGAGGGTTTCTTGAACTCAACAGGCTCCTCGTGGACCACGACATAAGAAAAGGCATTGCAGTCCTCGGCATAGAAGTCGGCAGCATTGAGCTCGCCAAGCGGGGCGCGGTCCTCATCCATCTTCAATTCCTTACGGGGAGCAGGGGCGGCAGTAGCAGCGGTAGTGATAAGAGCACTGGGGAGCTCAATTCCAAGCTCGGCAGGAGGGATGTTCTCCTTTCCACGGCTATCATTGGGAACAGTCTTGCCCTCGTCATCGCTGATATCGAGAACAGTAGTAGAGTGCTGCATAAGGTTGGTCATCTCGTCCTGCTCCGAGTCGACATGAATATCAAAGAACCAAGAGGTAGGAGTCTTAGGTGCTGGCTTGGGAGAAGACGAAGTCTGGAGAGCGGAAGCGAGCGAGAAAGGACGCGCGACAGCGCGCTTGCCGGATGATTCAGAACGGGGCTTGGAGATAGCAGAGCGACGACCGGGCTTGCTGGACTTTGGGGGAGGGGAGCGACCAGCAGGCTTGAGAATCGGGGCAGACTTTGGGGTTGAGATTGACTGCGAGGTTCTCAAGGGAGTTGAGAGACGTGGGGAGACGATGGAAAGAGCCATGCGGGAGGTCTTAGGCTTGGAAGCTTTGGGTTCTTCGTCGTCGCAGGTGCGCTTGCGCTTTGTGGAGAGTTTAGAGGGATCGATATTCTCCGAGTCGACGAAGATGGTGTTGGGTTTCATAGACTTGGGACCTGTGGTTCTGGTTAGATGATCCCAGGAACATATAATCCTGGTTCGAACTTACCAGCATTGCTTTGACGGTTCAACTTTGACATCAGAGGACGCATAGTATCGATGCAGCCCAAGGGCTGGCGTGTGGGAGTCATGGTGAGAGTGGCCATGGTGAAAGAGAGAGAGAGAGAGAGATCGGGTTTGTTTTGGTCAAGTGGGGTTCACGCTAGCTGACAGAGTGACAGGCCAAGGTATTGGATAGTGTAATTGATCGATAGTTGATATAGTAGGAAATCGAATGATTGTATATGGTCGGATCACAGTTAATAAAGAAAGGAAGGGATCTAGAGTCCAGTACACCGCACTATGATCGAATGTCTTGGATGGGAGGACGAGGCTGTAGTTATACTTGAGACTTGCAGGTTTAGGTTAGAGGGGAGGCAAGGAGAATTATAATGAGGGATCACAAATGGAGGGCGGAGGGACTATTTCAAGGACTATTCTGAAGCCTGCATAGCATCAGCGCGTCGCGTCAAGTAAGTATGTAAGGTATTCGGAGATGCCAAGTTCAGGTGTGGCGGTTACAATGCAATTCTTCGCGGAATGTATGAAGATACGCGCTTTATTCCTTCCCCCAGGTCTATAGTTCTTTATTTCATGAGTCCTCTAATTATTCTGTTACTGTCAATTAATGATATTTAACTCATAAACCCATCTCAAGCAAAACCAGTCTTGTAAGTCGCGTCCATCCCTTGAACGCGTCTGAAGTACCCGATACTCGGCATCCCGCCCCGTCAGTACTATCCGCGTAAGTATCCAATACCTCCACGCGACACGAAGTCTCGCGACGTGACGAAGAGCGCTAAAAGATGAAGTGACTGAAAGTTTGCCAGCGCATCAGTCTCCATTGGCTGCCACTAATTACGACTCAAGCCGTGATGAAACCCATGCATGCAATGCACGAGGGGCCGTGGAGATTTGAGGTAATGGTGGAGCTGGAACATCTTGCGGTCTGTGAGACGTAGGTGTCGACATAGAGAGACATAGCTGGAGATGAATGTGTCTGGAGATGTCTCGCGTGTCAGGCTGGGGATTGTTGAAGGCGTTTCATAGGGCATCCATCCCTTGAAAGGTCGGTTCGTGGAGAATGGGCTATTAATAGGGAAGGTATGCACCTATATGCCTTCACCCCCTCGTGGGCTGGATAAAGGCTGGATATTCCCCCTCGTACATTTATCCTTGTTGCATTCCTGGAAATGAAGGATGGTGAGCCTATCCTTTCCGCCGTAGACGTGTTCTTGCATCGGCATCGGCATTGTTCCACTGGGTGTACAACGGTTGATCTAGTCTATCTTGATATAATGTACATTCGCCCATGACATCAGATCTCATCCTCAAACGGAATGCTATCCATGGCACCTTGACGTTCCACCGCTCGAGCCGAGGCCCGCGCAGCCAGCCGCATTGCCTCGTCCATCACCGTCTTATACCGGTATGCTTTCTCGTCATCGGCCAGGTCCTGCCCGGCTTTGCCGGCCCCACGACGCTGCTCGCGCCACCGCGCCACCTTGACAGCGTACCCTCCAGCAAAGGTGTCCCCGGCAGCAGTGGTATCCAATACCCGAGACACAGGCGCCGCAGGGATCTCATTCGTGAAGCGCTGCACACCGTCACTAGGCCCTGAAGACCCACCATCCGTGGCACTGTACCAGACACCCTTAGCCCCTAGCGTGATAAGCACATAGGTAACGCCGAGCTTGTGGAAGTACCGCGCAACCATCTCCTTGCCATCGAGACCCTCAGCATCAGGAACGACACGGAGCAATTGCTCCAAAGGCGGTGTCATGAGCTCTGCCTCGGTCTCATTCAAGATCAAATGATCCACAGCAGCATAAACATCCTCAGGCAAGCCACCCGGAGGCGCAGGAGCCGGGTTAAGCATAACATCAGGACCGCACTCGATGCCGCGCTTCCCAGCAGCACGGTTCTTAGCCTTGAATGCGGCAATCTCCCGTAATGTCCCAACAGTGGTATCAACAGGAATCTCACCCTGCATGACAATCACATCCGGTACAGGTGCCACAAGTGCCATACCCAGTACTTCCGGTGTAGGTTGCATACCCTCATAGTTTGCACCAGGTGAAAAGACAATGCGGTTCTCGCCGCCAGCCGACGAATCAACAATGATAACCGCAACACCGGTGTAAGCGTTCTCAACAATCTTAACTCTGGATGGGTCAACACCGGACCTTTCGAGTGTTGGCTTGAGCAGTGCAGAGAAGTGACCGTCTAGTGCGCCGACTGCGCCCATCATCTCGACTTGGACATCGCTGGTGGAGGGTGCGGGGCCTGTTGGTTTGGCTCTGGACATGCGGCCGCAGGCAACCGCTTGGTTGGCGCCTTTGCCGCCTGCACTTGTGAAATAAGACGAAGAGGTTATTGTTTCGCCTGGGGTTGGGAAGCGTGGGGTCACGGAGACCATGTCGGCGTTGAGGGAGCCGATTACTCGGATGAGGGGTGCCATGGTTGTGTTGTGCTCGTGGGAAGGTATTGGTGGGCGCTGTTCGACTCGAAGTGGAGGAGAGAAGGATGAGCTTGGTCGTAAGGATCACAATATGCTCAATTGTAAATGGGGCTCGAGGTAGAGACGTTTGAAGTTGTTCGCTGGAGTGAAGATTGGAATGACGTCGGGTACATTGTGGGGCAGGCCCACTTACCTCAAGAAGTACAGTCTAGTAAGGTTAATTACTGTACAGAGGTACTGTACTTCGAAAGTCTAGGATCATTTGGGAATAGAAAAAAAACTAGCTAAAGAGCTCATACAGAGGAACCCCTTTCTCCCAAAAAACATCTTTATCCAAGGGCACAAGACTACTTTTCGGTTGATATTGGGTCATGTGACAGCTGGATGTATAGGACTCACGCACATCAGGCACCTAAGCAATTTTCTAGAAACACTCCTTCGGAACTCAGATATTGCAGGTGGCAAGCGTACCACTTGTCAGTACTCTGTACCCAGACAGAACGTTCACGTAGCAAAGACTGACTGATTTTGTTCCCCCTAAGCCTCCAAAGGCATATTATTTAAGCTACGAACCTATCACGCTTTCTTTGTGCTTCATGGGCACTTGGCCTATCTTTTTATCCCTCTCAATACTACCCACAGCTATGCTATATATATATATATACTTTCAGCTTCTCGATGACGAACCTCGTCTATTGGGGGGGGATGTTTTCTATTGATAGGTGCCCACGCTGGTTGAAGACATTCCCAGGGCCTACGAAATATATAACAGCCTGAATCAGTGCAACAGGCAGCATTCAAAGGCTTGTGCTACTGATTTCATGTACTTACAATATCAATGATACCCACTGATCCATTTTGCAGGGACTTGGAATCAGTCTCGTTAAGATGGCGCGCAAAATACAAGAAAGAAGCGCAACGACAACTAGACCTAGACTGTTGCAAACCACACCTTTAGCCCACCACAGCATAGGCGCTACTACCTAGGTCTTATTATAGCGAGTAAACCGGGTTGTGAATTGTCCACGGGTGGCAGAATCACCAAGAGTATCCATGAAATCCGCTATTGTTAGAGTGATATGGGCTCAGACAGAATAGAGACATGTTTGACTTCCTGTCCTCTTTTACGTAAGGCTACTAAACATGCTCCCAATGAGGTATGAATGTTCGCTTTCAAGCCCTTAATGCGGCCAAATGGCAGCTACAATCGCGTCGGGACAAGTTGAGTAGCTGGTCTTTGACAAGAAATAAAAACCAAGGAACATATATATGTAGTTGACATCGAAAACTATAATTCAACTAGGGTTATTAGCCAATCAAGTCTAAATGAATGTACCACGGTTGATGCGGGATCTACAGGCAGGTACATAGCTCAGGCCGCAGGTGTACGTGACGTGAACTTTCCGTTTCATTTGCATGATATCATTGTATTCTGATACTTTCTATTGACAGGACATGAGGAGTAGGTTCAGGCTATCATCCACCTATTGGAAGACCAATTCGCCGTTGATGTTGGTGATACGCTCGGCCAGGTTGATGTCCGCATCCTGACCCTCTCCATCCATGTTACCCAAAACCGCCCGAAGAATAGGAAGCTCGTCGTCTCCTTCACGATCGAAGCTGACATCGGAGGCACTTTCGTGGAAGTTCTCGCCCTCCCAGTAGAATTGGCCTAGCACGAGGCGTCAATACTTGTCACAGCCTAAGAACGAGACGGGACCGAAGCAGATGGCTACTCACCATTATCGTTCCCAATGATACCGTTCAAGTCCAGAGTAGACTCTTGCTCATCACCATCCTCGTTACGCAGGGTAGCCTTGAGGATATGACCATCCTCAAGCTCGATGTCAGTGGCAGATTCGTGGAAACTCATATTGTTGATATCGGAGAGAAGATTGCAAAGTAAAGTGTAAAGACTCTGGATCATAGAACTGGAGAGGAGATGAAAATGGGGACACAAACCCTCTTTATATACCCCATTCAGACAGGATACAATACGCGCCGACCCAGAACCGACCATAGGCTCACGATCGTGCAGCAGCCCCCCGGTTCTTGTCCAACACTTGGCCTGGAATCATTTGCCAGCGGCACTATCCAACGATGCCATTGCAGCTGGGACAGGCGGGGCATTTCTCGGGCGTACAGGCATTGGAGGTGCGGGGATACTCTACCGATGGGGGGATATGTGCAAGACAAAAGAGACATCTTTGGTCCAGTATGTAGGGGAGTGGATAGGGAGTGGAGAGTGTCAGGATGGCAATATGCAGTACAGCTCACAATGAGTGGACCAGACCCAGCGTGAATACCCACATTAACATCTTGCCCAGACATTCAAAGCAAAGGAGCACAACGTGTCTTTGATAGAAGGCGTCATTATCGTGGCGCATGGTGTGTTTGGCCGTAGAACCAGCCACAGGATCGTGAATGGCATCTTGTGATGTTGCACTGTGTATGCAAGCCAAGCATGCATGACTCTGTGGCATGAAAGGCTGAAGTTGGGGAACAGCCACAGGACCCATGTTGCAAATGACCATTTGACGTTGAAAGAATTGTGAAATGCTGGTGCCTAGTGGGAGCACTGCAGTCGACCGAGGCTGGTGGCACGCCAAGGATGTTCGGGGATGCAGCCTCATGTTGTCAGTTCTTGGCAGCAAGGATTGTGGGTATGGGATTGTTGACAGCCACTGGCTTTGGCGCGTGTGGCTGAACAGGGCTAGCCTTATGACCGCTGGTATTGACATGTCCTTGGCATTGAGTGAGTTACGTAGGTATGTAGCTTTCAAGGCAGACACGCAAGAGATATGAATGAGTTAGTTATGGAAATGTCTAAGGGTATCTTCATGTTAGTATCTTTGCAGCCACAGATTGCTACGGGTCCCATGCAGGAAGCCAATTATATTTCTCTCTGACTTCGTGCATGGAACCGTAGACCCGTCTGTAAATCTCCTCTACCGTACCATTTGAGATGTTGTATGTTGCTGTCTGTCGACGATCAACCAGAAAGAGTGATTTTGATATCGAGGGCCAGGTGTCTGCTCCGCACAATCTTCTGACTTGCGTACCGGTGTAGGAATTTTGGAGCAGGCTCTTTATAATTTGCCTAACATGCGTTAGCCTCAGGAGCTTGGTACCTCTGGGGCTTCTCATAAGCAATATGATCCTAGGTTAAAAAACCAGCCGCAAGAAGAGAGACAAACCTAGAGAGGAACCATGCAAGAAGCGATATACTTGTACTGGGGAACGTGCATATGATATAAGAACCTGCTTCGACAATTTGCAAGTGGGAGTTCATATACCTAATTTGACGGTCTTTGAAGAGCATGCATATTGAAGAAGCGATAGAAAAACATAACAAGGCTTTGTATTGTAGCAGGACAGCAGATAAAGGATAAGGATAAACAAAAGCAAGCTTACAAACAAACTTACAAGAACAAAGATTGAAGGAGGGGATGTATAAAGAGGCCGCCAAAAAACAAAAAGTAATACCACCAGCTACCGGGATTAAACGCCCGCATATAGGACCCAGAGTCTAGGATGTAATGAGCGTTGAGCCAACTAGACTAGCTGGAGATAGACTTTGAAAGTGAGGTGCTTAACAATTTGATATGGGCTACTCCCGATTAAGAAGGTGGGGCCAATACATTGCCCCGGGCAAGTCACCATGTGATGACACACTATCAACCATGGACGAAGAGTTCGCCTACCACGGTTATGAGAGCACGATAATAACGTCATCAGAACTGACTGCTCAGCTAGCATCCCGATGCTTCGAGCTCCGGAATCACGCTGTGGATCTTTGGATATAAGTCTACTAATGTGGCGAGTCTACAACCCACACGACAGAGGAAGTAAATAGAGTGCAAAGTTTAATTTCATTCATTGAGCATTCCAGGCTAACGAGCGGAGCCTAGTATGGGACAATCCAACAAGAAAGTAACCTAAGCAGAGGCCGAAACCTCGAGACGCTTATAACCACCACCAGCGGCAACCTCCTTCTGAAGGGTAGCCATACGCTTCTGGTCGCCAGTAGGATCATTAGAGTCGGCATCAAGATCCCAGGAAAGGTACTCGTTGGTGTAGTTGGAGACGAAGTCATCGTTAAGAATTCCAAGACGCTTGCCATAGTTGGTGACCTTGTTCCAGTCACGAGCAACGTTCTTCAGATCACGCGAGAAGTAAGCGAACGAGCGCTCAAAGATCTTGCGGTTGACAGGAGTGGCCATAATAGGCTTGACATCAATGTATTCTTTGTAGGCCGTAGCCGGGTCCGCAAGAACAGCGTCCGTGCCGCGCTTGACGGCACGCATGAACTTCTGAATCTTCTCCGGGTTCTCGGCAATGAACTTGTCATTGGCGATGTAAAGGATTGAGCAGAAGCAGCAGCAGCCGAGCTCGGCGAGCTGGTCGATGCGGAGCATCTGCACGTCGTCGCGGGGACGGTTCTGCTCGGCGAGCCACTCTTCCAGCTCGACCATCTGGACGTTCTCGAGACCGATGCCGGCGTCGATGTCGCCTTGGATGATGGCCTTGGTGACGTTCATGCCGCAGCGGACGGCTGTGTAGTCGTCTGTGGTCATGCCGTAGTACTTGGTGAGTTCATCGATCTGAATTTTTCCGAACTCGCCAACGTAGCCAATTCGCTTGCCCTTCAGCGAGCGGAAGTCCTCGGTGATACCGCTGGACTTGAGATACACGACTCCGGTGAAGGGCTCATCGAGCAGGGAGCCGATAGAAGTGACAGGGAAGTCACGAGCCTTGGCCTGGAGGGAGTCAGCGATGATCTTTGGGACGAATTCAAGAGAGAACGAACCGCCAGAGTGTGGATCATGGCCTTGAAGCCCATGTCGACCTTGCCGCTACCGATGATCTCGGTCACATCGGAGGGGTCGTTGGGTTCGAGCAAAGCCACCTTGAGGCCTTCATCCTTGAAGTAGCCTCTGGCCTGTGCGAGGTAGAGGGGGGCGTGGTACGGGGTTGCGTGCCTGAAGAAACAAACACTTAGCCAGCTGAACTACATAGATCGACCAATGCCATTGAATGACAGGGGACAAATAAAAGCACTAGGACTGCCAGCATACCAGTTGGTCAAGAAAGTGATCTTGTCGGTAGACATGATGGCAGATAGATCAAACTGTTATACTTCAATTGAGTCAGTATGCCAAGAGAGAAAGCACCCGGTGCTATCCACTCCACATCAGGCCATATCCATCTCATGCTCATGCCGACGTCCTCGATCGAGAAGCGAGACCTGGGCAATGAGATAACTGGATAAAATGAACCTAGAAGCAAAAGTGAACAGAACCAAGTACAAAAACACAAGGGGAAACAATCAAAGTCACGCATGTCCTTTCGCTAGTATTGTCTAGATCAAGTTTTGACAGTATAATCTCAGAACAGCCAGCTGGTCGGAGAATGCCCGATAGGGTTCCCAACCAGCTGAACCGAACACCTGTCATGCGTGTGCATCGACTGTTATACGAACAAATACCTTGACCCATCTCATCATCTTAGCGAGGACAATGTCCTGCAACCCCGCAGGGTGGACGTGCGCGGCTCCATTGGGAGTCGTACCGAAGGTAAACGTTATAGTTGAAGTGAAGTAAAGTGAATAGTTGAAAGAGAAAGAAGAGGAGGGGCAGAGGAGGGGTTGAAATAGTCGAAAAGGGCTCACCGATGAACTCTATGTGAGCTCCGCAGTTCCGATCCGGAGCTATACACTCCGGTCCTTCATAGCTTCACTCTGTCCCCATAACTCTACAACTCTATAACTTCGTCTATAATCTATATATAATCTACTGGCTACGTGATCATGACTTTAGTTTCACTGTTTAGTAACATTGGCTTCAAATGCATAGAAAGATCACAGTAATTAAACAAGTACAAATGACGTCAGGTGAGGGGTGCCCGGCCAAGAGGAATGAGTTGCAGTACAAAGTACATGTACGGACCCTTCGGTTATACGGCTATTGCTCTCCTATTTCGGACTTTCGCTGGGCTGGTGGCCGTTGATGGATATGCTGTCCAACGGGGACTGGGGGCGGTCCGCGGTCTTGCGAGTTCGCAATGTAAGTGGGAAGTGCTCCTCAGGCTCTTCCTCCTCACTACCCAATGTATAAGTATTAATAAGCAAGTGAACGGGATGGAAGAACTCACGGAAGCTTCCAGGCAATGTAGTCCTCGGTGCTCAGGCCTTCGTGGCCCTCCTGTAGGGAAGCAAAGTCACCGGGGGTCATCATTCCGGAGCGATCCCGGGGAGATCCCGGAACAGAAAGCGGGCGGGAGATCTTCTGGTCAGTTCCTCCAATGATGTCGAAGTACTCCTCTTGGCCCTCGAAGGAGGACGGGTAAGCTGTTCTCCAGTTAGTCATAGCTCCAGTCAATACGGGCAGGGTCCATACCTCTTCTCAGGGCCAGCTGGCGAGCCTTGACGTATTCCAAGCCCATGCGTTTCCAGTCAAGCAGGTCACTCAGACGCTCTGTTCGGTTACGCTGGTTGATACGCTGACGACGACTCTTCTCAGTGAAGTTGAACATGAACTCGGTCAGCTGGTTGACGGAGTCATCCACTCCCTTGGAACGACGGTCCACAATATAGATGCCGTAGTCGGAGGAGTTCTCAATCAATTCCTCCATGTAACAACCAAAGCCAGAGAGGTTAGTGGTGATACTGGGGACACCCATGACGGTACACTCGGCGGGGGTGTATCCCCAGGGCTCATAGTAGGAAGGAAAGACACCCAGGTGGGTTCCGCGGACAAAATCATCATAGTCCAGAGGGAGCACAGGGTTGGCCGAGTTCAGGAATTCGGGGTGGAAGACAATCTTGACCCGGTCGGAGGCTTGGTTGAACAGCTGGACGCGGCGGAGCTGGTTCAGGATAGGATCCTCGTGGTCATTGTGCATGTTGTGGGTGACAATCGGGGGCAGGCCATGGCGCTTCATGGCGAACAGACGGCGACGGAGCATGACGCGATCCTGACTGGTGATCAGGTCCTTCTCATCGGGCATGTTGTCGCCTTCCTTCCAGGAAAGACAGCGCTCGTACATGCGCTTGCCGATGCCTTGTTCAATGTTCTCGATGGTGTCGCGCAGAGACTTGACAACGGCCTGTCCCTTGAGGGACTCCACTGTTAACGAGGAGGTCTGGGCTGGCATAATAATGAATGCGACCACGGTCATGGTCGACCCGGCAGCTTTCAGGCGGTGGTTCAGACGAGCCAGGCCCTCAATGAACATATCGACACCCTTATTACGGAACTCATACCGACCAGCGGTGAAGAGGTAAAGAGTGTTGTCGAGATCAAAGTCATTGTGGCCATAGAAGTGACCCCGAACAAAATCATTGATCTTCTCCTTGGCCTGCGAGTGCAGGTTCTGGAACTCGTGCATAGCAGAGAACTTCTTGACATTGAGGCCATTGGGCAACACACCGTCAGGCTTGCGCTTCAGCAGATGCTCACTCTCGAATGCGGTAATGTGCGAGACGGTTGTGAAGACATCACAGCTGTGAGTGGCTGCACGCTCAATACAGTAGCGGTGGTAGATTCCCCGCTTCCCTGCCTCCGCATCCACATCAAAGTACTGGAGATTGTTGTAGAAGTCAACCGAGCCAGCACAAAGATAGCGACCCAACAGTGTGGCGTGAGTGGTGAAGATGGTGGTAAGGTCCATGTGCCGCTTCTTCGTCAGTGGCAGCGCCACACCAGCCAACCATTCATGGAAATGAGCGACCACGGCGCGGCGACGATCATGGGCAATGTACTAAAGTGGGGAACATGGTCAGTTTCTCGCCTTGCGCTGGGTTAGAGCATTACGTACCTCTCCCAAGAACCAAGCAACCAAATAACCAAAAACGATGGCCTCATTAGTCTCGTTATCGGCGGCGGGGGACGGGATAGCAGAGTTGGTCCAAAGATCACCCTTCCACTCGTCCAACCACCTGTAACCGGTACCGGTGTTAATGAGGAGCACCCGAGGAGCACCCTCAATGAGCCAGCGACCGTAGACCATCTCGATTCCGCGCTCCTTCATGGACTGGATGGTCTCCCGCATGGCCGGGTTGGCCGGGGTGAGCTCTTCCACCTCGACGGCGGCCGAAGCCTTGTTGAGGGGGCCGATCAAGGTGTAACGCTCGCCGTATTCCGCCGTAGTAACGGGAGCTTTGGACTTTAGGACCGAGTAGATCCCGCCCACACGGTTGGCCACTTCGGTGGCCACCTCGAACAGCATGTGGTTGCGCACATCGCGCTTGATGGGCTCTCCGTTCTCCTCCATAGTGTATAATATGAAGAAAAATGAGAGAAAAAGAGAAAAAACCTGCAGAGGGGGGGGGGAAGGTCTCTGAACCTTGGAAGAGCTGCGACTCGGTCTGTGCGGAGAAAGTGGAGTTCCGGGGGAGAGCTCGGGGTCTGGGGTGGTCAAGAGATCGAGAGATCAAGGTGTAGACGAGGGTTAAGACAAAGCTGGAGATGCAATGCTAGACACTGACAGACACTGACAGAATGAAAAAGAACCCGAATGGTGTAGCGTCGAGTTGTTCTCCGGACTGATAGCTGCTGTGTCCCCCTCAGAAGGGAATGACGCTCCCTAATATAGCCCCCGGTCAATCTGTGGAATTGTTGAGGTGTAAAAAAAGGTGAGAAGAGGCGACAAGAGGAAACAGAGATTTCTCCAAAGTACTTGGACCTGACCTGGACCTGAATGTAACGTCTGGACTATCCCGGGTACGGCGTAGAGTGTGATCGGGCCGCTTCTCATCCCGTGTCCACTCTCCTCTACTTCACTTTTGCTACTTCTTCAATTAGCTTGACATGATTGGCATTTGCATGTACTTGGATTTGTTTTGCCTCCAGATCTACAGATTACATTCCAATTGCTTTGATCCGGGGAAGCTCAATGACATCATAGGCTGACAATGGCAAGCTCCACTGGTCCACGGGACTTGGCCGCTCTCTACTCTACAGGGAGACATGCATGAAACTGCAAGAGCATACAAGGCGATGCACCCGAATTTGTAGACCGTCTTGGCATGTCTCATCACGAACTGAATGAGCTCAATCGTCTCAATCGTCTCCGTGAACTCCGTGCGGGACCCCTGGCGACCTCATGAGGCAGGGACTATGAGCCGGTTAAGTATATTCACCTCTCGGCCTTTGCAACGGTATATACCCTAGGTCTCCATTGATTGGATGAGAGAAAATCTACTTCTCTTTCATGCCCGCAAATCACCTCAAGATGACCTTGCGGTTGACTCATACACATAAAGATTATTGATCGATCACTAAGGCATTTCATGCCGCTTCTTGGTCCATCCACTCCATTGTCGTGGACAAATTGTTTTGTTTGAAGACATTTTGTTGGAACTCCTGCCCCCGGAGTCTTAAAGCCTCCCCGCTGTATAAAGACGGGTGCCTTTTAAGGGTGTGAACCCTCGCAAACCCTTTATTGCATAAGCATTCAGACATCTGCAAAATTAGCTTCAAATTAACCCCAGTACTATGCAAAGCTCTGATCCATGGAAAAAATCCGCTGACGGACGAAGGCTGTCCAATGATCGACTAGACCGTTTGGTCCTGGTCTATGGCGCCTTCTTTTTCCCCTGCGTACGGCGTCCTTACCACCGATATAAGATTCGCCGGCAGAGAAATAGAAGGATTCGCGAAGCCGAAGCTGCTTACAAGATACGTAACGGCCCGAGGACAAAGGCTAAGTGGTTTCGCAGGCTTGTGCCTAAGAGCCGTGTTGACCACAATGATGCTCAGGAGGATATTTATGTTCCTGTGTCTTCAGATATTGATGGCCTGGAGGCCGGACAATACGAGAAGTCCGATGTCTCCCGTGTACTCAGCGGGACGAAGCCATGCCCATTGGATCCCAGTGAAGATGATCTTTTTGGGGTAGCTGTTGTCGCTGAATTCACGCCAGTGCGAGCACGCTGTGTGGACATTTACTCTATGACTCCCGCTTCTACTCACCTCGATGTATACTGCAACGACTGGCCTGGTTCATCGCCAAACACATCCCACGTGTCTATCATACGCACCCCAAGTACACCTCCTTCTTCCATTTCTTCCAAGCAGAACGTACGGCCGAATACTTCGTACACTGCTTCTACAATGGTAGGATATTTAGAAGTACCCCCCAAAACATACACAGCAGAGAAACGCCAGGAAATCAAGCCCTTGGCTAATGTGTCGGGCCATGATGAGACAGCTTCACGTTCAAATCCCCGTTCCGCTACTCCTACGGTAATTGAGCAGCAGGACAAGCCTAACCACTCACGCTTCTATCGCTCAAAGGACAAATATCTCCAAGCAACCAAGATCCCAATTTCGACGACCACTTCCGCTATTCTCCCGGCAAACAAGCCTTTCGGAACACCTAGGCTCTCGTCTCCATCTCATGTGGAGTGCAAGCATTGTGGTATTACCATTCCTATGGCAGACCGCTCTACCCAAACTGAGAAGTCTCCCCGTTTAAGCTCACCCATTCTTTTTCCTACAGCGACAAACATTATTGCTATGAAAGGGCAGCTTCCCTCACATGCTCCCTTCTTGAACGACAGACATGACCAGATTATCTCGACAGTTCCTGTCAATGATGAGAACCTCGAAGACGTGGTGCCTCCGCCTTTGAAAATCCACCAGGCTGGATATGACCCGAAGTCATTCCGAGCACGCGTGAAGAAAAAAACAGGAAGCTCGTCATTGGACGACATCAAATCGTCTACTCGGTCCCCTCAAGTTCCTTGCACTGCAAGCTCAATTCGGAAACTGCGAGGAGTAAGTAACCCACGGGATGTCCTAGACAAAATGCGAAACGGCGCACTTCCGGACAGACCCTCTATTCCTGATTTTAAGAAGCAACTGACACGCAAACCAGTCCCTCCTCCACCGTTGTCTACTTCTGCAACCAGGACCAATCCCCCACAGCAGACCAACCGTCCGGTATCCAACCGAGGAGACCGTACAGAGCACCATCCAAGAGGTCAGGTACCTCAAATCTATGCACCAGAATGGTCGGATAACACCAGGCGTTCTGAAGAGACAACTTTTCCAGCCAACTCAACGAGGGCACTGTGGCGCAATATGCCAGATGCCTCAGCTCGCAACCTGTCGTTGAACAGACGCCAGGCGCCCCAACAAACCCTACAACAGAGGATTGCCATCGCAAAGTCAGAGAATACAGCTCAGTCAATCACGCATCTGACTGGACCACAAACGCATGTAGTTCAAAACTCCCCAGAACGCGTCGTACCGCTAAGGCTTGCACCGGGCGTACCTGAATCGCCCCTTGTAAATGACATCCATCCCGAAAACCTAGTCTGGGCTCTTGAGCCTCACTATCACACACAGTGGCGCAGGCGGGAAGCTCGTCCTATCAATGACTTTGAACAAGCACCAACGTGCGATTAGGTTATCGGCGCCGGTTTAGCTGCAAGGGCTCGCAGGCCGAGGCGTCCTGACGCTTCTCATGCAGATGTTGGAGAACTGATCCCGGTTCCATCGGCCAACCCCGCAGCGCAAGATTTGGACCCTTGTTTGGATACCCTTGCTGTTTCCCGGTATCTTCATCGGATGGCTAGAATACAGAAACCCGCAAAGTCACGAAACTATGTTTAAAGGAACGGATATCTATATTCTATTTGGAGGATTTACTCTTTCTTTTCCAATGGCATAGAAGGCTGGTTTTCATTTTGCGCTGATGAGTTGCGCAACTCTACGGATTTCGAGCATGACCAATTTCCTAACCCACACAATTTCTAGTATCTTCCAATATTAATCAAATTTAATTCCAATGTTGTCTTTCGTATTCCAAAGACCCAGTTCCAAGGCAACAAGTACAAGATCGCGATGTTCCAACGACATGAAGTCATGGCTCTCCACTATGATTTCATGATGCGGTCACGCTAAGCCTCTGCCAAGAATAGCATCGACGAAGTATAAGTAGATGCAACCTCACTCACTCCATCTTCTCTCTAACTACAATCCTCTACACTCACTCAATCAATTCTTCTTTTTCAACTCTCAAAAATCAATCAACATGGTTCGCGGCGCTGAGTACGACAACGGTCTGCCCCAGAGCGACAACCCCATCGAGAACGGTCCCAACAAGGCCCACGGCGTTGGCAACGAGGTATGTTCCTTCCAATAATTCCAATAATACACCCGATTCCATCATCGAGAATCCATTCTAACAAACAAATCCCAGTCTGCCGACCTCAGCCGCGCCCACAAGACCGCCCCCATGCCTGAGGAGACAGGTTCCGGCCGTGACGTCTTCCCCAGCCAGCCCAGCGGCGGCTACGAGAACACCTCCGGCAGCGGCAAGGGCGGTCACGAGCCCAAGTCCACTGGCGAGAAGAAGGGTTTCGGTGCCCTCCCCGGTCAATAGGGGAACTGGCTTTAAATAATTGATGCTTTGTCATGTTCTGATGGAGCTGGGTCTCCTGTATAAATAGTATTCTTAAACTGCTGTTTGTGTTTGGAGTTTTGTGGATGGCTAGGTCTTGATGACCGCTGTTGCATATATGAATGTCAATGATATACGATTTATACTTCATTTTGGGCTCCTTGTAGCTTGGTTTTGTGTCGTAGAGATTGTCGACAACTTTGGTATTGGTGAAAATAAAATAGAAAATAGAGGCTGGAATAGATCGAGGACGATACATCAAAACTTTGTGATCGCTCTGAAGTTTGGTTTTGTGGAGAGACTATCTAATGATGTATTTTATGAGTAATTACCCTACGGAATGAATATAAGCAAGTTGCCTAGCCAAAATATCACCCAAGTGTAAACTAATTTCTATACAGTAGGATCAGACAGCTACGAGGGTTTTCTTTCTCTCCAACTCTCCACCTGAGTACTTCACTTTCTACTTTACTCTTTGTCTTACTATTTATCTCACCTTCTTTTTTTGTCTTACCCTTCACCTCACACTTTGGCTTACCTCTTATTGAGTTTGCTGTATTTCGTTACACAAATCCTCTCTATAGATTGCCTCTCCTCTTTCCGACAACTCCTCTCTCTCTCTATATAGCAAACACCCCACCGAGTCTTTAGTGAGTTATCCTTTGCTATTCCCTAACTATACTTATCGAGGAAATCTAACAAGTAATACAATTATAGAGACCATGAGTCTCAACAACCATTATATAACATACAGCCTGGACCTTGAGGCAACCCGAGCCTAAACTGGTTCCAGTCCATAAAGCCTTCACCGAAGCCTTCCACCGAGGCAAGTTTTACCCCGACTTCTGGAAGCGGCGCACGCTTTCCCTTGAATATAAGATGGAGAAGGAGGTCTTCAGCTTCACTGCCGATCCTACTGCTATCCAGCGCATTTCCGAAACCAAGCGTAACGTCAACGACCCAGAGGGTCTTGATCAGCTTCGTGAAATTGCTCGTCTTTTCGAACAACACCTGGACAACGATGTCCACATACATTTCCATCACTACACGGACTACACAGGGGAGGCAAAGCACCTGGGTCAGGCGTGAGCTAGAATGCTCGCTCACACAGCAGCTGGAGAGATGCCGGTCAATTCATTGTACTCTGGAGAAACCATTCCAGAACAGCGGCATGCGTGACATCTGGAACCTCATCTCATCAATTTTTCATGCAGATGGATGTATGTGAATTGGCCCATGACAGCAGAGCTCCACTAACAAAGGTTAGGTGACCACCTGGGGATGCTCGACAATGAGCCTGCGGTGCCACTTTCCCCTTCAAAAGCGAACAGGAGAGCACAGAGATTGTGACAAAGATCAAGTATCTCTCTCTTCCCTCCCAGATCACCAAGCGCCTCTTGATCTGGGCAGTCTCCTCCCTCAGGGGCGGCTGCGGAGTTGCGGCAGTTGTTTGGAAAGGAAACCGCAAGGAGTCGCGTCGGAACGAGAGGAAGCCGTCCGTCAACTTCCCATTTCGGACAAACAAGCCCAATCTGGTCGAGCTTTTTGCTATCAAGTCTGCCCGCCAGGTAGTAGTGGACGATATCCACAAGGACCTCGCTGAAGCCGTCAACCGGGGCAGCCCTTACTCTTAACTTCTGGAAGATCTCAAATTCGGGCTTTTGGTGGGACTGGATGTTGATTGAACGAGATTGGCCTAGAGGAACAAAGAATGCGCGCCAAAATAGACCACAAGTGCCTAAATTTAGTGGTCAGTAGAACTTTTTGATAAACTAAACCCTTCGCCATGTTCATCACATGAATACAGGAACTTATTAGAAAATGCAATGACGTCTTAATTGAAACAGACATCCTATTCATGTTCACAAACGCCAGGCTAGATCTATAAATGCAACCGATGGACAGTCATGTAGTAGCACAAAATGACAAGAAGTGTGTACAGCTCAAACAGGGTGCGTAAAGCGATGAAACAAGGTGATAGGGGAATTATGTATATAGGGGTGAGTGGCCGTTAAGGAGAGCATTTATGACTTGGGAGATTCAGATCCCTTGTCCTGTGTTTGCTTCTCACCAGGCGGCTCTGAATTCTCAGGTTCACTGGCGATGGTCTTAGCTTTGATGACCTCGAGAAGCTTATCGCCCACTTCGTTCGCTCCTTCAATTTTGCTCAACTTTGTTCGGAAGTGCTCGACGTCGGCTTGCATGCTGTTTGCTTGGTTAGTATCATGAGTGATTCAGATGTGACTAAAAGAGACCTACCTCTTTATTCCGGCCTCGGTCTGCACATCTGCCTCCTCAAAGGCCTTGGTCCATTGGTCTCGATAGCTGTTGAATACTGGAACCATGATCATGCTGACAGTCATATCTGGGAGATGTTTGCTCAAGACCCGATGCAGAGTGCCTGTCTCCTTGGCCAGCGTCTCCATGTAAGGGTGAACGGCAGTGGAGCCACCCTTGGCATCCCATTCGATCTTTTTCATGGCATTGACATGGACTGACGATCGCGAGCTCATGATATCCATTAGCTTCTCATGAATACCACTCTGGTGTTCCTGGCACAGTCGCTTGACTTTGTCAAACTCGGCCATTAATGGGTTGGCCTGTCCGGACCGTCGCACAAATTCCCGTACATAAGGAACCATGGCAATCACAAAGCTCAGTGCTTGCGATGACAAGGCAAGGTGCTTAGTTGTGATGTTCTTCAGACCAGCACTTCGTGTAGCACCAGCTCCGAGAATCAACTGCGATGACCGAGAGTTGAACAACTTGAGGATATCGAGTAGGTGGGGCGCAATATCTTGCATCATGCTGGGAATATTGGCCATGAGGAACTCAAAGTCTTCGATGGTGCGCATCATGGCCACAGCAGAATCGGGAAGAATGTACTTTTGCTCGTCGATAACGGCGGTGCGAACCTTAGTTTTGTCTGTGCCGTTGGCAGCGGAATCATTCTCAGGCTGAGTTTGTTCATTTCCGGAAACTGGGATCCAAATCTTTGAGATTTCGGTCCAGGCATCAATATCATTGGTGCTTGCTTCCAGAATCCGTGTCAATATTGTGACTTCAGCGTCACCGAAATCTCGTGCATCCCAGCGGTCTGCATCCATGACTTTGACAATTTGATGGCGCTGGCTATCACCGAAACGGGTGACGAAATCGCGGATTTGATTGCCAACGATGGTCTTGAGAGTGGTACCGCTGCGTCCCGAGATGGCCTCACACTCATCAGCGAACAGTCGGTTAAGCGTAAAGTATTGCAGGAACTGCTCTTTGGAAAGCTGGGCGGTCTGCTCGGATCGAACCTTCAACACCTTTGTTATCTGGGACTGGGCGATATCAACCGCTTGACCGAGTAGACTTGACATGTCTAAGACCTGGAGGATCTCATCTTGGGCCATGTCAGAAGCTGTGGGGCCGATCGGTGGGGACTTCACAGCCTGATCCAAGCTTTGTGGGTTGGGGCTTCCTGGATTGGGGCTTCGGGGTGGTGATTTAACCCCAGACGTTGGGGAGTTTCCAAGGCCACTGGCGATATCGAGGAGAATTTTAACTTGAACACTGAGTCGTCTGAGAGATTCGCTAATTCCAGTGTACACGTTGACCAACATTGCGTACGCATCATCTGGATCGAGCGCGCGCAGATTGCGAGCAAGGATCGACGACTTCTCTTGCTGACTTAGTTGTTGGCCGCCATGCGTTGACAATGAAACCATAGATTCATTGTCATCATCACTGGAGCTGGGTAGATATTTGCGAATCAGGCCCTTCATTTCTCGCAGAACAGCAGTCTTGAAAGAGGTTGCCGCTGACATCGTGTAGCGAGATCGAGCAAGTCCATTGAGCTGGGTGTCCAGTTGGGATCGCAACTCATTATTGAAATTCATGTACGCAGGCGAGACCGATACTCCAGATCGATTGCCACCCCTCTGTCGCTGGAATGAAGCTCCCAAGCGCTGAAGTGTAATATCCGATGGCACATTTTTGACATGCTGTCGCAAGTCTCCCAATAGATCATTCAAGAATCGGGTTTCATAGCCCATTCCAATGCGCTGACGTAGTTGTGCGAGATCCTCCGATGCTCCTTCCAATGCCTTGATGCCTCGCAGATCAATAATACGCCGGGGAGCTTTCTCTTCGTGCTCCGCATCCTCCGCCGCGGCTCGTTCAGAGATCTTCTCGCCGGCCATCAGCTTTTCGACTTCCTCAAGCCCATCGGAAGCTTCCTCGATATCGCCCTGTTCAACTAGTTCCTCGCATCGAGATACTGATTCGACCACATCACGAAGTTGCGCCACGGCCGCAGCCAGCATCCGTACATTCTCCCTTCGGCGTCGCAAGTTGACAATCTTTAGTCCACCCAAGGCCATTTCCTTATCGATCTTTTGCAAATCCTTCCTCAACAACTGTATCCGATTCACCGAGTCAGCTGCTTCCGCATGTAGTTCTCGAAGCGACCCTAAGGCAGTAAAGAAAGATTTTGATGCCGTTGAAATAGACGAGATTAGATGAATCTCCACAGTATCCATGTACCAGGACAGCTTTTCTTGAAGAATGGCATTTGTTGCTAGTGCTTTTCTGCCAGTTTGAACTGGCTCTAGGGCGCTCCCATTAGAACCTTTGTCATCCTTCGTTGGTGGCCTTGGCGGTCGAACCACGTCGGATTTCTCTGATATCACATCGAATGTGCGAGGATTCTCCAAATGGAACCCTTCGTCGAAGTATACCGGAGGAATTGTGGAAAGAGGAGTTACAGCGGGACCGCGGCCACGACCGCCAGAGGAGCGTCGACCACGGGTATCATAGGGTGACGATGGTCGTGAACTGGTCGACATGACCGAGGATCTCCGTTCCGGGGACCATGGCATCAAAGAATCGCGATCAGAGTCTGGCCTGGGAGACTTGGCGGCCTGTGTCGACTGTGTGTCCTCTCCTGCGCCTTCTTTTGGTTGTTGGAATACATCGTACAACGAGCCCACTTGCGCCAGGTACGGTTGAAACGCCTTCGGGTCCACACGTGTGATGTTTGTCAGGGTGACTGGGGGTATATCGCGCGACGATGGGGGCTTGTAACCGGGATTCGACACTGCACTCTGAGCCGTAAGACCGGTGCGTGTGATTGGAGGCTGGAGGAGGGTCGAAATGGCTACGTAGACGTTAGCAATAGGAATTGTGGTATATTTGGAGCACGTACCATTCTGACCAGACTCTGCGATTGAGCCATGATGGTGAGAAGAGTCTAGCACTCCTCCGATGCTCACGATAGAGCTCGCCGTTGATCCCCTCCTCAGGGGGTATCGTTGAGGGGGCACGCGGGGAGACTCCAACTGGCCTGTTGAATATGAAATCGAGGGCGAGGATACCCCCGAAGCCAGGCTATCAATTGATTTCCGGGGACTGTTTGACATGGCTGTTCACGCCCACGAGCCAGATCGGACGGCCACCGGGGGAGGGTCGATCGTAGAGATGTTCCGTGTTATCTGATCATGACAATGAGTGAACCCCTGATTGTGCTGTGACAGGCTCTGGCGCAGCTTCCAATGCCAATATGTCAGCTCCTGCGACTCGCAATTCCGGTCCGAGATCAAGACTGTGAGTCGAATGCTTGCAGTGGCTTTGTTGCCATCAAGCTGGCCATGACAGCTCACCCCCAATCGGGGAACACACTAACCACACTGGGCGTCCCCGGACTATCAATTATCCATTTCCTGCCTCAGAAACCAGGCCAAACCACTTAACGCGCGAACCAACTTCGACGCGTCGCGTTGGTGTTTCCACAAAAGTTCCTTACTCCCTTCCGCCAACGCTCATCCATCCAACCTGCCCACATCTGCACTATGGATAGACGCACCCCCTATACTTTGAGCGTCCTTGCGCCCAGCACAAATGGCGCTGATGAATCGCGTCAGACTATTCAAAATCGCCTGCGGGATTTCGTACTGGAATTCCAGCTGGATAATGCATTCATCTACCGGTACGCATCCCACATTTGCAAGGGCCGCAATGGCCACTAATAGTACAACAGTGATCAATTACGGCAAAATGCTCTTGTGAAACAGTACTACTGCGATATTGACATAGCCCATCTCATTTCTTACAACGAGGAGTTGGCCCACAAGCTAACCACTGAGCCCGGCGACATCATCCCTCTTGTAAGTATCTAATACTCGGTCCATCTTGACTTGTACTTATATCGACTAGTTTGAGGAAGCTTTGAAGCAGTGCACTGCTCGAATCGTTTACTCTGGCCAGCGAGACATCACACTCCCCTCCCACCAGCTGCTCCTCCACTCCTCGGCAGCGCACATCTCCATCCGTGACCTCAATGCCACCAACATTTCTCATCTTGTACGAATTCCTGGAATCGTGATTGGAGCTTCCACGATATCTTCCAAGTCAACTATTGTGCACATCCGCTGCAAGGGTTGTGACCACAGTGAAAATATCAGTGTCGACGGCGGTTTCTCTGGTTTGTCGCTGCCACGGCGATGCGGTCGAGTCAAGGAGCCTGGTGACCAGGCCCCCGGTGAAAATTGCCCCCTGGATCCTTATGTCGTTCACCATGAGAAATGCCAATTTGTGGACCAGCAAGTTCTCAAGCTTCAGGAAGCCCCTGACCAGGTGCCCGTTGGTGAATTGCCGCGACACGTTCTCATTTCCGCAGACCGCTATCTCGCCAACCGAGTTGTTCCCGGTTCTCGCTGTACAGTGATGGGTATTTTCTCGATTTACCAGGCAAAGGGTGGTAAGAAGGACGCCGCGGTTGCCATCCGAAATCCCTATCTGCGCGCGGTTGGTATCAGCTCCGATTTGGACCAGACAGCCAAGGGCAGTGGAGTTTTCTCTGAGGAAGAGGAGCAGGAATTCTTGGAGCTTAGCCGCAGGCCCGACTTGTATGATGCGCTTGCCCGAAGCATTGCCCCATCTATTTACGGAAACGCCGACATGAAGAAAGCTATCGTTTGTCTTCTGATGGGCGGTTCAAAGAAGATCCTTCCCGACGGAATGAAGCTTCGTGGTGATATAAACGTGCTCATGCTGGGTGACCCCGGTACTGCCAAGTCTCAGTTGTTGAAATTTGTCGAAAAGGCTGCTCCCATCGCTATTTACACCTCTGGAAAGGGATCTTCTGCTGCCGGTTTGACTGCTTCCGTGCAGCGTGACCACACCACTCGCGAATTTTATCTCGAAGGTGGTGCCATGGTATTGGCTGATGGTGGTGTTGTCTGTATTGATGAATTTGACAAGATGCGTGACGAGGACCGTGTGGCCATTCACGAAGCAATGGAGCAGCAGACTATTTCCATTGCCAAGGCCGGTATTACAACGATTCTGAATTCGAGAACATCGGTTCTAGCAGCAGCCAATCCCATCTTTGGTCGTTACGACGATCTCAAGACTCCTGGTGAAAACATTGATTTCCAGACTACTATCTTGTCCCGTTTCGATATGATCTTCATTGTCCGTGACGACCACGAGCGCGGCCGTGACGAGAAGATTGCCCGTCACGTCATGGGTGTGCACATGGGTGGTCGTGGTGTGGAAGAGCAAGTTGAGGCTGAAATCCCCGTCGACCAGATGAAGCGCTATATCAGCTATTGTCGCAGGTATGTCCACTTACAACTATCCCACCCTTCACTTACTAACCTCACTTCCAGTCGCTGTGCGCCTCGCCTGTCCCCGGAAGCTGCAGAGAAGCTCTCATCCCACTTCGTCTCCATCCGTAAACAAGTCCACAGGGCCGAGATGGAATCGAACAACCGGTCATCTATTCCTATCACCGTTCGTCAACTAGAAGCCATTGTCCGTATCTCCGAGTCTCTCGCCAAGTTGTCTTTGTCCCCGATCGCCAGCGAAGCCCACGTGGATGAGGCTATTCGCCTGTTCCTTGCATCTACCATGGATGCCGTCACCCAGGGTGAAGGCCAAGGTAGCAAAGATCTCATGGAGGCATCCAGCAAGATTGAAGACGAGCTGAAGCGCCGCCTTCCCATCGGCTGGAGCACAAGCTTGGCAACCCTGCGCCGCGAGTTTGTCGAGGGCAAAAACTACACAGAGCAGGCCCTTAACCGTGCACTGGTGGTTCTCCAGCGACGAGACACGGTCCAGATTCGTTCCGGTGGCTCCCAAATCTATCGCAACGGTGTTTGATCTGTGGCTTATTATGATTTTTACGTGTTTCTCTTGATACACCTGGTACGCGTGACATTGATGATAGTTTGTTGATTTTGTGCATCTGTAGGTCTGCTAAGGCAGGATTTTGCAGGCGGTGTTGGGCGTGTTTGATGTATGATTTATGTCGTACATCTGGTGTGTTTTATCCCGGTGGCATTTACCTTATGTTATTTTGAGCCACATAGCTCAGAAATCAATGGCCTGCTTGGCCCCTTCATATGATTCATACTAATTGCAGTAAACCCAATATTTTCTAGTTCAAGTACATTACTACTCAGGCTTTAGATGTAATTAGATAAAAACATCGATACTCGACGCATCAACATAGAACAGTCTCCAGATCATATGCCAGAGGAGCCACACGCAGATCGTCCATCTTATGCTTGACTACGTGTACTTAACTATACTTTCCGTTCTCTACAATTGGAACAATATTACAATAGACAAAATTATCTGATGTTCTGGCGGAATACTTTGTTGGTAGTAGTTGTGGCCCTAGCTAAGTCATGCCCCTAGATTACAGTCGATGCTCTCATACGACAGGAATCATAACTCTGTTCGCAGTACTATAAAGTGTCGGACAAGTTCTTTATGACCCCTTTAAAGCGAAGGCGTTATTTCATGCATTATGTGTGCCCTAACGTAACCTCTCTTTCTTCTTTTCAAGTGCTGCCTCGGGTGAGCCATTTAGATCATATAAACGTGGAGGTGTGAAGGACATAAGGCCACTGTTGTAGATCCCATCAGCAATGTGGCCGTATTCCTTGCTAGCTCGGAGCTTTGATCTGACCAAGCTCGGTAATTTTGTCACTGTTATGATGAATCTCAAAGTCGCTTGGAAAGCCGCGAATGTCAAAGAGTTGTAGAGATAGGTCTAAATATCAAGGATGAGGGTCCTTTAAATTTCACCATATATCATAGCTACGCCCTGTGTATACTTCTAACTCCCTTTTAATTTAATTTGTAAACTAAATTGTAGCTTCAATTTTAATCTTATACCCACTCTTAATTTCACTTTGACTACTGCTTTAATGGCCTTGAATTGAGGCAAGTTTTGAGAAGTATATCAGTAAAGATGGCAATGATGCAACGGGGAAAAGGCCGGCGAAGGAAAATTAAGTAGAGGAAAATAGTAGTTGAGCCTAAGGACGTTCAAGGCTGCCGTAACAGGTTATCATGTATCAAAGTCATTCTCATATCTCGTTACAAGGGACCACGTCGGGCCAATAATTTGTCAAAGCATAGCCGGAACAGTATCCTGATTGCCGGCACGATCAAGCATAGCACGTAGCCGACCCTCGGCCGACTGTAAAGCAGGACTAGAATCTGGCCCAGCAATACCCGCAGTCCATCTTAGCCAACCAAGGAGAGACTGAACGAGTTCCGGTGCCACCGTTCTCATAATTGGTGCGTCGAGAGAGACACTGGGAAGAAGATGAATTTCATTAAAAGAAGGACCATCGGCTCTAGCGTCCAGATGGATCTCGGATACCAGAGCTGGAGTGGCGATGTTGGGTGCTTGCGCTGTCATATTACTAGTAACGGCATTCTTGGAGAGTAAATCACGGCCACCATTTTTGGGCCTTGATGCAATTTCACGCGTAAACGGCAAGTTATCCAAGCCCATGTCCGTGCCTATGCCTGTCTGAGGGTTCATTCTAGGAGACAGCAAGGACTCTGGTTGGGCAGTGCCAGGTTGATGGTATGCACTGTTCTGTTCATGCATAGATGCAGTATGTCGTAGATTCTCCAAGTACCGATGGAACGAGAATGGATGTATGTCCCGCCCGGCATCTGCTATATTGACATCTTCATCCTGGATCATCACGTTGTCGGTGGACCGCTGTTCCTCGCTAGGGCTGGCTTCCTCGACAGGTCCTAAACCCCCCGGTGGAGCACAGATCTCACCCAAAGGTGCAATGTGACTTCCATATTCGTTGGCAAGACTCAGCTTGCTACGACCACAAATCTCGGCGATGGAGTCCAGAGTGCCACGAATATCAGGTTCGATGGCCTGCAATATACTCTCGATACTGAAGTCCTTATCAGACGGGAGCGTCACATCCGACTGAGGTTGAGGCTGAGCAGAAGCCGCGCCCCTGGAGCCATTAAATGGAAAGAATCGGCGCGCGGGCATAGTAGAGGTTCGAGAGGATATATCTTCCACATCGCCAGAGTAAGCCCTCACCAACACCGGCCGCGTAGGCAAAGTCGACGGCCGCCGTTCGGAGCCAAGATTATTAACCCGGCTATTGCGGGACAAAGGTCTCGGATTTCCAGTCAGTTGGCGCAAAGCCGTCGTACGATATGCCCGGTCTGACTCTTCAGCGGCAGACTCGTAGTTCCGCGGATATGCCTGGTAGGAGGGACCCGAAGCGCCGAAGACTGGAGGCGCGTGGGACGGAGACATTCGGGGCCATCCTTGTCGAGGAAGGGCAGACAACAGCCGGGATCCGTCCCTGCGCGCAGACAGTGTGTCTGACTCCATCCACACTATGGGTGCAGGAGACAATGCAGACACAAGACAGCCCCGCTCTGAGAGGGCACAAGACACGTACCGGTAATTAAGTTCAGCTCAGTTCTGGAATGGTGCATGAATCTCGCATGTGCAATGCAAATTCCCATGCGTTGTCAGATTAGTGTAAATCAGATGTCTGAAGCGGAGAAGCTGTACCTCGTGCCAAGACCGACAACACGTTTCCCCGATCTGCCACGCCTGTTGACTATCCACTGCCCACTTGCACCATGAACCGCTCCCAGGTATGCATCTTGAAGCATTGAGTCTGTATGTTATCTAATGTATGTTAGTTCGGCGACTCCGACGGCTCTGCCTCGGAATTCGACGAAGACCCCTCCGGCCTCCCCTTCCCCGAGCCGTTATCCCGCACTTCATTCCTCGCGCCTGATTTTGACCCGGCCACATTTCTCTCATCATTGACAAATCGTCACCAAAGTCTCGAAGACTTGCGACAAGAGCTGCGGGGGTTGGAGCAATCTCTGAACAAGGAGCTGTTGGATCTGGTCAATGAGAACTACCAGGACTTCCTCTCGCTAGGGACCTCCCTTCGCGGGGGCGAAGAGAAGGTCGAAGGAGTCAAAGTCGGCGTGCTATCCTTCCAACGTGATGTTAAAGCTATTCGGGACAAGGTCGAGACCCGGCGCCGAGAAGTGGAAGAGCTGCTGAACGAGAAGCGGCGGCTACGAACGAACGCCGACATTGGCAAAGACTTGCTGGACTACGCAGATCGCGTGGAGGAATTGGAACATCGCCTGATGATCAAAGCCAATTCATTACGGCAGGATGTCAAATCATCAGAGGAGTCGGACACAGAGTCAGATTTATACAGTAGCGAGAGTGAGGGCAGTGACGAGGAGGAACTGGCGGATGGCACACCGGCAATGTCACTAAAGAAACTGGAACGACATGCCCAGAAGTTTGTCTATTTGACCTCGATTGCTGCTCGAGTCGGTGAGAAGCACCCGTTTTTGGTTTCATTGCAACCAAGAGTCACCAAAATCAAGTCCACACTGCTCCTGGATCTCAAGTCGGCTTTGGAGCAGGCTACTACTACAGGCGGAAAACGTGATGCCAGGACATTGGCCGTTCTGCGCATATACGATCTGATGGGTGAGGATGTCAGCGCTGTAGCTGCACTTAAAAACCTCAAGGTATAAAAACAGCATGCTTGTTCTCAATATGGACTGGGTTGCATACATAGCGTCGGCGTTCGGGTCTTATGAAAGTGTCTAATTCATCAGTGATACCATGATACACCAAATGCTTCCTAATAAAACAATAAATTTGTACACGCCAAAGGATATAAGAAAGTAGCAAGTAGTTTACACGCCCTTCAAGGCAGAGGTTTCGGGTGAGTCGTCGGTGCGGAACTCTCCGTTGAGTGAGAAGCCCGGTCCGTTGGTCGAGCTCAGTACCTGGTACCTTGTTAGAGGCCAATTCCAGATGAAAGACAGTCCAAATACTCACAACTTCGTAGATCTCCTTGTTGACACGGTCAGTTAGCCCGGAAGCATCCTTTTTAATCTGGTCAATGGTCACGCGCATGTTGTCGCGCAGTTCCTCCGGAGAGAAGCCCAATTGTCCAATGGGCAAGCGGATAACGGCATCACGCTCACGGTACACAGTACCACCGCGGAGCATCTCCACACGCTCAGCCACGTTCTCGACGACAGTACCAGTCTTCGCACTGGGCATCAAACCCCGAGGACCGAGGACACGACCAAGCGCGGCCTTGTTGAGGGCGGGCAAACTGTCGGGGTGAGCAAGACAGCGATCAAATTCAATCTTGCCAGCCTTGACCAAATCGAAGACTTCTTGCTCACCAACCAGAACAGCACCCGCGGCGAGCGCCTCCTTGGCGTGTTTCGAGTCGGGAGGACATATGACACAGATGCGGGATTCGGTCTGGACGGCGTGCGGGAATCGGATCATGTTACGAATGACAGGTCCATCTCGCTTTGTTTTCAGGCGAATGTGCAGTTCGTATTTGCGGACAGTGGGTTCGCGGCCGACTTCGATGGCTCGGATATATCTGGAGATGTCAATGTCTAATCATCCACGGATCCCGGTCAGACATGGGAGACAAACCGCATGGCATCGCAGAGGGTAAACTGCGGCATAGCCTTCAAATCCTTTTGCCTGAATGTCTGCGGGCCTCTGCGGCTCTTGCTAGGTTGCTCCTTCCCCTTGCCCTTGGGCTTCGACTTGAGGCCTCGAACCTGCTGGAAGTTGGAGAGTACGGGAGCAATCGAGGGCCCCCGTAACGGAACACGGCATGATGAAAGAATTCCGCGTGCCGTTCTAGGCAGGACGGAGCCAAAGGACGACATGGCTGGCAATCGTTGATCTGAGCTGAACTGCCGGACGATGCAATTGTTTTCTGCCGGAAAGCTCTCGGGCCGGAGAAACGTGGGACCGCACGGGCATGTAGATAATGACTCTGCCCCGCCAAAACTTCACATTGTCACTCACTTTCTGCGCAATGACTCAATTCGAGCTGAAGGTGGCCACTCGTGCCAACCACTCTGCAATCCTGCCCGTGGTTCTCATCGCAACCTCCATCAACGAGGCTCGCCCCAGCCCCGTCATCAACATCTCCTATGAGGACACTGCCCTCCTCCAGGATGGTGACAAGGCCGTTGTGCAGCTCACTAGCGGCACCAACAATGTCTTTGGAACTATCAGTGTTATCCAAAGCCTTACCGAGAGCTTCCCCTTCTTAATTGGCAAGGATGCTAAGGCTGTTAGCTTTACCCTTACCCCACCAAGTCTATAGCATGCCCTAACACAGTCTATAGGAAACCGAGTGGATCTCTCAGTTGGATTTCTTGAACACCTTCGATTTCAAGGCTCTCGATCCTGTTCTCCAGCGCATTGACACCCACCTTCTCCTGCGCTCCTTTATTGTCGGATACTCTTTGTCTACACCGGACATCGCTCTCTGGGGTGCTCTCCGCGGCAACCGAGTTGCTGTTGCTGCTCTGAAGAAGGGTACCCTTGTGAACATTACCCGTTGGTTCCGTTTCATTGAAGAGCTTTGCCCCTGGACCTCCGTTGCTCTCGAGTCCATGAACGCTGTCGCCAAGGAGAAAAAGACCGCCAAGTCTAAGGAAGGTGCCAGCTATGATATTGCTCTCAAGAACACTGAGAACGGTGTTGTTACCCGTTTCCCTCCCGAGCCCTCGTAAGTTGTTTGCGCCTCGGTTTGTTAATATTGAAGACTAACGCATATCTAGTGGATACCTCCATATTGGTCACGCTAAGGCTGCTCTTCTCAACGATTACTTTGCGCATGAGAAGTACAATGGCACTCTTCTTCTGCGGTAAGCTGAAAACTGGAAATCGCATACAAAACATCCAGACTAATCAATCTGTAATAGCTTCGACGACACCAACCCCTCGAACGAGAAGGAAGAGTTCCAGGATGCCATCGTGGAGGACCTTGCCCTCATGGGTATCAAGCCCAACAAGATGACTTACACCAGCGACTACTTTGACGAGCTGTACGACTTTTGTGTTAAGATCATCAAACAGGGCGACGCCTATGCTGATGACACCGACAAGGAGACTATGGCCGCCCAGCGTTTCGACGGTCTTCCTAGCGGTCGTCGTGATCTTTCCGTCGAGGAGAGCTTGTCTCGCCTTGAGGACATGAAGACTGGCACCCCCGAGGGTGTTCGCTGGTGCATTCGTGCCAAGATTTCCTTCGATTGCCCTAACAAGGCTATGCGTGACCCGGTCATCTACCGCTGCAACCCTGCTCCTCACCACCGCACCGGCACCAAGTGGAAGATCTACCCCACCTATGACTTCGCTTGCCCCATCGTCGATTCGATGGAAGGTGTCACCCATGCTCTCCGTACTATTGAGTACCGTGACCGCAACCCGCAGTACCAGTGGATGCTGGACACGATGAAGCTGCGCACTGTTCAAGTCTGGGACTTCGCCCGCATGAACTTCATCCGTACTCTTCTGTCCAAACGTAAGCTCACTAAGCTGGTTGAGGCTGGCGTCGTCTGGGGCTGGGATGATCCCCGTTTCCCTACTATCCGTGGTATTCGCCGCCGTGGTATGACCATTCCTGCTCTTCGCGAGTTCATCCTGAAGCAGGGTCCCTCCAAGAACATTGTCAACTTCGACTGGGCTCTTATTTGGGCTACTAACAAGAAGTACATTGACCCTATTGCTGGTCGCCACACCGCTATCTCCAATAAGAACGTTGTCAAGACCACTGTCACTGGTTCTCCCGCCCCTTACTCCGAGGAGAAGCCTAAGCACGCCAAGAACGCCGCTGTTGGTATGAAGAAGGTTGTCTTCGGTCCTTCTATTGTTCTCGAGCAGGAGGATGTCAAGCTCTTCAAGCAGGACGAGGAGATCACCCTCATGAACTGGGGCAATGCCATCGTTCGCAAGATCACCACTGACACCGCCACCGGTCTTATCACCGACCTCGAGCTTGAGCTGCACCTTGCCGGTGACGTCAAGAAGACTGAGAAGAAGGTCACTTGGCTCGCTACCGATCAGGACACCGTCCCCGTCGAACTTGTTGATTTTGACTACTTGCTCAACAAGGACGCCATGACCGAGGATGACAAGCTCGAGGACTGCCTCAACTCCCAGACCGAGTTCCGCGAGGCTGGTGTTGCTGACTGCAACGTTGCCGACCTCAAGGTCAACGACATTATCCAGTTCGACCGCAAGGGCTACTACCGCGTTGACCGGGCCTACTCTCCCGGCTCGCCCGCCGTCTTCTTCAACATCCCTTCCGGAAAGACCAAATAAATGAAATAAGCGAGTATGGAAAACTTGCGTTATGAGTGATTTACGAAAAGAAAAACACGAGTCAATGGACAGTCGTATATGTACGTCAAACTTACCTTTCCACGGTTCATTCATGACAGTAGATTGAGTATTGGTGATAGGTGATAAAAGGGCACAGGAAAGTTGCAGTGCTAGCTAAGAAACCATGTCAACGACTCTCAATGTGTACTCCATCTTGCAAGCAGAGCTCACGGAGCTACGTCGCCAAGGGATGAGCCTGTGAGACAAGGGCGTGATGCTGTACAGAAGACTGCATTCTATAAAACCTGGGGCTATTATCAGTAGAGAGTTGTGCACTGTTGGCCTCTGTAAGCTACATCAAAAGCCTAGGCCAAGAAATCATACAAATCCTTCGAAACACAGGCAATTCTAGAAACAGAAAAAGATCCAGCAATAAGAGACAGTAGAGGCAGCCATGATCGTCAGGCAGAAAACGGGAGATCCGTAAGCCTTGTGGGTCCGGTATCCATGGTATCCACCTGCTTAATCGGGACAAGCACACTCTGTCAACAACTTTCACCTTTTAACCTTCCTGTCCCAATAGTCAAGTGGTATGACGCCTGGCTGTCCTAGTCCAATCGTGCAGCGAGTGTTCGAATTCGGTCACTTGGGCACTCGGCGGGATTCGTTATTTCTTTTTTTGTTTTCTTTCTTCTTTTTTGGTCTCGTTGATAGTGTCCTCTTCTAATTAATGAAATTTATTGAGATAATGACTGCGTCACTATTTTTCTAGAGTCGATACTCTCTATACCCGGGGAATTCTGACCACGACACATTCGCGCAGCAAATGCCCCCTTCACACTGCCCGGGTGAGCTGGAATTATGATGTTGCATTGCAGGTGTCAAAAGCCATAGATATGATCTATACCGAATATAGTCACATATGCTGAGCTGGCCTTCTTTGTATTTCCTTGGAAGCCCTTGGTATCATAGCAGGGGTAAGTCTGATCACATGTGAGTGCTGTAACTGCTCTCCTTCCAACTCCTGTCCTACTCTTGATGGTTTGCGTGGCAGGTACCTTCTACCCTTTGTCCGCTATTCTGTTGCAATCAGCAGAATGGTATGGACGGGATTTTGTTTCCGCTTGCCGGGTGTCAGCGGAACAGGGCGAACATGACGTCGAGGTCTATACTCTCGTCTCCATTGACATCCGGGCAGCCACTCACCGGAACCACTGGTTCAGATAAAATGATCTCATTTGGGTGTTTGAGCCTTATATATTCTTTTTGCCATTCAGGGAGTTTGGGCGTCTAATTCCTGTTGGCCATCGCCCAGCTAAGCTCACCCCGCAATCTAACATCTGTGTCTGCAGAAATATGCAACAAGTTTCCGGTGAACTTCAAGCATGAAGCTCTTATTCGGGCTTTGCCGAAGGTACACATCTGTTTGGACCCATGGTTCAATGAACTTGGATCGACTTCCATTGAGGTGCCTGCTGGTGTCGTGGGCTTTGTTTACTGTGCAAAGGAATAGACTGGTATACCTGTCAGCAGTTGATAGGTTGAACCAGGATTTTCAAGGTTGACCATTCCTGGAATATAATGAATAAGCCCTGGCTGGTCCCATTCGATACCTGGTTCCACGGCATGCTCCAACTCTCGAAGACCAAAACAGCAAGCATACAATACAAAGGATCATGCCGAGACCTTCCTTGTCGCGACGTCAGCATGATAGTTTGTAAAAAGGGAATGGCCGCGGTAGATGAAGAGTTTTCCCTCTTTTGAAATTCGAAGAACATCACCGACGAACTGACCCAGGACCGATTATCGACGATCAAGCTCCCGAACCTTCCCGAGAAAACATGGCGTCGAGCCCAGATGTCGAGCGGCCTGATATGCGTCGGACCTCCCGTATTTCCCGGGCATCTCTGAACCAGGACTGGGCCAATCTGGATGAATATGGCAAGCTTGTCAAATACGTGTCTACATTCCGTGATGCAAATGCAGCAGCCCAAGATGAGGGCGACATCATGGAGAAACGGCTCTGGTATGCCCCATGGAAAAAGCGGAAGGTCCACGTCAAGAAGCTCGAAGGGGAAACTGGCAAATTCCCTGATGAGTGGACCTTGACCGATATTCGTGAAGGTCTTTCCAACGAAGAAGTTGCACAACGCCGTCGGCGGGCTGGTTGGAATGAATTGTCGTCGGAGAAGGAGAATCCCATCGCCAAGTTCCTTTCATACTTCCGGGGTCCAATCCTCTATGGTGAGTGTCTTGTATATGCGTGGTAGCCATATGACTGACCAGGCTATAGTCATGGAGTTGGCTGTTTTGCTTGCTGCTGGTCTGGATGACTGGGTCGATTTCGGTGTCATCATTGGTATTTTATGTCTAAATGCCGCTGTAGGTTGGTATCAAGAGAAGCAGGCTGCGGATGTGGTTGCGAGTCTCAAGGGAGATATTGCTATGCGAGCACAGGTCATTCGTGATGGTGCTCAACAGGAATGTCTCGCACGAGAGTTAGTTCCAGGGGACGTGGTATGTCTATCAGAAATCCCCTTTTCTATCTGTATACTGATAACTATCTGAGATCATTGTTGGTGAAGGCTCAGTCGTGCCTGCTGATGCCAAGGTTATCTGTGACTTCAGTGATTCCAATGGCTGGGAAGAGTTCAACCAGCTTCAAGAGCAAGGAATGCTCGGCGGAGGCTCTGATTCTGAAGATGAAGAGGATCAGGTGAAAAAAACTGTTGAGGAAGTGAAGGAGGGTGATGGCAACTCCAAAGAAGCAACAGAAGGAGGAGGAAGAGACGAAGAAGAAGAAGAGGAAGGAGAAGAAGCACAACCTGCTCCTCGCAGACGTGGCTACCCCATTCTAGCCTGCGACCATTCCGCCATTACCGGCGAATCTCTTGCTGTGGATCGTTACATGGGCGACATGATTTTCTATACAACCGGCTGCAAGCGTGGTAAAGCCTACGCGGTGGTTCAGACTGGCGCAAGAACTTCTTTCGTCGGCCGCACCGCAACTATGGTGCAATCTGCACAAGGTGCCGGTCATTTTGAACTTGTCATGGACAACATTGGAACCTCTCTTTTGATTCTTGTCGTGGCTTGGATTCTGGCCGCATGGATTGGTGGATTCTTCCGCCATATTCCCATTGCTTCGCCTGGTCAGCAGACCTTGCTTCACTACACGCTGTCTTTGCTCATTATCGGTGTGCCTGTTGGTCTCCCGGTAGTCACCACTACTACCATGGCCGTTGGTGCTGCTTATCTGGCTAAGAAGAAAGCTATTGTGCAAAAGCTGACTGCGATTGAATCCCTGGCAGTAAGTCTTCTCCATTCATGATAGCGTGGTCTCCATGCTAATTATACATAGGGGGTTGATATCCTGTGCTCTGATAAGACTGGAACTCTGACCGCGAACAAACTGAGTATTCGAGATCCTTACGTGGCGGAAGGTGTCGATATTGACTGGATGTTTGCTGTTGCTGCACTGGCATCCTCGCACAATACTGAATCTCTTGATCCAATCGACAAAGTCACTATTTTGACTCTCAGGCAATATCCCAAAGCACGCGAGATCATGCGCCGAGGTTGGAAGACAGAGAAATTTACGCCATTCGACCCAGTATCCAAACGGATTGTTACAGTGGCTGTCTGTGATGGTGTACGGTATACATGTACTAAGGGCGCTCCGAAAGCTGTACTTCAGTTGACGAGCTGTTCGAAGGAGACAGCCGAGTTGTACAAGACTAAAGCGCAGGAGTTCGCACACCGAGGCTTCCGCTCTCTTGGAGTTGCCGTCCAGAAAGAAGGCGAAGACTGGGCTCTGCTTGGAATGCTGCCAATGTTTGACCCTCCTCGTGAAGATACTGCTCATACAATCAGTGAGGCACAGAATCTTGGGATCAGCGTGAAAATGCTGACGGGAGATGCCATTGCTATTGCAAAGGAAACCTGCAAGATGTTGGCATTGGGAACTAAGGTGTACAACTCGGATAAGCTGATTCACGGGGGCCTCAGTGGAGCTATGGCTAGTGATCTTGTTGAAAAGGCCGACGGTTTTGCGGAAGTGTTCCCAGAACACAAATATCAAGTCGTGCAGATGCTACAAGATCGAGGCCATCTAACCGCTATGACAGGAGATGGTGTGAATGATGCACCTTCTCTCAAGAAAGCCGACTGTGGAATTGCCGTCGAAGGTGCATCCGAAGCCGCACAATCTGCATCGGACATTGTGTTCCTCGAGCCTGGATTATCGACCATTATTGATTCGATCAAGGTCGCGCGTCAGATCTTCCACCGCATGAAAGCGTATATCCAATATCGCATTGCGCTTTGCTTGCATCTCGAAATATACCTTGTGACATCGATGATCATTCTCAATGAAAGCATTCGTGTCGAGCTCATTGTCTTCCTAGCTCTATTCGCCGATCTTGCAACCGTCGCTGTAGCCTATGATCACGCCTCATTTGAACTCAGACCTGTTGAATGGCAACTCCCCAAGATCTGGTTCATTTCCTCTTTGCTAGGTGTGCTCCTCGCCCTGGGCACCTGGGTTGCACGAGGAACAATGTTCCTGAAAAACGGAGGCATCATCCAAAACTGGGGCTCCATTCAAGAAGTCCTCTTCTTGGAAGTGGCCCTCACAGAGAATTGGCTCATTTTTGTGACTCGCGGTATCGACACCTGGCCATCCATCCAACTAGTAACGGCAATTCTGGGGGTAGATATTTTAGCCACGATCTTCTGTCTGTTCGGTTGGTTCACTAACGAGAACATGAAGACCAAACCAGCAGGCCAGTTTGTTGAGACGAAGAATGGATGGACTGATATCGTTACCGTAGTGCGAATTTGGGGCTATTCCCTTGGCGTGGAAGTTGTCATTGCCTTAGTATACTGCGTTTTGAACAAGATCAAATGGCTCGACAACCTTGGTCGTGTTCAGCGCGACAAGGGCGAGATCAAGATTGAGAATCTGCTTGCGCACTTGTCTCATCTCACCCTTGAGTATGAGGAAAGGGGGGAAGCGAAGGGTCGGTTCTGCTTGGCGGCAAGCAAGGAGGAAGAGGACGCCGAGTGAGTGTGGTTCGGGCCAGTTTCAGTGCCCTGAGAAAGGCTTTAGAAGACAGGGTGCAGTCGAAAGTGTCTGTTCAATCGTTTGGTTGTTCTCTCTCATCTATTGTCATTCAGGCTGGTGTTCATGGAAAACGAAGCGAGGTAGAAAGTGTGTTTTGTTCAAGTTCTAATATCTTCAACTTATTTTAATGTTTCTTCTAGACCACAGGAATTGATAATGCGGAAAGAAAAGAAGAAGAAAAGATATAATTAGAAAACTATGGGTATCATAGAGCAGAGTATAAGAGAAGATAGGGTTAAAGATCATAAGACATTGAAAATGGCGAAAGGAGCCAGAAGAAGAAAAGAAAAGAAGCGAAGGAAGAAAGAATCGTGGCATCCCCTTATGTGAACACTCAAATTATTCATATCACACTCAGACATTCCAGGTCCAAGCAATATTAGACACGCCATAAGTATGATTGCCGGTCCTGGAACCCTCCGACAGCTTAATCGCGGTTTCGCAAAGCACGTCGTAGATTACTGTTAGGCCCCATCTTTTTGAGGCCAATTTGCTGAGGTCCCATTTGGTGCATTTCCGATTTAGGTCCCACGCGACCCATAACCTTGGGGTCCAGGCTATGGGCAAGACTGTGAGTAACGCGATGAGTCGCACTGTTAGCCGCGCGAAGACCACCCAAGAGTCCGATAAGGTCGTTGCCAAGAATGTTGGAGACCAAGTCATCGGAGTCATCTTCAGTGTCATCGGTGTCACCGGACGCGTTGCTGGGCGGCGGAGTGCTGGTGGTGGTTGCGGGAGCAGGTGGTTCCTCGGTAGAAGTCGGGGCAGCTGCAGGCGGAGCAGTAGTCGCGGGGGGAGCGGTTGTCGCAGGGGGTGCGGTGGTAGTCGGCTCTGTCTCGGTAGCGCTGCTGGTGCTGGTGCTGGTTGTTGTGACTGGCGGCTTGGTCTCAGTGGAAGTGGGCTCAGGACCACTGGACGATGAGAAAGCAGCAGAGGAGGAGGAAGATGAGGGTGAGGAACCGGGTGCATTGGTAGATGACGAGGTATTCGATGAGTCAGTGGACGAAGAAGAAGGCGCCGAGGTCGACGCCGAACTGGACGACGACGAACCGGTATCATCAGCGCCTCCCAGGGCCTTTCGCACGTCCTTAATAAAGGCGCCGTTGCCGTACGCTTGTGTGGCATCCCACATCATCACTCCTCCAAAACTGTCGAATTTCTTCGAGTACTCGATGACCTTGGCCAGCTCCGAGGAGGGGATGTATCCAGTGCTGGCCGCGGTGGTGTCGGCTGGAACTCCGAGGATAACCTTGACGTCCTTGTTCTTCGAGACCGTGTGAGCCCAGTTGTCCCACTCCTCGAAGTTGTACTGGTTGGCGGAGCTCTCGGCGCTGTAGGCGTTAACACCGCAATAGTTGTTGTAGAACTGGACCCAGATGGCGTCGATATAGACAGGGCCGTTGAGGATCTCCTTGTCGGCCTGGTCGGGGTAAGGGCATTGAGGTGCAGCAGTCAGGAAGAAGTCCTGGCCACTTTTATCAGCCTCAATCAGGGAACGGAGCTCGTTGGCGAAAGGAGCCATGTGCTGGACGTTGGCCTCGAAGTCGAAATCGAATCCGTTCAAGGCAGCGTCGCCGAAGGGACGAAGAGCATCGGAGCCTTCTTGCTTGGGACCAAAGGTTTCCCACATCAACTTGGCGCCATCTTTGGCATCTGCCTCGGACTTGAAGCCACCCTCACTGTATGTGGCACCTCCGATGGAGAGAAGAATTGTCTTGCCCTTCTTTTGGCAGGTCGTGATGTCCTTCCTAGAAGTTGTCAGTGAACTGGCCCTTCTGCCAGCAGCGCCAGCGAAACTCACCCAATGCTGGGGCAGTTTTTAAGCTGCGTTCCCTCGAACACCTCGCAGTCCCCGCTGCTATTCGCGAAGTCAATCTCGGGTGCGCCTCCAGGGCCATTGACCATCATATCAAAGGCCATCGGGATGACCTAGAGGGTTTTGTCAGTTCAAAATCTTTTACGCGTCACCCTCATAGACATACATCAATGTCCTCATCTAGTGTTCTTGTTAGTCTGATTGTTCAAATCATAAGAAGGGCTTCACTCACTGTCACAGTAGTAAGATAGAGGCTTTTGGCTCTCAACCTTCTTGCCCTTGGAAGAATTTTCTAGGGAGTTCTGTCCTGCACACGACCTCAATTAGAATCAATCGAAGTATACAATCGCAGGTCACCTACCCCAATAAACAACAACGTTCTTGCTAGACTTCAAGTCAAGCTTCGCCTGCACGCCCCCGAGGGATGCCAGCAGAAGCGACCAAGAAAGAACTGTTTGAGATGACCGCATATTGGAGCAGTATTATCCCCTTGGCAGGGTATTAGCTATTAGGGGTTATGTTAGTATGGTCGATTATAGATATAGGGCTGCCGACGACGAGGACAAGTCACAAGGCCAAACTGTAACGAGGATTGAGCGTCCAGTACCATTAAATAGCGCAGGCCGATCTATTTTGCTCATTAAATCGTAAAAACAAAGACCTGCGTTCCACCATTCAACTGCGTCACTTGGGGCTCACGCATGGTATGACCCACACTGTACACGCCAGCAGACAAATGGGTAAAGCTTGGACTTGCGAAAAAGACCCTGAGCAAATATAATTTGTAAAAATATTCCTCCCGGCGTCGTTTGATTGGATCATTGGGTAGATCCTGCCACTCGGTGCATTCCGATATTGTTGTCAGGGGACCCGAGGTAGATCCGGGAATGTAGAGAGGTAGGAGTAGGCTTGCTCTCTAGAATGAGGCTCTAGGCCAGTTAATGGACCTGAGCTGAACTGCCAATGCCTAGGATTCTATATCCCTTGTCTTCCTGTTGGCTTTGGTCGTCCTGTCGGTTGTTCGTCTATCATCCGTGGGCAGATAGACTATGTTTTGAACCACATGAAACGATTTCTTAGTTGTAGATTGATTCTTAGATTATGAATTTTAGCATCAATCTGTCAATATTTTTGTATAGCTGGAGATATGAATAAATGACAGAATTGAATCGATGTAGATGGGAATATATAAGACCGTTGGTGCAAGTATATATCCAGGTGGGTGACTCACTCCATCACTTTTATGAGCTCCGTTCAAATTTTGTGAGATTGGATACATAGATATACTTATTGCAATATTCCTCCTAACTAAAGTAATATTGTTATCTGTTAAAGAAAATCATAAGATATATGGCTGAGCGTGACTACTTCGAGCAGCATCGTACCCGACACCATTAGTATACATGCTCCGTTTCACAATTGCTTCCCACAAACGTGATAATTGCTGTAATAATCATAGCGAGAAGTCCATAAAGCCTTGCATTTTAATAAAAGGCTCAATTTCTCCTAATTATGGTAGGAATCCTTATCCTCTCTAGAGCAAATCACAACTCAATGCTTCATATCACCAAACCCAGGCAATAAGGCAACCTCCCCCACCCCACATAAAGCGATAGAACACATGGACCCTGATCACACGAAGCTCAAATATCTGTCCCTGGAACAGAGCTATGCAGGGGTATACACATACCTATCTCTTGAAATATCCGGTGGTAAGGGTGCAAGGGGTTATCCCGCCATAGGAATGCATTTTGTTTGCAAGTGACTCTTACCTTTGGGGGTTTATTTCGGAGACCCAATTACTGTCATATAAGTGCATCATACCATAGATATGGGATTGTAGGGTTGTCCTATCATTGAGCACGGTAAGCAAGGTCGATGGTCCGGTATGGCCTGTTGCATGCCTCTTTGTGGCTTCTTGGGATTGCTGCTGTTGAATGGTAATTATTAGCGAGCTTTGATTTTGAGTGGCTCCTAGCAGGACTAATATAGGAATCATTATGAAGTGTAGGCTACTGAATAGAAATGTATCTCGCACTGTTGAGCTGTTCGCTACCGGGTACTATCCATGACTTTGAACCCAGAAAGACTTGTTAGAGTGATACATCACAATTCCATGAATTTAATATTGACAATCTCTCTGCATACTCATTTACTACTCTCTCACGAGATGTAATCTACCTCTTGATTCCAATAACCCGCTGGGTAGCCTCCTCATTGCTCATGGCCGGGTCAATGACACCAGCAACCTTAAGCACATCAATAACACCTTCAATAAGCTTATTATCAACACCACGAGTGCTGTTAGTAAATTTAACATCCTTCAACCACTCTGTTGCATCCTCTTCAATGTAATTGCAGCCAAGCTCCCCAGTACCGAGCAATTTAACAACTTGAGCCGTATCAGCCTCAAAGTCCTTGACACCCTGGTCAAGAGCCTGGAAAAGACTGGCCAATCGCTGGTCGTTCTCAGGGTCAGGGAAAAGAGCAGTAGAAGCAACAATCATCCACGAAGGCCAAGGAGTAAAAATCTCGCCAATCTTCTTCAGAGGTGGGTTTGGCTTCTCAGCTGTCGGGTGGAAGTATGGCTTAGTGGTAAATTCCTCCCACATGAAGAACTCAGCTGATGGGTTAGCGGCCTTTTCAGGCTGCGATTCATCCAACCCAGAGACACCGTCGCGCAGAGGCCCAAAGGGTCCAAGAGGGACGGTTGTAAGAGAGTCTGCTTTCCAGCCTTGCTGTTGGGCAAGGACAAAAGACATAATGTGCGAGCCACTGCAGGGTTCCAAGTTAGTCTTGTATCCATCCCCTGTCACCGATCCCAATTTGATATCTCACCTTCCCAGCCGGCTAACTCCAACCCGCTGGTCCTTCAAGTCCGACACTCCGTTAATTTGGCTGCGGTTGCGGCCGGTCACAATAGCCCAGCGCAACGGGTTGTCAACCCAGTGGCCGACAACCTTGTATCCGCCATCTGCGTTCTGGCTCAGTTGTTGCGCTTTGCCTGCTAGACCGGCGACCCAGCCCTCAGTAAGACCGATGGCGATGTCAATCTCATTGCCGCGCAGAGAGGTGATCATATGACCCGTTCCAGAGGGGAATGGGGTCAGCGCGATCTTGAATGGGAGGGCTGTGACAGCCGGGGAGCGGAGGGTGAGGTGGAGTGGTGTAAGGTAGTGCTCTAGGAACCAGAGAGGGGTTTGTTAGCGCGCATTCTGTGAGATATATCGGGGTGTATGAAGCTGGCTCGCGACTGGGGGTGCCATAGCGAAGCAAAAGTCGGAGCTTGAGCTATGGAGGGGTAGAGGTAGGCGTACCGGGCACATAGCCAATGCGAATTGTGGGAGTAGCCATTGTGAAAGTAATAACTGGTTGGCTAATTCAACGGAGGATTAAGCAGCAATTGTCAACTGTCCAAAGATCCGCGGAGAATAAGTCGAGGAAAAGCGCATTCCAAAATGACGATATCGCGGGGCACATCCCTCGGAAATGCTTAACTCCGCACAAGCTTTGATAGTATAAAAAATAGTATGAACATTATCTCATTCCAATTATTTGTCTATATAGTTGCCAATTCCTATCTACATGTCTATTCTATGACCGATGTTTCGCTTCAGTTCATGCGGATGTCTTTCTCTTCGTGGCCCCAACGGCCATCCTGCTCCGGCCTGCCGGCAGTCTGAGAGGGGCCCCGAGAGTGTGAGGTGTGCAAGGAACTTCGAGAAAACATGTAGAATTGGAAGCCCAGGTAGAAGTCGCACGCACACTGAAACATGCCGCACAGCTTGAAGGCCCATGGAATAGTCTCCGTGCTGCAGAAGAAGTAGCTCATCTTCATGGTGTCACCGAGAATCCAAGCCGCAATGACGGAGACCCGGAAGCCCTTGCACGAGCCTGATCGGTAGTTCGCGATGATTTGTGGGATGGGAAGGGTGGCCTCAACGGCAAGTCCGATGTAACCCAAGAGGCTGATGTAGGCGTCGAATTGGGAGAGCGGGCTCAAGTGGAGGAGAGTTAGAGCTCCGACGAAGTACGCAAGGAACATATAGTATCTGTAAATTGCATCAGTTTCAACGTCCGCGGCTTTCTGCGCTCTCCAAACTTACGGCTTGGTGTTCTTCCACTGCCAAAATTCGTAGGGTCTTGAAGGGCCTTTATCAGAGCCACCACTGAAAGGCGCATGCTCAATTCCATTCACGCCGCCAGGAGAGGGCCTATTATCTAGTGCAACCTTGAGCATAGTCATCTGCACCACAATCATGACGACCGCCTGAGTCAACAAAGTGGCCGAATAGTACTCTCCAAACCAAAAGAAAACCCTAGCAAAGTCAATAATAATCCTCCATATCGAAATTCAACGCGCCGGAGAGTGTGGGCTCACTTCAGAATCGAAGAAACAAGCATGATCAGGGGAATATCCAAAGAGAAACCCGCGGAGCTTCTGGAGCGATGAATGCTCACGATTTGGTCGGCATAGGAGGTGAGAGGGGAGGTGACGAGGCTGTAAACGAACTTCATTAGCATCTGCGAATCATCCAGGAACCGGCCGCCGAAGCCGACTTACAATACGGGCGCGGCCCAGTCAATGGCAGCCGAAATGAAATACATGTCGGCGATGGACCTCCGCGGGTCAGGGCCTTTAGATGAAATGGAAGCCGAGCCGGTATGTTGAAGGCTTGAATAATGCGACTTGCAAGAGTTTGGCGACACGGGAAACCCAAAGAACAGAAAAAGGTACACTTCGACACGCATGCGGCTTTTTCAGGGTCTTGGCTTATGTCAGCGTGTCGATCGTGCACTTTGTTAAATTTGTTTTTAATTTACTTGGCACGTTGTGGTCTTGTATTTTTTTTGCTAACTTATTATTTGTATACAGTTATTTGAATTGAATATTGTAAATGTCTTGGTTCTTGATTACTGTGTTTCGGAGGATGATATTCGTATGCCATTGTTGACATCCGAACTATACAGCTGTACAGTTGACATACATCACCATGAACCGTCCACAAAGTATAACCAAATAGTCTGGTCAATCTCAGCATTCACGCAAGCCATCTTCAGCAACCATGTCGTTTTCAATTGGACTTTCCGGACAATTTCTCACCGCACTAAGACCTACCCGAACCTATCAAGAGGATGATAAGGCAGACGAAGCCGAGCTCGAGAAGAGAGGAGACATAAATGTCCTTCAAAGACTCCGCCATCAGAAACTCTCCAATAACGGGAAAACCTGTCAAGTTTCAATTAACGGCCTCCTTACTACAGAATTCGCTCTCCGAAGAATTGTCCAGAAGGAGATATCTCTCCACCAAATACTTGATCACCAATCAACCCATTTCCCGCAACAAGAACTCCAAGACGTTTGCCTGAAAGAAGAATTGGCCATATTGCAGAGGAAATTCTGGTTTCTGGAGCGAGAATGGTGGAATTATCGCTGCGCATTCCATGAAGGGCCTCTGTCAAGAGCCTTCGTGCTATGGCGCTCACACCCGCACTGGTATATGCACCGTGCTCTTCGTGATCAGTGTGCTAGACAAGGGGGATGTTGTGGCCGCGACTGCGGATGCTGTGCCAATCAAAATACCAGTCCAGAAAAACTTGGCGCTGGACACTGTACTGATGAATGCGGATGCTGTCTCAGAGCCCGAGGGTTTGATTATACCCCAGAGGAAAAGAAGGCACTTGAAATCGGTTTGGAACATCGACTTGAGGACCATCACGACATTCATTTTCAGGAGCTTGTTCAGGTCTCGATATGGGGGCTACTCAACGACAAGGACCAAAACCCGTTTGATCTGATTGAGACACCTCGTGGGGCTGAACAAAATGAGGACAGTGATGAATCGGCCACTCTATTTGATGATTCGGATTTGGAAACTTTTGTTCCAGAAATGGGAGATGCACTGAGCAATGCACTTCACGCGCGTCTATTCGTTTGTGTGACTGTTGCTTGCCTAGCTCTATACCAGATCAGTCATTTGAGCATTGCTAATGGCGCGGTACCGGGATGATTGCGAGTTGAATGACGTGCGTCTTCTGGGGCATATTTCCTATTTTGAGTTGAGGCAAATTCTCACCTCACTGGCACGCAGGGCTCTCAAGACCACGATTTAATCGATAGCTGAGCATTCTACTGTATCCCGAGAACCACTTGACCATAGCGAATAGTAGTGGGGAATCTTGATATTGATGATCTCGTATCTGTGTACGATCGCCGCGACGTAGAACCTATACAGCCTGATCTATATTTTGGTGGTATCTAGTGCAGTCTAGCTTTAATTTTTACTACTTTGCTTAGAGGGACAAGGGAGATAGATGTAACCACCGAGCTTCTGGCAAATACATTTAGCTTCCAGTTTGTTTGTTGTTTATCGAAAGCCGAGCACGCCCCTTGAATAGCCGATCTGAGATAATCTTCATTCAGCTGAAAGCGCTGAAGAACCCCACCGTACTTGATCCCCTCGGTGACGTAGAAGCTGGAATCAACTGCTTGAGCGAGGTAGACTGGCTTATAAAATCTGTCTCCCGCCTAACATTTTCAAATCCCATTTCACTTCCACTGGTATATCACATCAAACCTTCTAAATTCAAGCCTTCAAAATGCCTACCACACATATCCAAGAGTATGTTCCCATGACCAAGAATACTGAACTGAAACTTATTTCATGGATATTTCCCAAAGACCCATTGACAAAGGCTCAAGCGAAATACCCTTGACGGTTCTATACCAAAACGGGCATGAACTGGATAGTGCCAGCGCTGGAGATATCCAGAAGTTCTTCGATCTTGCTGATCGGGTTGCGGGAGGAGTCTAAAACCAAGAAATTCCTTGGTCATGATGAATGTAATCAAAGCTTTAGTCTAGCCAATAGTAGGATAGACCAGATCTTTCGTGTATCTGCTAGTTAAATGCCAATTTATTATATGTTGTGTATGCAAATGCGATAAATGGCAGATATAGTACTACAGCTCATTTTGGGGCCATTCTATTATTCCTGGATAATATCTGGCACCCGAGATCTCATTCCATTTTGCTGATCTTTTGCTGTTTTTGGATGAGCAGAACCGAGCACGCTGCATAGTTCAGCTGAGGTGATTGATCAACTGCAAACCCCGCCAACGTGGCCCACTAATGTTGAAGCTGAACTCAGCTATATGTGGCGTGTCTGTGGCCTCTGTAAGATTGAATCAAATTCACACCCCACATTGCTTGTGTCAATCAAGAACAGCACACTACAAACATTTAAGCCAAACAGTCACAATGACCCTCAAATGGATCCAAAAGTAGGCTCTGGCAATCCCTTATCAACATTCTGTGACTGACTAATTATTCTAGTCCTGATGAATTCCGAGAGGTCATCAACAGGGACGAACCAACCCTCATCTACTTCACAGACACTAGAAAAGGACCTCCTGGCCCGGAATTCGCTGCTCTGTCGACTGATAAACACCCCGCAGCACAAAAGGAGACTTTCTTTGTGGATTTAGGTGCAGAATATATCCCAGGCGTCCCGAGCCAGGCTTTCGTGACGATTCTGTATCGTAATGGCCAAGAATTGGATACTGCTGCAGGTGGAGACATGTCAAAGTTCTTTGAGCTTAGTGAGAGAGTTGCGGCAGGGAATTGAAATCAGCAGGCTGCTGATTTATCACGATTGATGTAATTAAGCTCTTGGCTTGGCTTCAGCGTTATCAGAGCAGATCAGAACTACTATAAATCAGCTTTTCATATGCCGATTTATAAAGCCTTGCCCATACTTATGCAAATGTTGTAAGGACAGCGTATTTTAAGATCACAGTGTCATAGGGCCGTGTTTAGATACTTGAACCATTGCTCCGGGCGAGACTTTTTCTCCTCTCAGGTCTTTCATAAGGTTGCAGCAGTATCAATGTTCTAATCCTGACAACAACATCAACAACTTGCACCCAACTCCTTCCAATTGTATGGGACTACATGTTAAGCGACTTGATCTGGCGCTCAACTGGGGCCAGTCGTCTGCCTTATACGATCGATATTAGTCGATTAGTGTGGCTGGCGGAGCAGACCCACCGGTCTTCAACCGATCACCGCAGTCCATTACCACCAGGCCAAACTGATCTCTACCTATACTTGTGAACATTTTTTGCCGGCTTTAACATAATCCATCTAGTTATTCGGGGGTACTCGCACAAATCTATTCTCTAGTTTAGGTAACGTCTTATAAGCTTTGGGACAAACTGCGGTCCATTGGCTATCCCAAACAGTTGACCCTATTCTTGGTGCTGCGTGTGATCATCCGGTTCCATATTCCTCTATCTATAGCTTATTACCCCTATTACATTGTTCTCGTATGTCTCTTTTCTTATTGTTGTGGTCTTATTACGGATCGTTACTATATCATTACTATGTAGTGCCATACTCCTCAAATATGAAAGGATGATTTCATTTAAAAAAGGACTTCTTTTTTTGAGAATAAATCCTGGAACGATCATAAGAACTATCATTGCCTATCAATCAGAAGACTGGCGGCTAAGTAATCACGCTGTGCCGAGAAAGGTTCTGTGAGCATGAACCTGGGCGCCCTCATAGAGTGGCGGCCCCTAATCGGTCAAGTCGCAGCCGTGCAGCTACATATACACCGGATTTTAGGCCGAGCGACATGGCTCTCCCTTTCCGCTTTAGTTCTCACGCCTTGCCGCTCTTTACTAAGTAAAACCGAGCATGCCCTTAGTGGGTATATAAGCCGGATGAACTTACAAACGGCCCCACAAGCGGCCCGGGGATCTACGAGGGAACGGACACTTGATATATGATTTGTATCATAATCTCACCCCAACATTCGCAGAAAGCAAATACTGGATATGTAATTCTTTTGCATAAACAATTTACGAGGCTGTAACATGTAGAAGGTCCAATATGTAACGTACAGGTCTTTAAGTATACCATATGTGCCGTAGTCATTCCGACTCGGATTTGGACCCCTAATTTCCCTTGCAAAACTTCGATTAAATATCCCTGTCTTCGGATGCTCAATTCCTCTGGTATAAACCGCCACTGACACAAGCAGATGCAGCAGCCTTTGGGGGCCATGTTGATCGATCTGAGATAAAAGCTGAGTGACTGGGGGTTTGCTCCACAACGCGCCCGATATATCTCGACAGAAAACTCCAATTCGTTTTGCTTTAGAACTACTAATAGATTGCTGACCGATTCGGTTAATGTAGACAAGTTGACGAGGGCCGGGAGTTGAGGAGAGGACCAGTGACGTAAATCCATAGTTCTAGTGGCCATGAGCTGTTTACCAAAGTACCTTGCATATAGCAATTGCAAGGGTCTCAGCATGAGGCTGCATATTATGTGCTTACATGCATCCCATTGCTCGCCTAGATACACCTGGGCATGCGTCATTTGCTTACTGAATAGATTAAACAGGAGATTGAAGCTGCCAACTTCCAAGAAACTGCCCTGGTACTAATCTGTAGTTCAAATCTCCTGATAAATTCTAACTGGTCCAAATCGTCGAGCATGTATTCGTCCCCTCCCACCATTCACGGGTGCTTTAGATATATGGTTTACAGAGTTGTTTTGAATAATATGTAGCTCTATATTGGCGCGGCTCTAATAGAGCACCGTTTGAGGCCCTAAGAGCTATGCGACTGTAACTTTTGTAACAAAGAAAGAGCCTAGTGTGGATCATGTTACCTTGGCAGATCGTGGGGGCGATGGATTACTGATCGTCAGATCATCTCTCGCAGTTGACTCACATATTCACCTTGTTCACCCTTTGACTCTGACCCATCTTTCAGTATGGCAGGCGCATCGGCGCAAGCCAACTTTCAACCCCAGCTCCACAGCGAGAAGGCATCTCCGGAGCAGGAGATGCTCGCCCAGCACATCGCAACCCCCATAATCAAGATTAATTACTTTCAACTCTTCCGATATGCGACCACAAAAGATTTGGTTATTATCAGCGTCTCATTTCTTGCTGCGATCATTGCGGGGGCAATCACAACAATGCCGGCGCTTTTAACAGGCTTGTTGATTGGCAGTATACAAGGCAGCTGGTCGGGTGGTTCATCCCAGGACAAGTCCAATAGTGAATTGACGCGCTTCACAATCTACTTCGTGTACCTTTTTCTGGGGGAACTAGTGTCATGCTACATTGCCAATATTGGATTCATCCGTACCGGCATCACATTATCGAGCCGGATCAGAGAACGGTATTTGGCCGCACTTCTGAGTCAAGACATTGCTTTCTTCGACAACATAGGAGTTGGGGAAATATCAACTTATATCACCGCCGACGCAAATTTGATTCGAGACGGTATTTCAGAGAAAGTCAGCGTTGCCGTACAGTGCTCCGCATCGGTTGTCGCCGCGTTCGTCATAAGTTTCATGCGAGACTGGAGGCTGACGCTCATCCTAGCTTCCAGTCTTGCATGCATCGCCCTTGTGTTTGCTGCTGCCAGTATAATGCTCACGAGATATCGCCAGCAATGGCTGGGAGAGACCGCGGAATCCGGTACCATTGTCGAAGAGGTCTTTTCATCCATCAGAACAGTTGTGGGGCTAAATGCGCAATCCGAACTTGTGGCTCGATATGATGGCTCTCTAGCTAAAGCAGAACGTTTTGCAAATAACGCCAGGCTCATATCCGGCGCCCTGCTTGGGGCTGTCTTTGCCGTTATTTACCTGGCTATCGGGTTAGGGTTCTGGATGGGTTCGCGCTTCCTGGTAGCGGGCACATCCTCGTACGTCGATATCTTGACCATTATCCTCGCGACGGTGACTGGCATCGCTTGCCTCGGTGGCATCATTCCCCCACTTCAAGTCTTCACTATTGCGACGGCTGCTGGATCAAGATTGTACAGCACCATTGACCGAAGATCTCCGGGGACCGCTATTGGCTCTCCTGAAAGGAAACTAGACAGTGTGATCGGCCATATTGAGTTGCAAAATGTCAGACACATATATCCTTCAAGACCAGATATCGTTGTTTTGGACAACTTGAGCTTGGATATTGAGCCTGGAAAGACGACAGCCATAGTTGGACCGTCTGGATCAGGAAAGAGCACAATAATCGAACTTCTCGAGCGTTTTTATGACCCCATTGCCGGCGATATTCTCTTGGATGGTCACAGACTCTCAGAATTTAGCCGAAACTGGCTAAGACAGCAAATTTCCCTGGTCCAACAATCACCCACGTTGTTTGCTACGACTATCTTCGAGAACATCCGGTATGGTCTGGTTGGAACGCCCCATGAGAATGCATCCAAGGAAGATATCGAGAATACTGTCTACGATGCTACTCGTGTCGCAAATGCCCATGACTTTATCATCAAGTTACCTGACGGCTACGATACCCTTGTCGGCGAGACCGGCGTGTTGCTTTCCGGCGGTCAGAAGCAGCGTATCGCCATCGCTCGCGCCCTCATTTCTGATCCTCGAATTCTTCTCCTTGATGAAGCCACCTCAGCCTTGGATTCGACGAGTGAAAAAGTTGTTCAAGCTGCAATCGAAAAAGCTTCTCAGGGGAGAACGACCATTGTTGTGGCTCATCGTTTATCAACTGTCAAATCCGCGGACAAAATCATCGTCTTGTCTGGAGGCCAAGTTGTTGAACAAGGCACTCATAACTTTCTTCGAGACAAGAATGGAGTGTATAGTCGACTAGCCAAATCACAGGCTGTCAACGTGAATGAAAAGGAATCTTCCCGAGATGAAGATTCTTTAGAGGTACCCATCCATCATGCTAACTCTGGCCCTGGAGAGACAGACACGGAGCCTCTGTCGGTCGCCAGAAATCCTTTGTTTGATACAGTGCATAAGGACGCAGATGCTCTCGAAAGCCTGGATCGACCACGCCACCAGTATTCGATGCAGACCCTTCTGAAGTTTGTGAATAATTTCCACAAGGACTCTATGACATTGGTGTTAATGGGGTTTCTCGCTTCAATCCAAACCGGAGCTGGGGCACCCATCCAGGCAGTGTTTCTGGCCAAATGTCTTGTTGCACTCGCAAGACCTCAAGCTGAATTTTCACAGCTTCGGTCCGAGACAAATATATGGGCTGGAATGCACGTCGTCTTGGCTGTCGTACAGTTCCTCGCCTACTCGGCCCAAGCTTCTGCTCTCGGAAAATGTACAGAGAGGCTTATCCGTCGCCTTGGTGAGCTGTCCTTCCGGGCCCTTCTCGACAAGGACATGTCTTTCTTTGACATGGAGGAGCACGGTGTAGGTGCACTAGTATCATTCCTCAGCACTGAGCCAGCCAGTATGGCGGGCATGGGTTGCTACGCGATTGGAAACTACATCATGGCACTCACAACTCTCATTGGTGCCATCGCAACCAGTATAGCTGTCGGATGGAAACTTGGACTTGTCGGTGCAGCTACAGTACCTGTTCTTTTGATGTGCGGATTTCTTCGATTCCGCGTTATGGCTCAGCTTGAGGCGCATCTTCGTCAGGTGTATCAAGAAACAGCATCATTGGCCAGTGAAGCGGTCTCGGCCATCCGCACTGTCATATCTCTAAATCGTGAGTCCCAGGTTGCAGCAATATTTCACAACAAGCTAGCCGAACAAGATTCGAAGAGCATTCGCTCAAGTCTGACATCTTCGGCCCTTTTCGCGTTTTCACAATCGGCACCATTGCTGTGTACTGCTCTTGGCTTATGGTATGGTGGCACACTCGTTATCAGTGGGGAATATGGATTGTTCCAATTCATCCTGAGCTTCGCTGCTGTTAACATTTGCGGCGATGCTGCTGGCTCGATATTTAGCAGCTCGCCAGATCTAGCAAAGGCAAAACTTTCCGCCATCCGATTTAAAGCGTTGTTTGATCGACAGGCACAGTGCCAAGCGGATTTGGGCGAAATTCAACCTCTTTGGGAAGGAAACATTGAATTCCGGAATGTCCACTTCTCGTATCCTACGCGTCCCGACCGGCAAATACTAAACGGTCTCGATCTCACTGTACACAATGGTAATTACATCGCCCTAGTTGGACCCAGTGGGTGTGGGAAAAGCACGATTGTTGCACTTTTAGAGCGTTTCTACCATCCACTCGCCGGTCTTGTCACAATGGACGGCTTGGATCTCTCCGCAATGGATATGAGCGCATACCGCGATCAAGTGGCACTCGTGAATCAAGAACCCACACTCTTCCAGGGTACTATCCGAGATAATCTCCTTCTCGGACTCGATGCATCGAAGTATTCTCAGGAAGAATTGGAGACCATCTGCAAGGACGCACATATCCTTGATTTCATCCGTTCACTCCCGTACGTATTTCACAGATAATTACATCACTAGCAGCAACTGACTTGGTTATGCAGTCTCGGATTCGATACTCTGTGTGGAGGGAAGGGAAACAACTTTTCCGGTGGTCAGAAACAGCGACTAGCAATTGCCCGGGCCCTTCTGAGACGGCCGAGTGTCCTATTACTAGACGAAGTCACTTCGGCGCTGGATTCGGAATCCCAAAACGTAGTTCAGGCTGCACTCGACCAAGCTGCAAAGCAGCGTACCACAGTTGCGATCGCCCATCGCTTGAGTGCTGTCCAGAATGCAGACCTCATCTGCTTCGTAGAGGACGGTGTGGTTGTTGAATCTGGAACACACGCCGAGCTCGTCAGAAGACGAGGGCGATATTTTGCCATGTTGAGCTTACAGAATCTAGAAACATAGGCGATCACTTTTGGCTCAACTTTCCATAAGTCTCTTTGTTTATATTCGCATAATAGACACTATTCTGTTGACGCTTGCAATTTGATCACTCTGTCTTAGTATCTGATATTGGTTAAGAATAAAACCATGCCTTCCTGCCGATAGACTATATGTTTGCAAGCGCCAATGGGTCTGGGTCCATGATCGAAGATGGCAACCCTCGAGCCTGGATGTGAGAGAATTAGGTACTATCCAAGTGTATCTCGATACAAGTCAAGCTTGGTCCAGTAAATGAAGCAAATAAATAAGATCTGAGCCGTTGAAGATGTCTATGTCTATCTACTACACCCACGCGGTCTTAATGTCCCAAGACACTTCACTCCCACTGCCCGCTAACATGCTCTCGGTGCGACGCAAAAGCTGACGAAAGCCTCGAACACCTTCCAAGAGTAGGGCTAAGCATCATCTAACTACTTACCAAGTACAATTAATTGGTCACTAAGTAAGCATCCTATGCTATGAGATACTTAGTGAGCAGGGCCCTAAGCGCCCTCATAAAGCAACACCCGGATCGGGAAATTCGCATTCGCAGCCTAACATCCAGTACATACTGCTACATATATGGGGACTGCACACGTCCACAGCCCGCGACATTAGTTGGCAAATAATATGTAACGTCAATGGACTCTATCAAGTCATAAATAAAAGCCCAAAAGAGCACAAACCCGAGAGTTGGCCAACGGCGTCATAGCGCGAGATCGTCGCGATGTTGTCCCCACGCGGTTTCGCGATATCGCGATCAACCACTTTTTTTTAAATATAACCATAAAGCCATAAAGACGCCCTCTTTGATCTGGAAAAAAATATTACAGTGCCTACAACTGGTTTCAAGCCAAGAATTTTTTCATCACCAATTGATTTACGAACCCGCGCGGCGCCAAAATGAGCTGTATTCTCCCCCCGCTAACCCCAACATACCAACCCCAAGCATGGCTAATCTAATCTCCAAGACCCTAAGCCCGAATGGCCCCAGGACATTCTGGATAGAGCGAAAGGCGCCTATCATGAACCGACCCGGCGCGAACGCACAGCGGATTACCCGATCCCCTACAAATTCGTCGTCTTCAATGAGAATCCCGATATGTCGGAAGCCGAAGTCGAAGGAATCTTTGATACGCTCGAGGAAGCGAACCAGGCTACTTTGGCAGTGTTCAGTGCCTCATATTCCGATTTTCTTGATCAGAAAAGGGACATGTCCAATGTCTATGAGAAGGGGACTAAAGAAGAGCAGGAGAACGAGATTGTGTGGGAGTTTGGTTCCAATGGAGAGCTGAGCTTGGTTGCTACTGACGGCAGTAATGGCGAGCAATACTTGGTATGGGTTGAGGCGCATGGCAACTAAGGAGCAGTGGGCATGTTTTGATACTGCCTTGCTGCTACGTGGAGATGTTTAGTGAAGAGGAGTGCCTGGACCAAGTGAGATGAGATACTCGAATCAAGTGATGTGTTTTGCCATAAGGATTATAAAGTCGAAAAAAAGACTGAAAGTTCGTTGTAACAATAACGAAGCCCTTCAGACGAATCATCGTGTATCCCGCGATCCTGACTGAATGTCATAATCGTCACTAGAATCATTTATCATGAGCTAACCCTTCTAGTTCGGGAGTAATTGCCGAAGGATATGTATCCTTGAGTCTCGGGCCTCTGTTTGCTTGCCACATGTCTCTATGACTCCTGTGATCTGCCCCTTCTGGTATCAAATTCGTTATCCTGAGACTCATCCCTTTCCCTATATCGAATATATACATACGTCCCCAGACAGCGATATTAGCTCACACGCGAGATATTAATAGCCGAAACAGAAGTAAGTGTGAGTACATCCAGTTTGATATCCATAAATCAAAGCAAAATGATAAAATTTTGCCAACGAACGGCGTCATGCAGTTGAGCCTTACGTCGACCTCACGTTGATTCACGGTATCGCAGAGACCAGTCTAAGCTCGACGAGATAAGCATGAAGGCAGCCTCAGCTCTTTCCTTTTTGCTATACACTTTCATCTCGAATTTCTCTTCTCTCCCACAACTCCTCAAGTTACAATCGCTATCCAAGCCATTTGCGAACATGAGTTGTATGTGATAACTAACCCTAACGCATCAAAGCATGGCTAACATAAAACCCAAAGATCTTACCGCAAAATGGCCTAAAGGACTCCTGGACAGGGTGTAAGCTGCTTCTTGAGAGCTCAGCGACGACGACCGCACCGATGAAGACGCAGTTATCAATAAATACGCCGTCTTCAACCGACACCCCTACGAGTCTGGACCCGCAAACGAAGGATCCTTGGATACGCTGGAGGAGGCAAATTTGGCGGTCCTGGCAAATTTTCAAGACAGGTACAATGGTTTCCTGCTCAAAGAGGATGTGTCCAACATTGTCAAAGAGGGCACCACAGAAGTTCAGTTGGATGACGGTGCATGGCTAGTCCGTCTTCCTGGAGAGCCGAGGCTTACTGCTACTGGTTCGTATTCGGGTGAGGCATGCCAGGTCTGGGCTCAGTTGCAGGCAAACTAAATCGGTTTCACCTATAGGACTGTGATGCATGGCTTCGATGACTCCCTTTCTCCTTTCTTCTCTCTCAGCCCGAACCATCAATAACATTAGCATATCATTTCTTTCTTCTCTTTCACCTTTTGTCAAAAAGTGCAATCATGCCTCGAAGCCTCATTGGGGTGGAATGTCAGCTACGTAGCGGAACCTGCGTCAAGTGAGGTCAGATACTCGAATCAGATGAGAGACTGTTCATTTATGAGCACTCAACCAGCTGCGGATTACATGCAGCCTAGCAATTTTGAAATACAGTAGATCGCATACATAAATCGTCCGAATCCGAGACCAATCGCTCAGAACTCGATACGCCATGTCTTTCCAATGCCAACATCTGGCTTCTTGACCACGGCATAAGAAGCCTGTCCTAGCGGCTGCTCGTAGAATTCCAGTGAGGCTGTCGAACCAGCCTTGGACCCGTCTTCGATCACGGTCACGGTCTCCTTGTTCTTCCATTCGGCCGGTGGGTCGACAATGATCACTCGCTCAACGGTGACACCGGCCATGGTCTTGAGGTACTCGGCTGTCTTGGGTCCCTTGGTACCGACGTCTTCCGAGGACAGGACAGACCCAAGGTAGTGGAAGTTGCGGTGGATGTAGGCTCCACGCTCGTAGTCGAAGGTCTCACCGTCATCTACGTACAGGCTTCCTTCGGCCTCGCCGTTCTTGTCTAGGGTGATGACGAGGGTGTAGGGATCCCAGCGCATGAGACCAGCGCTGCGACGGGGACGATCCTTGCGGGGAATGATATGGCCACCCTGGATCAGGACGGGCACCTTCTCCTCAGGGGCGGGGACGGTATGCTTCTTACCAGCACCCTGATAGACGGTGAAGTCAAAGTAGTCATAGTACTTCTCGTCGTCGGAGATGTACACGTCCGCGGTCTCGGTCTTCTCGGTCAGAACGGGCTTCACGAGAAGACCAGTAGCAGCAAGGTAGAACTGATCATCGATGGCGAAGCCTTGCTCGTCATCTGGGAAGGCGTAGTATTGAGGTCGCACGATCGGTGTGCCGTTGACCGAGGCTTCATGGAAAGCAGTGTACCAGGCAGGGAGAAGTTGGTATCTCAGACGGATAGCCTGCGCGATGTAGGATCGGTGAGGCTCACTGATGAGATAGGGTTCACGGCGACGAGTATCGATGTGAGCGTGGGCGCGGAAGAAGGGATACCAGATACCGGCTTGGTACCAGCGGGTCAAAAGATCCTTATCCGGGTTGTGGAAGAAGCCACCGACATCGGCACCGGCGAAGGGGAAACCAGCAATGCCGTTGGTTAGGACCATAGGAACAGATGCCGCCAAGTGGTCCCATGTGGCCTGGTTATCTCCAGTCCACATAGCGGAAACACGCTGAGAGCCGGCGTAGAATGAGCGGGTCAGAATGAATGGACGGCGGATCTCGCCCTTCTTGCGCTGGAGCATGGCTTCGTAAGTGGCATTCAGGAGAGTCATGCCGTTGACATTGTGAATATCACGGTGCTCCCAGTTGCCATAGTGCAGGTTGTCTCTGGGCATACTCATGTCCGGTCCGTTGAAAACAGACGGCTCATTCATATCGTTCCAGATGAAAAGGTTCGAGAGGGATCCCTTGAACTTGTCGTACTTGTGGAGGGCAGTCCACCACACGCGAGCCGCGGGGTTGAAACAGTCGACCCAGTTCGAGGATCCGGGCCAGCACCATCCATCGTAGATCTCGCCATCCTTGTTGAGTACGGCGAGATTCTTGCTTCTGAGCTCGTCGGACACGTAGTAGTTATCCGCCTTCTTGATATGAGGATCAATCAGAACAACAAGCTTGCGCTCTGTCTCATCAAGCTTCTCCTGCATACCCTTGGGGTCAGGGAAGGTGAGCGGATCCCAGGTGAAGTATTTACGGTCATCAGTATATTCAAGATCAAGCCAGATAACATCGTACGGAATTTGGTATTTGTCAAACTTGGCGTTCACCTCCTTGACGTCCTCGTCTGTAACATAGTTCCAGCGACATTGGTGGTAACCAATGGCAAATTGCTGGGGAAGTTGCGTGTATCCAGTGAGCTCACCATACGTCTTACTGATTTCTTTAGGCGAAGGACCAAGGAAGACAAACAAGTCGAGGCGACCAGACTCAGATATCCAGTGGGTCTGAGTGTTGGTCTTCGAGCTGGTGCCCAAAGACAGAGGATTGGCGGTGGTTGTAGACTTGACAATATCAATCCAGGTTTCTGCAGCATTGAGCCAGAAAACACCGACAGTGGAGTCTTTGCGGTGGGCTTGCATGAACGGAATGGCACCGTAGAGAGTCATTGGGCTCTCGAGCTCATACTCGAATACGTCCGAGTTAAATAGACGGTAAGGGTCAGCGTGGTTGCCCTCGCCGCCTCTGGTTTCCTTGAGTGAAAGCGAGTCGGCATGCTCTGGGATACCAAACACATGACTGTAGCCAGGGAAAGTGACATCAAGAGCAACGCTCTCTGGGCCACGGGGTTTGGAGTCCGTGCTTCCACCGAATGTCTCCTCCCACCAGGTGCTTTCGTCCTCGCCGCCTTCCTTTCCGTCCACCTTCGGGCGCCAGTGCTCCATGTTCAACAAGCCTCGCTCGTTCAATTGAACATGAGTTTGACCGTCTCTTTGGAAGTCAATGCTGAATGGTGCATGGCGAATGACTGCCTGGAACTTATCTCCAGGTCCATATAGAACATGAGTGAAGCCGGTTTCACTCTGGGCATTCAATGTAGCCGACTTGCTAACTTCCAGGCCCCCGACAAGCGCCCATTGCTCAGCTTCATCATAACGTTTCTTGTTTGCCTTGCTGCCATGTCGCATTTCAATATCGCCCTTCAATCGTCTCTCTTCATCAACCAACAGACGAGCGGCTCCCGATTCCAAGAAAGAGACTGTGAGAGGTAGTCGGACCTTATCATCGGCAGTGGTTGTTTTGACGAGGACACCTGTAAATAGACCATCCTTGAAGTGTACGGTGGCGGGATCGAGCTCGTAGGGCGAGTTCCATGAGCTTTGAGCAGAAGCGTCGTCGGCGTACGCGCGGTTTCGTTTACAGAATCCAGACTGTTCGCATGTCTTGAAGTCTCCGTGTTTGACAGCCCCTGCGTGGGGAATTAGCCGTCCGTAAGCTTGAACGCAGAAGGGGACACCATACAGCTGGGGATGACAATGCATCCGATAAGGATCACCAAGGAGAGCAAGACTGCCCAACGGGGCGCAGGCTGACTCCTGGTCATGGTTTAGACAATATGTGCAACCAGAGACTCTCAATCTCTGAGGGTGGTGAATGATGATACCCGCATCTAAAGTGTGGAGATGTCAACAGGAAGCTCCAAGCTGGCCGGACACCTGAACCGACAGGCACTAAGGCACAAAGGCTGTCAGGCATCCAAGTGAGACACCCCTCCTATTTGCCAGCCAATCAGCTGCTCAGGTCTGACAGCACCGAAAAAAAGCCCCTCTATTTAATCTTCAACCTCCTCCCTCTTTTTCCACCTCATACCACATACATTTTTTGGTCTCATATTCAAAATGTCCGCCAACGAGGAACAGACGTATGTGCTTGCTCTTTATACTACGCTACAACTTACCCTTTTTATCCAATTTCCCTTCCCTTCATCCCTGCCGTTACCCCTCATCGTCCGGTCAAGCTAACAAATTGCTCCAGTTTCATTGCCATCAAGCCCGATGGTGTCCAGGTATGGATACAGTTTCCGCCGAACCGATTCCGTCACCAAAGATAAATTGGTCACTCAATTGAAGCAATAACTAACCCCATCGACAGCGTGGACTCATCGGCCCCATCATCTCTCGCTTTGAGAACCGTGGCTTCAAGCTCGTTGCCATGAAGCTCACCACCCCCAGCCAGGAGCACCTCGAGAAGCACTACGAGGACCTCTCCGCCAAGCCCTTCTTCAAGGGTCTCGTCGCCTACATGCTCAGCGGCCCCATCTGCGCCATGGTCTGGGAGGGTAAGGACGTCGTCAAGACCGGCCGTACCATCCTCGGTGCCACCAACCCCCTGGCTTCCGCCCCCGGTACCATCCGTGGTGACTACGCCATCGTAAGAGCTCCCCACATTCCACACTGATCTGCAAACACTAACCCACCCCTAGGATGTCGGCCGCAACGTCTGCCACGGTTCCGACTCCGTCGAGAACGCCAAGAAGGAGATTGGCCTCTGGTTCACTCCCTCCGAGGTCCTCAAGTGGAAGTCCGCCGCTTCCCCTTGGGTTTACGAGTAAATTACTCGTTTCCAAGTGAAGTTGTCTGACGGGGCCGTTCCTCGGGTGTTCGCAGCATAGACGCCGCGAGTCTGAGGTGAGGACCTTGATGGCTTGGAAAAATAAACAATATACAATTTCATACGATTCTATGAATATCGCTCTCTGGTATCACAGTAATGCTCGCTAGCTCAGCCTCTTCGGAACAGCCTCCTGGCTAGGTTGGCTGTAGGTGTAAAAATAGTTCTTGCGAACCACGGCGTGGCCCAAACACTTGCTGCTAACCGAGCCGGTAGCAAAGCCTTGGTAATTGCATAAGCCGTTGCGAACTCCAACACCAATCGCACCCCCGCACGCTCCGTTTTCTTCTCCCCGGTAGTCTCATGTTCTGCGACAGTATTCACATCATCCTGGTCCACCCAGCCTTTTTTCTTCAACCAGCGGCCAAAACGCGCAGCCCCCTCATCAAAGGCATTGGTCTCGCTCGTATCCGAGGAAAGGTCTGGCATCCAAGCACCATAGTGGAAGGCACCAACTAGCCCGAATAGTGGGAGTATAGCCGTGATCTCATGGAGTATTAAGAACGATGTGATATGGGTGACCGGAGCGCCGAATAAGGGTGTAGTATATGTGCGGAGGAAGCGGGGGAGGCGGTCATTGAACCGACGCAGGCGAGATTGAGTGTCATTGGCGTTCACATTGGGTGGTTTTGGCGGCGGCAGTGAAGGAGAGGGTGTGGAAAGGGTTCGTCGCGATACTGCGCGTGGTCTGCTATCCCGTAGCTGCGAACGGAAATAGCGCAGAAAGATCGATGGTCGGGATGCCATGGCTGAAAATCAGCCACAGCTCTAAAAAAAAGAAAGTCTATGTCCAATGAAGCTCGACTGTGGTCAATGGATGTATCCAAGTTAATCGCTGTTAAGCGTTAAGCTCGTCGATCGATATCGGGCTGAGTCATCCTAAGTCCCCGTGCCACTTTTTCGGCTTTTTTTCTTCAGCTGGTCCTCCTTGCATAGTGGAAATCGGCTATTCAAAGCATTATATGCACGTAGTGTACATCTAGTAGATTGTTAGTGCGTAGCCTCTTGGCAGCTGTAGACATCCCAGGATCCGACGCAATCGGAATCGTGACATGGTCCACTTTTGCCCGAATCTCTCTTCTTCCTCATCCAACCCCCTCTCCACATACACTCCCTGGACACAATGGAGAAGAAAATCACAGAGAAGATCGCGGCTTTGCCGCCAGATGCCAACTACTTCTCCCTGGAGTTTTTCCCTCCAAAGACCCGGATGGTGGGGTAACCCCGCGTGCGCAAAGATGTGAAGTCACTGACAATTATGGATTCATGTAGGGTTTCGCCAACCTGTCTGCGCGTCTGGAGCGGATGGCCCAGGCTCTGCGTCCCCTCTTCGTGACAGTCACCTGGGGTGCTGGTGGTAGCACAGCCGCACGATCGCTCGAGTTGGCCGAAGTATGCCAACGTCAGTTACAGTTAACAACCGTCCTACACTTGACCTGTACCAACATGAGTCGGAAACTAGTGGATATGGCACTTGATGAGGCCAAGGTTCTTGGAATCCGCAATATCCTGGCTCTACGTGGAGATCCGCCTCGCAGTGAGGAGTATAACATGCACGGAGAGGACGATAGTAACAAGGACTTCACCTTCGCTGTTGATCTTGTCAAGTATATTCGCAAGACACATGGTGACTACTTCTGTGTTGGTGTTGCTGCATACCCAGAAGGCCATCCCGTCGATGCCTTCCAAGATACCCAGGATCCGGCCAGAGATATTCCCTATCTGGTTGAAAAGACAGTCGCTGGTGCCGACTTCATCATGACCCAATTGACATACGATATCGACGCTTACACCAAGTTTGAAAACATGCTCCGCAACCATGAGTCGGGTGTTTTCAAGACTATTCCCATTATCCCGGGCTTGATGCCCATTCACAGCTACAAGATCCTGACTAGGGTCACCAAGCTCAGCCACGTCACCATCCCTCCCCCGATTGCTCGACGTATGGAGGAGTTGAAGCATGACGACGATGCAGTCAAGCGTGCCGGTGTGGACATTGTCAGTGAGATCGTGGGTGGTATGAAAGACATCCCCAGCCCCGGGCCGCGGGGATTCCACTTCTACACCCTGAACCTGGAAAAGACTGTGTCGTTCATTTTGGAACAGTCTGACTTGATTCCGCCTTACTCTGAGGCAGACAACTCTGCTATTGAGGAAGGTCCGCCTCTTGTCGATTTCCCCGGACGCGCGTTGGGAAGAAGCCGTGCGTCATCTATGCACTCGCAGCCTCACAACCGAGTCATTGTGGACAAGCTATCCGTTCACGAGTCATCACAGGATTCTCAGCATGAGGCTCTCGCAGAAAGCGTGGGTTTGCCCATGCATCCCAACCGTAGCACTACTCTGTTGATTTCTGAGGGCCAGGGCTCGCTTGGCAGAGAAGCAACATGGGATGACTTCCCCAACGGACGATGGGGTGATGCCCGTTCACCTGCCTTCGGTGAAATTGATGGCTATGGTCCTTCACTTCATGTCACTTCCGCTGTCGCTCGCCGGCTATGGGGACACCCTGTGGACGCAAAGGACATGAGCACACTCTTTCGGCGACACGTTTCGGGAGAGCTTCACATGGTCCCTTGGTCAGAGGGTGGAGCCGAAGAAGACGGTGGTGGCTTGAACGCCGAGACTGAGCTGATTCGCCCAGAGCTCCTCAAGCTCATTGACGGCCGCGGCTGGTGGACCCTGGCCTCGCAGCCCGCCGTCAACGGCGTGAAGAGCGACCACCACATCTTCGGCTGGGGACCTCAGCGCGAGGGCTTCGTCTTCCAGAAGCCCTTCGTCGAGTTTTTCTGCTCAAACAACGACTACAAGAACATCCTCAAGCCACTTTTCGCCCAGCACGGCTCCGACAAGCTTACCTGGTTTGCGACAAACATTTCAGGAGCCTTTGAATCATCCCTCCCAGCCCAACCCACCGATGTCGAGCTGGACAGTCTCGAAGATAACCCCGAGAGCGTCAACGCCGTCACATGGGGAGTTTTCCGCGGCAAAGAAATCGTCACACCAACCATCATCGAAGAAGTCAGTTTCCGCGCCTGGGGAGAAGAAGCCTTCCGCATCTGGGATGAATGGCGCCGCATCTACCCCCGCGGCTCGCCCACCGAAACATACCTAGACACAACCAAGAACGACGCCTGGCTCGTCTGTGTCGTTGGCCAGCAGTTCGGCGCTGGAACAAAGCAAGGCTCAAAGGAAGAGGAAGACGAGGTCAAATGGATGTGGCGAGTGTTGGCTGGTGAGGACGCTTAGATTGTGTCACCTCCCACCCACTACTTTCCCAATTGGAATCTAGATATACCCTTGGTGTGGAGATGATGACGGTTTAGTAAGGGCAAGCCTGGTCATATGAGATATGAATGGCACAAAATATGGATTCTGTATAGTAGTCTTGGCCTCGTGCAATTAAGATGAATATGATGAATGAATATGCATGTTCTTGGTTTATGGGTTCGTTTATATTCATTGATATACGCTAGTTATAAGCAAATGCGTTTATAAACAGGTCCGCTCATGCAAGGATTTTGGTTGGGATTACGCCTTCTGCGCAAATCCATGCTCTTCGAGTCCGCTCGCGTCGGTGTCGGGGGTGACTGCTGAAGATGACACCATTACCTCTTCTAGGCGGCCATATACCTTCGGTGCGCGGCGGGGTGCGTGAGCTGCTGGGGCTGGGAGTTGATAGCCACGTAACCTGTGATGTAGTCAGCAAGTTGCGACCAAAAAGGAGTATGGGAGAAAAGGGCTGTCATCTCAAAGCACATAGACATACCTAGGACCTTGGCCACTACTCTCGGGCATCTCAGGAGCATAGAAGCGAGCAAATGCCTCAATATCCTGCTCAAAGGTACCATTCTGAATACTCTCCCTAATTCCCGCAAAGAAGAGATCAAAAACATGATAATTATGAATCTGAAGAAGAGCCCAAGCAGTCATTTCCTTCGCAGCGAGCAGATGATGGAAGTAAGCCCGGTGATGTTTGCGACAAGCGAAGCAAACACACCCCTCAGCCAAGGAAGAAACAGCAGTCGCATTCTCAACAGACCACATATCATATCCCAATGGCTGAGGCTTCTTATCATCATCCTGCGCAACCGGGGCCGGGAACTTGAAGTCCAGCGCAATACCGGCATCGGACGAAGCACCCAGCACAGGCGTCGTCAACAGATCCGCACCAAGCGAGATTTCACGCAGGATATGATGAGGAGTTGAAGGGTCACTAAGCAGCAACCGCGGCAAATCTCCCAAAGAAGCAGGAATATGTTCCAAAGAGGCTGCCTCGTACAGTGCCAGACCGGATATATCCCACCGGAACTCAGACTCCAAATCCTCCAGATAAAGCGACTGCTGCGCATTGTCCAGCGGTAAAACCGGCGCAAAGAAAGCAGTCTTAGACTTCGCATTCCTAGTAAGCGCATCACCGTATAGTTGTTCCAACGCATCACGAGTAAACGCATGCGTGCGATCAACCATCTTTTCGCGCCTCTTATTACCAGGCGGGCTTCCAAGAACCATATCTGCCATTCCGATAGCAATGTCAGGTCTCAGCTTGTGCACTGCGTTCACATATTGTTTCGCAGGGAGTTGATGGAATCCAATAGACGTAGACAGCGCAATAGAAGTCGACGTGTTAGGAGGCGGGCATACAATCGCGGGAAAGCGGCGTGGGCCAAGGATTACAGGCATATCATTGGGGATACAGCTGAATTTCTTCAAGGGGGACTCATGCGGTGCAGCGGGTGTCTTGTATACGGCTGCATTGTCGCTTCTCTCGATGACTGTTCTAGCCCGGGTGGGCATGCGCTGTCAGATACTGTCTTGGTGGATATATGAGACGGAAATGAGCTCTTCCAGATCTCACTTACAGTCTTCGAGTCCGATATATAAATTCCCAATCGCTGTATGGTCGCGCATCATGTCGTGTGCGATGTGAGGCACTGTGCCCCGCGAAGTGAGCGGAACATGGTGAGGCGTTGTGATTGCCTTGCGACCTGGGATAGATAATTGGCCTACCCGCGGTGCAAGCACTGGCGCTGCTGAGCCCAGAAGACTGAACGTCATTGAGGGCTTTTCGGCCATGGCTGGTGGTTGTGGTGAAGGCTTCGGAGTTGATCTTATCGGGAGAAAATGCGATTTGCTGATAAACATCCCTTGGACTCGACAACATCTGAACTATTTTCATATTTTGAGAGATCTGACATTTACGATATTAACGATTGAACGCTAAATATATACGATCTTACTTTCACATTCTTCAACCATGACTGGCTTATCAGCGATGCGACGCGGTGTTCTCATTGTCGTGGAGGGACTCGACCGCGCGGGCAAGTCGAGCCAATGTGAGGTGCTACGGGGGTTCCTTTCAGAGCAGGGACACACTGTGAAATACATTCGATTCCCAGGTATTCAACTGAACTGCATTGCCTCTATGTACCATTGGTCTAATGCCTCTATAGACAGGACAACACCCATCGGCAAGTTAATCGATAGTTACCTCCGCGGTTCATCCCACCAAGACGACCACTCCATCCACCTCCTTTTCTCAGCAAATCGATGGGAGGTAGCAAAGAGCATCGAGGAAGATATCGCAAGCGGTACCACAATCATCGTAGACCGCTACTCCTACTCCGGCGTCGTCTACTCGGCCGCCAAAGCGAACCCCACACTCTCCCTGGACTGGGCATGGCAGCCGGAGATCGGTCTACCCCGTCCCGATATCTGCCTGTTCCTTGGAATTTCCCCCGAAGAAGCGGCTAAGCGTGGTGGATTCGGCGCTGAACGGTATGAGAATGAGGCTATGCAAATCCGCGTGCGGGAGCTCTTCCAGACGATATTTGAGAAGATGCAGGATGTCGCCGTTATCGATGCCGGTAAATCCATGGGTGAGGTATCGAAGGAGATTCGGGGTGCTGTGACTGGTTGCATTTCACGTCTGGATATAACTAGTACATTGAGGAAGCTGGAACCTCTTGCGAACTAGAGACAGGCTGGGTTTGGTTCTGCTGGTCATTCCACAACTTCTGCATCATCCCAATCGCTGTCTTCAATTACAATGTCAAGTTTTGGCGCAGATCGAGAGGTTTTGCTCTTTTGTCGACCATCAAAATCGGAGTCGGATTCCAGATCAACCTCTTTGTACCAGTCTGGTCCTAGGTCGTCTTCGGCTGGTTCTTCCGTAGGTTCTCGTGTCCGTTGAGATCTGAATTTCAGAGGGGATGTTTGGGATCCAGATGATGCCTTGGCCTCTTTGCGGAGACGCTTCTCTTTCTTGGTGATGATTGCGCGCGCTTCTTTTTCTGCTCGGTTGCGGCAACTGAGCTCTTTCATCATCACCGGCCATTGTACCACCCTTGAACATGCTGGGCAGGTCCCTTGAACTGGTGTCAGACGGTCTAAATCATTGGTAGCGTCGAGAAACTTGGTAGATAGACATAAAATATGACTTGTACCACGGCAGTCTGGCTCTGGACATACCACTATCTGTTCTTCATCCGGAGACACGGGTCCATCGCAACATTTGCAGTGTAGATCTTCTGGGTCTTCTAGTATGAACATGGACTTTTCGAGATAATCCTCCAGTTCCGTGTAGTCAACCGATAAGCTTGTCACGCCCCCGACAGGAGCGAGGTCATTGCCTTTTTGGACAGCTGATATCGTGCCGAGATTATCACCGTCTAGGATGATCTTGATGTTTGGTGGCAGGTGACCATTAACTCGGTCACTCCAAGCCCGCCAGACGCGGTAGACATCGGCCCGAAAGAAGCGAACCCGCAATGGCCACACAGAGAAGTAAGACGACCGAAGCAGGGAATGCAGATCTTCGAGATGAGCCATCAAAGATCTCCTCACGCGCGCACGCGGTTTGGCCTTTGGTTTGCCAGTCTTGGGGTTGATATTGGTCTTGGCCAGAGCATTGGGATCTAGCTCATCCTCGGATCCAAGATGCCGAGATCTCTCCGGATGTTGCCAGGCCCACCTGCGCGACATTAGAATTTGAAAGCATTTACCAGGGGTGTATTTAAAACGAAAGTAAACATGGGTATACTTACTCGAATTGTAGAGCCCCGACTCTGTTCATGAACCCTTCCACCAGCATGGACATTTCCCAGGGTCGTAATTTGTCCCTGGCGGTTCGTTTGGCCCCACCTTTAGCGATGCCATTGTGCTGGGGGAGTCGTCGTATTGGGTTTGGCGTTGAGCCAATGTACAGCGAGGCATGTCTTACTGTTGATCTGAGGAGATAACAGCAGTAATAAGCCGGGATTGGCTTGGGTTCGGACCTGTCCATGTTTGTACTGGTCAACTTGGCCCTTGATATTAGCTCCATTGCGGGTCCGCCGTTGATAAACAGGGGTCACATGATGAGAGATTTACGGGGAATTGGGGTACATGTAGTCAAATTGTCCAGATTGTGTGAGATTGAATACACGCATATCAAGAAACCAAGATGGAAAATATCTGAAGTTAGAATAGTTTCAAAATTGACTACAGAGCCTCACAGTAGGACCTAAAAATATGTCGATCCACAACACAAACATACAAGTGAAAATCCAAACATCTGTATGTAAGCCCAAGACAGCTAGACGATGACAACAGAACATACACTATCACTACTAATATACTAACAACTAAGTAAACTTGGAAGAACACCGTATGATGTCGCATATCACGGGACTCGAATCCATGGTTCCGTTTGCAGTAACCGTAATTTACGAGAAAATCACCCGCAGATGACCGTTTTGGCAATAAATCGGGCCCTGAGCAGTACAATACCGTCTGAATCGGTACTGGAATGAGGAGTCCCTTCAGGTCACTGGAGGTCCCTTCGTTACTAGAGGTCCACACAGAGTGACCCGAGAGTACTTCTCAGTACATTGATCTGTACGTCCTTGCAACATAATCCACTAAGCTTCTATCCATCTACTCTTTCTTCCCTGCGGCTGTTCCTCCCTTCCCCTCCGACCTCTCTGTCTCTGTCTTTTATCTCACTTCGTTTCCCCGTTCTCTCTGGTTCGTGTCCCCCGACATTCACCCTTCAGATCGCAAGACTCCAAAACCGCCTTTCCTTCCTCACTGTCAATGCCCTTGTCGCATCACTCTTACTTTTAATTTCCTCGACGAGACGCGCCAAATCTGACCGACATACCAATAGTCCACCCCAATCTGAATAATGGGAGCTCCGGCCTCCGCCGGGGCGACCTCGACGGCCGCGGCCGCGCCAGGACAGCCGACTCGGTCCTCGAGCACCCACCCATCGCACTCCCACAATGTCCCTTTGAGCGCTCGCAGATCTACGCCCCTTGATCTATCGACCGTGGAACGTCGTGGTCAACCAAACAACCCCCGAGAGCCCTCGAAGCGCATTCGCCCTCATGGGATCCCCGAAGCCCCGACTTTCCGTCCAACCGAGGAGGAATTCAAAGACCCCGTGGCCTACATCCAGAAGATTGCCCCCGAAGGCAAGAAGTATGGAATTTGCAGAGTTGTCCCGCCTGAGGGCTGGCAACCTACTTTCGCAATCGATACAGAGGTAGGAACACTTTTCTGGCGGATGCGTTCCGGAGCTGGTGCACTGGCAGGAACACTGTTGACAATGGTTGTAGCGATTCCATTTCAAAACACGTCGACAGGAATTAAATTCTGTTGAAGGAGGTAAGGACTCATCCAGCCAGATGATTTTACCCTGGCAGCTGGGATCACTACCAAGTGCGGTTCTGACCCTTCCCTAATCTAGGTAACCGCGCCAATATGAACTACGTCGATGGACTCGCTATGTTCCACAAGCAGCACGGGACCAACTATAGCAGACTACCCAGCGTCGACAAGCGGCCATTGGATCTCTACAAGCTCAAAAAAGCAGTCGAGATTCGTGGTGGGTTCGAATCCGTGTGCAAGACGAAGAAATGGGCTGAAATCGGTCGCGACCTTGGATACAGCGGCAAAATCATGTCATCATTGTCGACTTCGCTGAAGAACTCCTACCAGCGCTATCTACAGCCTTACGAGGAATATTTGGCCCGGGCCAAACCGGGTGTCCAGCAACAGCTTGAGCTTGAGCATGGTGGCCCATACACTCCTTCGCCGAACCAATCTCCTATGACTTACAAGCCTATGATGGATGAGAATGGCACGCCTTCGAAATCCCGCGATGAAACCCCCACTCTACCTAGGATGGCAGCTTCACATACCCCGATGGAAAAGTCACCCGAGAAGCCTACACCCCCCGTCGAACCCACCCCTCCTCCACGTCCTGCGCCCACCGGCTTCACTCCTGTGAATACCGGCCTTGGCGGTTTCACCGCTGTTAATCACTCTCCGTTTACCCCGGCGAATAACACCCCTGGAAACAACACACCGGTTCACAACGGCTCACTTGATATCAAGCGGGAGGTAGAGAACGGCACATCGACTCCCAAGCCTGTTTCTGAGCATGCTTTCGTCTCCACTCCCGTGAACGGCCAGCCTGGAGAATCCGTGAAGCGCGGCATTAGTCAGGAGAATGGTTCTCAGAGTGAGAATGGTGATGATGACGGCGGAAGTGGGCGACGTAGCAAACGTCTCAAAAAAGGTATATCTCCCTGCGAGCTTGAAACATGACTTGGCTAATCGTATTTCTAGATTCACTACCAACAGTTGCTGGTTCCCACATGTCTCTTCTTCGGCCTGTACCACCAAAAGTTCGCAAGGATGGTGTTCAACCAGATGGAGAGGTAGGCATTGACTTCGTGTCGGTTATTGACCTCATACTGATTCATAAACAGAAATGCGAGACCTGTGGCAGTGCAGATGATCAAGACTCAATCTTAATGTGTGATGGTTGTGAGCTTGGCTATCATAAAGCTTGCCTGGATCCATCCACTACAACACCATCGGAACATGACTGGCATTGTCCTAAATGCCTCGTCGGCACCGGAGAATTTGGTTTCGAGGATGGTGGTGTCTACTCTCTCAAGCAGTTCCAAGAAAAGGCAAACGAGTTCAAGAAGAAATATTTTGCTTCCAAAATGCCCTTTGATCCCGTTCTTAACACGCATCGCCGCGAGACGGAGGATGATGTTGAGGCCGAGTTCTGGAAACTTGTTGTGGATCTACATGAAACCGTTGAAGTCGAGTATGGCGCGGACATCCATTCGACCACACATGGCAGTGGTTTCCCTACCATTGAACGCAACCCTCTTGATCCGTTTTCATCCGATCCCTGGAACCTAAACGTGCTCCCATTCTACGGTGACTCGCTCTTCCGTCACATCAAGTCTGATATCTCTGGCATGACCGTGCCTTGGGTCTACGTTGGCATGTGCTTCTCAACTTTCTGCTGGCACAACGAGGATCATTACGCGTATTCAGCCAATTACCAGCACTTCGGCGCTACTAAGACTTGGTATGGAATTCCAGGTGCTGATGCCGAGGCCTTCGAGAATGCCATGCGCGATGCAGTCCCCGAGCTGTTCGAAGGGCAACCCGACCTTCTTTTCCAGCTTGTTACATTAATGCCCCCTGACAAGCTTCGAAAGGCGGGCGTCAACGTCTACGCAGTGGATCAGCGCGCTGGTCAATTTGTTCTCACCTTCCCCCAAGCGTATCATGCAGGATTCAACCACGGCTTCAATTTCAATGAAGCAGTCAACTTTGCGCCTGCTGACTGGGAGCCGTATGGAGCACTTGGTGTTCAACGCCTTCAGAACTTCCGCAGACATCCATGCTTCTCGCATGACGAGCTACTTTTGACCGCGGCTTCGCGTGATACTTCAATTTCCACTTCTAAGTGGCTTGCGCCTGCTCTGAATAGAACTCGCAACCGAGAGCTTGCTGAACGTGCTCACTTCCTAAACCGACAGAAGGAAATCTCTGCCCTTAATTCCGCTTACTCTACCTCTATGACAGAGGGTCCACAGTCGAAGTTCGTAACCGAGGATGAAGATATCCCCGAAGATGATTACCAGTGCCACCATTGCAAAGCCTACGCTTACCTCACCCAGTTCCGCTGTCACAAATCAGGCAAAACTGTTTGTTTAATGCATGTGGACACCTACGATTGCTGTGGAGAAACTTATGCTCAGAAGTTGTGTGGCCCAAATCACACCCTGCGTTATCGCATGGGTGATGCCGATTTAGACACGCTCGTGCAAAAGGTCCAGGAACGTGCCAGGATCCCGGAAGCGTGGTCCGAAAAGCTCAACAAGACCTTGGAGGATGAACCAAAGCCCCAGCTTAAGGCCCTTCATAACTTACTCAATGAAGGTGAGAAAATCCCATACCACTTGTCTGGCCTTCAAGATCTTGCGGCCTTCGTCCAGCGTTGCGATAAATGGGTGGAAGAAGCCAACAACTACATTACCCGGAAACAACAAAACCGGAGAAAAAACGAAAAAGCATGGCGCAGGGCCAGTACCAAGGCAGCGCAGCTGGACGATCGCGACCGTGAAGTCCGCAGAGTGGAACACATCTACGCCCTTCTGGCAGAGGCTGATAAACTTTCGTTCGACTGTCCACAGATGGCGGCGTTGGAAGAGAAGACCCGCGAAATCGAGAAATTCCGCCAGGATATTAATGCTGCCCTGATGAACCCGCGTACCCGGCCGGTCCAGGAGATTGAAGAGATGATCGAATCTGGCCGAAACTTCAACGTGGAAATCCCGGAACTGGAAAACCTGGAGCAAGTCTCCCGACAAATCAAATGGACCGACGAAGCTGCCCGCAAGCGTGATCAATACTTGACCCTCCAGAATTGCCGAGATCTTGTCGCTTCCGCTGAACAAGTAGGTCTCGCTGAGACCAATGAGCATTTGCTCCATTTCAAGGAACTGACTCGCCTCGGTGATGCGTGGGAGAACAAGGCCAAGGAATTGATGTCCGTTGAAGCTGTCCACTATCAGCAATTGGAGGCTCTCTCAGCGCAGGCATCTCGCTTCCCGGTATCGCCGGATACGCTCACTGCTGTCGATGCTATCTTGACCAAGCAACGTGAGGCGCAGAAGCGGATCCAAACCTTGTACGAGAAGAGCAAGGACCCCGAGCTGAAGAACCGACCCAAGTACAAGGACATCCGGGACCTAATGGAATCTCTTGAGCATCTGACTAGTAGACCCATCGGTGCAATTGACTTGGAGCGGGAGCAAAAGCGGCACGAAGACTGGATGAGGAAGGGCAAGAAGTTGTTTGGAAAGGCCAACGCCCCTTTGCACATCCTGCGATCTCACATGGAATACGTTGCTAAGCGGAATTCGTACTGCTTCGATCTTGAAGACAGTTACCGTCCACCCGTTGAGCCTTCCTCTCGGGATAATTCTCCTGAGGGGTTGCTTGAAACCACCAACACCGGACCGAATGTGTGGGGACCGAAATCACGAAAGAGGGATGTTTTTTGTATCTGCAGACATTCCGAGGCAGGAATGATGATTGAATGTGAAGTCTGTCATGAATGGTAAGTCGGCAAAGCACTATGGATTGGTGGTAAGATTACTTACAGCATATAGGTACCATGGAAAATGTTTGAAGATTGCTCGGGGCAAAGTCAAGGAATTCGACAAGTACACATGTCCGATTTGCGATTGGCGACAGAAGATTCCACGTGATGCCGCTCGTCCCAAACTTGAGGACCTTCAGGACTGGCACGCGGAGATTGCAACTTTGCCTTTCCAGCCTGAGGAAGAAGAAGTTCTCGAGAATATCATCAACCAGGCTACTGCGTTCCGCGATTTCCTTCATGGCTTCACGAATGCTGCTTGCACTACCACCGAGGAAGTGCCTACTTTGATATTCTACCTGCGCAAAATTGAAGGTGCTGAAGTTCTTCTTACCTTTGAGACCAACTTCTTCCGGCAGGAGATTCATAAATGGGCACCGGTTGCTCCGGAGCCTCCCCCAATTCTGGAGCAGTCCTTGTCAACCCGGAAGCCACGTCCTACTAAGCAGCAGAAGATAATGGCCCAGCTTGGCGTGAATCGTCCCGAGGATCTCCCAGAACATCTGCGACCCAAGCACATCGGTGTCACCAAGCGGAAGTCGGTAGATGCTCAGTCACAGTCTGCTCGACCTACATCTTTGCAGCCAGCGCCTGTGACTTCCAGCAGTAACCAACCTCCAAGCACGGGTCCAACATTGACGCCGATGTCAGACCCCAACACTGCATCGTATCCTTTCTCCGCAAACTACTCTCTGCCTGCTAGCGACTCCACACCCGCCTTTGCGCCTACTTCCTCCTCTGCTTTCCTCCCTCACGCCGCCGCTTCTCAATCTCCTTCATTCCTACCTCGTTCTCCCTCGCCCCAACAGGGCATGGAAACATCGCTTTTCAGTCCTCCGCGTTTCGGTCGTGAGCCTCAATTCGCAAGCAGTAGTCCTCGCCAGAATCTGGATGACGTGTTTGCGGATCTGACCAATCAAGAAGATGTCGACCCCGAAGCCGAAGGGCAATCCATGGAGAACACCCATGCAAACGAGGCCCTTGAGGCTCTGGTAGCCGATAATGGCAGCAGTCGTGCTGGCTCAGTTCACGTGGAGCAAATCCAACCTGATGAACATCATGAACTCAAACATGAGGGCGCCGACGAAGCCCTCGACGACTCGGAACTATGATCATGCTCTGCTTGAATGTGTTTTCGGTAAAATCTTCTTTTCTAAAATCCGACCATATGTTCCCTAGGTCCTTACTGTTTTTCTACTGTCTTTTTCTTTTGTTCTGTCTCTATCTGACTCCCCTCTTCTACGCTTTGTTTGTTATCAATTCTCGAAATGGGTGTACTACAAGAGACGGGTATGGCGAGTGCGGGAGGTGTTTTCCAGCGAATGCTTTCCTGCTTTTATTTCTGCTTTTCATACCACCAAGACTACGTCTGTCACGAGTTACTGTTTTTGCTGCTGCCAACTCATACTGTAATACTAGTTGAATTCAGCCATTATTATTGATTTTAATTTGCTTTCTGGCTTACTTGATATCTGCATAGGCTCCTAGAGCAGCTTGCCCACCCGTATGAATGAACAAAACATTCACTTCATCCGAGGGTTGTTCGGCATTTACAAGCTCTCTTTCTTCAACCCAATGCATCATTCCCCTCGCAACCTTGGCCGTATACACTGGATCCAGCATCATGCCTTCTGTCCTCGCCATAGACTCCAATGTCTTCTTCGCATCGGAATCAAGAATACCATACCCAGTCCCCACAGACCGATCATCAAGCCGTACATCATCCATCCCAATATCCCCCTCCTCAAGCCCAATCATCCCCCCGGCCCTCCTAGCAAAAGCAAGCACCCTCTCCTCATGGTAAGCCTTCGGCTTCGTCGGCGAATTTAAAACCCCAACAACCCTCCTGGGTCCCCCACGCCCACTCTCCACCTTCTCCAACAATTTAAACCCAGCAACCAACCCCCCAACCGTACTGCCACTCCCACAAGCAACAAAAACATAATCAAACCGACCACTCCCACCAAGCCCCATCACCTCCTCCTGCAACGCAATCTCAAATGCCGCCCGCGCATACCCCAACCCACCAAGCGGATGTAAACTCGCACCCCCAGGAATCCAATACGGTCTCTCTCCCTCATTCACCAAACCCTCAAGCAACGGCGTCGCATCATCTGCCAGCAGATCCCCACTCTCACAAACCCGCACCTCAGCCCCGAGAAGATGGTTAACCTGTACATTTCCACAGCGCATATATGCCTCTTTATCAACAGCAGCGCGCAATCCACCTCCCGTACCGCGGTGTAGCAGGATAACCGCTCTAAGACCGAGTTTCCGTGCTAGGGCTGCGACTTGCACGGTGTGATTGCTTTGGATTGCGCCCTCTGTGACGAGGATTGTTGCTGGGCCTGCGAGCGGAGAGATTGGATTTGGGTTGTTCTCGTGGGCGTGATGGATAGGTTTGTTGGAGAGAATGTCTGGAACTATGTATTCTAATTTGCGGTATTTGTTTCCCGCGCATGCTAATGGAGACGAGTGGTCTTCTCGTTTGGCGAAGAGGGTTATGCGGGGGTTTATTTTCGATAGTGTCGGGAGGGGGTGGATTGGGGATGGGGTTTGGTAGAGGATTGCATGGCGGGGGATTTGGGAGAAGCGTTCTGGCAGTGGAACTGCCATTGTGCTTCTCATTGTGTGTGTTCTGTTGAAGGTGAAGTGAAGTTGGAGTTGAGTTGGAGATGATGGTCGACTCCGCACGTGCCTGGCAATGACGTCGCGGAGCTAGCAGATCTTCTTCTTCAACAATGACTCTCCTCCAGTTCCTGCGACAGGCACGCCAGCTGCACCGCCAGTTCCTTTCGGGTGCTTTATCCGAGACTCCAATCTATGTGATCGGCAATCCTTCTGCTGATCTCGACTCGATTGTTTCGGCGATCGTTTATTCTTTCTGCGCGAACAACCGACTCCCACTCAAAGCCCCGCGGCCTCATATCCCACTCCTGAATCTTCCCAATGTGCCTGCAGGGCCAGAGTTATACCGACTGAGGCCTGAGTTTGCCACTGCATTATGGCTGTCGACTAATTCCCCCGTGTTGAGAACGGAAGAGCAATTTGAGAATGCCCAAGACTCAGCAGGAAATCTCCTTCGCGAGCATGTCGTGACAGTTGCGGACTTTGCACAAAGCCTAAAAGATCAAAATATCCTCCAACAGTTACTCGCTGATGCGACGCTCGTTGATTGGAATGCCGTGCCGCTTCCTTCCAACACAGACAACGGATACGGCTCTCTCCCCGGCTTGCCGGGTGTTACCTTCCGAACCTTGGGATGTATCGACCACCACGTCAATGAGAAATTCATGCCAGCCGCCGAATCTCTGCCCGAGAACCAACCTCTGATCATTGAGCCCGGTCCCGGTTCCTGCGCATCCCTTGTCACGAGGGAGCTGCAGAACCGGAAACTGATGGGTGACGGACAAGCATTCTCAGCAGAGATGGCACAAATAGCAAAGCTCGCTCTTTCAGCTGTATTGATTGATACATCAAATCTCACTGCCGAAGGCAAGGTCACAGATGTGGACCGCGAGGCTGTCAAATCCCTACAATTTCAGATCGCAGGACAATTAGAAGCAGCTAAGATTTCCCAAGATAACTGGGATCTAGAGGCTTTCTATGAAAGTATTCTCAAGGCTAAGCAGAATAGTCTCGATCTCTTGAATGTGGATGAAGTTCTCGATCGGGACTATAAGGACTGGACTGAGACTTCGCAGACCTCTGGAAAGGCGGTCAAGTTGGGTTTCTGTTCTTCTGTTAAGCCTATTCGGTGGATTGTGCAGAAGGCGGCTTCGCCTGAGAAGTTCCTAGATGCTGTTCGCTCATTTGCTACAGCTGAGAAAGAGCTGGATGTTGTTGTCGTTATGACTGCCTTTACAGCTGCCGATGGCTCGTTCTGCCGTGAGCTGTTTGCTTGTGTGGTTCAGGAGAATGAGACTGCCGTTGAGGGCATCAAGGCTTTTGTTGAGCAGACGACGTCTCAGCTCCAGCTTGTGGATTGGTCGCCATTGGATGGCGAGAATTTCTCTGAACTAGGAGATGTGGGTTCTGCTTTAAATGGGTCTAATACACCCTTCTGGAGGAGATTATGGATCCAGAAGAATGCTGCTGGGAGTAGAAAGCAGGTTGCGCCGCTGCTACGGACCGCAGTATCTAAATTATAAATAAGTTATAGCATCTACTTGATCAAACTACAATTTACACGACATCGGAATTGAAGATGCAGAAATAAATTGTTCAACGACTCCTATTAATTCAAACCCTCAAACACCAATACCCAGATCTCTGGAGACAACAAGGTAAACAAGAAGAACAAAAGGAATGCAATATATGCAATGCTCCAAGCCGACCAGATGCAAATGCCAGTATGGAAGGAGAAAAAGATCACACTCGAGATGAAAAAGGAGAGAAATCGAAGATATGCAGACATGCAAATCGTGTAATGAAAAAAAGAACGAAAGAAAAAAGAAAAGCAAGGCAGCCGCCATTGGAAGATCTAGTGAATCAATAAACGCCCATGCAATGCAGTACATCAAACACACTCCCACTCGCAGAATACACACCACCGGGCGGCGCGGTCGGCAAGCACCAGGCCACGCCACATACCCCGCTCTCCGATTTTGATGACTGTTTCCCAGACGCTTCCTTCGGCCGCAGCATCGGTGACTGATTCGCTGCCATTATCGCTGCTGATCATGTGCTCTGCCTTCCGGGTTAGACGGAGGATCTTGCCGGAGGGAGATTGAATGGCCAGTTTGGCAGGCTTGTCTCGTCCAGAGGCGGACTTTGTCGATGAGATGGCAGAAGTCGATGCTGAAAATTCATAGGAAGCACCGGAAACGGTGGAGCCACCGGCGTTGCTGGAGACCATGCTCAACGCACTGGATGGACGGGTGAAGACGGATGAGGGCGAGCCACGGCCGTTGGAGGAGGGTTCGTCCTTGACTGGTATTGCAGATGATGGGTGCTGGCGCACGGCAAAGACGAATGTGTTGTTTACTGCCAGGCGGAAGCATTGCGGTTGCATGATATACAAGTCATGGCGCTGAGCATGTGGAGTTGGATGGCGCAGGACGAAGTCGTACGAAGGGTTCTCTCCAACGTGGGTCATTGGGAGAGCGAAGGCCAGGGGATGGGGGATGTCTTTGCTTGAATGCATGAGACCCTTCTTTCCTGCGTAGACTTTCAGGACCCCCTGTCCCTCGTCACCGGGGAGGACAGCCTTAATGGTGATGCGTTTCTGGCCGCGGAACCAATCCGGCTGGACGAGGGCACGCTTGCGTACGATGTCTCCACTTTCGAAGAAGTCGCCATCTGCATCCCGTGCGAAAGCTGGAGCTTCAACTTCCGCAGCACACTCGACGTCTGAGGGGACCACAAGGCGCAGCTGCATTACTTCTAGGCCCTCCATACGGAGCAGACTGGTGTCATAGTCTGGTAGCTGAACGCCTAGTTTGAAATATTGTGGGCAGACAGAAGGGAGAGCGAGGAGGACATCGGGTGAGATGGGTGGGCAGATATGCTGCTCCTCTGGGTAGAGCGGGACATGGGTATAACAAAGGTCGAGGGGACGTGTTAGAAAATACCAGCTCTCTGCCACTGAGGAGTTGTTGGAGACAAAAGGACTCCGCTGGGGATTCGTGGGGTTAGCCAGGGCACAATCCATGAAGCGCCATTCGCCATCAACCAGGACCGCATTCCACCAGTGATTGGGACGCGAGAGACTGTCAAGATCGAGAACATCGCCAGGGCTCTTGAGAAAGCCGCGAATTGTCTCCGTATGCAAACCAACAGCGGCACACATCTCGTGCACTAGAAGAGCAATTTCCTCTGGTGTACCTCGCTTGGCCTGTAGCAGTCTCTTCATGTCGACTTCGAGGCCATCAACTGGTTCCTCCCAAGCAATCTTCTCACTGACCCAGGTGAAGATGGCGCGGAGGCGCTGGACGTCACTCTTGTATGGTCGACAGATGTAGGCTTGGGCAAGACTCATTGGATTTGTGGTTGGCGGAAGGCTGCTGATGAATCTCGCGCTCTTGTCAACAAGGTTGAGGTTTGCGGCATTGAAATTGATGGGATCACTAATTGGTTGGCCATCAATGCTTTCATCTCCCTCCGCGGTATCGTAGAGCTCCTCCACGGAGTAGATCACAGGGTGGTCGTGCATCTGACAACGTTCTGCTCTTTCAACTCTCTCATTGCGACTGGGAGAGGACGCACGGTTGACATCCCGACGCACTTGAACCCAGTCAATGGTGCTAGCGCTGCCGAGTCCCATATCACGAGCACTGTCACGGGTCCCATGAGATATGAGCATGGGTGATACTACGTCTATCCCTCTGCTGCTCTTGGTCGGCGATTGAGATTGTGACCTGTCACCATGGGCAGAAATGCTACTTCTTGCACTGGCAGCACCGGTCTTGGCCGTTTCAAATATCTTCTTGAAGAAGCCTTGCTTTTTCGTTTTTGGTGTGGAGAGACCACCAAAGACTCCGCTGTGGTCAGTTGTGTCCAGACCAGTTGACGACCAAGGAATGGCTGAGGATGCACCTTGACGCGAGGAGTTGTGACTAGAGTGATAGGATACACCGGTAAAGGGGGTCTCTGGACGAGCATCACTGAAACCACGAGAGCGCACAGTGTCCATAGCAGTGTTTGGTCGTTCGTGGCCGCCTCGTCTGGCAAAGCTACCCGCGCTCGTTGCGCTAAATCCTCCTGCAGAGAATCCACTCATCAAACTTTGGCTGGTCTTGTCCGTACTGTTGGTCATTGATGTACCGTTGCTTTGGTTGCCGCTGGACGAATTAGTCGCGCTGGACTTGTTGGTAAATGATCTGTTGAGGATGTCTCCCCTTAGATCTTGACCGGACCTCCGTGACTTCAGATGAGGAAACTGTCCTGCAATTGAATTGTTACGTGGGTGATAGGTAGCATGCTTTGGGGGCGGTGGAGGGGGCCCATCATCGTCCTCAGCAGTCCCTTTATCCTCGTCTGGCTGCCGGTTCTGGTCTTCCAGCTGGCGAAGACGGCTCTCCATTCTTTGAACATAGTTGTTCAGCTGCGGAGGACCATCCATATAGTGGTCATGGCTATAGACACTGTTTCTATGAACGAGTCCCTCTTGTTGTTGGACTTTGTCCCCCTCAAAGCCCATTGATGTCAACGGCCGGCGTTTGTTGCCTTGTGGAGTCCTTTCATTTGATGTATCGAAGTTTTCTGGCGCCCATGGATCATTAAATGTTGGTGTTGGAGAAGGCGATGCAGCGTCGCGGGGAAGGGCCATATCCTCCAATGAAGTCATAACATCCTCCATGGCATCCCGTAACGGGGATGGGGTATTCCCATGCATATCTGACTGTGCCGAATGTTCAGACATTGCAGAGTGGGTAGAAGCTGCAGATGGAGATGGAGTACGATCGAAAATAACATAACGGTCGTTCATAACCAGCGGAGCAGGAGAACGCGAAGGGCGAGGAGCGTGGGATGGCGGTTGGGGAGAATAAGCCCGGTGCTGTGGTGCATGCATCGGCGGCTGAGGAGAATGCGAGCGATACTGTTGAGCATGCATCGGTGGTTGAGGCGATTGCGCGCGATACTGATCTGGGTGCATCGATGGCTGAGGAGAATTGGATGCTGCACGACTGATAGCAACACGGTGAGGCGGCGGAGGTGGAGGTGGAGGCGAGTCCTCTCGATCCTCTTGCATCTGTAATGGAGATGGCTCACGAGATGAATGCCGATAGGATGGCATGCTGCCTTGTGGCACCATTGCAGTTGAGTAATCTTGCATCTGTAAAGGGGATGGTTCGCGAGATGCATGGTGGTATGGTGAAGCACTGCCATGAGATATCATTGCAGATACATGTTCTTGCATTTGCAAGGGAGATGGCTCGCGGGACGCGTGCTGGTAAGATGACATGCTGCCCTGAGGAATCATGGCGTGTGAGTATTCATGTTGTTGCAATGGAGATGGCTCCCGAGACGAATGTCGGTAGGATGAGACACTGCCACGAGGCACAATTGCTGATGAGTATTCCTGCACTGGCAATGGAGATGGTTCCCGAGACATTGCAGGCCGAGAAGATGAGACACTGCTCTTCGGAATCATCGACGACGGGCGTTCCTGCACTTGGAATGGCGATGGCTCACGGGATGAAGGCCGAGACGATGAAACACTTCCTCGTGGCATGGTTGCAGATGGTGACCGCTCTGGCTCTACCGAGGAACGCGGAGATGCGCCGCGCGAGGAAGGTCGCGATGCAGACGATGTGGGCCGGGATACTGAGCCCTGATTCTTGACCGCCGAAGCGTGTGTGCGCAATGGCTTTGTGCTGCGTGGAACACTGCTATCCCGAGGTGGAGTTTGAGGGATTGAAGGTGCTGGGCTAGACCCGAGTGGGCCAGTGGCTAGTTTGGCAGATGGTGATACAGCTTCCTTGTGCGCCTGGAAAGGCTTCCGCCACACTGTTTTCTGCTTCTTGGGCGCAAATGTAGGATTGTTGATTGGAGAAGATCCAGCTAGAACCATAGGACTGGTATCCCGGCTCACAGGTACAAAGTCTTCGCTCAGCAGTTCAACAAAGTTGGATGGGAACAGTCCCACTGCGCGCCTGTCTCGGCGCAACCGACCCATCCACCATTGTCCGTCTCCTGCATTCAAGCATTCGATCAGATCTCCTTCTACAAATCCCAAGTCTCGGGTTGTTTCTCCGCCCCAAGAGTATACTGCTCGGCACCAGCATGGGAACTTCGCTGGCAGCTGAGCCATCGCGTTCACTGAAACAAGGTCTGGTCGCAACGCACGAATTCGACCCAACCAACACTTTTATATCGTGGCGCAGTTCCGGGAAGTGGAGGTTCAGTTCAAGGTCGGCAGTTAATGTATCAATCGTAGGGTATTGCGTGGTGGGTATCAACACAGCTTCCCAGCTGAGATGGGGTAAGCAAGGCAAAAGCACGATCGCAGGGATAGCTAAGTAGCAACGGTCGCTCGGTCAATCAGCATTGTATGGTAGAGTGAAAATCGGGTTTTAAATGGGGCTAATTGACAGCCCAATGTACTGGGGAACTGAGTCGGAGTGTGGAAGGAGTCGGTCAGGCCCAATTGTTTACTGGGGTAGTCAAGGTTGTTTACGTTGTGGTGGTGGTCCGCTAGTCCCGATCGGGAGCGGAAGGTCTTATCGATAAGCTTAATCGCCTTATGTAATTCGTGTTTCTATTCTTGACCTTGGAAAGCTAAAGAAAACAGCGGCAGGTAAGCTGATCTAGAGAATGATATCTTTTAATGTGAATATACTCTGTAGCGTCTGAAGAAGAGCCTAAACGTTAGCCTGAAGAGTAGCTTGAAAAGTTCCCTTTGTTGCCAAAGACGCCGGGGTTCGAGCTGTCCATCGATCCATGGTTGGAACCAAGACAAACCGTGGATGGGAACTACGCAATTCCAAGATTTCCAATTGGTATAATGAAGGCATATCGACTTCTTCTTATACAGTCACAGGATATGTGTAATTGCCAGCACACTACACAGTACACTCTAGCGCCATGTGGAGGAGCTTGGACCGGCGTGCCGCAATCGCCTGTGCCCTAGCAACCCCCGCATCCCGTCGTTCTCTTTTGTTTCATATTTCGGGGTACTCTGTACAAACTATGGAATCGACTTTTGTACAATTTTATAATTTGATCGTCACTAGCGGTTCTCTTATAAGAGGTTTTTTCCAGTGTCCATCTCATTTATCTGTCTGTAGCGCGAGTCAGAATTGGAAAACCTTACCAAGCCCGGCGCAACTAAACCAGCCAGCATTCCTTTGTCAGTCAAATGTTTCTTAGCTTTGGCGGTTGTCTAGGTTGCCAAAGTCTGACTCCTAGTTGTCTCGTTTACGAGTTTTATCTATAATAAGATTTTTCGGTTTGGTCACATCACATAGTCTGGAACAATCATTCACCAACTGATGGATGGCTCAATTTAAGGAATCATGGGATCACTCCTCATTTTCTTTCGTAGTCTATGTCTTTCTATTTTTCTCGTCTTGATTAATGCTGGATGCTCACTGCTGTATATACAAGGCCCAACTAGACCTCTTGGTTAACAGACATCTCAACAGTGTACATCATATAGTCACTGTTCCTAAGTCCCTGTACCAGGAGCATACGCAATGTCTTTTGAGCCACATAATACTTCCACATACCTCTGAGCCTGGTGGCCAATGTCCTCTCATACTGAGGCGCCAGTCAGGTAATCGTCACATTCCCGGAGGTGGTTGAAGAATGTCCAGCCGCCACCAACCTGGCGCAGATCCCTCGACGACTCCCCTTGCAGATGGCTGCTGGATTTTGACAGAGTACAGCACTTGGAGAGCTCCCAGTGCGCGGTCTATCAATGTGGTTCGGTTCAAGCCCGGGCATCTCGGACCGAACTGATAGTTCTTCGGAAACGGAAAATTGTTTGTATCCAACCTTCCCCAGCCCCCAGGACATTTCTATATTCTGTCTATCTTTGCCAGTTGTGCAAATGTGTCAAACAGAATTCAGGCTCCCTTAGATTTGCCAAAAATGCAAACATATTTGCGGAAATCAAATGCTCCTCCATGTCAGCCAGAAGCAGAACATAGGACTAGATGCCGTCCATGATAGTCATAATGCAATTTACTCAAATAGCTCCATAATTTGCATGATCCATGTATTTTGTACGAGTTGACAAGCTCGTTATTGACCACCAATGCCATTGAGCGAAATCAAATCCTTTTCAACACCACTGTCCACTTCCACGGTATTAAGCAGCGGAGCACTCCGTGATTTGACGGAGTCCCTGGTCTAACCCAGAAGCCCATTCAGCCTGGCCATAGCTGGAGATATAAATGGACTGCTACTCAGTATGAAACTTATTGGTACCATGCTCATGGAAAAGCTGACATGATGGACGATCTTTATGGGCCTATTTGGATCAAGTAAGCTTTTGTTTTAGCCCACATTCAATATTCATCATACTAACAAATATAGCCCCGGCCCGGATGTTCAGCAGCCATTCTATCTTATCTCAAGTAACGAGCAAGATATTGAGGCAATGAAGAAAGCAGAAAACCCCCTAAACTTGTTACACTGTCCGATTGGGACCACTTGACTTCCGAACAGTACCAGAAAGTAATGGAAGATAGCGGCTTGGGTGTCTTGTAAGTTAATCACAGTTGATTGTTGCATGGGAAAATGCTAACAGCTTTCAGCTGCTCGGACAGTGTTCTTATCAATGGTCGTGGAGCAGTGTACTGCCCAAGAACGGAGAAGATCTCCAGTCTGGAGCTGTCCTACTTGAAGACCGCCACTGATAACCAACCATTGAGTGATAAGGGGTAAGCTCAACCTTTCCAAAGCAAAGTGTGTTCTGGCTAATTAAATACTACATGCTTGCCCAATATTTATGAGACTCAGGAGTACTTCCCTCCTACCGATGAGAGCAAGATCCCTGCTGGAGTAAACTCTAGCTGCACCCCCACCACAGGATTGCATGAGATTATCGAGGTTGATCCCAAATCCGGTTGGGTCAGCCTAAAATTCACCAGCGCCGCTTCTCTCAAATCTCTCATGTTCTCCATCGATGAGCATCCCATGTATATCTGCGAGGTTGATGGCAGCTATGTTGAGCCCCAGCTTGCTCAAAGCGTTACCATCTTCAGGGGTGAGCGTTACGCGGCTATTATCAAGCTTGATAAGGGTTGGAAAGACTACACTATTCGTGTTCCCGATACACAGGGTGACCAGGTTGTTTCTGGATTTGCTACCATGAGATACAAGGGCTCCCAAAACACAACCCATCTAGGCCTTATGTTGACTACGGTGGCAGAAACACGTCTGCTTCTGTCGTGCCCTTGGATAACAGAGCTATCAAGCCCTACCCTCCCGTCACCATCCCCAAGTCTGCTGACCAGTTGGTCAATCTGACCCTTGGGCGTGTTGGTTCTGCATACACGTGGTCTACTTCTGGTGGTGGTTTTTATGATATGATGGCCAACTGGGACGACCCGATTCTCTACGATGTCAATGCAAAGAACAACTTGGATCCAAGAGTGACCATACAGACAAAGAACGGAACCTGGGTGGATCTGCTTCTTCAGCTGGGTGAAATGCCCAACACCCCAGGAATTTAGGCTCCTCATGTTATGCACAAGCACTCGAACAAGGGTTTTATCCTTGTTGTTGGCCCTGGCTTCTTCCACTGGCCCAGTACTGAGGAGGCTTACGCTGGGCACCCTGAATTCTTCCAAATGGAGAACCCTCAAATGAGGTCCCTACGAGGCCGACATGCATGATTGTGCGATACCAGATTGTTAACCCGGGCCCCTTCCTTTTCCATTGCCATATTGAGACACACATGTCTAACGGTACGGCTGTGGCTCTACTTGATGGTGTCGATGCATGGCCCCACGTCCCTGCTGAAGAAGACCAAAGCCCCAGTGCACAGGTTCAACCTGTTGACCTGGAACAAGAACAAAGTGGCGCTCAGAATCCTCCGAGTCACGGTGGGTTGTCTTTCAAACCTCATCCTTATATGCCAATTCCTAGTGGAAAGCCTATGTGGCCTCCCGCACCTGAGGTTATGCCCGCTGGTCTATCCCATATGTCGGAATATTCTCCCCATCATAAAGAGATTACTGTCATTGATGTTGTTGAGTATTTCTCTCCCATGTCAGTTGAAGTAAACCAACGACCTACACCACCTGTCGGTGGGATCTGGGAGGCTCGTCACTGGTAGACACCCCTGGTGACTAATGTTGATTTTGTACTAATAATTTGACATTGTGAATTGCTTATCTGGCCTTACATAAAACAGTGGCCATTATTATAGCTATGATACCATTTCAATATTTTTGATTTGATTTATTCAACCAATTTCTTCATGTTTTGCAAGCCAAAGTCTGTTTCCGGTCATTCAGAATGCAAGCTCGGTCTCGGTCCGTCGCCAATATTGCCCCACCTGCTCTATCAATCTGACGCCACCGGAAGATCGTCTTGACGGACCGCGTGCTGCAACGTTGCTATATTTCCTGATCAGAAATTGGAATAAAGACATTCTCTCGTTTTTGCATATCCCACGTTTTTACAGAAAGAGAAAGACGTGTTTGAGCTGGTTGTTGTTTTCTAAGATTCTCTTTGAATATATATATCAATTGGCCACAAGTTCTCTTTTGCAAACTTCGACAATGTTGTATTATCCAAAGATCAAATGTCACCAGAATAAAAGTACTAAACTCAAAATACAACTTTATTAAGCTTGACCAAGTGATGCCTAATGTCTCAGAAAATGTGTTTTGAATGTGAGTCATGACGTATGGAAGAAAATCACCATGATGTCTTGCTATGATCTACACTTCATTACTAAGATTACCAAGGATGTGGAAGTCTTTTACCAAATTGAATTCCTGTTGTTTTCCGATCGATAATCTGTCTGTTAAGCTCTGAAATCCATCGTGTTGGAGTATGGTGCGTTCTATAGAGTGCCTACATTTAAAGTATTGCCCCTGTGTTTGCTGAAGCTTGACAAAAACGTAATATACCTGGGAGCCTCTACTGAGCCTTTGAACGTTATTTGAAAGTTCAGGTGTCCCATAGGTACACAAGGATCGAGACACCTAGGGCAAGCGGGTCACGTGACTCATGGAAGCAACGGCTGTAACCTTCTGAAACCGGCGACATGTACTGGTCAGTTGCAGTTTTTTGGGGGATATATCCGTCAATCATTATTTTCTTTTCAAATACATATGTCATTCATGGCCCAGTTAGGACTCGATTCGGCTCTGGCCCCTCAGAACCTAGCTGTCTCATCCGCAAGCAGCATTCGGCCAACCGGGACACCACCTCGGTTTGCCGGTACCTTGACTAATTCATGCCATAGGGTGGAATTTCCAGGAAACCAAACTGTCAGACTAATCCACATCCATCCTTGTACAGCATTCTCGAAAACAAGAATATTGCAGCCTCGCAGGCTCTATGGGTTCACTACAGTAACGGTACCATTGGTCAAACCCTATACCGATGGGCCAGAGTACTACAGAATCCAAGGAATCCTCTTCGGGGTTTGCTGTTGGCTGCTCTTTTTTCCTAAGTTTAGTCATTGTGGTTGTACCATAGATCATTGGAAAAACAGGGAAAGAAGACTTTTCACGTTTCCATACAGATGCCAAGATAGTAGACTCATGATGCCTTACCATTAGCTTGACCCACCAGGAAATAAAGTCCGTGTATTCTTCTATAAAATATCATTCCCTACCGTTCGCGCCGGACCTGAAACCCTTTTTCTTCTTTTGTAGAGTTTCGAAACAGTGATTAGGTATCGGGCTTGATTATGGATAGTCCCAGTCGTGTGTATCTCTTCGGAGACCAGACTGCGGATTTCGACTCAGGGCTCCGGCGCTTGTTGCACGCTAAGAATGATTCCTTGCTGTCGGCATTTTTCCAAAAGTGCTACTATGCCTTGCGCAAGGAAGTTACTGCACTGCCACCATCTGAGCGGCAGAAGTTCCCTCGCTTCACCAGCGTTGTTGATCTGCTCGCTAGATACAGAGAGTTTGGACCTAACGCGGCCTTGGAAAGCGCATTGACGACAATTCATCAGCTAGGCAGCTTCATCCAGTAAGACTTCCCGAAATTTGTTCATGTCAAACATTTAGAATATGGGTTCTGACTGTCTTATAGTTACTACGGGGATTTGGGCCATGCCTATCCGTCGGGCGATGATAATTTCATCGTTGGTCTTTGTACCGGTCAGCTTGCATCTGCAGCTGTTAGCTCTTCGAAAACCGTCGGAGAGCTTATTCCAGTCAGCGTGGAGACTGTGGTGCTTGCTTTGAGACTCGGTATTTGCGTCCTGAAAGTCCAGGATCTTGTAGAGTCCAACAAGTCCCCAGGATCAAGCTGGTCTGTCCTCGTTTCTGGCATGCGTGAGCCCGAAGCCCAGGAGCTGATTCAACAGTTTGCGAAGACGACTGTAAGTATTCTTCTGAAACTGTTGGGTATGCATAAATCAGAATAACTAACTCTCCGAAGGCCTTGCCCCGTGTGTCTCAGCCTTACATTAGTGCAGTCAGTCAGAATGGACTGACTATCAGTGGTCCTCCAACCTTCCTTGGCCGTTTCATTGAGACCAACCTCTCCAAGGAGCACAAGCCAATAAGAGTCGCGATCCACGGCCCTTACCATGCATCTCACCTATATGATGACAAGGATGTTAGCCGTATCATGGAATCGTGGCCCAAGGAAGAGTTCGCCAGCTATGTGCCCCAGATTCCTGTTCTATCCAGTGAAACGGGCCAGGAGATTGAGGCTGAGAGTCTAGAACAGCTGTTGAAATTTGCCCTCGAAGAGATCTTACAGCGTCAGCTTTGCTGGGACAAGGTCATCGAGTCTTGCCATTCGGCATTGGAGCCTGCCACATCAACATGCACATTGCTTCCCATCTCCAGCACTGCTACTCAGAGCCTGTTCAGCTCGCTGAAGAAAGCTGGAATCTCCAACCTCGAGCTTGATAGCTCAATTGGCGACGTTCAAAAGGATACCGAGGCCGAGAACCGTACTGGTCGTGCTGAAAAATCCAAGATTGCTATCATCGGTCTTTCGGGCAGATTCCCAGAGTCACCTGACACCGAAGCATTCTGGGACCTTTTGTACAAGGGCATGGATGTTCACCGGGAAGTTCCCGCCGAGCGATGGGACGTGAAGGCCCATGTTGACATGGAAGGAAAGACACGAAACACTAGCCAGGTTCAATACGGATGCTGGTATAACGAGGCAGGAATGTTCGACCCTCGCTTTTTCAACATGTCTCCCCGTGAGGCTCTCCAGGCTGATCCTGCCCAGCGACTCGCTCTTCTTACTGCCTATGAGGCCTTTGAGATGGCTGGATTCATTCCTGACAGCACTCCTTCTACCCAGAAGAACCGAGTCGGTGTCTTCTATGGAATGACCAGTGACGACTACCGTGAAATCAACAGCGGTCAGGATATCGATACTTACTTCATTCCTGGTGGTAACCGTGCTTTCACACCCGGCCGTATCAACTATTACTTCAAATTCAGCGGCCCTAGTGTTAGCGTTGACACAGCTTGCTCTTCAAGTCTTGCGGCAATTCACGTGGCCTGCAACTCCCTGTGGAGGAACGATTGTGATTCTGCCGTGGCCGGTGGTGTTAATATCCTCACGAATCCCGACAACCATGCTGGTCTCGACCGTGGCCACTTCCTCTCAAGAACGGGAAACTGCACTACCTTTGACGACGGAGCTGATGGTTATTGCCGAGCAGACGGAATCGGTTCCGTTGTTCTCAAGAGACTCGAGGATGCTCAGGCCGACAACGACCCTATCTATGGTATCATCAACGGAGCTTACACCAACCACTCCGCTGAGGCTGTTTCCATCACGCGTCCTCACGTCGGAGCCCAGTCATTCATCTTTGATAAACTTCTCAACGAGTCAAACATTGACCCTAAGGAGGTCAGCTACATCGAGATGCACGGAACTGGCACCCAGGCCGGAGACGCAGTTGAGATGCAGTCAGTTCTTGACGTGTTCGCCCCTGACTACCGTCGCGGACCAAACCAATCTCTTCACCTTGGTTCAGCAAAGGCAAATGTCGGCCACGGAGAGTCTGCTTCTGGTGTCACTGCGTTGATCAAGGTGCTCATGATGATGCGGAAGAACATGATTCCTCCTCACTGCGGTATCAAGACCAAGATCAACCACAACTTCCCGACAGACTTCCCTCAGCGAAATGTTCACATTGCTCTTGAGCCTACCGCATGGAACCGACCCAGTGGCGGAAAGCGCAGGACCTTTGTTAACAACTTTTCAGCCGCTGGCGGTAACACTGCTCTGTTGGTTGAGGATGGTCCTCTCAATGAGTTCAATGTGAAGGATTCCCGTTCTGCCTTCCCTGTTGTTGTATCTGCACGATCCCAGTCTGCTCTGAAGAACAACATCTCCGCTCTCGTGCAGTACATTGACACGAACAAGAATCAGTTCGATGTCAACCCTGCCAGCCTTCTTGCCAACCTCTCTTACACCACCACTGCCAGACGTATCCATCACCCATTCAGAGTGGCGGTCGCTGGATCTACGTTGGATGAGGTCCGAGGCGCATTGGCTCCCATTGTCAACCGTGACAGCATCAGCCCGGCTCCTGCCACAGCACCTGGTATCGGATTTGTCTTCACTGGCCAGGGTGCTCAATACACCGGCATGGGCAGCCAGCTGTTCGAGAGTTGCTCACAGTTCCGTACTCATATTGAGCACTTTGATCGCATTGGTCAAAGCCAAGGCTTCCCATCCATCGTTTCCCTGATTGACGGCAGCGTACCTATTGAGGAACACAGCCCAGTTGTTACTCAGCTCGGAACAACCTGTATTCAGATGGCCTTGACCAAGTACTGGATTTCTCTTGGTGTTGTCCCAACCTTTGTTCTCGGCCACAGCCTTGGCGAGTATGCTGCACTGAACGCTGCCGGTATCCTAACCATCAGTGATACTATCTACCTTGCTGGTCGTCGGGCTCAACTTCTCACTGAGCAGTGCAAGGTCGGAACACACGCTATGCTTGCTGTCAAGTCCTCCGTGGCACAGGTTAAGCAGCTTCTTGATGATGTTACTGAGGTTGCTTGCATCAACGCTCCTAGTGAGACTGTCATCAGTGGTGCCAGCGAGAAGATTGATGAGCTGGCACAGACCTTGAGCAATGAAGGCTTCAAAGCGACCAAGCTGAAGGTTCCTTTCGCTTTCCACTCTGCTCAGGTTGAGCCTATCCTGGAAAACCTTGCTGAAATTGCGAAGGGTGTTACCTTCAGCGAGCCCGCTATTCCTTTCGTCTCGGCTCTTCTCGGGGATGTCATCAAGGACGACAGCAACGAAGTACTTGGTCCCAGCTACCTGACCCGCCATTGCCGAGAGACCGTCAACTTCCTGGGTGCTCTGGAAGCTACCCGTCATGCCAAGTTGATGAATGACAAGACCCTTTGGGTTGAGATTGGCTCTCACACAGTCTGCTCCGGCATGGTCAAGTCAACATTCGGTCCTCAAGCAACTACTGTGGCTTCTCTCCGTCGCCAGGAAGATACTTGGAAGATTCTGTCGAACAGTCTGTCGGCACTTTATCTGGCTGGTATGGACCTTCGTTGGAAGGAGTACCACCAGGACTTCACCGCTGGTCACAAGGTCCTTCCACTGCCTTCATACAAGTGGGACCTTAAGAACTACTGGATCCCATACACCAACAACTTCTGTCTGCTCAAGGGTGCCCCGGCTACACCAGCCGTTGAGGCCGCTCCAGTCTCTACATTCTTGACGACCGCAGCCCAGAAGGTTCTTGAGACGACCAGCGACGCTTCCTCAGCCATGATTGTGATTGAGAACGACATCGCCGACCCTGACTTGAACCGTGTCATTGCAGGTCACAAGGTCAACGGTGCTTGCCTCACTCCGTCTTCTTTGTATGCCGATATTGCCCAGACACTCGGTGAGTATCTGGTACAGAACTACAAGCCCGAGTGGAAGGACTGTGGCCTGGATGTTTGCAATGTGACAGTCCCCAAGCCTCTTATTGCCAAGGGTGGCAAGCAACTCTTCCGAGTCTCGGCCACTGCTAATTGGGCTGAGGAACATGCCAAGGTACAAGTCTGGTCGGTCACCCTGGAAGGAAAGAAGATCCTCGACCACGCCAGCTGCACTGTCAAGTTTTTCGACACCAATGCCTCTGCAAGTGAGTGGAAGCGCAGCGCCTACCTCATCAAGCGAAGCATCGAACATCTCCAAGAGAGCACCATCTCTGGTCAGGCTCACCGCATGAAGCGAGGAATGGTTTACAAGCTCTTCGCTTCCCTAGTTGACTATGATGAGAACTACAAGTCCATCCGCGAGGTTATACTTGATAGCGACCAGCACGAAGCCACTGCTCTCGTCAAGTTCGAGGCACCCCCTGGCAACTTCCACCGCAACCCATTCTGGATCGACAGCATTGGTCACCTTTCTGGATTCATCATGAACGCCAGCGATAACACCGACTCGAAGAACCAGGTCTTTGTCAACCATGGCTGGGACTCTATGCGTTGCTTGAAGAAGTTCGACGCCAGTGTTACATACCGCACTTACGTGAGGATGCAACCTTGGAAGGACTCTATCTGGGCTGGTGATGTCTACATGTTCGAGGGTGATGATATCGTCGCTGTGTATGGTGGTGTCAAGGTATGTTGAATATGCCCCAACCTTTTTTGAACGATATTGACGAAATGATGTAGTTCCAAGCACTTGCTCGGAAGATCCTCGACATGGCTCTTCCTCCTGGTGGAGGTGCTGCTGCTAAACCAGCTGTCGCTAAGCGTACTCCTGCTCCCATTGATGTCCAGAAGGCCAAGAAGGGACCTTCTAAGAAGTCCGCTGTCTCGCCCAAGTCTGCAGGGCCCAGTCTCTCCAGCCGCGCTCTTGCAATTCTTGCTGAAGAAGTTGGACTTTCCGCAGCTGAGATGACCGACGATCTCAACTTCGCTGACTACGGAGTTGACTCTTTGCTTTCGCTGACTGTCACTGGACGCTATCGCGAGGACATGGGAATCGATCTCGACTCCTCTGTCTTTGTGGACCAGCCCACCGTCAAGGATTTCAAGCGCCTTCTGGCTCAGATGGGTCCTACCGAGAGTAGCAGCGATGGATCGAACAGCGAGGAAGACATGTCCTCTGCTGCTTCCTCGACAGATATCTCTTCTCCAAACTCCAGCGGTCTCCCAACTCCAGCCAATGAAAAGTCGACGACTCATGGCACCGTCGAGCAGAACGACAGCATGAAGCATATCACCGCAATCTTGGCCGAGGAGATCGGTGTTGAGCCTGCGGAGCTTGACGGCGATGCCAACCTTGGCGAGATGGGACTAGACTCGTTGATGTCGCTCACAGTTCTCGGAAAGATCCGCGAGGAGCTCGACATGGACCTGTCAGGAGAGTTCTTCATCGAGAATCAAACCCTTGATGACATCGAAGAAACTCTTGACCTGAAGCCTAAGTCTGTCGCTGCGGAGGCCATCATTATCCCTGGGCAAATTCAGGTCCAGGCCTCGAAGTCTCTCCCTAGCACTGCCTCTAGCACTGCTATCCAGCACCCACCGGCAACTTCAATCCTCCTCCAAGGTAACCCCAAGACAGCAACCCAAAAGCTGTTCCTGTTCCCAGATGGCTCTGGCTCTGCCACGTCTTACGCCACCATCCCTGGGGTTTCTCCTGACGTGTGCGTCTACGGACTTAACTGCCCATACATGCGCAATCCCGAAAACCTCAAGTTCCGCCTGGACGAGCTAACAGCCCCCTACGTGGCCGAGATCCGTCGCCGCCAGCCAACAGGACCATACAACTTCGGCGGCTGGTCCGCCGGTGGAATTTGCGCCTACGACGCCGCACGCCAACTCATCTTCGAAGAAGGCGAGCGAGTCGACCGCCTCCTCCTCCTGGACTCCCCCTTCCCAATTGGACTGCAGAAGCTGCCACCCCGTCTTTACAGCTTCTTCGACACCATTGGACTCTTCGGCGAGGGCAAGGCCCCTCCACCAAAATGGCTGCTCCCCCACTTCCTGGCTTTCATCGACTCCCTCGATGCCTACAAGGCCAAGCCATTCCCTTACCATGACGCTGAGCTGGCCAAGAAGCTCCCCAAAACGTTCATGGTCTGGGCTAAGGATGGTGTCTGCTCCAAGCCTGGTGATCAGCGCCCAGCGCCTGCTGAGGATGGAAGTGCTGACCCGCGTGAAATGCTTTGGCTGTTGAACAACCGTACTGATCTCGGCCCTAACGGTTGGGATACCCTCGTTGGCCCGAAGCATGTTGGTGGTATCACCGTTATGGAGGGTGCCAACCACTTCACCATGACTCGCGGCGAGAAGGCGAAGGAATTGGCTGCTTTCATTGCTAAGTCAATGGGTGCCTAGGTGAACTGCATGTTGAATTATGATTGAGGATTGGGTAGGAGTTTGGATATAAGTATTTCTTTTCTACTGGATTTCTGTTGATTTTTCTTTGTCATTTTGCCCTTCAGCACAAAACCGTCCTTTTTTTTCCTGTCTTCTTTTCAGTGTATATTTACATGACCTTGCGGATCTACCCCATAAATTGGGTTATATTTTTAATCATTAGCTCGAATCCAAATCCAGACTGATATTTAACTGAACAAGTCTTCTTTTCCATAGACAAGGCAATTGAACAGCTTACACCAGAAGGTACACTTGATAGCTATGGGAAAGAGATGGATGATATCATGTTATTGTACGCGCTGCCAGTGTTGACCCAGAGAGCACAGGGTTGGACTGGGCACATTGAGGTCCGCGCCACACCGGATGACTTGCGAAGTAAAAATCGCTCATGAATAATGGAACAGGATCAAGGAATGAAACGCCAGAAAGATGCAATGTCGCATTGAGCGGACGAAGGGAAAAGACTCGGCTGGACTGATATGTAAAACAAGTGTTGCAGAGGACAAAGGTTCCAAATTTCTATTAGGTGTCTATACGTCATAGATCACCAAAGTAGGGAAATGGGTTGAGAAGACAATTGACGGCAAGATAGAGAGGGGTCAAGAGCAGCCCCCTGAGAAATGTTTCTCAGAACCGCATTTCAGAGCTAAAACGTAGGGCGCTGCCTCTACCTGGAAGGCCACCGTTGTGGCCATTCCCGTTATGGCCAATACCCGGGCTGGTTGGACGGCTACTGGCAGAGATCTTAGGGCTTCGTGGTTGAGTGCTGGTTGAGCGGGTGGATGGCCGGTTTTTGCGGATTTCACGAAGCTCCTCCTCCTTTCTGCGTAGGAGTTCGTCACGCGCTGCTAGAATCAACTGTAGTTCATCGATTTGAGCGAGATGGCGGGCAGCATTGTCCTTGATGTTCATTTCGCGAAGTTTGAGCTTATTCTGATCGGCTTTGCGCTTCAAATCATCGTTTTCGGATGTCAATAGGCGACTTTCATTGCCGGATTGAGCTGCCGCTGTAGATGCAGTTTGATACTGCTCTCTGGTGTATTCCGACCGCTTTGCTTCGTATGTAGACTTGCGATTGAGGTCCTCATTTTCAGCGGTAAGGCGACGGATTTCCCCACGAGCCGTCTCCAGTTCGGCAGCGCTGCCGCCACCAGCCTTGATTGTTTCTCTGGCTTCTTGGAGATCATGTTTCAGTACTTTCTTTTCTTCCTTCAAAGTGAGAACTTCGCGCTCCGACTTTTCGAAGTTTCTCTCAAGGACTGTTTTGCTCGCAGCTAATGCATCAAGTTCTTTGCGAATCGTGTAGACCTGTTCGGTACGAGTCTCGAATCGATGCTGTAATTTTCCAAATGCCTGCTCCATTTCTTTCGCCTGAGCACGCACTTGAGCTAGCTCTGCCTGCAACTGCTCTTTCTCGGTAGCGTGCGCGTGCTTCGTCTGGATGAGAATCTTCTCAAGTGACTCTAGGTCACGATACAATGTTTGACTTGGAGGCTTAGTTGACTCAGTCAATTGACTGTTGTCTTGGGCATCGACTCGTACGCGCTTTGAGGTGTAATCCTCGCCTTCATCGTCCTGCCAAGGAGTTAGTAAATGTGGAGACATGGCAGCTTGGTAAGCTTACCAGAGACCGTTTCTGGGCCTGCGGGAGTGAAGAGCCAGACGAAGGAGTCGATGCCTCCAGTTCCTCCTTGGAAACAAATACCAAGGGCTCAATAGGGGCAAGTGGCCATCCGGCGACGCTATCCAGGAGGTAGGTGAGAATCTCCTCAGCATCCTCATGTACACCCAGCGCATCATCCTGGAGATCACCGACCTCGTCATGGAAACGGGCAGTGTAATGAACAAGCCAACGCAATCGCTCTGGTTCGGGCAAATCCGGCAAACAACGTTGAATGTGTTCACTGGTGTTTGCAACGAGGAACCAGATCACAGGGAGCAAGTTTCCGTTTCGGGCATAGGTAGTTCGAATGTGCTGCATGGACGGGCTTTTAGGATTGAAAGTAGCATCGAACGCGAAAATAGCAGACGGTGTCTTGTAAAGTTCGCGCACGCTCTCACTGGAATGGATACCAAAGCTGAGTAGTCCTCTTGACATGGATACTTCCAGAGTGCGGCCCATGTCATTGCGGGGTCTGGTGTATGCAAAGCCTTTTCCTTGTAGATAACGCTCAATAACTGCCTGTTTCTTCTCGTCTTGTACCGCAATGATCACATGAAGCTCATGCGTTTCGACGGTGTCCATCAGATGACCAAGGAAAAGAAATTTAGCACTCGAGTATTCGGCCCAAGACGCCTCTTTCTCAGGGTCTGAGCAAGCATCTTTGAGATGAGTTGCAATGTTAAGATCTGGATGAGTTGAAACATTGTTCAGCTGAATAACAACTTCGTGCATCTTTTGTTGGAGATTCTTCCGCTAGAAACGATATTAGGTGTCTAAAATATAACCATTTAAGTCCTCACTTACCTCCGAAGCTGAAATTTGAGAATCAGACTGGAAACCAACGAAAAAGCGGCGAATGCTTGTGGCTGCATCTGCCAAGACCCGTTCATAGTCATCCTTCACTCGAGAGTCCATTGGAAGAGTGACAGCAAATTCAGAGGGCCCGAGATAAATCGATCCAGGCACGACCTCTTCCATGCCTGTGGCCGTCAACGCACTTGGATGAATGGTTTGCATCGAGGGTTGGCCTAGATGCCCGTGAGCTAGCTCTGATGGTGGCAGCAAAGCAGAATGAGCATGATGAACTGCGGTGTGAGAGAATGGGTCCGCCTCAGCTCTGACACTGAGTGGCGCTGTTGTTTCGGGGACCGACACTGGCACTGACGCCTCGATATCCCCCACAGATGATGGAGTGTCAATACCACTGGCCAGTTGAGTTCCCACAGATTGGGGGTCTGCGCTTAGCTGAGCCCAAGCGTTGCGAATCCTTTCTCTTGGAGTAGACCCTGGTAGATCACCGAGCGGGGATTTGATCTCCTTTTCATCCATCGTTTGGCGTGATGATCGTGCTGCAAAAAGGCTCGACAACGAATTTCTCGGTCGATCAAATGCGTCGCCACTCAGTTTTCGTTTCTGCGAAGAATGGAAGATTGTTTCTGGGATTGTACCGAAATACTTTGGTCTGGGAAATTCCGAGTCTGGGGGAAGTTAGCAGAGTATGGGCTTTCCTTAGGAAGTGGAATTACCTTCAAATGGACCACGTGAGGGGAAAGGTTGGGAAATCAATGTGCTGTTAAGACTGGGAGTGTCAAACGAGATATTACTTTTCGCAGATGGTAGATGTACAGGCGTCTCGGCAATTTCGTTGGGCTTGGAACTTTTGAAGGTATCTGGTGTATTGATTGATTGCCAGCCCGACGGTGCTCTCGCAACAAGTCGGGAAAGCTCACCACGATCAAATATCAAAGGACCCTGATCAGAAGTAACGTCTATCTGCTCTTCGTTGGTTTGCAGCGTATCACCTAAGACCACTTCTTCACACTCGCCCGGTGAGAGGTTCGCAGGGGGCGGAGAGTATTCAGATAGGGTCTCAAAAGAAGAAGAGCGGTGTCGTGGTCGCGAGGCGTCCGACAAATAATTGAGAGATGCCGGAGCGGGGGCTGATGCTTGCTTGATCCTAGCTTCGATGGATTCAAGTATTTCCGGAAGGTCGTTTTGCTTTACAAACAATGACGCAGAATCTTGCGAGTTGTAATCGCCCTGTTCGCTTGAGGGTTTGAAGTCTTCACCCAGAACCTGGACAGTGCTGAGACTCTGACTGCGGCTTTGATGGGAGGTTTGATCGGGGCCTTGATCGGGGCTTTGATTGAGGTTCTGGTTGAGGGTTTGATCGTTGCCTTGACTGGGATTGCAACTGCTGCCGGGGCTACTGCTGGATTCCTCCAAGTCCGAGCTGCTATCAGAGGAGATGACAATTGCACTACCTCGTGAATTGCGGGCTTTCCACTTCTCCCAGACCTCAATAGCAAGATCGCTGGCGTTCTCCTTGGGTTCCTGAATAAAGAGAAGTTACTGTTAGTCTAAGTCCGGCGTATGGCTCCATAGGGTGTTTAAGGCACAATTGCGCAATGCGACTCACCCAAGTTGATTCGTAAGGACCCTCCCAGTCAATGAGATATTGAGTATCGGTTTCGCGAAGGATGCTCTTAATAGGCCACTCTTCCTCTATGTCGTTGTCGACACTGCTGTCACTACTATCAATTGTGATCGCAGATCCAGCTCCAGGCGAGTCAGCACGTATTCTAGAACTTCCGGTGTTGCGTTTGTTGAGGGTGGGAGGGTGAGCTCGGGGCATCCTGTGCGGGCTACCTGTGTTTGAGCATGATGGGGTGATGAAATTCAGAGTCAATACTTATGGTAAGCTCCAGTGAGCAAAAATATTGATCCTGGCCACGTACAAATATCAGGAGACATCCAACGATTCCCGTCGAGGTATGAAAGAGAGTAACCGAGCGGCGCGACGGGCGGATGGATAACAGCGGTGTCATGTGATACGCTTATCAGTAGCCCTACATTGAGTCTATACTTGGACTTATTTATACATCAAGGAATAAAGCAAACAAAGGTGCCTTTCAGCAAGTTCTCGCTACAGACTAGTAAAGAATAGTAAGATTGATTCGCTCATTTTTGAACCAGCTTGAAGGTTCAATTGACATTGTAAAGTCAGCATTCACCTACTTACAGAAGCCAATTATGAAACACCACCGTCACTATTCGTGGTATCCAATTGCGTCAGGTCTATACTTAAGACCTCGTTGTTTTCACTTCAATCCCAAACCACAACGTAGTATATGTCTATTTGTGCTCTATGTCTATGTGGAGTTTGTACGCTAATCATAAGTGGGGACCTTGTTCCCGTTTCCACTCTTCAAAGTCGAATCCGAGTTCTGCCAGACTCCGGATCTGGCCTCTGGCCTCTCCTTTCTTCACGAAAGCCCGTCTGATATCGGGGAAAAGAGCCCGCATCCACCTCTCCTTCTCGCCCCATCGGGGGCCAATTTTGCCTCGTCCATCATTTGATAACCCTGGGCGTGGAGTCGCCTTTTTGGCCCAGTCGTGGAGGAAGTTCAGATAGTCTGCATCCGCGGGGAAGTGAAGGATATGAAATGACTTCCCATCTCCCTTAGTATTTATTTCAGATTCCTCCCACTCACGCATGGCATCTTTGGGTGGAAGTGTAAGCCGTGCAGACCATACACGAGAGAAGATAGCAGCTTGGGCCTCTGCCATGGGGAACGGAATGACCCTTTGCGGAAGAACAGGGAATGCGAGCGTCGGGTGCTCTAGATAGAATAATTGTTGATAAATGTTCGTCGTTCGCCATCCATGGGTGATAACTGGTGGGTTGAGCGAAGACAAGAAAGGGAATGAATAGAAATAGCCAGTACAGAAAACAACTGCGTCGATTTCTTCTTCAATACGGCCATCCGCAAACTTGATGCCTCGGTTGTGTTTTGTCGGCGGAAGGAACGCGACAATTTCCGGGCAAATGATTTGATTGCCAGCCGAAGATGCAGCCAAATATGATTCGGATTTCTGGGAGACCACCACTTGGCCTTTGCTCACTTCATTGATCTGGGCACCGATGTCAAGACCTGAGGCAGAGCTGCCAACCACTACCACCTTTTTATCTCGGAAATTTTCTGGCGAGTCGTAGAATTTGGAATGGGAGATGACACCGGGGTAAGATACATTCCAAGCCTCCATACCTGGGGCACCCGGTAGATATGGGACGGTGAAATGGCCACTTGCAACCACAACAGCATCAAAAGTTTGGGTGGTTTCAGCACCGGTGAGAAGGTTCTTTGCTGTTAAGTCCCATGTGCTAAGACCTGCATTCTTAAGCTTCACATCCACAACTTGGGTCTCAAATTGAATAAGTGATTTGATGTCCTTGGCATAATCCTCGAGGTACTGCTTCACGGTCCGGTGCTTGGGGAATAGCTGGGCTTCCGATGGCCAGTCCTGGTCCGAGTAACACATCAATTCCTTAGGAATATTGGTTTCCAGTAGGTCATAGAGCGGAGATACGAATATTGCCTCTCGCTTGCCCTGAGTCCCATCGATCCATATCGGCTTCTCGAGTGGCTCGTTGGGAGTTAGATGAGGAACAGTGGTTGACAGCCCAGATTTATATGAGCTTGCATTGTAATTCCACGCTCCACCTACTGAGCTCCTTTGCTCAAAGACTTCGATTTGATCAAAATGTTTCTCCGCGAGCAGATATCTGGCACTGTCAGCGTGCTGTGTTTTGGACGAGATATCACGCCACATACTTGACTGAAGCCAGGCCAGATGGCCCAGCGCCAATGACAGCTACTCGGCGAATGGGATTTTTGAGTGACATTCTCCCGATATAGAGCCAGTGTTCCGTTGATTGTAGCAAAGAGTGCTGGATCGGAGATGGAGGGGAACGCTGGCGCCATTTGTGGAGCTATGAGCCCACACCTTACGGAGGGACGGAGTGCAGATCAGAGCATGAGAGGCTATTGTATCCAGTGATTAGTATGATGCTAGCTCAAGAAGCTGACATGAAGACTGAGCATGACAAAAATAGAGACAAAAATACCTGAAATTCAGAAAAAAAGACAGCTTCATTGATCGAAGTGGTGTAATTCTGTTCCATAAATACCGTTCATACCCATAGTAGCGGACCAGTGATACACATGTATTACCATAGCACAAAGCTGAAGATCCGACTTTCTTTGATCTCAACACTTCCCTCCTCCACCTCTGTCTTTCCCTCGCATTTTTACTTGTATCTTTATTTGGTTTATGATACTCTCGATGGATAACCGACGGAGCTAAAGTCGAGCAAAATCGGCGTAATGGACGCGATCGAACAATCTACACAGAATGCGCGGGCGCATTTGACACAGGTCCCAGTCGCCCAGCTTTCTCCAGACCTTGCGCAACCGAGCGAAAAGTTTATTGTTGCTGTTGTAACGCTTATTTGGCCATACTCGTCCTCGAAAAAGTCTCTGAGCCTTTTGCTGGCAGAGCCAGATGCCCGCCTACGACGACCGAACGGACAAGTGAGAGCCACATTTCATGGACGCGTCGCGCAGAAGATCGCAGAGTCGCATGTTGGAATAAGAGATACAATCCATCTTTCTTTGGCATACGCCAAGTTTATTAGCAATGAAGCTGTTACGCAGACACCGGGGAGGTCTGTCGCGTGGGATGCACACTTTGAAGATGCTGTGTCTCTCGAGGTAAGCGACTGCCTTCTTGCTCTGCATCTTGCAGAACTAACAGTAACTGATAAAGGTCCACCGGTCTTCCGAGCCTCCGTTAACGATCAGCGTTGAGCCACAGCCGACTGTGCCATCTCATGTCGAACTCGCACCTCCGTCGACCCCCGTTCGCCAAACGGCCAAGCATGGATTGGAAACAGTGTGTGGCATGGGCTCTTGGGGATCGCCGGCATTTATGCAATCCGCTCGGGACTCATTTGGAGGATTAATCGATACGTCGCGTGACCCTTTTGCAGACGATGGCTTTGTGCCCGGAACAGGAAGGAAGCGCCCGCGATACAGCTTACAACGGGAGGATTGGCGGCTGGTCGACGAGTCTGAGAGCTCAGTCGACAAAGAAGTTCCCGTGGATTGGTGGGAACAGACTTTGGAACATGAACTTAACGCGGAGGATGCGAATGGTCAACCTTCAGATGAGCCGATGGCAGACGCTGCTCCTCTATCCGATTCGGAGAATGCACCCCTTTCTGTATCGGTGTTTGCAAAGCCTTCTCTTGAACTAACGGGTAGCATCATTGAAAGGCGTGCAGGCGAGTCAAACAACAATGCCTCTCAGGAATCATCTGATATCCCCGGCCAAGGACCTCCAGCTTTTCCTCTTCCAACCGACACACCACAAATCCGACCTATCCCCTCTCCTGGGCTTCCGATTCCCTCGCCGCTGGTATCAAATCACGCCAATTCCACTGAATATTTCACTTCATGGTCTGCGTCTACGCAAACCGAAGAGATTCGTTCGGTTCCTGCGGAGACAGCTTCCATCGCATCACCTCCTGAATCTGCCTTTGAGACTCGGGAGATCCACGAGTCCAACATGACGGACGAGACTCCTTTCATCGAATCTCTTGAACCACTTGTAATGGAGCCGATCGAGTCAAATATTGCATCTCTTCAAGCGGAAGCCGTTCTTGATACTGATTCTCTACTTCATGACATCTTGGCACCGTCTACAGGATCAGAAGATCTACCGAATGAAGTAGATATTGAGACAATCGAGTCCCCGTCAACCGTAAATGAACCAAGCATTGCTCAGACCGATGTTGAGATCAGAAATGACGACGAAGTTAAACAGCCAAGTGAAGATAAACGCCTCGAACTGCTTTCTGTGGGAGACCGTGATCTCCAACGGGAGGATGAAGACATTCACGAGAATATGCAGGCTGTTCAGCCGGAAGGCGAGATTGATAATGAGGAAGATTCCTTGTCAGATTCCGAAATGGAGATTCAGTCAAGTGGCCAACCACATTCGACATCTGTCCTGGATGCGAATAAAGTCAAAAAAACTGAACCCACTGCGAAGCCCCCTGGGGACCTCGACAGTGGAGATGAAGCCGGTGCTTCAATCGAGTCTTTAAGTGTTCCTCGCTCGCGCAGTCAAAGTTACGCTGAAGAAGATGTTGAAATGGTAGAAGGAGAAGAACAGTACGATGAAGAAGCCGACGATTACGAATCACAATATGACTACGATGACGATGAGGACCACCATGTGCCCCGTTTAGGCACACGACTAGAACAAGAAGAATTTAGCGGCGATGAAGCCAATGTCGACAATTCCACTGACGAGGACTCAGAACAAGAACGGAGCTTCCCCTCACGCCCTGAGACGCAAGAAGTAATCGTGCTCGACAGCGACAGCGAAGATGAACCTGCTCCTAGTCACCCGGCCGTTTCCACTTCTCAATCCCCTGATGAAAAAGACCGTTCACAGAGTCCTCGATATGACCAGTCTATACAAATGTATGCTGATAGAGCGGAGAGCAATGAGGAATCTTCCGGCAGCGACCAGAGTGAAAAGATTGATGAAGCGAACGCCTATGAATCAGATGACCAAGATGATCGGGTGCATGACAGCGACAAGGCTGGTGAATCATCATTTGAGGGATTTTCGGGAGACGAAAATGCCCAGGGTGATGAACAGGAAATAGCATTAGTCGACCTGGAACAGAATCACGATGTTCCGATGGCAGAATTGGAGCACGAAGAGCAAGATCGAGACTCTGATTTGATAGCTGGCATCGAGTCAGAGATGGAACAGGTAGCAGATCAAAGCTCTGACGAGGAACAACCTGGTGATGCTTATAGAAGTGTGCCCGATGTACCTGAAGCTATTGATCAGCTACCACACCAAGATAATGAGAATATGGCCGATCCTGTCGTACTCTCCGACACCGAAAAGATTGATACATTCTTCGACATGGACGGCGCGTCTGATACAGACATTTCTCTTTCATTTGAAGAGGATGCAGCCGACTTTATATCAGCGCCCGAACAACCCATCGAAACCACTGAGATCACCTACCTTGATCCTCAAGTCGAGCCCTTAACGCCAGAAATCATCGTCTCTCTATCCGAGCAACAACTTCCAACTCCAGATCCTACCCAAGAATCTGCATTGCCTAATCAAAGGGGCGAACCCAAGACATCCCTCACAGGTGAACAAAATGAACAGCTGGACCTTGATGCACATTTCCCCCATATGCGCGCCGCCGGTTCGATTCCCCCGGAAAACATTGAGGATGTTCCTGCGCCAGAGAACGCGCACGACCCTCTGGAAAAGGAGTTCGGTCTCGACGGTGCCACAGATTACCCAAGCGAACGCCAACCCTTGGAGGTTGTCATCAGCACCGAAGCTCCAGAAACACCGGAAGTAGTCGTGACAGAGCCGCAGCCTTCAAATCCCGATCGCAATGCCCCTGGATTACGCAGCAAATATTCCTATTTCGCTCCCCTCGCCACACTCATCGATCACTACAATGCTCTGGTAGACACTATCTCAATCGTCCACGAAGTTTCCCCAATCGCCAAAGCCAAAACAGGATCAAAGGATTGGTTCATGACTATCCAGCTGACAGATCCTTCCATGGCTGGCACAACTCTCCAAGCCCAAATGTTCCGACGCTACAAATCCACCTTCCCATCTTTATTCGAAGGCAACGCCGTTTTACTACGTGACTTCAAAGTCCGAAGCTTCAACCACACCATCATGATAGTCAGTGCAGAAACCAGCGCCTGGGCTGTCTTCGATGGATCAAGTCCAGATGCACAGGTAAAGGGACCTCCTGTCGAATATGGCTCAGAGGAAAGTGAATACGCGTTAGAATTGCATCAGTGGTATACGGACATGGGTTCTGCTCGCATTGCGGATCATCAGCTTCAAGCTTCCATCGAGAGGGAAAGCATGGATCGTGAAACGTGGGTTACTTCTCAGCCGCCGAGCGAGTCCGAAAGTCCGGATTCTACCCGGAGCTCGAGACGCACTCGTAGGGGACGACACAGCGGACGGGTTACTATTCATTCGCTGAGGGATGGTACTCGTTATATCGAGGTTGGGTCTCCGAATAGTCGGGGTAGTGATAGCATTCATGAGTTGCGGGATGGGACTGTGTATTCCAACCCGTGAAATTGGTCTATCATTTTCATGTTTCATAGCCTGCGATTCACTTGGAACTTGAATGGATATCAAGGTGAATAGTGTCAGGATACCCCCAACAAGACCATAAAAACCCTAGCAAAATACCAAAAATTAACCCCAGTATATCGTTTAAATATACACCTCTATTTTCTAAGTACCAATGCAAATTTACACAATCTAAATCAAATCTTAGACTGCTTATCAACAGCAAAATACTCAGCGCTAGCAGCAGCCCGAATCAACTGGTTAGCAATAGCGGTATGAGGCGGCAAACGCAAACCACCCTCCTTATACTCAGGCCCAGCCGAGCCGCCCAAATCACTAGTCCCAACCCTCAACGCCTCCTCCACCTCCTCAATCTCAAACCATTTGGCATCCTCCAATTCAGGATCATGCTGCAGAGAAATCGTCTCATGAGCAGGATCACTAACCTGAGCAATGGCGCCAATCATCAAATTAGCAGGATAAGGCCAAGGCTGCGACGAGTGAATAACAACCCGCGACAACGTCACACCAGCCTCCTCCCACACTTCTCTCCGCACGGCATCCTCAACAGACTCGGCAGGCTCGATAAAGCCCGCTAGCGTTGAGTACCAGTTTGGTGGGAATCGCTTCGACCGGCCGAGGAGGATGCGCTTGCCGTCGGCTGAGACGACGGCTACGATTATTGTTGGGTCTGTGCGTGGGAAGGATAGGTTCGACAGTGTTGTACGGGTGTTGCAAGCTGGTCGTTCTTCTGTCTTGCCTGTGGCTGTGAGGGCCTTGTCTGTTGGTGGGCAAGCGCGCTTTGTACCGGCGTTCACGCCTAGTGTTGGGTGTCCGCATGTTCCGCAGAAGGTGTTACGAGTGTTCCAGTCCATCAATGCGCGTGCCTGGGCGTAGATAGCGGCTGTTTCGACGGTCAGTTTATTTTTCTTGCCATATGGTTCGAGGTAGTTTGAGGTGGGTTTGGACATACCTTCATCAGCGGAAAAGGACATAACAACTCGCGCGTGGAAGAAAGATAAGCCCTTCGCTTCCATGGTGCTGATCACATCCTTCGCTGCAATCTGCTGTTCCTCTGATCCCTTGGGCGTGACATCGACTGCGAAATAAGGTGTGCCGGAGTAAATCTTCCAAGCAAAACCACCTTCCTTGAGACTCTCATCCAAACCGAGGAAGATCAAGGTAGGATGCGTCTTGCGCGAATCATAGTTCTTGATCATATCCTCCTCAGAGACATCGAACATGTCATTGGGCACAAGCTTGCGCACCTCATCATACTTAGCATAATGCAGTTGCGCAGGCGAGGGAGTCAACGGCGCAAGGTTGTTCAAGAGGACGAATCGGGCAGACGGGTGCTTCAAAGCCGTTGAGAGAAATGGGTGGTCAGAGCGCAGGAATGATAGACGGTTGATTGGAGAGCCTGAGTCATGCATTAGTATTGCTGTTGCACATATATGTGTCGTAGGCAAATCCCATACTAGAGAAGTAGTTCACCGTCTCTCTTCCGAAGTGGCGGGACAACATGGAATCCGCGAGCGTGTGAGCCGGGGCGGGAATCTGGGGAGCTGTGGTCATTCTGCAAGTGCGCAATTACAACTGCTTGCAGTGCAGATCAAGAAAAGACACAATCGAGTCTGTGAACAGAAGTATTTGAAATATTCAGAAGTTGGAAACTGGTCGAAATAGCATTAATCAGCGGCGGAGGGCGGGGAAGCGGAGTTGTGCCGAGGCTTGGCAGGTCGGGTTCCTTAAGACAGACTTCATTTTGTATATGGTGTTGACTACCTATATCCGTGGATGAATGGGAGCTACGTTCAACGTGCATTGCAGGACATCATCTATTGCCATGTCTTGGCGAACTAAACCTAGGGCCAATAAGGTTGAAAGGTTTTAGACTAATGACTCGCAAGGTTATAGTGCAAAAGATTCTGTTGCTTTTAGACCCTTCAAACCCTCATATCCAACGTCAACGACTTCTACATCTATATCAACCCAGCCTCGGGCCTTGCTAGTGCCAGAGTTCCTAGAAAATGTACTGCTATACCTAGACCAACGTACTCCGCTCATTTCAGCACAGCGAACATGCCATTCCTGGTATGACTAGATTCAAAGTTCTCATGCACTTCAACAGACTCTCTTTTTCAAACCGCTCAAAGCTTTCTCCTTAAGAAAAACCCAGAACCCATTACTGGCAGATTTGTTCCCGACGATTTTGGAGCATGGGTCAGATGAAGAGGTCCTCGAGTGCGCTGAGGCTTTTCATCTATATCTCTAACTTTCGGCCGAGGTTTTCAGGCTCTTAGCCACGGTTGTTCAAAATGAACTCTATCTCAATTGCTTCCTAAAACCCTCCTACCAAGAACGAATTAGCATAGGACATATTTATTAGGTTGATGTACATCGAAAGAATACAATTTCCATAAGACATCAGAAAAGAAATTGAAGTAGATACAGAGCTTGTGGCTCAAAGGAAGTGCAGTGAAATAGAGAAGGCGCCACATAACCAAAAATCCTCGCGAATCCATGCAAGCCAAATTGAAGAGGAAAAAGAAACACCTGAAATGAGAAAGTCAAGCACGCTGACGGGCAATCGAAACGGATAATTTCGAGTTTTGGGTCGCCATGAACCATATGGACAGTTTTGTTGTTTTAGAACGAAGTGGACAAAGATCAATTTAGTCCTTCCAGAACCAGCCGTTCTTCGACTGACTTGATTCATCGGACTTGGAATCTCCCGGCTGAGAATGAGATACCTCGACAGTCGAGTCGGTTTCCTCACGACCATCAGCAAAACGCTTGGTTTTAACAATCTTGCTTTCAACCGAACCATCGGGGAGTCGGATGCGTTCTGTGCGGGTCATGGAAGAGATGATACGAGACTGCGCTGGTTCAGAGGCGGTTTCAACTTTCTCGTTCATAGTTTTGCTCTCGATCACAGTTTGAGTCTCGATGGATGAGTTTGAAGATGTTTCAGGAACGGATTTTTGACTTCCGCCAGAGACAAGCTCTAGCCAGCTCTCATTTTCATCACTGATGTGCTCATCATTTACCTTAGGAACACCGCGTCTGTATTTTTCAAGCTCTTCCTGCTGTTGTCGTCGTTCTTCGAGAAGCATGCGTAGGAGCGGGCTTTCAGAGGCACCACGGAAGGACTCACGCTCACGGTTTTCCATGTCGTGCAAGAAGCGCTCGTAGAGGTCTAACTCACTTTTAGCTTCTTGCTCGTTCTTCCGATCCGCGGGCTTGTCCTCTTTCTCGGATAGAGACCGATCCTGCTCCGTACAACCAGAGAAAGTAATACCCGACCAAGGATGACCCTCTGTGCCTGGTACATACTTCCATCGGTCACCCAGACTTCCGCGCTTGACCAAACCTTGCAGCCAATTATTCCCGGTCTCCGATTTCGCAGGCGCATCGCGATTAAGCATCGACTTTCCATTTTCAAGTCGAAGTAAATCCTCGAAAGCGTCCCGCCACTGCGGTTCCAAAGGGTCATGGTCGGAGTTCAAGCTCAAAGACGACATAATCGATGAGAAAACACCGTTCTCACGGTACGTGCGGTATTGTGCTTGGCGCTCTAGGTGAAGAGGCGAGTATGGACTGAACATAATATAGGCGATCGGCCAGGTCGGTGAATTGGTATCCTCGAACATATCCGGGAGGAAGAAGCTGCGGTTGGGGTTGAGGAGATGCGACGCAAAGGGGAAGACGCGATCCTCAAGCCAAAAGCGGTCGAAGAAGGAATCGAAGCCGAAAAAGTCGGAGGGTCCGTTGCACCATTTCCTCCATGACTGTGAGTGCCATGGGTCTTCATTTTCGGACCAGCGTGACCTGGGATGTGATGTGTTGTCTGGGTTGCGTGAGTTGTCGTCTCCTCCCGAATAACCATTTCCGCCGTCTCGGTCTGTCGAATTGCCCTTTTCTCCTGAGTTATCGCCGGTTCTCTGACGAGAAGTCCTGCTTTCGTAGCCGTGGTCGTCTGCGAATATTTCCCAGCGGTTGTTGTGAGGTGGCGTTACCATTGAAGGCAGCCCTGTGATAGATTGAAGCATTGTGGAGACCTGTTCATCAGCGTAGCGCCGGAAGGCGACGAACGGGTTGCTCTCATCTCCAGGGTATTCCCGCTTCGAACGAGATTTGTCGTCATCTGACATGTTGAAGTGAAGATGTTGAAGATATTGAAAAAGATATGAAGGATGGAAGATGAGAGGAAAAGTGAGAGTCGTTGGGGTGCCCCACTTTACGTGATCCCCAATGTATGTTTGTTTCGTCTCTTGTCTCTTTGTCTCTGTTCTCTGCTCTCTGCTCTCTGCTCTCTTCTATCCCATACTTCTGTTATTATATGTCTAGAACTACCATCTCTTCTCTTTACACTTATATGATTTCTAGCTCGGATCTTCAACTCTACGCTCATCTACAATCTCTTTCCTGTTGAGCCGCTGGCGTCATGAAGGGACCCACCGCAGCTACCGAAGTGGAACCACACTCACTGTACTTCAACCTCGGTCAATTTGGTATACACGAAGCATGCTTGTTTCACAATTTGAGAAGCAATTATTCAAGGAATATTAATCACATATGGTCATGTCCCTGAGATTCCCAAGCCTCATCAAAGCCAGTGGATCTGATCCACATGCCATTCTGACCCTCCCCAACGGTGGAGTCGACAGCTATTGAGAATTAGGCTAGCCTGACAATGCTAAAAGAGGCGCAACTTACCGATGTTCCCGATTCTCAGCCACATATCTCCATTGATCGGCATCTTATTCTCGATCCCTTGGCAGACCCGCTGGCCATGTGCCACTGCTCGGGCCAGCTTGGCTAGATGTCCGTCGTCGGTGCTATGGGATACGGCACGTTCGAAGATCTGGGGCCAGTCTTCCTTGATGGGGTATTTGGCTACCTCGTCTACGAAGAGCTCTGGTGTCCCGCGTGAGACATACATTAATAGGTCGATGCGTCCTTTCCATTCCATCAGGCGCAACTTTGATCGCTGGCCCAGGTATGGGAGGTTGACGATCTTGGACAAGAAAATGGATGAGTTGACACAGTGGATGAAGAAGAAGTCAAGTCTCATTTCTCGGGTTGAACGCTGTGCAGCGCTGGTGTAGTAGACTGATGAGACAATTCAGCAGTGATTCATCGAAGGATACCAATGCATACTGACCAACTGTGTTAATCATATCTGCCAGTCTCTCTTCCACTTGATCTTCCGAGACTGTGAACTGAGCGGCAATTTTGAGCATCTGCTCCGGAGCTCTGGTCATCACACCATCCTTGATTTTATTGGAATCCGCCCACTTAACACTGTCAACGAGAGTCTTCTCCGCCCGACACTCGTTCAACAGCTCAAGCAATGACTTCTTGCCAGCCACACCAACACCAGCAGACATCTTCTCAGCAGGAAGGAAGAAAGCCCGACCAAGCCAGTCGTCATGCACAGCTGCCTGGGCTAAACCCTGAGCCACAATCGCAGGCTGGTTAAACTCCAATCCAAAGCAGAGGTGGATAAGCGGGTGAATCAAGCCTGAGCATCTTAGTCTGCAGCCTAGCCTAACAAGAAGGGCTGGATGAGTATACACGTACCACCAAACAAGCGACATAGCATATTCTCGGCCCTCTCATCCCCAGCAAAAAGATATTCCGCAAGAACATCCCCAACACCCTTGGCGTCAATCTCACCCTGGAAAAACGCCAAGTAATTGGAATAATTCTTCTCCATTCCAAGTCCAGCCCGGAACCCATCCACTTCACACATAGACTGAACAACACCTGGATCAACGGGTTTCGCAGGTCTTTGATAGCTCACATTCTGATTGTAGGCGTTCTTTATATGTTCAGGGCTGGCACCTAGAGCATAGATACTCAATAGGTGGTGGGGTATGTGATCTTTCCCAGTCAGCAACCACACATCATATTGGAATGGATAGATGAGATGACCAGAGGATCAAGTACATACTGTGAAATCCCATATCATTGAAGAAAACATGATGTTTCTCCATATCATCCTGCAAAAGCTCACTAGTAACCCGCGCCGTATCCTCCCTAACACCAGCATTGAAAACACCAGAGTCCGTAGCAGGGACGAGATGAATCTTCGTTGCCGAAGCTGAAGCTGAAGAAGTCATCTTGGCACGTGCGTAACCAGAGTTGTAAGAACGCGGGGAAAGCTTGAAGCACGGTGAAGATGGAATGCGGATCCGAAGTTTTGTGCAGAATCGATTGATTGATTGTGTTTGTTTGATTGTGGAACGAAGCTGGGGTAGCATGTCCCTTTATGTAGATGTAGATGTCGTGTTTATGGAGACCAATGGACCGTTCCTAAATGTAATCATCTCGGGTTCGGTCATTCGGGGGTCCGTTGCTACGTCATTGCTATACAATTGGGTCTCCGGGTCTGGGCCTCTTGCTTACAAAGGGGTTAGTATACGAGTTAATCGAGTGGGCTATTTGGTTCTTGCCGGATTTAGGTGTGGGCTTAGGGTAAATGAGGTTATTCGAGGATATTGAAGGAATCGCGATTTGGCGTGAAGATATTAGTCAGCTTGTTTGGGTCTGGGGCTAGCCCTTCAGATGTTCCGTGTTAGTAATTGATGGGCTAATATTAGGGCGTACAATTTTGGAAATGTAACACTACTGTACATGGCTGACAGCCAAGGCGCCTGGCTCTTGAATTAGATATTGCACTAAATCCTCTTGTTATTCATTTGGGTATATCATTCTGGGACCGAGAAGAGAAGTCCAGGGACAGCGCAAAAAATAAACCAAAAATAGCAACGCATTTTCGATCAATCCGCGCCCTCTCTATCCTTCTTCCGACGCTGTCGGTCTCGCTCCATCTTTTTGAACAGCGGATGGTGTCCCTTGTCCTTGAGCGCCTTGTTCCTGCTCTTGTTGTACTCAATATAAGCCATGTCATCACCGCCAGCCAAACCGCTGAGAGTGGCCGCACTGCGCTTCGCACCTGCTTTCTTTGCTGGGCCTTTCTTCCCCGTGCGCATGGAGAACAAGTCATCGTTGACCTGCTCCACGTCGGCTGAGGATTCATTCTGGAGCATGACTTCTTGCAGAAGTTCGCGACGCTCGGATGGCGTTGCGTACGATAGTCCTTCGTAGCTGTCGATACCTTGGAGATGAGTGATGACCTTGAAAGCATAACCTTGGTCAATCAGAAAGGCTTGCCGTTTGGCAGAGTAGACCATCTCATGTGTATCCTTAGACACAAGAGAGTAGAAGAAAGCATTGAAACCCTCGTCGTTTCGGCGCTTGGCTCGCAGAATTCGCCCAAGACGCTGGGCTTCCTGACGACGTGAACCGTAGTGGGACGAAATCTGGATCAGGCAGGTGGCCTCTGGCAAATCGAGCGAGGTATCACCAATCTTGGACAGGAAGATAGTGTTGACCTGCTCGTTGTGCTGGAAGTTCTCCAGAATACGCATGCGCTCGTTTTGAGGAGTTCCACCGAAAATGTATGCCTTGTTCAGCTTGAGTGCATATCGCTCCAAAGCATACACATTGTCGGAGAACACAATGATCTTGTCACCTCGTTTTTCGTGGAAGTCGATCAGGAACTGGCAGGCCTGGAACTTGCGAGGGTTCATGATGTACAGCAGGGCTTGCTTTCTGGAGCTCTCCCGCAGATATTCGGAGTAAAACTCCGTTGTCATTGGACACCACACCTCAGCACACTGCACTTTGGCGATGTGGCCCTGGGCAGCAAGTTCCATCCAGTTTGCTTCGTATAGCTTCGGTCCTATCAAAAAGTTCAAATCCTTAATCTTGTCATCCTCACGCAGCAGCGTTGCAGTGAGACCGAGCTTGCTCTGTGCGGCAATTGCAGATGTGACCTTTCGGAACATCGATGCCGGCACGACGTGCACCTCGTCCAGAATCATCATACCCCATTCTCTGGATTGAAGCCAGTCCATCATCTTTTGGGCATCATATGATCGAGCCCGGGTTTGTGACACCATTGAGTAGGTGGATACAATGATACCCGTCGACCGCTTGAACTTCTCCTTGTGATCAGACGTGAAAATAGCGATATCACCAGGGTCGATCGTCGTCCACCGCAAGAACTCGTTTCGCCACTGAACCACGGACATGGAACTGGTACAGAGAACGATGGTACCCTTCTTGATAGTAGCCGCGGCAGTAATACCAACCAAAGTTTTACCGGCACCACAAGGAAGCACAATAATACCACTTTTCGCTCGTCCGTTACCGAACATCTTACTAAGACTCTTCTCCTGGTAAGAACGAATCCGAGCAGCAGGCTTCAGATCCATGTCCAGATTGGGGTTGATTGTGTCTCCCTGGAAATCGTACTCTTCTAGAGCAGGACAACCGATGAATTGGCAGCGGGCTTTGACTACTTCCACTCCAGCAGCCGGGATTTCGAAACTATAAGTGATGGCTTCTTCGCGATCGTCCTCGCCCACATCGTCGATGCCGTAATTAACGGCTGCTCCTTCTTCCTCATTTTCATCCCGGGCAGTCGTGGTCTCCTGCTGTGTGGTCTCTCTGACACCGGCCGCATCCTTGGTTCCGGGAATGACGAGACCGCCCATTTTCGGAGCAGCTCGTTCAATAATACCTTCAGTATTGTCCATTCTCTGCGGTCCAATTACTTCGTCTTTCAACAGGCGTTGAAGCATTTCAGGATCTGTCGTTTCCACGTAGTACCGGTTATGCCTCAACACCATCTTGATCTTTCCGTAGGATTTTGTGAACTCGATAATGAAGTTCCGAATGGTTTCAGGCAGTGGTGTTTTCGACAGCCGATCCAGAAACTCGACGATATCCTGCGGTTTGAGACCGACTGAAACCGCTGCATATAGACTGTGACCAGTCAAGCGGTATTCGTGTAGGTGTGTCGGACGGGAAAGAGGTTCAGCGATGGTGGTCAGAAAGTCTTGAGCCTGGGGTGCCAACGGGGAAAAGCTCTCCAGAGTGATGGTGCCTTTGATGGGTTCGATCCATAATGGTCGGTTGTAATGGTCGCGCTTCAACGGCAGGGAAGAAAGATCTTTGTAGCCAAATCGGGGGTCCGTCTTATCCACCTGTGCCTTCTTGCTGAATGTTTGGAGAGAGAACTTGTCGACGACCTCTTAATTGGACAGTTTTAGCATCCAAGTCACTTCATGCTCGTATACTTCCACGCCATACCTTTCAAGTTGGAGGACTCCGGTGCATCATCTCCGTCCGAATAATCGTCATCACTGGTGATATCCTCAACATCGGGGACGGGCGTGGCACGTTTCGAGGCTCTGCTGGAGGTGCCGCCTGTATGTAATGAGTTACTGTCTCTCCGGAAGATGCACCGGATGCTTACCGTCGGCCGCCTTGCGCTTGGCAGGCATGCTTTAATACTCAGTGGTGGAGATGAAACAGCGGTAGGAAACAGACTAAAGACAATCTCAGTGTTTGAGCGTCCGATAATGCGGAGCGGCGCCCCTCAGAGCTGATATCAGGCCAGCATGAAACAAAAGGTGCTAAGATACAACAGGAGGCGTCGGGCGCTGAAGGTTTCGGGTCGGAAAGACCTTTGAGTTGCTGGAAAGGGAGGTTGTAGATGTCGGGAGATGAAGTGGCAGGGTTGACAGGGAAATGGAAGGAGTCAGAAGAGAAGGATATCGAGAAAGGCGGGGATATAAGTTGGAAGAAGAAGTCCATTGGTAATCGGACATGGCGATTAGGATTTCGGCCTGAGGCGACAAATAGCCGTTAGCCGCTCTGACGACATTCAATAAGCTTCACTCTCGACTTCTTCAACTTTTCAGCCATTCATCATGAACACGGTAAGTGCTGTATGTTCCACTTATATATTCATTATTGCTGACTCTATCTCTCATTCAGATCAGATCTACCTGGTGAGAGAAGGTTTCCCGGAGATAATAAGACTTGATTGCTGATGTGGCTTACGCCTTGAACAGGGTGGGCTGGGGCGCCCTCTGTGTCGGTATGTAAACAAAATGATTGGTCTCAGTCAACAGCACGATGCTACCTGGTATCACGTACATGATAAAAGACTAACATGTTCCCTCAGCCGGCGGCGGAGCCTACTACTTCGCAAAGCAATCCATTAACGCCGACCGCCAGTCCCGATTCGACGCCGAGGTCAAGCGCAAGGCCCAAATGAAGGCTATGGAAGAAGAGCATAAGCGCCAGGCCCTGTACGCGCCCAGACCTACTCCAAGCGACGATGCCAGCCTAAAGCGAGCAAACATGACCCGGCTGCAGAATGCCGGTGACGACGTCGCCTCTCCCAGTACCGAAGCTTCCCACGACCCTGCGCCCACCCGTCACGAACCCTTGACTGAGGCCGACCGTGTTCTGGAGAAGGGCAAATACGAAACGTCGACACCATACCGACCTCCGGCCGGCAACCGGTTTAGCTGAGCGGCTAGCCGTACTTGTACATTTTGATATCGAACCAAAACAGAGTGGTAGTGTGGTGTATTTGTTACGGATACACTGAGGTTGGCTTCAACTTCCTGTGCTATGTCTGAATTGTTGCTCAATAGTAGCATGTATATTACTCAAGCTTGGTCATTTCATCAAGGAATGGATTGGCGCGTATTTGGCTATCTGATGATGATTGAAAGATCCATGACATCTGAATCCTTGGTTGTATTAAAAAGCAAAGCAAGAAATATCCCATTCCAGGGTGCTACTCTGAGCAACCTATAACGCCGCTAAACTCCGTGGGCATAATGCATCACCTCACAAGCCGGCCTCTATATCAGCGCCTGCACCGATCAGTTCCCGAAGTGCGAGAGGTTCTAGCGCAAGGCATCTACCTGGCGTGGAAGCAAAGTGGGGGGTTCCTGCATTCAAATATTAATATCAATCTCCATATAAGCTTACAATATTGAGATGTTCTGATTAAACTCACTTGGCCGCAGTAGGAAGACCCGAGTTTCGCTGGCGCGAACTCTCTAGGGCGGGTGGGACAAAGGGCAATACCACACCAGACACGATGCAACCCAGGCTAATGGCGCGTGCAGCGCGAGAATCAGGACGAGGACGGTGGGCTGAGAAATGGCGGATGGAGGGGCGGGCGAACTGAGCGATAGTGGCCATGATGTCGATCACTTGGAGTGTGAAGTGTAGAGCGTGAAGTCGTGGTAGAATAGAGTTGTACTTGATCTGGGAGGAGATGGAAGAGTAGAGTAGAGATCAGTGAGCAGAGAGGAGCAGGGTATAGCTAAGTTTATAGGAACCGAAGGGGAACTATGAGGCTTTTATAAGCAACATCAGGCCATGCAAAGTGATCCGACTGTGGGGGACTTGCGGGGGGCGCTAAGGCATGGCCTGATTCTCGCAGTGCACATCTATCCGTGATCAGACGCCTGATACATACTACAGCTACAGTGGAATACACACGGATCGGACTGTTGGAGAGTACTCACGCCATCGCGGGGTTCCAGGTCGCAAAGAGGGGTGTGGATCATAGGGTTAGGAGAACGGGTGAAGGGTTGGGCTTCACCGCGTCAAGGGCGGAAACGCAGTTCCGGAGAGAAGTGTGATGACGGCTCAAGGATATCCGGAGGGGAAGTGGCAACGTGGGTACTGCAAATGCATAGATCTTATCATGATCTCCTGATTGTGGGCTGCTAGACTCTCAGAATGCAGTTGTCACTGAAAAGCATCAAAAACCGTCAGATCAGGCCACATATCAGCAACTAGTAGCGCAATATACTATCATATTGTACATTATATCTATTCACCTCACTTGTATACTTTGATCGCGCTAGCCGCGGTCACGTGCGATAGGAGCTTCGATAACAGAAGAGAGGGTGATGAATCTCTCCTTCTCCAGGTTCAGCCATGGCGTCCCATCAGATCGCCATTGCAAAGGCTTCATTCACGGCCAGTCTGCTACGTCCGGATCCGACCTCCGTACATCGAGATGAGATAGCCTCCTTCCACACTTTCCTCGAGCGCGCACTGTCGCATTGCTCTGCAGAAAACATCCAGGTCTGACTCGTTGCACATGCCTCTCACGTCCCAGTCACTAAATCACAGTCACCTCAGACCTGCAAAGCATGGTTGCTACAATATGTTGCTGCTTCATCTAACCGCGTTGGGGGATTGGCCAAGTACCTGGTAGCTTTAGCTACCTCCCTCGAACCACCCACTCAGCCCCAGCCCGCTCAGCCCACCTCAGCGAAGCGCCGACGACTCCACATACTCTATCTACTCAATGATCTGTTTCACCACTGCAAGTACCACCTAGGCACCACTGCAACCTTCTCTGCGGTGAGCGGGTCCTTGCAGCCACATATCGTGGATTTGGTTGGCCATGCCGCCGTCTACGATCGCCAAAAGCACAACCGGCACCACAAGCGGCTAGATGATCTGCTTGACATCTGGTCCGAGCACGGATACTTTAACTCCGAGCTTGTTGAGAAGCTTCGGGAAGTGGTGACCAATTCGGCCTCTTTGGGTGCCCCACCATCCACTGATGCTGCCGGTGAAGCAGACCAAGCCAAGAAACCCGGGAAAGATGCTCCTTTTGTCATGCCATCTACCCATGGAGATTCATCGACGCCCTTTTACGACCTCCCTGCGGGCAACCTCATCCCTCACATCATCCCGAACTCGTCCATTTCCATCCGATCAGATGCTATCAAACCGCTACAATTGCAAGCAGGACCTGCAGATGGAACACTAGTAAAAGCTCTCAAGGGCTTCTTGTGTCAGGTGGACAATATCTATGGCACGGACGACCTTATCAAGGATGACAGGGACGCGGACATCGATGAACTGGGTCAGTCAGTCCTCCGGGATGAAATCACAGGCGATATCTTGGATGGTGAAACATATTATGGATGGTCCCGTGCATTCTGTCAACAAATGAAGAGAGGAGGTCTCGAGGACTCTCGCAGTCGAAGTCGGAGCCGTAGTGGAACACGAACTAATACCAAGCGCCGGCGCTACAGCGACAGCCTCTCCGACTCAACGACACCAAGTCGGTCCCGATCGCGATCAGTTAGGCGTCGACGCGTTGACTCGCGTGACAGAAGTCGCTCACCAAGACACTCACGCAGTCGAGAAAGCTCATACACACCCCGCGAACCATCCCCTACACACTTCCCCCCTTCTCACCAACCTCAACCTCAACCTCAACCCACTCCTGCACCCATGAACTCCTTCCCCCCTCCTCATAATCCAAGTGGACATGGCCATTATCCCCAGCCACCCATGGGTCCTAATGGCAGCTTTGTTCCCCCACCCCCACCAACCTACGGTGCTTGGCCTCCACCTCCCCCACCCATGCCGGCCATGCCCTATCCCCCACCTGGTTCTGGAGCTCCTCCCTCTGCCTTCCCTCCCCCCTTCAATAATCCTCCTATGCACATGCCACTAGGACAAGGTCAGCCTATGCCTCCTGGCCAGTATCATTTCCCTCCCCCTTATTCGGGTGGCCAGCACGGTGGCCCGTGGGGCCCCCCTTCCCAAGGTGGACGAAGTTGGCGCTAAGAGAACAATTGACATGTACGATTAGATCAATGAATGTAACTTGAACGACATCTTTCCTAGACTTTTTCAAAGAGATGATGTGTCGAGGTGCATCTTCATCATTTTTGCGATTGTAAACAATAAGGAAGTATCTACTCTGTGAACCCAAGTGGATCTACCGTACAGTATGCGTGTTCATGTACCCCGATGATCTCTTTGACCTTATTCTAGGGCATCTCATTTCAATCCACATCTCCATCAAAGGCACTCCAGCTAGGGCCCACAATGTGGCACGGGACGACAGACCTAAATATTAGCCAATCACCGGAGTTGCTCACAAATTACAGCAAGTACACATCTTCCCATGTCTCTGCCGGGCTTTTGGTCGGGATTCCAAATGCTGATATCGAATACCCTTGCTTTTAGAAGCCATGTGACGAGTTTCCTGGCACTGAACCACCTCCATCTCTACACTTGCCTTGGTCCACATACCCGCCGAGGCAGGACTAGACTTCATCCAATGTCGAAGAACTAGACATGATCATAGCCGCTGGTCATATCAGGTTATCGCCACCCCTATACTACCTGCGATGTTTCAATCATGTTCATCGCGTTCTCGGGTCATATACCCCATTCAAGATCTGACAAAGGAAGAGAATGTTCTCAATTATGTAGAGTGGCTTTATTGGTCGATAATCAATATTTGCATGCATATCGCATGCATATGCAAGTCGCAGAGTGGATCGTATACCCTAATCATTGAATCACAATTGATCCTTGCGGTGAGAAACAGCGAGATGTCTCGATCGTATCTCGGAATTGGCCAAGGGGGTCATGCAACCCAACACTAGAGGAATGACTAGCCCCTTCACTCCAATAAGCAATCTTTAGCTGCATGAGCAATTTCTTTCGTTGGGCTGGAGCTGAACACCTCCCACGTAAGGCTTTCTAGAGAAATATCCAGCTATCTCTGCTTCCCTCGAAGTGAGAGCTCAATTAAGCATTCTTGGATATCTTTCATGGCCGTGACAGATTCTGGCCAGCCCATTCAATGGGAAGGTGCACTACAAGGGATTCGCCTGTATATTGCAGGGGCAGGGTCAGTTGATCACAGAGTTCCGAAGCTCCACATGTTTGTATTGATGGTTTCTAGTCTCAGTCTTGCTCTTTTCTTGACTGGCATCGAAGCCACTATCGTGAGCACATCGCTGGTCACCATCACCAATGACCTTGGGCGCTCAGGCCAAAGCAGCTGGGTCATCACATCCTATCTGCTAACTTATACAGGTTCTCTCTATCTTCAACTCCCCGCTTGTAGTGTGTGCGCTGCTAAATTGCCTCATCATAGGGTCTCTGATAATTTGGTCAAGTTGTGGTATTATCTTCGGCGTGAAACAAACACTTCTTACCTGTCTATTTCTCTTCGTGGCATTCTCGGGGGGTTGTGCTGCCGCGCAAAACCTGTCCCAACTGTGAGCATCCAACTTCTTCTCAAACCCTGTCTCACAAACCTCGCTGACGATTGAATCCACAGTATTATATGCCGCACTTTCCAAGGCCTCGGTGGTGCTGGTATCTATTCCTTGACATTCTATTCCTTCGTTCGCATTGTTCCCTACGAACAGTATGATAAAATCAGCTCTGTCGCCGGTGGAATCATGTCTCTAGGACTTGTCCTAGGTCCCTTGTTCGGAGGCGCGATCGCAAATAGCGACAACTGGCTCTGGGTTTTCTTGTACAAGTAAGTGCAACGGAATATCCGATTGACCTGGTCTGATGCCTCGCAGTGTTCCAGCTGGCTGTATTGCCGCAGCTCTTCTGTTCTTCGCCTTACCATCCCAATTTCCATACCAAGCTAGGGCCTCAACCGACCAACCCAAATCGGATGGGATTGGGGTGAAGATTAAGACGTCGCTTCACAGGCTAGACCTTTTCGGCGCATTTCTTATTTTCACGGCATGCTCATTTATTATTGCTGCCCTGCAAGAGGGTAATCTGGAGTATCCATGGTCCTCTGGCATGGTAATCAGCTTCTTCGTGATATCAGGTATCGCCTGGATTGCCTTCGTCGGGTGGGAATGGCTCATCTCTCTCAAAGCCCCTAAAATCAGCGCCATATTGCCTTGGAGACTGACATCCAACCGTATTTTCATGGGTGTCGCATTGTATGCATTCTCTCTTCTTATCCTAATAGATTGACCTACTGACTGAGGCCTAGAGGCATGTTTACAACAGGTCTCCCCTTGACGGTGTGTATTATTCTTCTTCCACAAAGGTTTCAAACCGTCAATGGGAGTTCACCAATTGGCGCCGGCGTCAAATTGCTATCCTTCGCACTGAGCTGCCCGGTTGGCATTATTGGCTGCTCTATTTTGGCAGGACGCATTAAAGTGCCATTCTTCTACATCTCGCTATTTGGTATCATCTTTCAGATTATAGGCCTCTTCCTCTATTCGAGCATTGATTCCATCGTTCAAGTCTGGCCAGGACAGTTCGGATATCTGGCCTTGGCGGGATTGGGGTCAGGTCTAACTATGGGGGCGTTTACGATGCTTGGGCCTCTTGTGGTCGATAAAGAGGATCAGTCCATTGCGTTAGGAATCGGGCTGCAGCTTCGAATGCTTGGTGGTGTTCTTGGAGTGGCAGCTTCGACTGCCATTCTCAATCATTATCTTGACAGCAGATTGTCATCGGTTCTCAAACCAGCCGAATTGGCCGCGCTTTTGAGAAGCACCGAGGCTATCTTAACGTTTGATCATGATGTCCAAATTCATGTCCGAGAGATCTATGCGATGGCGTATAGCGCACAAATTACGCTCGCGGCTGCGTTTTCGGTTTCACAACTTGTTGCTCTTGCGATGATCTGGAAAAGACAGAATTTCAGGTACTCGAAGGAATGATGTGAGGTATCAATGGTTTATATTATTAATATGGCAGCCTCTTCGGTACATACTGCATGTCTCATCGTCATTATGGAAACCCCTGGTGTATAGCTCCTCGGTTTGAAACATGGAAAGTGGCACCTCTATGGTCAAGAAACCATGTAGCAGAACACAAAAGATAGATGTTGTACACATTCCAAATCAAAGCCCTATCTAGTAAATGTATCACAAGTAAAGTCTCCAAGCAATATCAAGTAAAGAAAAAAATAAAACAATTGATCCCCCTGTTCTCCAATGTTGATCTCCTCACATCGTAAGTAACCCCTGTATACCAAAAAGTACATCTGAACCTCGTCTCGTCTTCAGCCTCATTGACAGCCCATGTTTCAAAACGCCAGGTCTTGGTGACATTCACGAGGTAAGGAGCCTTAGGTGACAGCGTCCATGATGATGTCGGCCTGGGTCTCGGGCATCTGCATCTTGTGGGAGTAATAGTTCATCTTGACCTTCTCGAACGGCTTGCAGGCTGAAATGAGGCCCTATAGCAAGTAACCATGTTAGCAAATATTCTCCCCTCTCGGTCTCAACATGCAAAGTAAGACAGGAATTAACGGGATAAGATGAGATAGACCAACATTGTCCTTGCTGTCGCAGCACAAAGCGGAGCGTCCATGTCCAGAGCAAGAGTTTGGTGGCTCCTTATCAGCCATTGGTTTGCCTGTATCAAAATCAAATATTAGCGATCCCTCAATCCAACCGATCCAGATTTCAGAATCTTCGTTCTTCAGTCTCCAATCTCGACCCCAGGAAAACGTACATTGATAGGCAATAGCCGAGCTGACTTGCAATCCACCAACCGTGGGGACAATTTCACCCAGCGGCGTAAGGATATCATGCGAGGTCTGCTCAAGACCCATGCAGCAGTTCTTATACATGCCCACGGGGCAGGACCAAGCCTCGAAGGGGTTCGGGGAAGCAGAAGGCGAAGCGGATGCCGAAACAGAGTGCGAAGGTGAAGCAAAAGATGGCATGGCACTTGTTGGTGTGGGAGCCGGACTTGGGCTCGCCATCGGGACCGCGGTGGTCACAGCTAGCATAGTGAGCGATGTGAAGAGGGTGGGTAGATGCATGATGGTTGTTTTCTTCGTGTTCTCTATATGAATTCGCTCTTGGTATTTTTCTTTGTCTTCTCGCTGCTTAATTTATACCACTTTGGGAGTAGCTGGTTGTAGGGAGTCGTATCGGTAGGGAATGGCTGAGGTATAGAAGGGCGACCTGGCGCGCCGCGGGTTGGTGTTGGGTTTGTAACCCGATTATGGTCGGTTCTGGCCGCAAATAGTAAAATGAGTGTGGGTTTGCATGTGTCGGCCTCTGAATGAGGTCGGAAAGAATGACTAGAGCTGGGCCGGGTGGTCGTCGCACGAGGTTGTCGAGTAAGCCGGGGGTTGTCGATGGAAAGAAGAGGAGCGACAAGTGTCGATTGCCAATGTCTGGGCTACGGTGAGCAGCGTTGCTAGCCCGTGTACACAGTGGACCATCCTGTTTTCTTTTCCCTCCCTTGGGAGCTTCTGACTGGTTCGTTAGGATCCCGGGATTCCAAGGGGTTCATCCCTCTGCCGGGAAAAACACGAGATGGCCTTGATTCGTTGGAGATTGAATCATCAGGAATGTGCATGGTCGGCATTCTCTTCAAATGGGTTTGTTGCGTGGGTATGCTCCGGTATGCGGGATTCGATTCCGCTGAGTTGCTCTGTATACACATTGCGCATGCTGGCATTCATATATCATCGACCCAAATCGCCGATATCCAAGTTAAACTCCAAGATATGAGAGCTTCCTGTATCGGATGTGTAGCGTATTTCATCCAATTGCCATGGAAAATGAGCCTTAAAGATAAAGTTGCTTCGTCGAGTGGGTGGGAATCTCCGGAGGTATGCAAGGGGTGCCAGGAACGCGAGCTCTCCACGCCAGAGATGTCCATCGTGACAAAAATTTGTAGGAGAGCAATTGAACACTGCTTGATCTGTACAGAAAATGGCGATACTGTTGATGTAAATTTCAATGGCTATGGGCAATCGAGGAGTTCATCACCTCGTCGGTGATCTTTTCTCAGCACCAGAATGGACCGATTCCCCCAAACTAGGAGGATCACCACAGGGTCAGTGTGTTTTCAGTGCCCTCGAATTCATTGAACATCAAACCTATCAACCGTAGCGCATTTACCTTTTCTCAATGCACCACAATCCATTTTAAACAGGGGCTCTGTCACGCTGTGCCATCCTCCTCGGCATTTCAATTCATCGCGCACGCCGGATCTTATTATGTTACATTATTTGAGATTGAAACATTTGATCGCTGAGAAGAAGTCTTCTTTCGAGTCGGGAACTTTCCTCGTTGGTGGCATTGCGGTCTATATGGATGGCAGGACTATGGGAGCAGTAAACCGGAACTTTGACCTACTTCAGGACCCCTGATATCCTAACCAAGGAAAATAGGTACTATGATTCGGTGCTGATAGTATGGGATTCATGTAGCCCGTTCTTCTTGGCCTTGCTACTACCATACTAGCATTCAATGGAAGAAATTTATCGAACCTGTAGATTGGTCGGATATGTCATGATGCATGTGCAAATGGGGTCATATTTTCAATAGTCTTGGTGACAATTTCTCACCACACGTAGAAAAAGACATCATGGTGAAGTTGTGGGGGTTTGTGCTCCAGCCAGACTGCCTATATATATACATTGTATCCACCGGGACCAGGACTACAGACAGACAAAGCCTCTGACAGCCAATTATATAATAGTGTTCTAAACACTCTGAAGGCTTGATTTGATTTCTACTCGTATCTCTATCTCTGCTGTAAATATAGTGGAGGTTGAGACGCCAAGTACAGGCTAGTAATGATTTCTTAACTCGCTTCTATTCCGAGGTTAGCGATCGTAAACTTTGCACGAACCTCAAGAATCCAAGCGGTAAATTCAATTAAATTCAATTAACTTCAGTTTCATTATGTTCACGTTGGATATAGATAAATAGATAGAATATAGGCAATACAAATTGACCGAGTTGGTGTATCGTGGAACGAAAGTGAACTAGTTCATTATTTAAGCTTGAAGGCATTCGCTCCAGGGCTCTTATTATTAACCTCCACTCCTGCGCAGATGATCCTGTATCTCTTCAGTAGTCAATCACGCTCTGAATCGGCTCGACCATCTGCCACTTGAACTGCTTTATCTCGTCGCAAGAGAGTTGCCCAACGAGAGAGTCATCAGCGCTCTCGTGCAGACCAACCGAAATGTATCTCGCCTTCTGAATCTCTTCCTATACCAACATAAGGTCCAGTATCATCAAAGTTCAATCTTGCTCTGGGCCACCAAGAATGGATATGCTGATCTGCAACAAGATTACTCGATGTTGGGGCTAACATCATGGCATTTGAGAGCCCGGCAGATACGAAAGGGCTTTGGGGTCAATGTGATCGGAGGCGGACCTTGGACCTATGATACGACTCAGCATGTGAATAGTTCAGAGAATGCAGAGTATCGTGCATGCATGGACTATATACTAGCACAGTATGAACTATTGATGATGTGCGACAAGGGTTTGAACTCCGGTACATGTTTTTTACCTCCTCTCTCCACTTACGAAAAATTACGAATTACTGATATCGTATATTTTGATATGTTATTTCGCTTGGAGATGCATTCATCATATATAGGCCACGTTTACAACGCTATATCGATGCTAATGGTTTACAAGGCTTACGGTCTACGGCGTAGCGAGCGTGCGCAAATCAAGGGGGAAAAAAAAGGAAAAACAGATAACTCCAATATATCGCTCGTAGCTGTACAGGTCATGAATGGCCAACATGATTTGATCGAAACAGGGGGATATCACATCGTAACAAGGGTATTTTCACCCGAGGGACAGCCAGTGTCCACGACTCAGGAATTGTGCTAGTCCACCAAAGGGAGCATCGCAAAAAGATAAAAATCAGAAACAAAAACGCCCGCTCGCTGCCAAGGTACTAATACATAGTGTACAAGCCAATGTTCCTTCACAGAAGGAATATCAGGCACGGTAAGTTGTGTTCGTGCACCCACGCCCCGAGAAAGGCCGGGAAGGCGGACAGTTCAAGATGGTGTAAATAAAGTATCTGTTGTGACCGATCTTTAAGTCCGACGAGGGACACCGACACAGCCATACATGACAAAGCCAAATGAATGGCGAGAAGAAAAGAGAGCACCTAACCAAAGCAGTGAGTCTTGACTCTCTGTGTGGTGTTAGGGCTGTGGGTAAAATGGGGGAATGGGTGGGGGAAAGTAATGATTCGCGACCAAGTCCTAGCACGCTCGCAACAAACCATGCGTGATTGCGGTCCAATCATACAATGAGTCGGAGGTGAACCGCTGGGCGGGGATCAATAGTTATCCAAGGAAAATGCTATGCAAGGAGAAATTGGGCAAAGAAGGGCATGGGGCATGGGGCATGGGGCATGGGGTAAAGGGGATTGACCATATGCAGACTCCCGGCTGGCGCTGGGAATACAACAATATCAAACCCAGATAATCGCATCATCGCTGAAAAGTGCACAAGCGCACGCTCTCCCGTGCGACTTTCCATAAACTCCTGAGAAAACAGTGCCAGCTGGGGATATTGACGGAAACATAGCCGGCCGATGATTACAATGGATCATCCTCGTCAATGGGGCAACCAAATACTTTGGAGAATATTGTGATGAGGCTGGGAAGTAATTAGCAGTATTCAGATGTAGAAAAAAAGGTGAGTAAATACCTTGGTCTGGTATGGACCTAAAATTCGGACTTGGCCATATCACGGCCAGAGACCTTATTACCAGCGATGTGAGCAGCATTGCTGACAGACGTGGGAGGTCCGTTAGCCTGGCGAGCGAGGCCAGAGGCACCGCTACGACCACTTTGGCCGCTACTCTGACTACTGCGGCTGCTGGAGCCCTTGCTGAGGTGAGAGTCATCAGTGTCAACAAAGGTAGACATCTGGCGCTGAGTGTACTGCAGCATGGAGCGGTTGTAGTCGCCCAGCGAAGCGCTCGCAGGGTCCAGAGGCTGGTAAGAGTCGATCAGAGTCTCGTTGTTGGGGTTGTTCACCCCACTCGAGTCCGAGTTAAACATGTTCATGTTTTCAGTGCGCTGCATCTGAGCTTGAGTCATGGTGGAAATAGTCTAGTAAATCAAAGGATTAGCATAAGTTTGTCACATGGTCAATCAATGCCGCCAGGCACTGGGGCTGGCAGCATGTGTCACCGGTGACGTGGGCTCCGAATAAAGGCAAAGACAAGCCCGGCCAAAGGCGACCGCGGGGTGCGAAAAGGGCTTTCAAGGGCGCGTCGTCGAACCAAGTCCATGCTCATATTTCAGGCACAAGGGGGCCTGCTCACCTTTGTATCTGGGGGTTGCCAAGTAGACCTGACTGAAGATAGAGCAAGAAGGTGTGAAGAAGAATGATCACGGTCGGTAAAAATTGGTCGAATATTCAACTGTAATCAAAAATACTATACGGAGTGTGTGGTACGGGGTGAAACGGTCAAGGTAAGATATGAGTTGAAACAATACACATTCTAATATGCGAGCAAGGTTATATATAAGACACAACGGCTCCACAAGGGAGGATGAAATCACATCGGATCAAAGGCGAAAAGCACGTCTGTAGCAGCTCCGAGGCGTCTATAGGCTGCTTAATTTCTCCTGAAGGCGCCCATGGTAAAGTCGAACAGCGAACTCCACCGAGTACAGCGAGCGGAGTAGGGTGACATCATTGGCTGAAAGGGGATGAGATGCCATCATAAGAGCGTCGGGCTTCCCCCAGTCCTGAGAGATCGGTAAAGATGACTGCCTCGAGGGCATGTGGGGGGACAATACCATCATAGCTAGCGTTATGAAATAACCCAGGTCCACATGCTCATGGAGACTGGTGAACACCCGACGATATCTCGAGTTGATCCACCGGCGGATGGGTCAGAGTGCTCCGATGAGGTCACTGGGGAATGTCGGTGGACCACTTGAGGTTTGGAGGCGTTCTGAGATCGGCGATGCCGGAGTCTGGTCCCCTGCAGATCTTCCTGACGTTTCCCAAATGATTCATAATTGAGACTATCATGGCCATTGCTTTTGAACGTACATTCTGCATTGCACTCGGTTTGATCAAACGGGTAGAATGCGGACATCCCCGGCGGATTGGCGAATTAGCGGATCAGTAAAAATCACCCTCCACCGGATGAGGTCTCGATCCATCTCAAATAGTCGATCCGACATGCATTGTACTGTAGCAGTTTGTGACGCAGTGCAGCGCGTGGCGCAAAGAAAGTCGTGTGAGGCTCACGACTGGGGCCGACGACGTCATACCCTCCATCGGGGCGATCCGAGCATCTAATGGTTTGTCTCATCTCACAGGGACCAGTCGAATATGGAAGTCGAAAAAAGCAAAACAACCTCCAATTGATTTGGTGAGAGCTATCTCAAGTGGGACTTGCCGAGAAGAAGCTTGAGTCCGAGCTGAACGAAAGCGAAGAATGCTATATACAGTGGGGACATAGTCATAGTGGAGGTTACCGTACACTAGGGACAGCTCTCATTGAACTGCGGAAAAGACAGCAACCAGAAAGGAAACAATCAGGACAATCTCGGAGAGCATGGAGTAGGATTTGCCTCTTAGCGCCCCCTCAGGACACCGCCTTGAATATACTGCCCGATATACTTCCGTCTCGATTAATCTATTATATTGATGCTCATGCATGTGTAACGGGTATGTTGCATGGCATTTGGTAGGACTGTATTAATGTTTCCGCAACGTGCCACAAGATAGGTGAGATTGAAGCTCCACTACAGAGTGTGGATGGAAGCTTCAATCCAAAGACACGACCGGTGATCAGCACAACCAACCAATTGGCCGGGAGAATCGGTACATTGCAGCGTGCAAGTGGCAGGGGCGTTTGCATAGAACAGGCCTGGGAAGATCATTTGCCATCCCAAATCCCTAGGATGGAGTTTGATGGCCAGCGGGAAGGCAAATTGCCGATCGGCATGACAGCGATTGTCTCAAGCTATCCATTTTCACATCATGATGGAGATCGGGGTCTACCAATAAAGATGGCAGTCGAGATTCGTATAACGGTGGGATGTCTCATCTGGGAGCTACACAACCACGTCAGAGGAATTTCCGGGGTATAACATCCATCCTCTACCCGATTTGTCCCATTTTTGAGAGAACTTTTGCTTGGGTCATCGGGAGGAATCCGTCTATTCCAGCAGAGGTCTAGAACAGTAAATCAGAAGAAAGTTTCGTCATAATATAAGGGTTATCTCTGCAGTCTGTACTCCGTATAGCATAGTGCTCTCGCGTATTGAACAGATTGCAAGAGGCTATGATGCTCATGTGATATCAGAGTCGGCGCAATCCTGCACCATGTCGTAAGTAAAAAGGAATATGTGGAGCCGATGGGGCTTGAACCATACAATGTAAGGTCTGATCACAAAGATGAGATGACAGCATAGAGCTGATCAACTGCATACCCGAAGTTCCATCAGACAACACGAGACACAACGTGCTTTTGCTATACATTAGCGTGTTAATCAACGTTAGAGCATGGGGCAGTCCCCTTTCTTCACTTTACGTGTGAAAATGGACCACCCCTAGCAGGACCGACCCATGAGCTTATGAGAGACGCCAGCATGCCCAAAAGGCAAACTGCATGCCGATCAACACATTGTATCACTTTGAGGCTGGTCTTTCCTCCTATTTGAGATGATATCACTGCCCTTTCGGATAGCATATGAGGTCACCAGCCGAGACTGAATACCCCGAACATTGAAGCAAAAAAAAAGTACCATGCTATGCTTGCGAGCACTGCTTCGTGTCATAGGCTGCTTGTCTTTTCCCATCAATTGAACCCCAAGCCAACCACTGTTCCATTCCAGCCTAGCGCATATTGACTCCGGCGTTAGATTACCCCCGAATGTCGTCCAGAGTACCTGACCTGTCAAAAAAACCTGTTTTCGCATCAGATATCGGTCTCGATAGATTGATCGTCCAGCAATCCATGCGCTAGAGTTCACCGATTCTTCAAGACATACGCTACTCACGCTATGTTATCACCCTCAGGCATCACACTAGATCTCGTCTGAACAAAGTCAACGTCGACCTGACGCAAGAGACCCGCCGTTACATCGACAACTCACCTCTACCTCCTCGCGAAACGATTCTTCGGTCTCGACTCATCGATGAACACTCTCGCCTCCCGGTCGGAGAATTTCTCCAACACAAACCTGTTCTATCCATGCTAACATCGCGTATCCCCCGCCTGTTGGTCAATAGTATCCGACGGCGAATGCCCAGGGCTCACAATGGAGAAATTGAGAAGATAGTGATCATAACTGGAGAGGACAACGTTTGACATGACGTACGAAACCTGCTTTTTTGTATCGATATGTCGACCATTTTGGTTTGGTTCTTCGGTCTCGACCTTGCGATGGCCACTTTCGCCTCCTTGCCTCGCCGGAAAGGTTCCTCGAATAGGCCGGTTCCGCATCTTCCCCTGCCAGTACCAAGCATTCTCCCTTGTTCATATTCAGCCTCAACAACGGCGAGTACGAATGTATTATGGCGGTCAGGATCAGGGGACACTAGCGAGACACTGGCATCGTGACTGAAGAGCACAGCGTCAATTCGGCGCCAGAAACTCGCTTTTCTCCTCGGCCTCCCAACCATTCTTCGGTCTCAACTCGGGGACTGAGTGTTTCGCCTCCTCGTCGGTGATTTCTGCGAACACAAACCGGTTCTTTCCCTGCAAGAACCCAACGATGGCCAATGCACATCTATCACATTGGACAGAGCCAGGAGACACTGGCATGTCCACAGAAGACGACGTTGTCGTAGCGATACGGTCTCGACTCATCGACAGACCATGCTATTATCCAACCGGAGACCTCCCATCTTTCCACCTGGCTAGAAACCTGTTTGTGGCAAGAATCGAGTACTGTATTGAGTATATCCAGTCTCTCCGGTTCACATATTCCCTGTGACCTAGTGTCTCCTGATTGTCTGTCAAGATGCTTGTCAGTACATGTAGCGACTAACACCAACTCCACAGCAAGGAATGCATAGCCAACGATACAACCGACTGGCGTCGATCAACCTTCAATCCATCTTCGACCAACCTGTCTCGATGTCAACTACAGTACGTTGTTCGTCTTTCGCCACATCCCTCGGTCACCATCTTCTGCAAGTAACACGCAGGCCAGACCCAGAAGATCGACGGGGATGGATAGTCGTGGAGGTAGATGTCATATCGAGTATATTTCCTGTTTTTTTAGTCCAAACGGACAAGACAGCTAATAGATCGCAGAGATGGAAAAAGGTAAGACACTAGGCCAACACGCCAGGCATAATTGTAGTAAATGCATCATATTATAACTCATGCTCACATCACACATAACCTAGAGAGAGGAGTGATTAGTATGATATCCTCAAGAAAAGCGCAATGAACCAAGCAGAAGAAAGCTTATGAACACATCCATATGCCTTGATTGAAGCCCAACTGATTCAGGGTTGAACATACCTTTACGGGCACCCTGGAAAAAGAAGCGCACAACAAAGACCTGCAATGCCGCCATGGAAACCATCATCAAAGACTCAATAACACTGAAGTTGAAGATACGGCGCTCGGTACTCCGCACGGTACTGAAGTTACGGTTCTCGCGCGTGCGGAAGTACTTCTGGTTGCGGGAGACGGTAGAAAGCTGAGCGGAGAGCTTGTAGATGGATTCCTCCAGGCTGGTAGTTTGCTCGGGGCTTGCACCTTGACGGGAAGGCAGTTGGGCGCGCTGTTCATTCTCGACCTAGATTGCGATAGATCAGTACCAGATCTGCTGTATTGTTTCCCTTTGGTTTATAGACTTGGAGACTACCGATAGGTCTGGTCTGTTGCGGGGATGGGGATTGGCATACCGCAATCTCGAAATCGACCATCTTCTCGGCGAAAGTCGACATCTCGTTGTTGAAGCAGAAGGTGTACTCGCCAACACTCTGGGCAGTGAAGACGAAGTCGCCCTGGCGCTCCTTTGTTCCGTCTAGGACGATCTTGCCGCCTGGTGCGGTGACGGTGTAGTCGACATCGAAGGATCCGCCAGATTGGACCTGCAGCGCACAATGTTAG